AAGAAGAGATCGATAAGAAGATTCTTATCAGCTACCGCGTATAGAAGCTATTTATATAGACTTTCTATACGGGCGCGATACTTCTAATACGATATACTAGGCTTTATTAGAGAGCGGTAGAATATAACTATATTCTCGTATCGCCGTAAGATAGGGTTTCTTACTTAATTTTAAACGATTACTTTAAACTCCTCAAAGAGAAGCTTTCTCCGGGTTATAAATTTATCTAGGCGTTAGTAGACGTATTAGGCGATTACTTCGTACTTCGCGAGGCTCTAAAGGGCCTAGCGGGTCTACTTCTTAGTATCCTAGTCTTATAGGTTAAGTATATTAAACTTATTATTTAACTCGTTAATCTACTTATCGAAATAGTACTAGGTCGCGGTTTATAGTTCGGAAACGTTCTTTTCTCGCTAGATCGCCTTCCGCGCTTCGAAGTCGAGATATATATAAGGAGTATACGTTTCGGATACGCTTAGCTAAGAGAGTATATTAATACGTTCTTATAGACCCTTAATTAAAGCGTTTAATTCGATAATTTAAGCCGAGAAGGTCGGGATTACTATAGAGAGCCTATAAATCTTAGTCTTTAGATTCGTAATAACGTTTTCGGGCGTAATCGTTATAGAGAAGGATTCTTTTATAGCGGTAGATATTAGGGGTATCTCGTCGGCGTTATCGTCTAATTCGCTAGAAGTTAGATAGTTCGACCCGGTTAAGGAGTCTTATACGACCGTAGCGTTTTTAGTACGCGACGTATACGCGTCGCGTACGAAAAGAGAAGTCCGCTTAGAAGGTATTCTAAACCGGCTATTTAAAGAGAAGGATTCGAATATAAGATATAAAATATAAATAAAAAGCTTAAAATAGATATAAGAAGAGGGCTTATAATTAATAGACGAATTCTTAGAGAATTCGGCCTTCGCCCGTAGGCCGAAGGGCTTTTATATATAGCTAAGCGAGAGTTACGTAACTAGTACGTAACTCCTATAGATCTCGTATACGAAGCGTATACGAGACGCGGCTATAAATTCTTATAATTTTATCGTCTTCTAATAAAAGAATTTTTTAGTATCGTTCTTTTTAAATCTTATTATTTCTTTAGAAGGGCGGGCCGGGGCCGGCGGCGGAGCCGAGAGTAGGGATAGAATCTATTAATTAATAATATCTATACGTATTAACCCGTAATCTTAAGCCCGTTTTAGTAAGCGTATACGCGTCTACGGTAATATATAACTAAGAGAAATTTAGTACGCCCTTAATAGTAAGTAGTATTTAGAAATAGAAAAAATACGAATATCTAAAAAACGGTTAATTCGTATAATCGACTCTAAGTTTAGCGGGGATTAGAAATTTAAATATCTATTCTATAGTATTAAGAAGGGCGGGTCGGGGCCGGCGGCGAAGTCGAGGATAGAAGTAGAATCTATTAATTAATAATATCTATACGTATTAACCCGTAATCTTAAGCCTATTTTAGTAAGCGTATACGCGTCTATAATAATATATAACTAAGAGAAATTTAGTACATCCTTAATAGTAAGTAGTATTTAGAAATAGAAAAAATATAAGTATCTAAAAAACGGTTAACCCATATAGTCGACTCTAAGTTTAACGGAGATTAGAAATTTAAATATCTATTTTATAGTATTAGAATTAGCGTTATACTTTTTTAAATAGACTTTTAATATACCGCGTATTATATAAAGAGCTCGCGTTACGCTTTACTAGATATACTTTAGACTTTTATACGCTATATATTTATATTTACTTCTACTAAGCGTTACGTAAGAGTTACGCTTATATTAATTATAGTTAATATTTTAGTAGAGTATTATAAAGAATCGATAAACGAAATATTTAAAAATTTTAGTATTCGAAAATTTTAGTATTCTAAAATTTTAATATTTTAAAATTTTCGCTAAGTTTTACGGTTTTAGTTTCTACGCCTCTTTAAATCTAAATAACTTAAACTTATAATAAAACGCGGCTATAAATTCTTATATTAAAGCTAGAGATAAAGCTAAGAGTAAAAATAAAATTTATTAATTAATAATATTTATATATATTAATTTATAATCTTAAGTTTATTTTAGTAATTATATACGCGTTTAAAATAATAAAGAATTAAAAGAAATTTAATACGCTTTTAATACTAGATAGTATTTAAAAGTAGAAAAAATATAAATATTTAAAAAACTATTAACCCGTATAATCGACTCTAAGTTTAGCGGGAATTAGAAATCTAAATATCTATTCTATAGTATCTAGAAGTAAAGTAAAATAAATAAATAAATACCGGCGGTAGGGGCGGTAAGTATTACTACTAGTAATAACGGCGGTAAGTATTTACTACTACTACCGGCGGCGAGCACGTAACGGCGGCGGCTTTCGTCTCGCCAATCTATTAATAGTATATATTATAAGCAGTGGCGGCGGCGATTCCACACCGCTTGTCTGTCTTAACGAAGCCATGTACGCCACGGCGCGGATTCTTATCGACAGTCGGCTCAGACGGCTGCCATTTACCGCGCCATCGATTCGCGAGCATGTAAAGCGCATTATGCGGGAATCGAGCAATATTACTGACGCATCGCGCGTCTCTCACGCTCTCACCTTCCCGAGGTTCGTGGCCGGGTGCAAGGCGGTAGATACAGCAGCCCGAGAGACAATTGCCACCAGGCTTGCCCAGCAACGAGGGCTTCTACTCGACCCGCCCGGTTACCTTGTGAGCATCTTGAGGCGCGAGTGGAGTATCAGAGATGCGGTCCCTCGCCTGGACTAGGCTGCGTGGATGGTGGAAAGTAAGTCTATTAGACGTCGTTCATATTCGCTGTTAAAAGAGTCTTACTTAAATAAGCGGCTCTAGCGCACCTCTACCGCTAATTTTCACCTCAGGAATCTGCTTGACGAGGCTCTTCCACTCCCCCAGCTCCTTCGCGTCAATCCAGTTACCATGAATCTGCGCCTTAACATGAAGAGGTAGCTGTACTATGGCAACGGCCTTCTCGAACTCGCGTGTATCAATGATGACCAAGTCATTCCTGTTCTCTTTTTTCCTTTCGACCATGGCCATCAGCCACCCATCTCCCTCAGCGGCGTGGTCACTTCTCGGAATGAAAATCGGCTCTTGGACCAGCGAGTCGTCACCCGCATAGAAGAAACGAGTCTTCCCTGTGTCGTGGTTGTGCATTGCGAGCGCGTTGAGTCCGTGAAATATGTTCTTCCCGCCGTCGCTGCGCTCCGGCAGGAAGACATCTGCCCAGAAGATCTTGAACTGCTTCGCCATGAATCTCTCGTCGATGCGCGGGAACTCGGAGGGGATGTCCAGAATTATTTGCGGATCTGACACTTGTGTGTTGGTGGGCTTGCTAAGGTCGAGCTGCCAGCGAACAAAGTCTGCCTTTGCGTCAACAGCAGGCATGCGTCCATCGTCGGGCGGGAAGAACGGGAAAGCGTTTTCGTGGACACGGCTGGACTCAAAGAACAGCTTGGTGTTGCCGTCCTGCTCGACCTCCTCCCAGGCGCCGCCAGTGTGGATGGGCATGCAGTTTCTCCAGTGATATGTCCTCGTCTCTCCTTTGGCCCAACCTGGGGGCGTTTTCCCTCCCACTCTCCGTGGCACGACGATGAAGGTAGCCGGCCTGTCGTAGTTCCACGCCCAGTGCTGTTTCCCCCTCTTCATCCTCTCCACATCCGCCTCAAACGGCCACATCACCAGAATGACCCAGTTCTCGGTAATGGCACAGTCGTGAATGAAAGCACACCACGGGCTCTCAAGCCAGACGATGCTATCCTTGACCACATCGCCAGCTTGATCCAGCGCATACACCACCACATCCCTCGTGGCCAATCCCTTGGCCTCGTACCCAAACACCACCAGCTCCTTCTTCTCCGGATCCACCTTGGGATGAGCAGTGAACGCCTTCGCCTTGACCGCGCCCTCCCTCGCGCCGAACGGATCGTACCCGCGCGTGGCCAGCGTATCCGGATCCAAGCTGTACGGCAGCGCCACCTCCTTGAGCGCCAGCAGCTCGCCCGCCCACAGCACCATGTTCGTATTCGCGGTGCTGTCGACGGCCGCGCGCACGCAGGGGTGGTGCGTGAACGGGTTGCGGTACAGTCCGAACAGAGCCTCGCCGCGCCGGCGTTCGAGGCGGTACCGCTCCGTCTCGACGTACGCCATGCGCATGTCGACGCGCCCCGCTCGCACCCGGAAGGCGCTGACGCTGCCATCGCCGTCGATGGGCACGTTGGCCGGGTGCGGCGGCACGAACGGATCGCACATGACCCGGTAGAAGGTGCCGTCGATTTCGGCCGGGATGGTGCCCAGTACCGGCAGGTCAGCAATGGCGCCTTCGAGCCGGCAGGGCTGGTTGCTGCCCGCCAGGTCGAGGGCTTGCGGCCATTTTGAGGCGAGGTTGCCGTAGTTGGGGTGCTCGGCGTGTGTTGTGTCGGTGGTGGTGGCAGACATGGTGGTGGTGTTGGTGATGAAGAGTGTTGGTCGCGTGTCTTTTATACCATTTCAGGTTCGTGGCCGTCGGTGGCCATTGGCGGCAGTGCTATTGTAATGTGAATGCCGATGCCGCGGGGGTGTGGGGCGGTGTTCAATTACAAGCCTTGGCAATGGAGTGTTGATACCCGTTTGTGGAGTCGGCCTCGTGACCAGTAACAGCCGGATCGCTGCGGAAGCCTAAGGCACCCCATTCGCCCGGCACCCGATGGCGGCAATCCATGTGGGGAACTATGCGGGGGGTGAGTTTCTTCTAACTATGTAGAGCTTTGAGGATAGTACATATTGGCCGTTCTCTTAGTACCTATTGGCCGGGCTAAAGAAAGTACTAGGTACGCCTACGTTAATTCCAAACCTTCTTCTTACCCTTGCATCCCCGCCCACATTCCACCACCCTAAAGCAAACGTCTCCCCTTGGAACACTCTCCCCACCTCATCCCCCAGCCAATCCTTCCCTTCATCCCGCATCCTGCCTACCAACCCCTCGCTACCCTCCAAAGCCGCCAACCTCACCGCCAAACTCCCGGGATCCGCCGGCAATACCCTCGCACTCCCACCCATCCAGCAACTCACCGCCGCGGCCACCGCCATATGTAGGAGCAACACCTCCAGCAACCGCGTCGCCACACCACTTTGCACCAGCCTCCGCCTGCCCTTCCAATCCGTCATCATCGCATGCACCTCGTGCGCCGCCATGTCCGGCAGGGAGAAGCCGTTCCCCTCTACTTCCTGCTCAGATACCACGGGCAACTCGGCCCGATAATGTACATACGTGCAGCACCTGCGCCACGAGCTGCCTATATAGATGCTGCATGCGATCAATTAGCCTTGGCACGTTGTCCTCTCCCACCAAGTCCTCGATGGGCGTGCCCTCAGCACCATAGACGAGCGCGGCGAAGAAGGGGCTGATCCCTGGCGGCACGGTGATGTTCTTCGCGCGGAGAGCCGATCCTGCACCGACGAGCGGTAGGGTTACTGCGTAGGAGAATGGCGCGGTGGTGATGTTGTTATGGTCGAGAAGCAGTGGGCGCGCGGTCGACTCATCGGGGATGGGCGGTGCTGTCGTGTTGATTTCGAAGTTCTGTGTGGCAAAGATGGCTGTGTAAGCAAGCGCCTCGATATAGGGGGCGCAGTGCAGCAGCGCGAGGTCGTCCGTAGTGTTGGCTGTTTGGTGGCCGACGGCGAACCAGAGGTGCGGGCGGTTGTCGCCGCAGGCGTTGACCGCATCGCTGAGGGGCAAGTCGACGAGCTGGTCAACCTGGTCGGCGAAAAAGAAGGAGGTGCCGTCGGCTGGGGGGTCGAAGACGAAATTAACGGCGGCGGCATCATCCTTGCCGTCTAAAGGCGTGAAGAGGAGGCTTCTGTTACAGCCGGAGGGGATGGCGACTGGGATGATTAGCGCTCCATCACCGTGGAACAAGGATCTGCTGGTGCTGGCAGTCTTGAAGTGGCCATTGCGGTGCATGTGGCTGAGGGTGCAGTTCATGTTGGCGCGAATCCCGGGGATGCGGGAGTGCAGCTCTTGCCGCTGCTCCGCTGGAAATGGTATTCCGTTGTTCTTTTCGGTGAGGGTGAGATGGGGGAAGACGGCTTCGCTGTACGTCCATTGCGGGAAGGACGTATTGGCAAAGAAAACGAGGTCGGATATGCTCATGTGGAGACCCATGCCCCTGTTTGTGCTGTCCCACCAGGTTTTGCCCATGTTTCGGATGTCGAACCAGTCTTGGATTGTCAGAGTCATGTTTTGAGTTGATGGAACTTCTACGGGCGTGTAGAGGCTACTTGTAACGATGGTAAGCAATGGTGCCAGGAGGGAAGTGAGCATCGCTGCCGAAAGAGGCCAGTTTCCTTTTCGAAGAGTAATACAGAAACCCAGGAGCGTGATGTTGGCAAATGGATCAAACTCCATGGCGGAGACGCCTACTCCGCGTTTTCTCATCTCCTGGAACACGGCAAGAAGTCTCGCTGTGCTGTGCAGGGCACCGAAAAGCAATCCGACTATAACCATCGTGGCTGAAGGAACAAAGACCCAGGTGTACTTAGTATACCCATCGAGAGAAACATCCGCAATGCCGTCGTGGGCTAAGGATATCTGGTAAATTGTTTCGAGACTGGTTACGAGTAGCATGGGAACGGTGATCACCAGGATTCGGTACGCCAGATGGTCTGAAGCCGGTTGCCACAGCTTCAATCCATCACTGGCTCCTGATTGTTCGTTGACTGCGCTTGTGTGGTGCCCCGGCTCCGCGTGATGATTTCCTGGTTGACTTCCCTCGGGCCGCTCAACATGGATGGAGAGATCCCTGTTCCGTTGATTTGTAGGTGTACACCAGAACTTTAGCCCTCTCAATTTGTGGGCCAGTGTCTTTTCTCCCATCCTTCCACTTCCTTCCAGTACTTGGGCCGGGGAAGGGTTACGTGAAAGAAGCAGAGCAAGTGACATAAGGCATGCCGGCGATTCTGGAAGAGAGATGCGGTCGAGAAAGCAAAGGGCGAAGCTGCCAAGGCACAGGAGTATCCAGAAACACTCCATCAACCTCAGAGAGAGAGCCTGGACACAGAGGCGGGGGAGTACTTGGGTGGCATTTCCGGCAACAGCACGATGGTCGGGGGTCGTTTTCCCGTTCTTGGCCCATTGAGGAAGGAAGGAGCGAAAAACGTTTTGCGATGCCAGGCTCAGCAGAGTTTCGTTGGTCCAAGCTGTAACTTCCGGTTGCGGCATTGTCTCGTTCACCAGACTCAGCCAGGTACTTATGTTGGATGCAAAAGGGCTGTTTATGGCTTCTCGTGTCTCATCACTCTCGATGGAAGAGACCACATTGTCGATTATAGCTTCCGGATTAACCCCCAAGGGCAACGGCTCCTGCGTAGCATCCGAAACGCTGAGTCGATCTTCGGTGCCGGCGTTTGCTGTATCGTTCGAGACCGTCTGTCGAGTTAATAAAAAAGCTGGTTTGCATATTATACCCTGGAGTTTCTTGAGGTATACCGGTGACGTGGCAGTGTGTATCTAACCTGTTTCATAGTAGGACGAGCTCAAATATATAAGCAATCGCGCATCCGGCTCCGTGGGTGAAAATTTTGAGCATTCGACCTTTCGAACACTCGCCGTCCATCCTTCACCAGTGATTGGAAAGGGGTAGTGTCGTAGCTGGCATGTCCCCGACGAAATGTTCATGTTGTGAAAAGTTGTTCCATTTCCCGCCACGCTCAGGGTCGGGGTAGGATCAGCATCTTTCCAACTGAGTGGCTCGCATTCCCGGGGTTCGGCGGAGAAGACGTCGTCGTTGGCAGATACCGTCTCGTTCGTTACTGAGATCTAGCAGTTGAAAACCGTCGCTGCAAGGTATGAGGCTCTCTTACTTGGAAGGAGTGTAAAGCTTTGCGTGGCGAAGTCTGCTGTCGTCCCGTGCGGGAGCGGAACTTGATAATGAACCATGGCCTAATAGTTTGATGCCACCAGGGTATCTGACGTGTCAATCTGTCCTTGGAAGTCGAACCTGTCGAGAAGTATTGTATCCACCTGGCGCCCAATACTTCTGTATTCCACGCTCAAAAGTGCCGTGGAGGAGATGGTCAAGAGCTGGAGCAGGGTGGTACCCAAAATTCCCACTGAGACGAAGAAATGACATCATCTCCACCCATGGCATTAACTGCTTGGTGCAATACTCCACCTGTCCCCATACAGCTGCCATGATAGTAAGGACTGAGTAACGTCAGATATTGCACGTCTCGAAATGACTCTTAAAAACATACCGGATGTCGGTCCATACTTCCAGAGATAGTAGTGGTTCTCGGAGACCGTAGCCAGTCCGTTGTTTTGGCGAGAGTATATGTCCATAGTCTCGAGTGCAGTGATCATCAAAATACACAGGATAGCAGCCCCGAGATGGAAACTTCGGCGGAGAAAAAATGGTCTCCAAAGGCACTTCGAAACTTCACTCATCGTTACCCGGACTTTCCAGCGGGCTTGCCACGGATGTGCCCCCCGGGACATCTGTGTTAAACACTTGCTGTGGGCTGTGTGTGCTTTGGGTTGATATTTAAGGAGGATCGTGGATAGAGCTTATGAATGAAATCGAACTTGCAAGGGCCGAGCTGGACGGCCGGACGCTGCTATTGTCCATGCCCCCAGTCCGGCTCTGCAAGTAGGTGGATGATGCATCGGAGTGGTAATGGAGCTTGGTCAAAAATGCGAGACAAAGCATCTTTGAATACTTGAACTATTGGAAAATTTCATCAGGACGTCATGTGTCGGATGGGTCATATATTTTTATCCGCTGTCGGCTGTGCTGCAAGGCTCAAACGGCTGCCTGTTATGCAGTGTAATGTACGCCTGCTCAGCCTACTTGAGGTTGTGATCCTTTTGACATAATAATAGCATTCCTGAGCACGACACACGTACGAGTTCAATAGCAAATCTAGATGCTCTTTGGTCTAGCAAGCACTTTGGTCTTGTGTCGGGTACGATTTCCGCCGTAGCTGATATGGAGGGTACCGGCGGCGTCCTGAATTTTCGAAAATCACGTCACAAAGTTCTCCCTTGCATACTCACCTGCATGCCTAGCGCGTACCTCCTCCAGGCAGGATGTTCTTGGGCTGTTTGATACAAATGCGGAGCACAAACGCGCGCGATCAAGCAAGGTGACCACAGCTTTCAAAGGGCGAGCTGAATGCTTTCCTCCCAGCGTTGCGACCATAGGTAGCTCAATCGCGTCAGCCACGCCGCACGCCCCCTAGGTGCGACCGCGAGCTTTCAGCTGGTCGCAAAGTCAAGCCGCCGCAGCATTATTAATTCTCATTATACCTCCGTGGCAAAGAATGTCTCGTGGCTGTTACTAAATCAAGAAAGCACAAGGGAAACAACAGGCAAGATCGCAGCCTTGCGCAGGTTTCACATCCCGTATCTTTGCCAGTACTCCTGTTTTCGATCACCCCGCATCGTGCTGGCATCCCCGCACTCCCCCCGCTCTCGGGATTTGCTCCCCTCATAGTCCTAATTGTTTTAACCAAGCAGTCGCAACACACTCTTATAAGACGTTTATCGCGCCAGGCATCAGAACGGCATGCGTCGTGGTCAATACTCCGGTTAAACTCGCCCAGGTCACCTTCGAGCTTCACGCTGTAGGAGAGCGAGAGAGTTGATGGAAACCCCAACACCATGGTCTCTGTTCTATACACCATCCAGTTCACGACAGCTCCAGGTCGCAACGTAGAGGCTCCTTGTAGCCGAACCGTTTTCTTGCCATTGAGCGTCAAGTACAGAGACAGTAAATCCTAACCACCTACGTACGAGCGAAGCGAAAATAAGGATCCACCGTCTCCACAGGCATATATCCAGCAGGGCCAGGTCACAACCAGGAAAGAATTGGAGTCAGTCATCCTTCGAGTGCGATAGAATCCCTTCACCAGCTGGCGCCAGCAACTTCACTTGGACACACGACATGTCTGAACTTCGAGTCTGTGATACGCCATTGGTTGAGCCAACTATGACTGAATATCAAGTGAATGCGGCGTTTGTTGAGCATGGTGGTGGCCTTCATTTGTGTGATGACTAGGCAGTTTTACAAGAAACACGATCGTCTGATCCAGCAAAAACTTTCTGGTATTCCATATCGTTCATTGAGTCAAGAGACACATTGCGGCCCAGATTGAAGGGCTTAGAAGCGTTGCAAAGACGGCCGTAACTCGCCCAGCAAGTGGTAAGGCTCCGATTCCACGTCACGGGATCAAACGTGTGGTTCGATAAGATCGTTTGGGGTCTCCCTCCCTTGACAATTAAGGACGGGTGCTTCTACGGTATTATTGCTGATGCTTTTCCTCCTCCTTTGGAAAGTGGTGGCTGTTGTGTGCGATGCTTTGCAATTGGTGTCGGAAGGACCCAGGTGACCGCCGAGACAAGATTGGATAGCCTGAAGGATCTCACCCCCGGCACCATGTCCAACCGCACCGTCGCCCGCGGTGCCATCCAGATGGACCGGCCCGTCAGCGCCGCGAAGCTGCGATCGCTCACAGTCGACAGCCCCGCGCAGCGTATGCTGGAGCTGCCCCGGCCGCGCGTCCTAGTTGGACGCCGCTTCTACAACGCTGACATCTACACTGGTAGGCAGTCCCCGATGGCGACGGCAGCAGCGGGCTAGGAAGTGGCGCGCTGAGCCGCCCTGCGCCATGGTGGGTGAGTGGTTATTACTCGGCATCCACGGGGACAAGGTGGCGGCACAGCACTCTGTGGTGGTTGATGACATGCACTCGACTGCGCCTTCGTACAGCCCGGTGTAGGCTCAGCCTGACCACTTCTGGCGACACCCCACGTCCGGCGTAGCCAACACAGAGTAAGGATCGAAAGTCGCGTGGAGACGACGCCGTAATTAGCAATGACGGCGTTGTTAGAAGCCTATCGGGACTGCTTATGGCTTTGGTTCCCTGCATTACTACTGGGGTTACTTTCAGCTGAAACACCCCTACAAAACGGAAAGCCGCAGCATTTTCGAGGCAGAAATGCGCCATTTTCCCAATTCTTGGGTGCATGCATATACGAACACATATATTGCAAGCCGGGGTAGACTCCAATAGCTGCTTAGATTACGGCGCCATGAGGAATCCTTTTGCGAATTGCGTAGGCAGAGTGCAACTATGACAGCCTTCTTTAAACTATTATTATGGCTTTTTCTTTTTCGTCCGCAATCTGATTGGAAGACATATAAATAGGGCTCGAGCAGAGTTTTCATTTCTCTATAATATTCTCTCCGACTGTTTTCTACCTTTCCGATCGATATGGACTCATACGTTCACACTCGACATCCTGAAGAGGGCCCTGCCATAGAGATGAATGCAATAGCGTATGATTCCCCCACAGCTGATTTGGATACCTCCCCGCTAGCCAGTCAGCCCGTAGCGCACCATGATTCCATATCCAACCACAGTGAAAACGAGAGACTTCTTGACAATGATACACTGTAAGAATCCAATTCGAATCTCCGCGTTTAAGCATCAATTCAGACTTCTAACGAAACAAGTCCTCGTTACGCTCAGACGAAGTTTCTCTCGAGGTACATTCCCGAGGCCGACCCGAACCACGAACGCGCCCAGACCTTTCGAGTAAAGATGGCGAAACGATCGATGATGTTGTACATCCAACAAGGTCTTGCGTACACAGTCGTCCTTGCGAATATTAGCTTCACGATATGGGCCTTTGCTGAGCACAGGCCTGTGCGAGGAATCGGGACTCTTATGACGGGAGACTGCACAGTTATTTCACGACTGAATGCTGGATTGCATCTGCTCCTGAATATTGTCTCATCACTCTTTCTAGGAGCCGGGAACTACTGCATGCAAATACTCGTGGCCCCATCTCGGGCAGAGATAGATGCGGCGCATCGGAAAAGTAATGCTCTCGACGTTGGGATTCCCAGCTTCCATAACTTCCGTGCGATTGCAAGAGCGCGCGCCTCGCTGTGGTTGGGGATTGGGATAACTGCAACAGCACTCCACCTCTTGTTAGTACTATCTATTCCTTGGGCACTGCATCAACTGACATTCGGAACAGTTGGAACTCCGCGATTTTCGCATCGATTCCTTTCACAGTGTTTCCTGTAGCTATCGTCACCGCCGACTTTCTCACCTCCGTGGATGATTGGAGTGTGACCCATCCGATTCCGGAGTCCTCGGATTACTTCGATCGGAGATGGTCCATATACGACCTGCATTTGGCAGGCCAGGGTTTCACGCATCTCAACAATACGCAATGCATACAACAATACCTAGATCCTCTTAACTCGACTGCCGACCTCATACTTGTTTCCAAGGATACGGCAGAACAAAACAATGGTTCGTCGCTCCTACACGGGTGGATTAGCGGTAGTGACTTCGTGCACTGGCAGTCAGCCACTAGATGGGTGTGCGTAGCCCACGAAGACTATAACTGGAACCACTACTGCTCGCAGGACGACATCTCGCAGTATGCAGATAGCTGGAAAGTTCCCTCATTTAATAAAACTTGGGCACCGATTGAGTACTGCTTGGCTGGGCCATCGGGTAACAATGCAGAAAGATGTGGGTTTCATTACAGTGCTGTCATCTTGGTCCTTGTCTGCGTTCTCACCCTTATCGAAAGTATCTTCATCACATGGACTGCGAAGAGACACGATTCGCCCACTATGGTCACGACCGGAGATGCAATAGCGGAATTTCTCAAACGGCCTGAACACGGAAACGACACTCTTCTCAGCTCAAGAACGATCCAGGAGACGAGAGCAGATACCGGAATGAATACGGCTGTGTGGAGGAGTCGGAACAATGACATCGCTCGATGGTTTCATGCCGTCGATGGTTCATCTTGGTTTGTTGCAATGTTTCTGTAACTACCCACTCATCCATCATCTATTGAAACAGGCTGACATATGATAACCCACCAGTTCTGCAGGCGCACTTCTTATCGGTGTGGTCTGTTTTATCCAAGCTGTGCTGTTCTTCAGATTTCAATCTCTATCCATATCGCTTCCATCACTGTGGCGCTACGGCTTCGGCAAGGTCAACCCCTTTGGCCTAGTGAGCGGCAAGCTAGCGCGCGCAGCGGGCACCGCAGGGCTCCTATCTCGCATATTGTTCGCAAACAGCTTCCAGCTGCTTGTATCTCTGTGCTACCTCTTCTTGAACCGCCTTCTTACCGCCCAAGTAGCAACTGCCGAGTTGTTCCGCTTTCTGAAGAAAAAGAAGCCCCTCCGCGTGTCTTCCCCAGAGGGCATGCAGCGATCCTCCTACATGCTCTCGCTACCGTGGCGCTTTGCCGCACCCGCTGTCGCCGCATTCATCTTGCTGCACTGGCTCGTCTCGGGAAGCGTCTTCGTCGTGCAAACGAGTGCCTATAGCTCCGGCCCCGATGGACAGAGGATCTACAAGTCCGACGCATCCCGTATCGGCTTCTCTCCGATTGGCATCCTGTTCGCAGTGTGCGTCGGAGTAGTAGTGTTAGTTGTTCTTATCAGCAACAGTTTCAGGACGTATGGGGACGTTCCCAAGAGCTTGGTTCTCTTTGCCACGAATAGCAGGGAAATTAGCACCTTTTGCACGCCTAGCAGCGAGGATACTGATGCATGGCTGTTTCCCGTAAGCTTTGGTATTGTGTCCGACAGTGAAGGAGAAAGGGTGACTTTTTCTAGTGACGTGTATTTATTACATCCGCTTGAGGGTAATAGGGAGGTTTAGCAACCGCCTTATCAATCTCGATCTCACGCGCGGACGCGATCCACTGCAGCGTATCCATTTGGAGATCTCGCGTGTGGACTTACGAAGAGGCTGCCCTCAATGGATACATTCGCTTTACTGTGGACAATTCATGTTTCTCATTCTGCACCGAGGGTGGACTTTGACTTTTCCGAGATTGACGCACGGATGTCTCTGGTCGAACGGCAACTTCTCCGTATCTGTTCGGAAAGGTACTGTGATCTCGTCTAGGACCATCTCGCAAGCTTCTGTATTGCGATTTGCGAGCAATCCTGCGAGATTTTTCGTGTGAATGATTACATCGGCCTTGACACCTCTCAAGTCTTCCAGGCTCTAGTAGAAGACAGAATGCCGATCCCCTTATCACTGCTTCACGCCATCCCACCAGAGATAATGTTCGCATCCAGACCTCATCTTGAGTAGAAAGGCTACCGATGCGCACCAAAGTCATTCTTGAGTCCGTTTGGACTTCAAAAATACCTTCAAGTCGTCATGCCCCGGGTTTACATCCCAGAGGGACCTCGGTCCAACGAAGGAATACCTGTTCCCAAACCTTCATCCACCTCCAACGTGTTGGCCTTTCTGTTTTTCTTCCGGGTGTCCAACTCAAACGCCATCCTCCCATGACTGACCCGCTGCTGTTCTCAATCGAGACATGGAGCCACGAGACATATTTGGTGGAAGTAGTGGACACCGGCTCTGAGATTCCTTGGACACTTTCAGAATCGAGCTGCAAGACAGAAAGCTTTGCGGTTCTTTTGACAGATCTTAGATATTGCAGCGTTGGGCTCCTGGTAAAGATCATAGGGGAGACCGCAGACGGTAAAGTCATGTGCCAATGGGGCAGCGTTGTGGAGATCACCAGCGATCAGGAAGCTGAAGGACCGTGGGAAGGCTTGGCTAAAAATATCTGCTTTCAAGGAGTTCACGTTCAATTTCAATGGTGGGTAGTTGACTGAACGCCTGATCAGTGCTGTCTGACCAGAGCCTCTGCAGGCCACAAGCACCCGGCGAACGCCATGTCGAAGCAGGTCGTCCTCTTGCTTCCAATCACACCACGTCCTTTTGCACGCTTGATAAAGAAAGATATTGCAAGATTTTTATGAGAGCCGCATGTACAGGTCAATATTTCCCAAAATTCGAGATTCAGCGGACAGATAGAAACTTATCAAGACGCGGTCATAGTCCTCATTTTAATGTGATAGAAGCTATTGCAAATGCTACAGTACTCAGAAGCTTGTTACCATCGGCGAGCACTGCCACACCGCACGTGGAAATATTAATCAATAATTTATAGAATTAACAACAGCCGTATAGCTTCATGACTCTTAACAGATGCCATCCAACCTACCTTCTCTCCACCTCATCACCAGTTCCATGACCAGCAGCATCCGTAGCGCCATCGCCTCCCACATCCATCTCGTGTACCGTCTGACCCTCTGCCTCTCTCATCTCTACCGGTGCCGGAAGCTCGTATGAGCTACCACCCACGCCCGCCCCGTCTAGCTCGGGCCGCCTCGCCTGGTGTTCGGCGCCCGCCGGCATTTCCAACATGGAAGCGTGCCGCCCGTCGTGGTTCGACTGCTGGTGCTGCTGCATCGAGGTGGGGCCCCAGGGGTCATACTGCTTGGCTTCTTGGTAGTGCGGTGGCGGCTCCTGGTACGTCGGCGCCTGGCTGGCCACGCTGGGCCGCTTCTTGAGCGCCTTGGCCAGCCGCCGCGGCCGCCAGCAGTAGAGGTAGAGGGCGCCGAGCACGAGGACGGCGCCGGCGATGGTTCCGATGGCGACGCCCGCCTCGGCGCCGCCGCTGAGAGAGCGAGCGGCGTGCTGGGCCGTCCAGTTGGTTGAGTGGATTGTGCGGATGTCGGGGACTGGGACGTGGTCGGACCAGTTTGCTTGTGCGAGGGAAAAGTTGTTCCGCTCGTAGTGGACGGTGAGGTACGCTTCCTGCAGCAGGGTGCGGCCGATGGTGTACTGCGTGTCGTTTTCTGCACGACGTACAGGGAAGTACCGTGTCTTGTTTGGGTATGCTGGGGGTTCTACGAAGAGGTCTAGTGCCGCGTAGGGCAGTTCGATTTGGATGCTGTGTTTGGGGTCGTTGTCTTTGCCGTTTCCCAGCCTGAATGTGAGCGTTGGGTTCTCGGCAAGTAGCTTGTTGTGCATCGTATCGTTGATGGTGTAATAGGTGCTGCGCTCATCGTAGATGAGACCGAAGGCCGCTGCGAAATTGTTGCAAACATCCTCGGGGAGCCAAAGCTCTGACACAGTGGAGTCGATGGACGACAAGTGACCGTTGCCGACCAACTCCTGCGAGCCGACTGCGGTGAGACTGAAATTCGTATCGATGGATTGAACGCCAACGATAAGGAATTGATCTTGGCTGTCTGCGAAGGAGAAGTTGTGTCCTGGGAGTTGGAAGCGGGATTGGTCATAGCCGCCGATGACGAGGCTTCCGTGAATCCCTCCTGAATGGCCGTCAAAAACTATCTGGGAGCTTGGATCTAAGAACTTACGATAATGGGCACCGGCTGTGTATCCATATGATAGACTTGGGATCTTGCCCGCGTCATTGAGAACCTCAATCAGGCCTGGAGGGTTATCGTGATCCAAAACGGACCGGGCGGCGCTCATGCCCAGCAAACCGATCCAGTAGCTCGTCCCATGGATGCCTACGACTAGGCTTTGTTCTATCTCCAACGCGTCTTTGTCTTCGCTGAACCCCAGCCGAATTGTGTCGTAGCCGTACTTTCCACGTTCATTGGCGAATCCGAGATTGTTTTCGAGATCGAGACTGAAAATACCGATCAAATTCCACGTGGAGGACCCGTCCGACTGAAATCCAGTGCTCGGTTGGCTGCGGAAGAGATCAACGCCACGTGAGGACGGACAAGCTTGAGCCTTGTCCTCACAACCACCGGGTAGAGGTACCCAGGCCGAAGCTCCACGTGTGGAGACCAGCACGCGAAAATTCTGGGCCTCATCAGATTCGCCAATTGATATGCGGAAGGTTGACCAGTTGCCGTCAATTCCATCCCATTGTTTTGTGGAAACGGCAATGTAAGGCGACGGGACAGGATTGACAGCCATGTGCCAAGACTGGGTCGAGTTTGGGATCTCAGGTAGCCTCCAGAGTCTGAGGCAGCCCCGGCGAGTTGTAAAGCGGACCGGAGATGATGGGCTTCGGAAGTGATGGATGGATGTAACGGAGGCAGAGTGTTGGCAGGAAGGCAGTAAGTGCCCCGGCACATATGCTTTGAAGATTTTTCTGACAGGTGAAATGATGGATCGCCTCTATCAGAACTGAAGGCATACAATCAGCTCAAGGCAGCCACTTCTCTTCTCGCACAGATACACAAGGCAGTCATAGCTGAGCACGGAAACACAAAAGGACTGCAGTACGAGGCGAACGCGGACCTAGAATTGGTGCAAAAAGCATTGACTCTGAGCCTCGTGATCAGCTGAATTACCCCCATCTGAGTTCCTCTGTTGTTTGACCATGGTTTATCCATCTCGCTGAATGCATCTGCGTCAGCACGAAAATCCCGAACATCCATGTGTGATGCGGCGTCGAAGTGTTTGGACTGCGCTTGTCTTGGGTGATCGAATAGGTCACCGTAAGTTTTGCTAGGTGGCTGGGTTCTGTTGCACCAGTTACCGCTGCAAGAGCTGGTAAAGCGGGGTAATCCAGCCGTGCTACGGCTACCATCAGCCACACAGGGAAGGTAACGCACAGGCAGAAACAAGACTCAGGCGGCTCACCGCTCGGCCATGGCCGGCTGTCGAAACCTCTTGCCTCGTTCATGAGCCTTGCATCCAGGGGCAATGAGACACGGGACTTGGCCGAATACCTCAAACTGCTTTCGCTCGCACTTGAGGATACCGACCTCGCTCAAATGGCTCACAAGGGCAGACTCTATTCACCCCACGTCAGGGCCCAGTCCCGAGAAGCTGCCATTGCCTTGTAGTTTCTCGAGTAATGGTTTGCTGTAATTTCGTCCCCGGCGTGGAGGCAACTGATACAGGCCTGGAGAGGGTTGGACAAGCAGCGAGGTGAGACGGTAGTACTATGAAACTTGCCAGCAAGAGTCGTACGAGCTTCCATTAGTATGTATTAGCTCACTCTTCTTTCTAGCCATTGTCTCCCAGGATCCTGTGGCTTATCCGGTCGGAAACAGAAGAAGAATTCATGACCTACCAAGACGGTTTTCAGGCCAGGAGTCCATACCCAAATCGAATGCGAGATAACGCAACTGTACGAATCCGTGCTCGTTCTTAGCTCGTAGCTGTTACTCAAATAAAAATACTGGTGTGGGACATGCGTGACGCCAGGTTGGTCCGCATTCGCAATCTCTTTCCATTTGCTCCAGGCTTTGCGAAATCGGCCATGGGAAATGGTACCTCGAGATCCCTACAAAGGTCTAAAGCCTTAAATCCTCCATCGCATCTCTTTTGAAATCTACAATGCTTCGACCCTTTTCCAGACAAGATGCTGCCATCCGCCATGAAGATCTTCATTCTCACGTTCCTATCTGCTTCTGTCCTTGCTCAAGTTCTTCTTTCCCCGGTACCCCAAGGGGCCGCACTTGCCACAAAAACCTCGCGCAGCACCGTCACCAGTGCACCGGCATGTACAGGATGCTTGCTTGAAGCGCTGCACCCAACTCCCCTCTCGTATCCGGGCACCGTCTATTGCGTCGACTTGTACTTTATTTCCACAGTTCCCTTATCCACTCGGTACACCACTGTCAGCCCAGATGGGTGTACTGGCTACGGTTACAGCCCATACACTCCGACTACGGGGCCAATCAGCACGATATCAATTACATGGAGTGCGAACGGTACTTTCCTGTAATGATTGACCTTCTTGGCATGAACACTTGCTGGCACTATCTAACCTATTCTAGGACCTGGCCAACCACTTATCTCGCGTACGGTACCTTCCAAGCAGGGACATTGAGCAATCAATTCGATGGTTCAGAGTGCACAGTCTATCTGACTACATTCTACCCGCAAACCCCAATCATCTATCCTGCGTCGGCTGTTCCCGGGAGCGTTGCTCCCGTTCCGCCGCAAGTTGTCGAGTCGCTTACTAATGATCCCTCCGTTTCCCTCCCATTCAACATTGCAACCTGCGCGTCCAGCAACACACAAACTGGCCTCTTGCATGAAGAGCTACCACCGGTGAGCCCATGCGCCACTGACAACCCGGTCCCACCATCATGCATCCAACTACCCCCGACAACCTACACCCTCTCAAACACTTTCACGCGGTCCGGCGGCTATCGGCGGGAACAGGAACGCACGCCACTTCCACCCCTTCACGGGCTCGCAATGCAGACGGGTCTCTTCAAGCTACTGCATTGTTTGAGCAGAGACACACAAAATTCACTGCTCTAGATTCTAGCGGTGACTGGAGGTCGGCCTCTCCCTCTTCCTCGAGTCAATCGACGCATGCGCCAATGACAACCCCGGCTTCCGTCACAATGAATAGCTCATCGACACGAAGAAGCAGTTTTTCGAAGGCGCTGTCCAGGAACAGTCCCTTCAGCAGTACCTTTGTATGTTCTTACACTCGAAGATCCATATCAAACCCCTAATGTCCTCTTTCTAGGATGCGTAATGACAATTGTTCACCAGCTGTGGTATTCCTCGGCGTTGCTAGTCGAACTATTGGTGAAACATGCTCGAGGAAACGGTTGGATTGAATGAATCAGTGCCTCAGTTTAGAAATTCAGTATAGCTGAGAGTCTCGATGCAGGTTCGCCGTAGACTTTATTTGACATTGATTTACTATGCGGTTCGTTCAGTAGATCCACCACTAGTTTTACAACGCTTTTTAGTCGTAACTTTCCTGTCGTGCTGCTACGCTGTGGTGATCTGGTGTAACCCGCAGCACAAATATGATTTCCATGTTATATCCATAGTTCGAGTTGATCGTGGAATACTTGTGAGAGTGCAAGGCCAGCAATATTGTCGCGATTGGGTTCATCAGTCTACTTCGTGATAAGCCTTCTTCACGTATTATGTCGTCAAATCTTACTTCAGTGCCAGACCAGGCAGTGTGAATTTCTAGTCAGGTCGCTCTTAGAAGTGGTAGAAGCTCCGTCAAGTCGCTGACATTCTGTTGGCTAAGATGACCGACTTGCTTTATAACCTCGCCACACCGCGTACCCTCCATGTTGTTCCCCAGAGATTGAATACCGGCACTATGATGTCTACGCCGCCTTTCAGGGCGACACGATCTCCCAGTCACCCCAAACTAACAACTGTGCTCACCACTGAGAAGACGGTCCAGATAGCCGTTAGAAGCGTCAGACTAGGGGGGCAGAACCTAAGTCCCATTAGCTGCATGACCAGATCCTATGCTTGAATACGTACTGTTCTGAACCGAAACCAAGAAAACCGCTCCAAAAGACCCACTGTGCAAGCCAGAGAAGGAGCGCGCTCATGGCCAAGAGCGCATATAGTTCGGCCAGTCTTTTTGGAAAATCCAAGATATGCTGACCTTGAACGTGGAGAGTGCCATACATGGTCGCGCGATCTCCTTCCCTCCTATTACTCTTGTGCATCCAATAATTTTCCAAACCCTTTCCGAGCCATACGCAATCTCCATCGTCACTAGTCATCCGACAAGTAGCCAGAATTGACAAAGCCAGCGCCACAGCAGTAACAACAAGCCATAATAGTGCTCCAGCATACATGAATCCTGCCGATTGACTTCCTTTCGCGCCTTCTAGACCCCCGAGATAGAAGTTGTGTTGGCGGCCATAGTTGACGGTGATCAACATGTAATATGCTGATAAAGCCTGGAGAATAATTTCCGCAAACAGAGAAGACTTGGCTGCAAAGAAATTGATGGCGTGGAAGGGTTGTAGTCCAATGAGCAAGAATATCAGCCAAGCGGGCCGAGGCATTGAGCACCAGAAAAACACTAATTGGGTAACGGGAGTATCTTCATAACCAGGGGTTCTCTGAATCAGAACGGCGTTGACCCAGTTCGCCAGCAGGTGGAGAGCGGCGATCGATATCCCCGTAGAGAGCCAAGACGAATGGTATGGAAGCCGCCGAAGCCGTGGAAAGCGCGCGCTAGATGGATGGATTCCTGCTTCTCGATAGTATAATGCGGCCAAAAGCGTAGCTACATTGACGAAGACAAAGCTTCGGAGAGTCCATTGGTCTGAGGTACGTTTTCCTCGATCATTGGACGATCTGATACTCCATTTCCATGGAATCATGTCCAAGGTGGTGGGAGCGGCCAACTGGCGCCAATCATCTGGGAGACCATGCCAGTCTTGGACTTGGCCGCAAAGGTTGTGGAGCCACTTTACATAGGCTATTCGGGTCTCGAAAGTGTGGCATGCACTTCCGCAGGTTGCGAAGTCAATGCTACGGCAGGTGCAAGTCCTGTCCACCGTGCGCTTCACTTTGCAATAGCCACTAGAGTCGAGCCCACAAGCATCGGTTGCGCAATGATGAACGAGCCCAGCCACCTGGCTTGGTAGATCCATGACACGTGGTGGCCAATGCCAGTCTTCGATAGGGATATACCTGAATCCCGTGACTTTGAGCGAATTCGTCCAATTGCTGGGTGGGGACGTCGGGCCACAGGTGACATGTATCCATAGCTGCTCCTGCGTCCATTCCAGGTGCCCTGGTGCCCCACAGGGTTCCTTCTCGGTGTCTACCGAGAAAGCATGGCAGAAGCAATCTTTGTCGAAATAATCGCCATATTCGATGCTGCCCCGGGTGAGATCGTAGCCGGCGGTTTCAAAATCCAGGGCGACCATGGACTTCAGGCCTTCACGATATTCCCAAGGTCGGTCGGCCCTTCCGGTATGCTGGGTGGTGCTTGTGAAACCACAGGAGGCCATTACGTGTTGGAACGGTTCCATCGATGGAGCCGACACGGAGCCTGTTAAGCATTTTGGTGCGTGGAGTGCCACGTCGACTGCCGCATATCCCTCAGACAGGGAGGCCGGGGAGAGGTCTTGCAGCTCATTCGCATCGCCGACATCCACGAGCCAGGTTCGACCGGTCATGGTGTGGATCCACTGATACAACTGTGCTTTGGCGAGAACTGATCTGCTGCAGTACGGAAGATAAGTTTTGACAATGTCGGGAGAAAAACCAGTGCTGAGACAGCTGGCCTGAGTCAGCCACTGGTGGTGGGTGCAGATGAGTCCGAAATGACGGGTGCATCGTTTGCGGGTACAGTCGGTCATGGCACTCAACCAGAGGGATGGATCCTGCTGAGCGATGCACTGTGGCATAGGTATAAAGTCTTCAGGATTAACCCAGCCGTTCCGATTGTCTTGGGGGGTCAGGACACGGTCATCACTGTTGGAATCAACATCAGTGCCACGAAGCACTTCTGCAGTCGTGTTGGTCTGTTAGCGTCAGAGACGATAAAGCTACTCGGTGGGAATCACCTTTCGCAGCCACGCCACAAGCCACAGCTGTCAACAATGCAAGAAGTATACTACGTGTTCTCATCATGCCGATGGTGCGAGGAGTCCGAGAGTCGTGCGCTTTAATATGAGTTGAAAGAAAGTGCGTTGGATTCTTAGATGGAGTGAGCCTTCTCCTGTGTGATGTTGCCTTGAGTGTGGTGGTTCTTGTTGGGGGCGGTGATGGTTTGAGGTGCGGTCGAAGTGCGGGGTATGTCACAGCCAGACCCGACAGGCGGGAACCGGGGCCACGTCTGGGTGGGGGCCGGAAATCGCTGCAGCCGCAGAGCTGAGGTTGATTTATAAGCGCCAGAAAGCCCCGCATACCCAGCGAAAAGCGGAAGGGAGATAGTCGGATCTCAGTGTTGCGCAGTGAATTGATAAAGCAAGAGGCTCACTTAAGCCCGCTCATCGGATGGTCAATGAGAATGGCTTGGCCGGTGAAGCGCCCGCTGCATCGACGCTGTCCTCTTTTCCATCTCGCCAAGTCGCTGGGCTCTTTTCGACAAAGCGATGTCACGGTGTTGAGCAAGGCTCTGGCCATCAAAAGGGCACTTAATAATCTGCTCAGTCTCCCATATTCTATTTTTGGTGATACGGACAAAGTCCGGCGGACCATGATGCCAATCCTACTGGCGACATGGATGTCATGGCCAATAAGAGACGCAGTCATCCACGCAGGATGTATACCTGCAGTGCTTCCCTTCCAAGCAGGGTAGCAGCGCTAACCGGAATGATGGGTTACAAATCTGCTCTACTGATTCACGAAAAGTTTAAATATTCTCACCGCCACAGGATAGCACGCACACCCTTCATCTAATCTCATCCCCACGGTCCTCCAACTCAAGCTTGCACCAGATCGCATTCGAAAGGAGAAAGTGAATGAAAGAAAGAACACCATGAGCGGAAGCCACTTCACCCACAATGGCACCTCCCTCTTCTACACCCTCTCCAACCCCAGCCCCAGCAACAAGAACGCCTCGGCCGCCGTCGCCCCTCCCACGATCCTGCTCCTCCACGGCTGGACCTGCGATAGCCTCGATTGGTCCTTCCAGCTCCCCTCCCTCTTAGCCCTCGGCTTTCGCGTCCTCACGCTCGACTTCCGCGGCCACGGCCGCTCCGACCCCACCTCCGCCCCGGCCAATACCAACAGCACCCTCTACTCGCCCTCGGCTCTCGCCGCCGACGCCGCCGCCCTGCTGACCCACCTCGACATCACCACCCCCGTCATCGTCACCGGCCACTCCCTCGGCGCCCTCGTCGCAGCCATCGTGGCGGTCGAGCACGGGCCGTCGCGTGTCTGCGGCCTGATCCTCGTGGATGCGGCCTACTACCTCGACGCGAGTGCAGTGGTGGGCTTGCTCGCGGCTATGAGAGAGAAGGATGCGGATCGCGCGGCCGAAACCGTCGCGCAGATGATGCAGACGGGGGGCTTGTACAACGAACGCACCCCCGAGTGGCTGAAGACCTGGCACCAGCTGCGGATGTGGGGGTTGAGGCCCGACGTGGTGGCGACGGTGGCGGAGGAGCTGTATGGGCGTGAGGACAGCGCCGGGCTGTGGGAGAATGCGCACGGGTATTTGAGGAAGGGGTTGGGGGCGGAGCGGGAGGATGGGGTTCCCAGGCTGGCGGTAGTGTCGGATGATTGGAAGGTCGACGTGGAGGGGAAGATTGGGCTGCATTTGGCGCGGGGGGATAAGGTTGAGGTTATGAAGGAGGGCCATTGGTTGCATCAGCAGGATGCGGAGCGGTTCAATGAGATTGTCAAGGGCTGGTTGGAGGAGAGGGGGTTCTTGCCTTGATCCCAGAGCCTATCAAAGGCCGGCGCTCATGCTCCTACCTCTTGAGCCCTGTGGCATGAGTGATTTGGTATGTAGAAACATATATCCTAATTAATCAGTCGCAAAATGAGGTGCGATGCGGCCCCTTCGCTATCGACATGTCTGTTCCTATCGCTCTGCACTGTCAAGCACACGCACTTAACCTATGCGTCGGCATCAACTGTTATCACCAACATCCTTGCGCCAAGAGACTCCCTCAGGCCCTATCGTAGCATCGACACTACCGCCTACTGTCGGTATGAATCTGGGGTGACTGTGGTCGACGTTCCCGTGAATCGACGCGACCGTAGAGCAAAAGGAAGCTGGTAGCGCATGTGCCTGTTGTGGAAGCCTTTCAACGATCTCTTGGCGTTCTGCATGGAAGCGATCGGACATGTTGTCTGTTTGGGCTGGGAGACTCGGGTTGCCGTGCAATACGAGGCATCTTGTGCGAATGAGGCAGGCAGTAAGAACAGCCGGTCCACAGCCAAGCACTCGATCATGCTGCCAACCTCCGTATCCCATCACCTATATAAGACAAGTGTCCAATGCTGCTTTCTGGCGTTCGAGATTGTCTTTCCCTCACTCCCATGATTATGCTTACGAAAAACACCTTTCAGATCGGTGTGATGGCCGTCCTGGCGACCGCAGTGATTGCTCAACCGCGATGCACGGCGCCAGATCCCCCAAAAGAGCTGTTGGAGCATGCAGCGGAGATGAAAATGCAAGAAAACTCAATAAAAAATGCTGGACTGCTGCGCTCTCAGTCTCCCATCACAGTCGATGCATGGTTCCACATTGTTGCCGCTTCTGATGCCGTGGAAGATGGAAATATAACCGTAGGTCATCACTGCCCGTCTTGAATTCCGCGGTTCTAAGTCTGTTGAAGGATGAGATGGTTGAAAACCAGCTGGGTGTCCTTAATTCCAACTTCGCTCCCCATGACATTGGCTTCAATCTCTTGGGCACCACGAGGACCATCAACAGCACATGGTCAGACAACACCGATGTGCTCGACATGAAAACGAATCTTCGCAAGGGTGGATACGCCACTCTCAACTTGTACTTCACGAGGGTGAGTTTCCAGCGTCGGAGATGCAGAGCACGAGACTAATGGCTCAACAGACGCTTCCGGGGAACTCATCGGGGTAAGTGGCTGAACCATCTTTCGAATCAACTGCTCAATCCTTGATAGCTACTGCACCTTCCCAGGAACCGTTGACAATGGCACTGTAGACTTCTTCAACGATGGCTGCGTCCTCGACGCCCAGACGGTACCCGGAGGTTCCAAGGTGCCGTACAATGAAGGCAAAACTGCAACCCACGAGGTAAGGCGAAGACGATTCAATCCTTCACTCCTGGCTTAATGATAACTGACCGGACTTTGGCAGGTCGGACACTGGTTTGGTGAGTCTTGGGTCACAGCAGCGTCGGATGAGTAGCTGATGAATGAATCTCTCACAGGTCTTTATCATACCTTCCAAGGCGGCTGCAATGGCGGAGACGGAATCGATGACACTCCATCTCAGGACAGCCGAAGCGAAGGCTGTCCCGTTGGTCGGGATTCGTGCCCTGACATGCCCGGACTAGACCCCATTCACAACTACATGGACTACTCTGACGAGTGAGTTGCCGATTCTCCGGTCTGACCGCATTTGTCTAAAGTTTGCACCAGTTCATGCTACGAAGAATTCACTCCCGACCAAGATGCTCGGATGCGGTCCAACTGGGACTGGTACCGAGCCGCTTCGCAAGCCGGGCGGAAGTAGCGAGATGCGCTGACGCTCTACGTCTTGGCTTGTGGACGAGTAAATGGCAGCTCGTTATGACATGGCTTTCAGCACAAGCACCGCCCATGGAGGCGTATTACCACATCAAAGGCTGGAGTTAAATCAAAAAGATTCGTGTATTATTCGTCTACGGAAACATGACAAGAAAAATTCGTAAAAGCTGGAGGGTGGGATTGCTCATCGCCACCGCTTCAAGCACCGAGCTTCTCGAGGGTGACGGCGAAGTAGACCTGCTCGGGAACCTGGCAGACAAGGTCGTCGGCTGAAGAGCCCCCGGCGCGGCAGATGGGCTCGTCAAGGAACGCGCTGCCACCAATGGTGTTGCTACAAGAGCGGTCAGTGAAAAGGCGTCAACGATAGGGACTGCAAAGACTCACTTCTCGGCAATATCCTGCCACAGGAAGAGCTCATTGGTCTCGTCTATGTCGTTGCCGTCGGTGTAGCTGAAGCTGAAGAAGCTGTTCTCGCCGCAGAAGTAGACCTTGCCGCTCTCGAAGTTCTCGGTCGCACCCTTGGTCACGGGGTCGTACGGCACGCACTCGAAGTCGAGCGTGCCGCCGTTGGTCGCGAGGATCCGGAACGACAAGGTGCTGATGGTCTTGCCGTCGTATTTGCGGGTGGTGAAGTCCTTGATCTGGTACGTCGTCGTCTCCTTGTCGGTGGCAGCAGTGGGTGCGGCCAGGGCGGTGGCGCTAAGGAGAGCGGCGGCGGCGGCGGTGAAGAACTTCATGTTTGTGATTTTGGAGGTCGAGGGAGTGGGTTGAGGGCTGGTTGATGGGATTGTGATGTGCTGGATGATGGATACCACAGTGGGCGTCAGGTGAGTCTTTATGTACGCTCCAGATGGTAAAATCTGTACGAGTGGCGTCTGGTGCGGAGAATATCGGCAGACGTCACGGTCGGAGGTGTGGTGTCGTATTTTGCAAGTGCCGTGGCCAGTCGTGGCAGCGTTACTTCGTCCAGGGCTAGCGTAAGGCTTTTATTGGGCTGTACGTAGCCGCACTTATTATTAGATCAGCTAGTGCTCGTAAGTGCGGGGACTACTGCCCGACTTATACGGATGGTCCGCAGTTGGGATGATACCTACGTCATACCTACGCCTTCGTGGTCTTGGCTTTCCATACTTTGCCAACATGCCCCCTCTTATCTCTGTAAGGTAAACCCTTACGGTTTGACCGACCGACTCAGCGACTCTAAAGCTTAGTGGAAGTAGTTTAGATCACGATCCGCCCCATGAGTCACGTGACGTTACATGACTGGTCTACAGGTAGATGGTCCTCGATTCAACCTTCCAACTTTCTTTCTCTGGAACCGTAACACCTCCCGTTACATTCCATTACCGCTATAAAGCTTTCCTCAAAGTACTCTTAAACGGGAAGATTTGAACCTTATCCCAGTCCCAAATTCGATTCTCGGTGTAGATATCCTTCTTCAGCTCCTTGAGCACCTCTTCCTTGGAAGATCCCAGCGCCACTAAGACGGAGCCGAGCATCTTCATTGGCTCGTTTTTCTTCGGTGGCTCTTGGAGGAACGGTCCGCCGAAGAGCCAAAAGTCTGTCGGGTACTTTGACAAATTGGAGAGATGTTGACTGCGTACGTTCAGACATTAGACATTTATACTACCGGAGATTGTTCGTATACTTACGGCCTCAGCTCTACCCTACGTTGAGATGCACCCTCCTGGTCTGGCAGAATTACAAGCCACTCGCATTTCTGATCGCCATGCGTAGCCATCGACCGCTGAGAAGGGATTGCATGAATGCGTCTGATAGTACCCGCATTGGCCTTGGGGTACGTCTTGCGCGTGGAAGACAACAGTCGACGTAGAGACATGTTCGCAGCGACAAACAATAATTTTCGGAGGGAGTGTGCCCGATAATAACATGGAGAGCTTATGAAGTTCGTCCACACCAAGCATATAAAGCAGAGAGGTGGGATACCTCGTGTGTTTGAAAGCTAGAGACCCGGAATGCCCGGATGATGCACAGGAAGACGTGTGGAGCAAAACGCCTATCGTTTTCGCCGGGCTACTACCAAGTATGGACGCTTCGGCCGTAGGCACAGAGACAGACACTATGGTCGAGAGCACCATGGTCATCGGTATCCTTCTCCTAATAGTCAAGCCTGAGGCGTGCGCTCGGATCAAATCCTTGCAAGTCAACCTTTAGATTTCCGAACCAGGTTCTCCGGATTGATCAAGCCTGGGGCGTGCACTCGGATCGAATCCTTGCGGGCCAAGCTTTCGATTTCCGAGCCAGGTTCTTCGGATTGCGTGCACTCGGAGCGAACCCTTGCAGGTCAAGCTTTCGATTTCCGAGCCAGGTTCTCGGGATTTACACTTGGTCCTTGTCGTAACCCGTCGGCTGCTAGAAGCTTAAGCGAACTTCGACACAAGCCAGCAAATCCGGCGGAGTTACCTCCCGATAGTCAAGCCCGGGACGTGTACTCGGATCAAAGCCGTGGACCTCCACGAGCAACTCGGTATGGTAAGACAATGATTAGTGTCAGAGAACTCCCTGGCACGGAAGCCAATTGAATGAGGCGGAGTCAATGTTGGGGGGCAGTCTGCAAGCAATATCCGACGATCAACTCAATTTTTCATGACCTAACTCGATGTCTTTGTTTACGACATGGAACGATGGAGACCCCATGGAGACTCTTTGTAACACAAGCTTCCAGGACATTTGCGAGCCGGGAAGACCTAAGAATGGCCTTGAATGGGCTGCGGTCGGTAAGATTCTTCCAGATACTTCTCTTCATCAACCGAGAGCGCGAGACCTCGAGCGTCCAACCACGCCAAGGCCACATGGCTCATTGGTAACCCGCGAGAAGTGGCGAGGTGGTGGACTCTACTGACGATTTCCTTGGACACTTCAGGATTGTGGTCCCTGTAAATCTGCCCATTTACGGCGCGGAAGGTGTTTGGCTGCTGGCCTGGAGGCCTGGCAAGTCTGCCCGATGCCAGCGGGCTCCACTTGAATGAGCGTGAGCATGACGGCGGCAGCTGGATCGGAGCTGTGCAAACCTACTGGGATGAGCCCGATGCCTGCGTAGTTGCAGTACTTGATCATCTCGCGCTCTTCCTCGCGATACAGGAGGTTGTAGTGGTTCTGCATCGAAACGAGCTTGGTCCAGCCGTGCTTCTCTGCCGTGTGCTGAAGAATGGCGAGCTCGTGCGCCCACATGGAGCTTGCCCCCAGGTACCGCACCACGTTCGCCTGGACAAGGTCGTGGAGAGCCTTCATGGTTTCCTCTGGTGGCGTGTTCGGGTCAAAACGGTGGATTTGCAGCACGTCGATGTAGCCTGTGTCGAGGCGCTTCAGCGACGCTTCCACCTGTTGGAAAATTGCTGTTCGGGAAAGCCCTTTGCGGGAGATCAGTACCCGAGGTAGAAACATATCAAGACAATGCTCACCGCAGTGATTGACATAGTCTTTGCTTTGTCGCGCAAGATCCAAGCTAAAGGCGGTACAGGACCCGACGTCGTCGATCTCGGGGTCGGTGACTGGACGGAAGCACTTTGTCATGATGATAATCTTGCTGCGCGGGATATTGTGAACCTTCAGCGTCTTGCCCATGATTCGTTCCGACTCTCCATTGGAGTAGATGTTTGCCGTGTCCCACTGTTGGAAAAGTCAGCCACGTGACCGTGTAGGCGAAGTTGAACCTGCCGTGTTGATGCCTCTGTCGTAGGCCGACTTGAGAAGTGCAATGCCCTGTTCCTCGTCCATTACCCACTCATACCACTTGGAGCTGCCGATGTGCATGCCCCCCATGATCGGATTGGATACGACGAGGCCGCTTTTACCCAGCCGTCTGTACTCGGCGCGCGATGCCCTAACGGACTTCACAATGGAGACGGGGGTCTCGGCCCATTTCCTGTAATTCAACATCCTGGCAATGCAGTTGAGTTGGGGCAGTCCTTCGGTCGTGGTTGAGGAGACGATGCGGGGGGGTTTCGTGGTATGAGGTAAGCAGAGCTAATTTTAGAAAGTTTAATGACACAGCTGTCCATACTGCAATTGGCCGAGCCACCGTGGTATTTGTAGAATTGGTGTCGTTGTGCAAGAGAGCCATTTTCTGGCAGGAACCGATGAGGGTTGTGCAGCGAAAGGGTCCGTTCACAGTCTGGTGCCCGACGACGTGTCCGGCTTCCTCCCGGAACGCAGCAGGTATCTTGGCCTTCCGGAGACGCCGGAATCTGAAACACCAATCCAAAAGAAGGCAAGTGAAAGGTCAAGTCTTTCCGCACCAAAACCGACATGCTTCAAAAAGGCAACCGAGCAGACCAGCCACAGAATCTACAAACAACCACAGACCATCATTGCCGTCTTATTCATCCCATCTCACGATGCAGGCCGCAGCTCTGTACAGCGAAACGGAAATTTCTGCAAGCGGCAATGGGCCGAAGCGGCACTCCTTCAACAATGCACCAGCCAAACGTCCCTTTCTCGAGGCCGGCCAGGACATGGCGCCTAAGGAATTCTGGCAGAAATACCTCTTGGGGTGTGAAGAGACGGTCTTCCCACAGATTCCTACCACGGTCAAAAGTGTGCAACGCAGTGAGGAGGTGACATACCGTGCCTCACTGAACACCAGCCCTACGGACACTGTCAGCCTCATCCAAACCGCATGGGCACTGCTTCTCGGCCAGTACACCGAATCACAGGACGTTGTGATTGCAACCGGAACGGACCTTCCAGGCCGTCCCATCGAGGATCCTCTGATCGTGCCGCTTCGGTTCAAGATACGCAAGGAGGCTGCCGTGAGAGAGCTCTCCCAACAGGCTGAGAAATTCACTTGCGACTTGACAGCGTCGCAAGAATTGGTGGATTTCTGTACGTGTCGGTTGACGGATCCATTTTCCAACAGTCTTCTGCTCATCCAGAGCGCTGGACAAGCCAATGGAGCTCCATCCCGTCCGATAATTCCAAGCAACTGCGCCTTGCTCCTTCACTGCGCGGTTGTCGGCGATGAAGTCCACATGTCGGGAATGTATGATCCGCATGTCGTGCATCGAGAACAGACGCAGAGAATCTTGAACCAGCTGGCCCACATTCTGCACCAGCTTACGGACCCCGGCATGCGGGCGGGCGACGTTGACTTCTTGAGCCCCCAGGACCGGGACGACATTGCCCGCTGGAACTCGGGTGGCGGGCCACCAGACACTTGCATCCACACGCTGATCGACCACCACGTCCAGACCCGCCCAGACGCGCCCGCCGTGTGCGCCCACGACGGCGACTTCACGTTCGCCGAGCTGGACGCCCACGCCACGAAGCTCGCCCACCACCTCGTCGCCCTCGGCATCCGCCCAGGCGCCGTCGTCCCCACGCTCTTTGAGAAGTCCAAATGGACCCAAGTCGCGCTCCTCGCCATCCTCAAAGCCGGCGCCGCCTTCGCCATGCTCGACCCCGCCCACCCCCCCTCGCGCAACCGGCAAATCGCCACCACCGTCTCCGCCCGCCTCGCCCTCACCTCCGCCCTCCACGCCACAACCCTCGGCCCCGCCGTCCCCACCACCGTCGCCCTCACCGCCTCCCTCCTCGCCCACCTCCCTTGCCCCCAGACCCCCATCCCACCCCCCGCCCCCTCCTCCCCCGCCTCCATCCTCTTCACCTCGGGCAGCACCGGCCGCCCCAAAGGCGCCATCCTCCCGCACGCCGCCCTCGCCGCCACCGGGCTCTCCCTCGCGCGCACCACGCGCCTCGGCCCCTCCACCCGCGTGCTCCAGTCCGCCAGCTACGCCTTCGGCGCCGCCATCGTCGAGACGGTGCTCGCCCTCGCCGCGGGGGCCACCACGTGCGTGCCGTCCGACGCGGCGCGCGCCACCGACGTCGCCGCCTACGCGCGCGCCGCCCGCGTCGACTGGGCGTTCATGGTGCCGAGCGCGGCGCGGCGCGTCGTCGCGCCCGCCGACGTGCCGGAGCTGCGGGTGCTGGTGACGGGGGGCGAGGTGGTGGCGCGCGAGGTGGTGGCGCGCTGGGGCGGTGCCGTGGAGCTGTTTGGTGTGTATGGGTCGGCCGAGCAGAGCTGCATCACGGCGATCGGGGGGCCGTTGGGGCGGGGAGGCGGGGAGGGGGTGGGGTTGGGGATGCTGAAGGGGTGCTGGGCATGGATTGTGGGGGAGGAGGGGGGGCTGGTGCCGGTGGGAGCGGTGGGGGAGTTGGTGGTGGAGGGGAAGGTGGTGGCAGAGGGGTATTTGGGGGAGGTGGAGAAGACTAAGGAGGCGTTTCCGGCGGGGTTTGCGTGGAGGGGTGGGTTCAAGAAGCATCCGGATGGGAGGGTGCGGCTTTATAGGACGGGTGATCTGGTGAGGTATGGTCCGGGTGGGACGATAGAGTTTGTGGGGAGGAGGGACGGCTATGTCAAGTTGAGGGGGCAGAGGGTCGAGCTGGGCGAGATTGAGTTTCAGCTCAAGAGGATTGTAGAGACACCGCTGGACCTGTGCGTGGAGGTGGTTGTGCCGAAAGGCGCGAGCATGGACAAGGCGGCGTTGGTGGCATTTGTTAGTCTCGGGGATGGGTATGAGGGTGAGGACGATGGCGTTCAGGTTCCGAAGCTGTGCAACAGGAAGCGCTTGGCCACACTGCTTAGGGACGTGGAATAGAAGATGGCAGACGCATTGCCCTCTTACATGGTCCCTCACTTCTTCTATCCTCTCCGTCGTCTACCACTAACTGTATTAGAAAAGATTCAGAGGAAATCCCTGCGGTAGATGGGTGCTCGACTCTCGGCCGAGCAGCTGGTACACCTGTCCTTACATCGACCAACCCGACAAGAACCGAGCTCGGACATGGAAAAGTATCTATAGGCTGTCTGGGCCAAGCTACTTAGTGTCTCTGCGTCTATAATCTGTACTAAAGACTCGTTCTTCGGTGTTAGGGGGGACTCGCTAAAGGCCATCAAGCTATTCCAGCGGCTACGCCGTAACGGCTTCGATTTAGATATCCCTGGCATCCTCGCGGCGCCGGTACTTTTACGGATGGCACTGGAGATTAAACGGATAGAGGAGTGAAGACGCTTATTGGTCTGGCGTTTTTCGACTATATACTCATGTATCTCATCTATCGTATAGTAACTAGAACATATACAAACTCCTTTTCTCCCAATATGCTATATCCGCTTCAAGGTTGCCTCGACCATAAGTGGTTTCTTTCCCCAAAGATGGTAGCAGTAGCAGCCCTAATCCATCCAGTCACTCAGACTCGCCGCAGGTACCATATTATAGTTCCAAGCAGCCGGACCACGATGACTCGGACATTGTAATACGCTAAAGTCTTACCGATACAATTACGTGGTCCGTAGGAGAACGGTTTTACAACCTCCCTCTTATCATCCTTATAAACACTACTCCCCAACCATCTTTCCGAGACAAACGCCTCGGGGTCCCGGAAGTTGGCCGGAGCATAACACGCTACCCGAGTACTGAATACCGCAATTATAAACAGGGATGCGTTAGTATGCTTATCTTCCGGCTCCAATATAGCATCGCTCTCTCCCGTAGCAAGAGAGTCCCCAGACGTCGCTCTACCCCGTCCAGCCCCACATTACCGTGCACTAGCCGCCCGATACGCTTACCGGTCCCCCGCTGTTGCCGGCGCAGCGCGCGCTCCAAGAACGCGGGCGGGAACGGGCGGCGCACGGCGGCCGTTAGGGGTTCCGGCGTTCCGATACATAGATGCCCGTATTCGGGTTTGGTCCGATTAGCGTCAACGCTCCGACGTTCAAGGCCCTCCGCCCGTTATCCACGCCAAGCCGCTTAGAGGAAATACGATAGCGGATCCAATCGAGACTTACGGAGCATTAATAAAGCTCGAAAAGGGTATATACGCTAGTATTAGGTAGAGTCGGAATACAACCCTAGAACGACGTAATAGAGCGACGTCGGTGGAAGACGTCGGCGTAGGAAGAAAGCCAATACAGGCAAAATACGAAGACACCCGGAACGTACTACTATTAATAGCTCAAATCTATATAGAGGGCTGGTTAAGCTCTACAACTACATCGAAATATATTTCCGGCACGTCTACGGTGTCCAAGCAAACTGCCTAGGAACGCATTTCTAAAGCGTTCGTAATCTAATATCAGTCTATAGATTCCAAATAAAGTCAACTAGTGCTATTAGTCTAGGAGGACTTATCTTCTAAAACTAGGACTTGAATCTCTTATTAGCTGTGCGGAATGGCTCCTGCCAACGCCTTAATAGCCCAGGGATTATTAATGCTTCAATGTAGTGGGAATTAAGCGTTAATGTTCCTCTCATTCTACGAATAGCCACTTGGAAAAATATGCAACTACTACTCCACTGTATACTTATCGGGAGCAGGGCATTGTATCTACTCAGTCCAGCCCTATAAATCGTCAATCGTGCCTTCCTGTATACCCCGCAAAACGCTAAGGAGACGAGAATACGCCGATTCTAGTAACTGGTAGTCTGCAGTAAACTTAATAGTCTCTAAGACTGACTTTCGAGTAATTAAACGAACAGGCGTTATAATAAATGCTGTTCCAACGGCAAAGGCCTCGGAAAGGCCAGCCAGCTCCGAATAGAGCACCTGTCGTCATGTCAGCAACATGGTCCTGCCGCACCACACGCACTTACCGCCCGCCTCTCCACCTGCCACCCAAACGACTCGGCAATCCGGCACACGCTATCCACGGTGATGCTCTTCAAAATCGCCGCACCCGTCGGCACCACCAGCGTCACCCCGCCGCCACCCTCTCTCCGCACCCCCACAAACCCACTCGCCGAGAACTCATCGACAACAGTCCTCGTGGCGCTGTCCAAGAACAGCGTAAGCCCGAACCCTTCCGCCTTCGCATCCCGCATCACCGCCACCGCCGCCCCGTAGTTGCCCCCGACCTTGGCGCCGCCCGTACCCCTCGGCGCCGCGCGATCCATCTTCTCGACCACCAGCGCGCGCAGCCCGCTCCCCGCCTTGCCCGCCGGCAGCGGCGCGACCGGCAGCACGAAGACGCAGAAGACGGCGCTGCTCGGCGGCGCCATGTCGACGGCCGCGCCGGCCGCGAACGCCAGCGGGCGCACATACAGCGCGGCGCCGTTGCCCCGCGGCGGGACGAAGGCGCTGTTGAGCGCGACGGCGAGGCGCACCGCGCGCAGGAAGAGCGGCGGCGAAGCGCGCGGCGTGGGCGCCCGGCCGGAAGAGCTGGACGGCGCCGGCGGGCGTGCGGAAGGCCTTGAGGCCCTCGAAGGCCTGGACGCCGTAGTTGAGGGCGGGGGAGAGGCCGTGGATGCGGAGGTGCGGGTCGCGGACGAAGGTCGGGGTGGTCCATTGGGAGGTTGCGGCCGAGTAGGTGCTTTGGATGTGGCCGTTGACTGGAGGGCGGGGTTAGTGGGTGGGCAGGTGGGAGGAGGAGGGGGAGGGCAAACCTTCGATCGGGTCGAAGGCGAGGTCTGTCCAGTCTGCGGGCGCGTTAGGAATGGCTGTGATGGTGCTGCGTTGCGCTTCTTACCGACGGCACTCGATGGCGGGAGAGGAAAGTTGTGGGATCCCATGGTGCTGTGTGATAGCCAATGACCGTGAGTGGGCAGTGGGTTGCTGCAGACTTCCAGCGTACTTGACCTGCCGTGACCATGCAGATGGCCCGAGCCGGCAATGGCTCGGAACATGGTGATGCTGGTGTTGGTTTAGCCGCTGGCTAGATGCTCAACCTTCAGCCGGCTGTCGTATCCGGGTACCCGGGAATCAGGATCCATGTTCGGACTCTGTTGCAGGGCCGAAGCCAACGATGCCCTTGTTCCAACAGCTTTACGGGGCCGAACCGGGTTCCTGTAATCTTTCCGAAAAAAATACATAAGCCCGACGTACCGATATCGATGCTCGGCCACTTCACACCGTGGCCATCAACCACACCCGACGCCTCCTTGAGCCCACCTCGCTTCCGAGATCCGAAATTCACAATGGCCGAGAAGCACACTATTGTCGTCTTCGGAGGAGACTATTCTGGGCCTGAGGTACGTGCTCCGTTCTCGCAGCATCGTTGCCCAAACTAACCTATCGGGAACAGGTCATGGCAGAAGGTTTGAAGGTGAGTCTGCCTGGTCACGGCAATCTATCTTTTCTCCGAGTCGATTGACTGGAACGTGTGTCTGGCAGGTTTTGGCAGAGGTTCAGCGTCAACACCCCGAAGTGACACTCGAACTCAAACACCACCTGATTGGCGGCGTGAGTTACTCAGTGTTCGCCTGTGCTCGGAAAGCCGCCCTGACAGACATGCATCCAGGCTGCTTGGGACGCCCACGGCGTGAACATCACAGACGAAGCCATCTCCGACGCCAGGTCAGCATCTGCCGTCCTCCTCGGCGCCGTCGGGGGCCCAGTACGTAGCTCCGCCATCCCAACCGCCGCCGCCACTGCGCCCCTGACCATCCCTCGCCCCAGAAATGGGCTCAAGTCCCCGTCCCAGTCGAATGGGGCCTGGGCGACCTCCGCAAAGCGCTCGACGCCTTCGGCAACCTACGCCCGGTCAACTTCGCCGCCCCGTCCCTCATCTCCCGGTCCGCCTTCAAGCCCGCCGTCTGCGCCGGCACCGACATGACCATCGTGCGCGAGCTGACCGGCGGCATCTACTTCGGCGCGCGGCAGGAGCCCTCGGGCGGCACGCTCGCCGCCGCCTCCGACACGGACGCCTACACGCACGGCGAGATTGCGCGGGTCGCGCGGCTTGCCGGCGCGCTGGCCATGGCCCACGACCCGCCGCTGCCGGTGACGAGCCTGGACAAGGCGAACGTGCTGGCCGCCTGCGGCCGGCTGTGGCGCCGCGTCGTGACCGAGGTCATGGCCGACGAGTTTCCGCAAGTCGAGCTGCGGCACCTGCTGATCGATAGCGCGGCCATGGTCATGGCGTGCGACCCGACGAGGCTGAATGGCGTCGTGCTGACCAGCAACATGTTTGGCGATATCATCAGTGATGAGGCTAGCGCTATTCCGGGGAGCATCGGGTTGCTGCCTAGCGCGAGCTTGTGTGCTATTCCCGACGGGGTGGACGGTTCGTCGGTCCGCGGGCTGTATGAGCCGATTCATGGTGAGTCTGTCGTTGAGGAAATAATGATTCCGCCATGCTGATGGACCGTGAAAAGGCTCTGCCCCTGACATTTCGGGCAAGCAAATAGTCAATCCTGTTGGAATGATCCTGTCAGTTGCCATGATGTTCAGATGGTCTTTGAACATGGCCACTGTCGCAAAAGCCATCGAGGACGCTGTTAGGGAAACGCTGGATGCTTCCATCTGCACTCCAGATGTCGGAGGCACTGCATCGACTTCTGAGGTTGGAAATGCTGTGGTTACTGCATTGGCAAAGAATTGGTAGTCACTGTCCATCTGCTTTGATGTGCAGTATCTCATATTAGTACCAATCAAAGTCTGGCTGTTTCTGTGCTTTGCTGGTGTACGAAACGCGATTCAGCACTGGATACATGCAACTGAACATTGTGATGTCGAGTCGTGTCAAATGCATGCACGAAGAAACATCACTAATTTGAGAAAGAAATACATACATGTGCACACAATCATTGAAAACGTAAATGATAGTGAACTATGAAATCATACGAAAGCCAGCAAACTTGATCTCATCAAGCCATCATCCCTTCACGGTTGAGCCCTCAGCGACAGGGCCTCGCCGAAGGACACGCGACTTCAGCACTCACGATGGGACGTTCACATATCCCGCGGTCTGAAGCCTCAGAGTCAGTATCTGTTAAACGGCACGAAGAGGTTTTCACTTACGCGAAGAGCAGAGACAATGGCACGCACTTCAGCCACGTGCTGGCTGGCGCCGAATCCAACACCCCACATTTCTCCCCCATCGGCGCCAGCGGTCAACCTGGAGTAAGCAACACAAGTCCCCGCATCACCGGGAAGCTGCTGGAAAGTAGTGTTGGATTTGATTCCCATCAGCCCCACTTCCCGGCCGAGTGCAGAAGCAATGGACGAGCCGCGACTCAAGGCCAGTTCGATGGCAACATCATCCACCGGCTTTTCGGCCGCATCGCCGACTCGGTACGCCTCGAGGAACGCCATGCACACTTCTTCAGGAGCCATGCCGCGGCCGCCCCGGCTAGAGCGCTCCTTGATCGTCCTCGCAAAACGCCTCGCAAGCTCCGGGGGAAGATCAAGGCCAAGGCCAGAACCGATGATCCACGCCACGCCCCCCTTCCCGCTCTGGCTGTTGATGCCCACGACATCGTCCAAGGAGCGCCCGATATCAGCCGGATCGATGGGCAGGTACGGCACCCGCCAAGTCGGCCAGACTGCACTCTGCTCGTCTGCCTTGATGGCCATTGTGCGGCGCTGCAGGCCTTTGGCGATGGCGTCCTGATGGGCGCCGCTAAACGCCTTCAGATAGTACGAGCCCGAGTACGGCGTCCGAGGGTGGACCGGGAGCTTCGTGACGTCCTCGCACACGCGGCGGATCTCGTCGAGGCGGGAAAAGTCGACGCCCGGGTCGATGCCTTGGGTGAGGAGGTTGAGCGCGAACGTGACGAGGTCCATGTTGCCGGCGCGCTCGCCGTTGCCGAAGAGGCACCCTTCGATGCGGTCGGCGCCGGCGAGGCTGGCCAGCTCCGCAGAGGACACGGCGCCGCCGCGGTCGTTGTGCGTGTGCACCGTCAGCCGCACTGTGTCACGGCCGGATATGTTGCGCGACAGGTACTCGACTTGGTCGGCGAACACGTTTGGCGTCGATGCCTCGACGCTCGAGGCTATGCCGATGATCATCTTTTGCTCGGCCGTGGGGCCCCACACGGCTTTGACCGCTTCGGTGCAGCGGATGATGGCCGAGAGCCGTGCGTTGGCGAAGTCTTCGAAGCCGAAGTTGAACGTCCAGCGGGTTTGCCGGACGGCAGGGTCGGTCGAGTCTTTGGTGATGGAGCGGGCGTATGCAGTTCCCTGACGTGCCCGCTCGACCCACTCGTCCTCGGAGATCCTCAGAACCGTGTCTCGGTAGTTGTCGCTGCTGGAGAGATAGGTGAAGAGAACGGCCTGCTTCGCACCGCGGACGCTCTGGACTGCTCTATGGATTGCTTCTTCCCGGCAGGGCGTGATGACCTGAATGAGCACATCGTCTGGGATAAGGCCCGGAGTTTCGACCAGATGCCGCACAAAGTCGAACTCTCCTTGGTTGGCACAAGGGTACGCCACTTCTATCTCCTTGAATCCAATTGAAACCAGAAGCTTGTAAAGGCGGAGCTTCTGCTCAAATGTCTGGTTGATTGGTGGTTAGCAGCTGCGAATGCTGTTACATCCGGGAGCTCGCGTACCATTGGATTTGGCATGGACTGGTTTCCATCGCGAAGGTCGGTAGAGAACAAGGCCGGTGCTCTTTGCAGTACTTTGTCCGGCCATTGGCGATCTGGGTACCGAAATGCGGGCACTCGTCCTCCGTACTTGAGCGAAGCACTTTGGCCTCCAGAGCACGTGTAGGCCATCTTCGAACAACTTGGGCTGGCCGATTAGGTTCATCCCCGGCAGAGACCACACCGCGAGTCTGCCTTCCAAGTTATACAGCTCACCAAGGGCACACGGAACAGGAGACAGGACCGGATAACACGGCATGTCTTAGCATGTACCAAGCGTGAAGTCCGCAGCCCCTTCTTGTTCCAGCGGCGACCAGGATGCACACGGTCAAGCTCAATGTGGTGCCTTGATACTGAATCGTGAAGCCCACGAAAACATCACTGCCCTCTGATATCTTCCGGAAGGCGATACAAAGAGGTCACCCATGCACGTTCGGACGTTGAAGCTTATTCTAACCAAAACCAGTATCGCTTGCATCAACGTAACAAACACGACCGTATTTCCGTCATACTCGTTTTCCGGCTCTGTTCTGACCATCGAAATCATAGTTTCCGAAGCGGAACCGGCAAGGCGGCTGGGGTTGCGCGGCGGCCGGGTGGCTTCGGATGTTATCCGTGATGCTCTTTCCGGTGCCGAGTCTCTCTCTCTTCCGGCCACGCGAAGCAAGGCGCTACAGGCATCGATCCGTACGAGACCTGACCCTGCGCTTGGGCTTGTAGTGTCGCCAATCCAAGCGTCCGTTAAGTCACATCAGGCAATATACCTAGCCACGAGACAGAGAACAACCACCGTGTAATTGAGTGATCAATTGCCATTCTCCTCCACACACAGAAGCGGTTTCGAATTTCCAAGATGATCGTCAAAGAGAGCGCGCCATACGCCTTCGCGCAGCGCATGCTGCAGACGCTGAACGAGGCCCGCAAAATCGAGCTCGACGGCGCCGAATTCTCCTCCCCAGGTACGCAGACCGCAGCAGCCCGACCGGCCGCAGCTGACCCAGCAAAGACCGCTTCCACGACACGTTCAGCGGCGCCGCCCAGCTCCTCTCCAGCATCTGCGCCGCACTGGGGCGCCAGGGCAAAGCGGCGGACGAGCGGGTCATGCGCCACATCCTCGACCTCTCGACCAGCGACACCGAACTGGGCGGACTGGGTCTCTCCGGCAAGACGTGGGAAGGGACGGACGAGGCCACGCTGCAGGAGATCGGGTTCTTGACGGATGCGTGGCTGGCCGCGGCCGACGCGCAAGCAGCCGCAAGACGCCTGCCAGAGCCGGTGCGGCAGCCCCGCCCTGCGAGCAGGAGACGCATGAATCTCGCCGAGAAGATCCTGGCGCACCATGCGTTCGCGGTTCCGCGCGCCGAGGGTGTCGAGGCTGGTGATCTGCTGCGCGTGTCTGTGGACTGGGTCATTGCGAGCGAGCTGTCCTGGGTGGGCATGCGGCACAGCATGACCAGTCTGGGCATGAAGCCGACGGCGTGGAGGAACGATCGCTTCTGGCTGGCTGGAGACCACGCCGTCGATCCGCGGACGTACAAGGAGGAGCGCGTGCAGGAGCTGATCAGGCTGTTGCAAAGCGCGAAGCAGGACTTGAAAATGACGGAGAATCAGGGCTCCAACGTAAGGCATTCCTGGCCACGTCCGCACGCGTGCTGACGGGAGAACAGTATACCATCCTGCACACCGAGTTTGTCCGCGAGAGAGCCGAGCCCGGAATGCTGGTGCTGGGCTCTGACTCCCACACATGCTCCGCTGGTGCTGTCAGCTCGTTGGCTGTTGGCCTTGGCGCAGGCGACGTAATGGCGGGCCTTGCTACAGGCGAGACGTGGTTCAAGGTGCCAGAGTCCATCAGGATCAACTTTACTGGTGAGCCGGCGTGGTACATCCGGGGAAAGGACGTCATTCTGTCCATCCTGAAGCAACTCAAAAGAAACACATATGCCGCCGAGCGCATAGTCGAGTTTGGAGGTCCTGGTGCCAAGTTTGTTTCCTGTGATGCGCGATTTGCCATCTCGAACATGTGCACGGTAAGGCACCGTTTCCCCCCCAATGCACCAGCTGGCTGACGACGAAGCAGGAGCTCGGTGCTATCTCAGGGATATTCGAACCCGATGAAATCACACAAGAATTTGTCAATGGGCGGAAACGGAAGATGTACAAGTCCGAATCACTCTACTTCCGGCCCGACCAAGGCGCATCTTACGCGGCTACTTTCGAAATCAACCTCAGCGAGGTGGAATCATACATTGCCATTTATCCTTCGCCTGACCAGGTCTGCCCGGTCACAGAGCGCCTTGGGATGAGGTTCGATGGATGTTTCATTGGAGCCTGCACGACCACCGAGGAGGATCTTGTTCTGGCTGCTTTGGTCCTCGAAGCGGGCCTGCACCGAGGATTCACCCCAGTGAAACACGGCAAACGTGTCGTTGTCCCAGGCAGCCTCCCAATTGTCAGGAACTTGAGGAAGCTCGGTCTTTTGGACATTTACTCCAAATGTGGCTACGAGCAGCCTGCGCCTGGATGCAGTCTTTGTCTCGGAATAGGTGCAGATGTTGCAGAAGCCGGCTCACACTGGCTGTCATCCCAGAACAGGAACTTCAAAAACCGCATGGGAAGAGGTAAGTGCACTGCGCTTGCGTTTTATATCTGTTAACACTGTTATTGCAGGTGCTGTCGGAAACATCTGCTCGGCTGCCACGGTTGCCGCTTCGTCGTTCAGCATGACCTTGACAGATCCACGCGATCTGCTCATGGACGTGTCGGAGACCAAATACAACGACTACCTAGACCAATGCAAGTCGTGGAGAAACGGCTCCGCTAGTAGGACCGAGGTGGAGGTGGAGGAGGTTCACTACGTGGAACCCTGTCTCCTCACCGGACCTACGCCGGTAAATGATGACAATGCAGCTTTCTCAGATGGCATCGAAAGGGACGGGCCGGACCAATCCCTGCCGAACATCCAGGGCAACGTTTACAAGCTCGGTGATTACGTTGACACGGACGCCGTAAGTTCCTTGATCGGCAGCTCTCGTTTTCTTTGGCTACTAACAAAATCCAGATCATTCCAGCCCCTGCCTGCGTTGGCAATCCCACGGACGACATGCTGGGCTCACATTGCTTCGAAGTCACCAACTCCGACTTCCGTGATCATGTGAAGGCTGGCTACACGGTCGTTGTTGGTGGAAAGGCCTTTGGCTGCGGGTCATCCCGTGAAGAAGCTCCCAGAGCGCTCAAAGGTCGGCTTCCCTCGTCGTTCCGTGTTGTTCATTATTTCTGACGCCGTGTTCCATCAGGCGTCGGAGTTCAGTGCGTCATTGCGCGATCATTCGCCTTCATCTTTGCCCGTAACATGCCAAACATCGGCATGCTGGCCATCACAATCGCAGATGAAGCCTTCTACGAAGCCGCAAAACATGGGGAAGCGGTCAATGTTGATGTCCAGAGCCGTTTGGTTCGGGTAGGGGACAAGGAGTTCGCGTTCTGTTTGGATGACATGGAGTTGAAGCTCATCCGGAACCGAGGGCTTGCGTCTTCGTACCAGAAATTTGGAAACGAGGTGTTTGAAGCACTGTGTCGGAAGGATTCCTCCACGCCGGTCTCAGTCCTGGCCGAAGTCACTCTGCAGGATGGGAATGAGACGAGAGACGGGATGGATTGGTGAGTGTATAGTACAGATGCATGACCAGGTGGTCCTGATGTCGTCCAAAATGGTTCGGTCTGAATTCATTGTTCGCTGCAGCTACAAAGGACTTTTCGTGGCCCTAGTGATGTGACTCGTGTTGTCATCGAATAACGTTTGAAATGGAAGGCTTCATACTTCTCCATCCACCAACGTCCAATGAATTTACCCTGACCCGATGATGCACACTGAGTCACTAGAGCAGTAGTTGGAGCATGCTGAACCGTTGTTCATACTTTTCATACTTCGTCTTGTCCAGACGGACACGTGACGATTCGACAGTTGTGACGCTGATTGTGTCCCTGTACGTCTTGGGCCTTGCCCTCCGTCCTACCATCGTCGCACCTCTTTCCGAGATGGACGGGCGGCTCTGGCTCTATCACGGATGCTATCTCTTGTTTCTGATCCGTGCCTCGTCAAATGCGGCGAGAGACTCGGACCACGATACTCTGGTCCTGCAACCAAGTGGTGCGAACGCCTATCCGAGTAGCCACTCGCCGCGGGGCCGTACGTTCTAACGTATTCGTAGCCGGCCGGCTTTAGCCGGGTAGCCAACGCCCAACGATCGGGCATCAAGGCCTCGAGACATGGAACCGAACCTGCGCTAGCTATAGTCGCTGTAACCGGAAGAAGTCAAACGAGCCTGATTGCGTGATATCGGCCGCGCGGCCCTTCAACCTTACGGATGTCGCGGGCACTATCACCACCCGAACACTGTCTATTGCGCAAGACATTAACCTGGGTGCCTGATCTACCAGACTCTGGGTTGGGTCGTGTTTGCCGAAAGTTTACGAGCTTGCTGCTCAGGCTCCGTTTTAAACAAGTCCTTCGACAACAAAACGGATTGTCGTTGTTTTCCATTTCGTTTCTGCGCCATCATCCCAACAATGTCAGACCTAGAGGACGACCAGAATCCGGTTCTTATCCAGGCGCAGAGTAGACGCGGCGTTTCCACGCCCGCCCCGACGCCTCTCCTTCTCTTCCATGACGGTGGAGGGACGCTGTTTTCGTACTTCCTGCTCGAGCCTTTGGGAAGGGATGTTTCCGGCTTCGCCGATCCACGAGCTGAATCCGAGCGGCCATGGCAGGGTGGAATACTTGAAATGGCGGAATATTACTACGACTGCATGAAAGCAGCCATGAGACCAGGGCCCGTCCTCCTGGGTGGTGTGTGCCTCTAGATGATCGACCATGACTTGCCATCAAAGAGTCTGACAACTGTTCTTTAGGATGGTCGTTTGGCGGACATCTCGCCCTGCAGCTGGCCCACATCATCTCGTCGGACAGTCTCGGCGGCTTCGAGGTCGCCGGAATCATCATGATCGATTCCTCCTGTCCTCTGGGAGAACGCTACACTTCAAAGGACGGTGGCGAGCACACGATTCCATTCAAAGAGGATGTACCAGTGCATATGCGAAAGGTCGCCCAAGCGTCAATGGATCGCACCGTGCGCATGCTCGCGCAGTGGAACCCACCGACCTGGCCCACGGGCTCAAGCGGGCCTCCTCGAGCTCTGCTTCTTCGTGCTCAAGAGAGCGTTGACCAAAGGAATCAAAGGTCTCCCAAATTGGACTGGGAACTGTATCCACACGACTTCATTGAGTCTGTGACTCCCATCCCCGGGAACCACTTCAATCTTTTTGAAGTCGGAAACGTGAGTTTACTCCTTCAAAGATCCCAGCACAAACATTTATCTCACGACTTTATATAGGTCAGTATTCTGTCTGCCGCGCTTCGGGAAGGGTGCAAGCAACTTGAGAAGTTCTATCGGAATATTCCCTCTAGAACATAATTTAGCATAAAAAAATATCGTCTATCTAGCGAATAATACCTAGTTGTTTACTAAGAGAACTTTATTTTTCTTAAACTATATTTTATAAAGCTAAGATAAGCGTCTTAGATAGCCTGCTTAATCCAGTGGTGATCGTTCCGCGCGCTTAGCGCCCCACATATATTACCGTCCCATCCGAGCGCCATACATTGTCGGAAAGAGTCCGGGGCGCTCGGAAACCCGCTGCGTGGTTGCCAAGAACGGTGTCGCTACCCGGTGATGACCGGGTGCCGGAACGAGTTCATCTGGGCACTGTTTGTAAAGTGGTCAGGCCACCGTGACATGTCTCAGCGGTTTCGCTAGTCATGTAGCCTCTACAAGGAGAATCCGAGATCCGGACATGGATTCGGAAGACATCCGTGCAAGGTCCGTTCGGTAGAGCTCAAGGCTGTTTGAACCGAGGTTTCTTCACGTAAGGTCGTAGACATGGGCAAGGTTTCGTCAGTGCCGTTTTGAGAAATGCTCCTGTATCAAAACATATACTGCAGTGGCTGTAGATATTCTGGGTACTCGCCTACATCTTAGACATAGATCATAACGAGAGTCTGAATCTTTCAACCCTCTCGAACCCCTCACGGCCAAGGTCCTCTCCACAGGTGATTATGAAAATCATTAAAGATTTCTGTCGGACAAATAGCTGATACCAAATGCAGGGGATTTGCGCAAAATGCAGTTTGACGACAGTCGTCCATCCGAGAAGGTACTCGGTCTTGTGACCGCCGCGGAGACGTACCCATCCCCTCCACCTTTAGAAGACTTGGAAGCCGCTCTCTCCGAAGAGTTTTGGACTTCATTTCTCGCCGAAAGTCAGCCTGCAGCTTTTCCTTGCATACCCTATGGATCACGGGAACCGATCCAGCATGAAGTCGTGGAATGCCACCAGGAACTTCCAACAGCTGCGTCGTCCAAACTGGAGCTCTCGGCCTTGCTATTTGCAGCGTGGGGAATCACCACAGCCAGCTATACAGGAGTCCAAAACATCGTTTTCGGGGCTGTTGTGCCAGACAGCGGTGGAATCAACAACCCTGTTCCGTTCCGCCTGAATGCCGACTCCAAAGGACGCGTTCGGGATCTTCTCGACCAAAGCCTTCAGCGGGTCATTCAATGCTGCCAGCACGCGAGTCTCGGGATCGAGAAGATCTCCCAACTCAATGGAGACTGCTGCCATGCTTGCAACTTTGAAACAGTCCTGATGGTGCGACATGGCGCGAAGGATGAAGACTCGGTGTGGCCAGTACCAGAATCGCAAGGGCTCGTAATCACGTGCAGTCTTGTTGGAAGACGGCTTCAGATCACGGCAAGCGTTCATTCTCGTGCTGCTGAAGCACCGATTATGCACAGAGTCATCCGCCAGTTTGGCTACACCGCGGCAAGACTGGCAACGTCGGAGGATCAGAATCCCTCGGTGGACGACTTGCTCCGCGTGCCGAACCTGCACGATTTGGAGGAAATCTGGCACCACAACCAGCATGTCTCAGACGGGACCAGCGCAACCGTCCAGCAGCTGATCGCGGAGCAGACCCGGACGCGGCCGAGTGCAGCGGCCGTGGATGCTTGGGACGGCATACTGTCCTATGACGAATTGGACCATATTTCCACTCGCCTAGCCAGAACTTTGAGAGAAACGTCCATCGAAGAGCGCTCTCTGGTCCCATTCTGCCTCGAGCACTCCAAGTGGGCGGTGGTAGCCATGCTCGGGATCCTCAAGGCCGGATGCGCCTTTGTTCCCATCGACCCGTCCGCGCCTCGCGCCCGGCGTCATCGCATACTCCAGCTCGCTCGGGCCAAGGTCATCCTGACTTCTCCAAACATGGTCGACAACGACTTCGAACTCACGCCTGTCATCCGTCTGTCCGAGGATGGCCTCAACGCATCTCCAACGGACGGTGCGACATTTACAGGTTCTAGCAGCGTCGACTCCGCAGCGTATGTCCTCTTTACGTCTGGAAGTACTGGCGATCCCAAGGGCGTGGCTATGGGGCATCGTGCCATCTATACCAGTCTGAATGCCATCGGGACGAAAGTCGGACTACATTCCGGCACCCGAACATTGCAGTTCGCCTCATTAGCCTTTAACATCTCGATTTTCGAGATACTCGGCACTCTGGCATTTAGAGGATGTGTCTGCATACCTTCCGATGCCGACCGTCTCTCTAGACTGCCAGAGTACATGGCGTCAGCAAAGGTCAATACCGCTTCTCTTACCCCGTCAGTGGCACGTCTGTACAGTCCCGGTTTGGTTCCCTCTTTAGAGACGCTGGTGCTTGGAGGAGAGGCAATAACGCAAGCCGATATGAAAAGATGGAATCAATTACCCAAACTATTCAACGGATTCGGCCCTACCGAATGTGCTGTCGGCTGCGCCATACATCGCGTGCACGAGGAGCAGAAGGAGCCTTCCATCGTGGGCGGACTTAAGGGAATACCGTCGTGGGTCGTAGATCCCGGCAACCACGATGTCCTGGTGCCCTTTGGTGCAGTAGGAGAATTGGTCATAGAGGGACCAACGCTTGCCCAGGGCTATCTCGATAATATAGCAAAGACTAAGGCTGCATTCATCCAGGATCCACAGTGGCTGCTCCGAGGATGCGGCTCGAGATTTCCCGGGCGCCGTGGCAGAGTCTACAAAACCGGGGACCTGGTCAAATACAACCAACAAGGAGAGCTCATCTACATTGGCCGCAAAGATGCAGATACTCAAGTAAAAGTCCGGGGCAATAGAGTCGATCTAGGAGAGATCGAGTTCCGCCTCCTACAATGTCTCCCACCCGGAACCGAGGCTGTCGTGGAAGCTTTTAAGCCGTCAAACACCGACGTAGAGCCTACGGCAACGTTGGCAGTGTTTCTCTATCCACCTGCCGAAAGCCGAGTTCAACAAAATAATATGGAGATGGTTGTCATGCAGCCGCCAAAGGACGTTCAGGATCGGTTATCCGAGACGCTGCCGTCCTACATAATACCCGGAGTGTACTTTTCCGTGTCGGTCATCCCCAAAACAACATCAGACAAGACGGATCGCAAGCGACTACGCGAATTGGCGTCGGCGTTTTCACTTCAGGATCTAAGCAGTAGACTGTCAAGTCCGGCCGGTAAGAAGCGGAATCCACGAACAGAAAAAGAACGACTGATGCAGAGGCTCTAGGCCGATATCCTACGCGTTAATCCACAATCCATCGGTCTAGACGACAGCTTTTTCAAACTCGGAGAAGATTCCATCGGCGCCATTCGGCTCGTCAAAGAGGCCCGCGAGGAGTTCAACATCAGCCTCGACGTAGCGGATATATTTCGCTATCCTACGCTGGAGGGGCTCGTCTCTGTCTCGAAGGATTTCCATGTCGATGCATCCCCGGTGACCATCCCGTTCTCGGCTCTCCCGGTCTCGCAAGACATGCAGCTGCTCTGCAGAGTCGTTATAGACTCCTATAGTCTTACCAGCCCCGAGCTAGTTAAAGACATCTACCCTTGCACACCCCTCCAGGAAGGGCTTCTCTCGCTTTCCTCCAAGCACACCGGAGCTTACACGGTGCAGCGTGTGCTCGAGCTGGCTCCGGGACTCGATCTTTGCCGGTTCCTGGCTGCGTGGGAGCGCATGACGAAATCAACCCCGATCATAAGAACGAGGATTGTCCAGCACGAAGAGTTGGGGCTTCTCCAGGCGGTGGTGGATGAGAAAATCCAATGGAAACGCGTTGAGAAGGCAGACATGGACGCGTTCATAAGAGCCGATATGGAGACGCCAATGAGACTGGACCAGCCACTTGCTCGCTACGCTTTGATCCAGGGCACATCCTCTACAGCCGCAACGGCAACGCCCCAATTCATGGTGTGGACCGTCCACCATGCGCTGTACGACGGCTGGTCCCTCCCGTTGATATTGGAGCGGGTGCGCGAGGCGTATGACGGGACGGAGTTGAGCAGCTCTGGGTTTGCGCCATTCGTAAAGTGGTGTTCCCAAGAAGCCGTGCGGGACAACGCGGTCAAGTTCTGGGAATCCCACCTGGACGGGCTATCCGAGTCCGCTCTTTTCCCTCCTCTACCATCCTCCGTGTCAGAGCCCGTCGAGGATTCCACGGCAGAGCACCGGTGGGAGATGCCAAAGGACAGTGCCGCTGGTGTCACCACGTCAATCCTCTTGAGAGCAGCATGGGCAATAGTTGCCAGCCGCTACACCAGCTCGGATGACGTCGTGTTCGGCACCACCGTCTCGGGCAGAAACGCACCCGTTCGAGGAATCGAGTGCGTCCTGGGTCCTACCGTTGCCACGATCCCAACCCGGTTCAAAGTGCACGACAGCACACCTGTCAGGGCCTTTCTGGCGCGAACGCAGAACGAGGCGGTCGAGGCCATTCCATGTGAACAGACGGGACTCCAACGCATTGCTGGCGTCAACGCTGAGCTGGCCAAGGTCAGAGATATCCAGACGTTCCTGGTGGTGCAGCCCTCGGATTACAACGTCCCCTCGTTTGATGGTTTCGGCAAGTGGGTCAACGGGCCCGGGTACTATCGTCTCGACGTCTCTGCTCTGACTCTAGAATGCTTCCTCGGCGATTCCGGCGTACGCTGTGTGGCATACTTTGACTCGCGCGTCATTGAGCGCGAGACGGTCGAGAGGCTTCTTCCGCAATTCGCCCACGTGTCCCAACAGCTGTCCTCGGCAAGCGAGGACACCACGCTGGGCGACGTCGAGGTGCTGACGCCTGCAGACCTCAAAGACATCTGGGCGTGGAACGGGCCCCTCCTGGAGACGGCTCCGGAACCGTTGCCGCATCGAGACGTCCACCACCAGGCTGAAATGCGGCCGCATGCACCTGCTGTTCACAGCTGGGACGGGGAGCTCACCTACAAAGAGCTCGATCTGTACTCGACTCTGTTCGCGAAGAAGCTCGTCATGTCTGGGATAAGGCCAGGCGATGTTGTGCCGCTGTATTTTGAACCGTCGGAATGGGCGGTGGTGGCCATGCTTGCGGCACTCAAAGCCGGCGCAGCGTTTGTCCCCATCGATGCGTCTCAGCCAGCTGCCCAGAGGGAGAGGATCCTGTCCCAACTACCGCCCAACGTCGTCCTCGCTTCGTCGAAACACACAGCCACGTCCTTCGGAGCGGGATGGTCAGCGCTCGAGATGTCTAGGGAAACGGTTGACCTGGAGGCCACAGGAGCCCTCCCGACGGTGGATCCCGGCTCGATCGCATGGATCATCTTTACTTCAGGCAGCACCGGGCTTCCCAAGGGCGCCATGCTGCAGCACTCGGCCGTGCACGCCAGCCACCGGAAGCTGGGCGCGACCTTCGGGCTGCACGCCGACACCCGCATGCTCCAGTTTTCGTCCTTCGCGTTCGACGCGTGCGTGCTGGAGATCATTGCAACCCTGATGCACGGCGGCTGCGTGTGCATCCCGTCCGAAGCGGACCAACGGTCGCTGTCCGGGCTGCCCCAGGCGTGCGCGGCCATGAGGGTCAACACCATGGTCCTGACGCCCACGGTCGCGCGGCTGTTCGAGACGTCCGACTTCCCAGACCTCACGACACTGGTTCTGACCGGAGAGCCGCTCGTCCAAAGCGACGTCGACAAGTGGGCCACGACGGCGTACGTTGCCAACGGGTACGGTCCGGCCGAGTGCTCCAACATATGCACCGTCCATCGCATTGCTCCCGGAGACTCGGACCCCAACCGCATAGGCAGCTTGCGTGGCGTGCCCGGCTGGGTGGTCCGCAGCCAAGATCACAACCGGCTCGTTCCCATCGGCGGCGTCGGGGAGCTTGTGGTCGAGGGTGCCACTGTGGGCAGCGGGTACCTCAACGACGCTGCAAAGACGGCTGCTGCCTTCATCACGGATCCGGATTGGCTCGTCAGAGGTCGTCCCGGCGAGCCGCAGTCCGGACGGCGAGGCCGGCTGTACAAGACGGGCGACCTGGTCAAGCTCCATCCAGACGGCGGCCTGACCTACATTGGGCGCAAAGACACGCAGATCAAGATACGCGGCCAGCGCGTCGAGCTCGGCGAAATCGAACACCATGTGCTGCTGCAGTGCGCCGGCGCGTTGGAGGCAGTCGTCGATGCCGTGCATCTTCCGGGACGGGGGGATGCAAAGTCGCTCGTTGCCTTCGTCCGTCTCCAAGACAGCAGTATCCCCGCTCCGCAAGTGTACACGGGCTCGGACGACGTCGCCGACCGGCTCGCAGACATTGTTCCCGCCTACATGGTTCCTGCAGTCTTCATCCAGATGCCATCCGTACCGAGGACTGCATCGGGAAAGACGGACCGGAAGCAGCTGCGCGAGGTGGCTGCGGCAACAATGGCTGCAACGTCTCAGACGACAACTGCCGGGTCCCAGCCGAGGCGACCCAAGCGCGCACCGAGGACCGAGACGGAGAAGAAGCTGCAGCAGCTCTGGACCAAGGTCTTGGACCGAGACGTGGCAGAGATTGGACTCGACGACAGCTTCGTCAGGCTCGGCGGAGACTCCATCGCCGCCATGAAGCTGGTCAGCCTGGCGGCAAAGTCGAGCATCGGCTTGACCGTCGCTCAGGTCTTCCGCCACTTGCGGCTCGAGGATCAGGCCCGCAGTGCAACGCTGCTGGCCAAGCGTGACGACGACCGCGTCCCCCCCTTCTCCCTGCTCCCCCGGGATGCAGACGTCGACTTGCTCCGGGCAGATGCTGCCGAGTCGTGTGCGGTGGAGGCTGTGCTGATTGAAGACCTGTATCCCTGCACGCCGTCACAGGAGGGCCTGCTGTCTCTGAGCGCGAGGCATGCAGAGCAGAATGCCTACGTCCTCCAACACGTCTTCGACTTGGCTCCAACGCTGGACGTGCGGCGGATGCGGTCCGCATGGGAGGAGACAGTCCGGACCACGGACATCCTGCGGACGCGAGTGGTCCACCATGCCCGCCATGGCTTGCTGCAGGTTGTGGTGAATGACGGCATATCGTGGTGCGAGCCAGAGGACATCCACGCCTTCATAGAAGCGGACAAGCAGCGGCCAATGGGCCTGGGCACGCCTCTGGCCAGGTATGCCATTTCCCAAGATGCCCGGACCAAGCATACAAAACTGGTCTGGACCATCCACCATGCCTTGGGCGATGGCTGGGCTTTGAATCTCGTCCTCAACAAGGTCGAGGCCATCTACAGGGCCTCCTCCACTGTAAGTAGCCCGCTCTCCGAGTTCAGGGGCTTCATCAAGTACATGAACGGGCGGGACGTGGACTCCATGGTCGAGTACTGGAGGGACACGCTCGCGGACGTGGAGCCAGTCACATTTCCCCTTCTCCCCACCGCCGTCAGAGACGCCGTCGAGGACTCCGAGGTCGAACTGGACCACAGCCTCCCAGAGAGTGCTGCAACGGCCTCGGCCAGTCTCTCCACGATCCTCCGTGCCGCGTGGGCCATTGTCCAAAGCCGCCACAGCAACACCGACGACGTCGTGTTCGGCGAGGTCCTCTCCGGCCGCAGCGCACCAGTGCCGTCCATCGACTCGCTCGTCGGCCCAACAATGGTCACCGTCCCCGTCCGCGTCAAGCTCCCCGCCGCGCTGACCGTGCCCGCCCTCCTCCAAAACATCCACACGACCTCCACCCTCGCCATCCCCCACGAGCAACTCGGCCTCCACCGCATCGCCCGCATCAACCCCGCCGCCTGCGCCTTCCAAACCCTCCTCATCATCCAGCCCCCCACCGCCGCCAGTTCAGATGATCCCCCACGCCTCCTCTCCGCGTCCCCGGACTACCGGCTCGCCACCTACGCCCTCGCCATCGAATGCACGCCCTCGCCGTCATCCGCCCGCCGCCTCGGCCTCCGCGCCCGCTTCGACTCGCGCGCCGTCTCCGCCGCCGCCGCACGCCGCCTGCTCGCCCAGCTGGGCCACGTCGCGGACCAGCTCATGGCCTGCGCCGCCGCCTCCGTCTCCGCCTCTGATCCCGGCCCGGGCCCGCCGCCACGCCTCGTCTCGGGCGTCGCGGTGCACGCGCCGCGCGAGCTGCGCGACGTGTGGGGCTGGAACGGCGCGCCGCAGGGAGAAGAAGGCGCCGGGCTGGTGCACGAGGCGGTGCGGGCGAGGGCGATAGTGGCGCCGGGTGCGGTGGCGGTGGAGGCGTGGGACGGGCGGCTGTCGTACGGGCGGCTGGAGGGGCTGGCGGACGGGCTGGCGGCGGCGTTGGCGGCGAGGGGCGTTGGGGTGGGACGGCAGGGGCTGGTGCCGCTGTGCTTTGAGAAGTCGGTGTGGGTTGTTGTGGCGATGCTGGCGGTGCTCAAGACCGGCGCCGGCGTCGTCCTGCTCGATCCCGGGCAGCCGGCCGGTCGACATGAGCGGGTTCTCGCGGCTCTGGGGCCCGGCGGGGTGCTGTTGGCGTCGACGTCGTGTGCCGAGCACAGGAAGTTCCGGGATGGGTGGGAGGTGGTCGTGGTTTGCGAATCGGGCTTGCAGGCCGCCGCGGCATCGAGCCGGCACTTCGTCTCCCCGCGGATTCCCGAGTCGGCGGCATGCTGGGTCCTGTTCACTTCGGGCAGTACGGGCGAGCCCAAGGGGGTTGTTCTCGAGCATGGCGCCGTCAGCAAGAGCTACGGCATCCTCATCGAGACGTTGGGCATCACCCGCCAGACCCGCATGCTGCAGTTTTCAGCCTACGCGTTTGACGTCTCGACGTTGGAGATGATGGGCGTGCTCATGGCCGGTGGTTGTGTCTGTATACCGTCCGACACGCAGCGGCTCGAGGGACTTGCAGAGTTCTGCACGTCATTCCGAGTCAACACGGCAATGCTGACGCCTTCGGTCGCGCGGCTATATGACCCGCAAGACCTGCCGACTCTGCGCTCCCTCTCGCTCCTGGGCGAAGCACCGACGAAGCAGGACATCTTGAAGTGGCAGCGCCGCATCCCGCATCTTTTCAACGCCTACGGGCCCGCCGAAGCCGCCTGTCTCGCGGCGGTGCACCGCGTGGACCCGCACGACGACGACCCCATCGCTGCCCGGATCGGGCGCTTGGCAGGCGTTCCGGTGTGGATCGTTGCGCCCGACGACTGCACGAAGCTGGCACCTGTCGGCGCCGTTGGCGAGCTGCTGATCGAAGGCTCCACGCTGGCGAGAGGATATCTCAACCCAGCCCACACCGCCGCCGCCTTCATAGAGGACCCGGAGTGGTTGCTTCGGCCGCCTTGTGCAGAGCAGATCAGCGGCAGGCGAGGCAGGCTGTACAGGACCGGAGATCTCGCGAGGTATGCCGAGGACGGTGGGCTTGTTTACGAGGGCCGAAAGGACAGCCAAATCAAGATCAGAGGGCAACGGACGGAGCTGGGCGAGATCGAGTTCCACCTTGCCCAGTGCATCCCCGACGCGGCCGAAGTCGTGGTCGAGACCGTTGCAGGGGAGGGAGATTCCGCAACATCGACGACGCTGGTTGGCTTCGTGAAGTTCCTGTCCGCCACCGCGCCGACTACCGACTCCTTCGACCTGCCGAGCGAGGTGGAGAGCCAGCTGGGCGAGAGGCTGCCTGCGTACATGATCCCAAGCGTTTTCCTTTCGGTGCCGCAAATCCCAAAGACGGCGTCGGACAAGACAGACCGGAAGAAACTCAAGGCTTTGGCTGCCGTGCATGCCGCGAGAGCATTGGAAGCACGCCGTCTGGAGCCACAGCGCGGGCCGTCGTCGGCCATGGAGCAAAAGCTCCTGTTCCTTTGGTCTCAGGCTCTTTCCGTGGCAGAGAGCAACATCGGCATGGATTCGAACTTCTTCAAGCTCGGGGGTGATTCCATTTCTGCTCTGAAGCTGGTCGGGGAGGCTCGCCGGGCAGGCATTCAGCTGTCGGTTGTCGACATCTTTCAGACCTCGAAGCTCGACGGCCTCGCTCGGTGTGCCGAGGGACGGGCGCCGGCTCGGAACGACGCCGCAGACATTCCTCGGTTCTCCCTCTTGCCTGGCTCGGCGGATACGCAGGCCGTGATTGACCATGTTGCCTTTGCATGCGGCCTCTCGCCCGGGCTGGTACAAGACGTCTATCCTTGCACGCCGATGCAGGAGGGGCTGATGACACTGGCCTCCCGAAGCTCGGGCACGTACGTGTCACAGGTGGTCGTCGAGCTGGTCGGCCACATCGATCTGGACCTCCTCAGGAGCTCCTGGGAGAGAACGGTGCGGGACACGGCTGTCATGCGCACGCGGATAGTGCAGCATCCTCAGCTCGGATTCCTGCAAGCCGTCACCAACGAAGAAGTCTCCTGGGAATCGAGCACCGACTTTGAGAGTTACATTGCAGAAGACGACGCCCTTCGCCCGGGGTTCGGGAGTCGATTGTCGCGATACGGTCTGATCCAAAATCCCGCCGGGGGCCCGGCACGGTTGGTATGGACGGTCCACCATGCCATCTACGACATGGTGACACTCCGCCTGGTCTTTGACCGTGTCGCCGCGGCATACAAGGGCGGCCAGGGGCTGCAAGCATTCCCGGCATACGCATCCTTTGTCAAGTACGTGCTCGGCAGCCAGACAGCCGACGCGGAAGAGTATTGGCGTCAAACCCTCAAACACAACACATCCGCCGCCGTCTTCCCGCCTCTCCCGGCGCCCGGTCACCAGCCATGCGAAGACACGGTCATGGAGCATTCATACGCCCTGACCCGAGCGCCTTCGTCCGTCACCACAACAACCATCCTCCACGCCGCCTGGGCCATGGTGACGAGCTGGCACACCAGCACCCCCGACGTCCTCTTCGGCACCGTGCGGTCCGGCCGCACCGCGCCCATCCCCTCCATCTCGACCATGCCCGGCCCCACCATGGCCACCATCCCGCTCGGCATCGCCGTCGCCGCCTCCGACCCCATCCGCGCCTTCCTCCACCGCGTCCAAACCCAAACCGCGGCCGCCATGCCGCACGAGCAGCTCGGCCTGCAGAGCATCGCGCGCCTCTCCGGCGCCTGCGCCCGCGCCTGCGCCTTCCAGACCCTCTTCGCCGTGCAGGAGGGCCGCCGGCGCGAGGCCAGTGTCGGCGGCGGCGGCGTGGCTGAGCTGGGCGCGCTGGTCGAGACGGGGACGTACGCGCTCAAGACGTACGCGCTCACGCTGGAGTGCTTCCCGGACGGCGAGGGCTTCGACGTGCGCGCCTGGTTCGACAGTGCGGCCGTGGGGCGGTGGAGGATGGAGAGGGCGTTGCGGCAGTTGGGGGCCGTGGCGCACCAGCTGGCCGACGGCGCCGAGGGAGACGGGCTGGTCGGCGGCGTCCGGATGCTCGACGCGCGGGACTGGGAGGACGTGCGGGAGTGGGGTGCGCGCCGGGGGTACGGCCTGTGGGTTGTGCTGCCCGACGACTGCGAGAGGCTTGCGCCTGTCGGGGCTGTGGGGGAGCTGCTCGTTGGCGGACCGGATATTCCGGCCGAGTATCTTGGTCAAGGGGATGCCGAGTTTGTACAGAGACCGAGCTGGATGGAGGCCACTGGGTCGGCTTCGGCGTTGAAAACCGGCATATTGACCCAATACACCGACGAGGGGACCCTGACAACGATTGGGCGGAAGAGGACTACTGTCTGCGTCGGGGGCCAGTATGCTGACACCAGCGAGATCGAACGCCACATGGTGGATGCTCTTCCGGATGGATACCAATCCGTTGTCGAGCTGCTCGCTCTGCAAGGAAGACCGGACGACGAATTAACCACCATGCTCACTGCTTTCCTGCTCCCCCCAGACGGAGATGCTTCAACTCAAGTCACGGCACATTGGGCTCCAAAGGCCAGGGAAATAGAGAGGCGTCTCGCTGCCAAGTTGCCTCACTATATGATCCCATCCATCTACCTCCAGGTCACCGCCACACCTCGCACTCGGTCTGGATCCGTCGACCGATCGCAGCTGCGGATGCTCGGGACTGGCTTCTCCGTGGCGGATGTTGCCAAAATGAGAGAGACACAGCGGGTTGTCCCCGACACCGAAACACAGTTTGCATTGCGGGATCTGTGGGCCACCGTTCTGCGGCGCGACGCTGACGGGATTGGGCTTGACGACAGCTTTTTCCAGCTGGGTGGTGACTCGATTGGAGCCATCAAGCTGGTCACTGAGGCGCGCAGACGGGGCATTGTTCTCACGGCTGCCGATATCTTCCAGCATCCCCAACTGGAGGCTTTGGCTGAGCGTGTTGGAATCAATTCGTCTCGGCAACAAGGATTCGATGCTGCCGAGCCGTTCTCTCTGGTCGCCGACGACGACGACGCACAGGCCGTCGAGGGATTTTTGACCAGCAATGTCCTCCCGTACATTGACTACGGGCGCGATTCGGTGCTTGATGTTCTTCCAGGGACATGGATGCAAAAGGAATTCTTCAAAGCCGGAGGGCTCCTGTATCACTTGAGCCTTGACTTTGGCGAAGCGCGAATCGATCCGGAAAGACTCAGGAGCGCTGCAAGACAACTCCTGCAGCGGCACTCGATACTGAGGACCATCTTTTTGCCCCACAACACTGAGCTCTTACAGATCACCCTTGACTCCGGCAGCATCAGCAACTTTGTTGCCGAAGCTCTCGAAGATGGAGAGACGATCGAGATGGCCGCGGACCGTCTCACTACGCAGTATAAACTCGACGAGGACATCATTGGCCGACCGATGCCGCACTTCGTCTTCCTCTCCGGCAATGCCCAAGGACGCTCCGTTTCTCGGCTTCTCATACTCGGCATCTCGCACATGCAATTTGATGGATTCAGCATGCCGTTCATTGTCCGCGATCTTGGTGCATTGTATGACGGAGACCAACTTGCATCGGTTCCGCATTTTGCTTCATACGTCTACGCCCATCACGCGATTCCACCCGCCGAGCGGCAAATGCATTGGCGACGACTGCTCCGGGGCTCGAGTATGACGCCCATCGCTACGGGTGGTGGCAACAGTCAGAGTCTCGACCACGACGTCTACGTGACTCGTGTCGTGTCCCCAGAAACATGGCGCCGATTGCGCTCGAGCAACGCAGAGAAGAGATGGTACTCCCCCGACGACGTGCTCACGACGGCTTGGGCCCTCACCCTAGCCATAGTGAGCCGAGAGTCCGATGTGGTCTTCGGACACACGGTAGCAGGCAGGCGAACATTCTCCCTCGGCGGTGGCGGTGCCGACGGGGTCCTGGGACCTTGCGTCAACACCGTGCCCGTGAGGGTGCGCTTGCCTTCTGCAGATCAACCGCAGCGGCCGGGGAGCATGACTTTGCAAGATGTCCTGGCCAAGGTTTCGGATCAAAGCGCGCAGACCATGCCGTTCGAGAGCACAGGACTGGACGAAATCGTGGAGAACTATGCGCCACCGACTTGGGATGCCAGCACCACTCGCTGGGGTTCAACCGTTGTGTGGCAAGATTTCGCGGGCATGCAAGCACTGGAGACTCAGCAAGACCATCCAACCAGCGATGGACAGCAGGAAGGCGAGAAGAGGATCGCACAAGACTCGGCCGTCTCTGGCTACATGGACCCGTTTGCTACGTCGTCACACGTTAGCTTCGGAGGGGTTCCCTGCATTGTCACTTGCGATGTCCCAGCTTTTGACCCGGCAGATGTGGCCGTCATTGGAAGGCCGGTGAATGGATCAGCAAGCTTCTCTCTGGCATTTTCAAAGACTAATGTCTCGGAATCTGTCATGGAGAAGACGGTGGCTGTGTTGGTACAGGTGTTTGAGAGCTTGGTGGAACAACCAGGAATGGAAGTCGGCAACCTACTGGCGGTGATGCGGGAGGAATACCGGATGTAGTTCTCTTCATCATATCATTATCATGTCAGGCTAGGCTGCGGGCAGATGATTCAATTCCCTGGCTCTGATGAACGGTCGTGTTGCGCTTCGGCCATTATGCTACGCTTGGCTTCTCTGGCATAATCCTCAACCCGTGTCCGGCTTTGGTTGACAGCCTCGCTGATCGATGGCAGAGTGGAAATGAAGACTGAAGCAAGCGGTGTGAGGAATACGCGGCACCGCCATGGATACGCTGGTCATGTCCCCTGGATGCGGCTGCTGGTTGGCTATATATGGTGTGCCCCACAGCTCCAGATGGATTCCATGTGGATGATGAGCCTGGCTTTCCCTGCCGACTCAACGAGCATCTGACCCTTGCTCGATAAAGCCCACCAGCTTACTGACTTCCTCGAAAAGACAGCTGGCCGGCAGGGCAATCTCAACCCTGGCGAAAAAGCCACATGAAATGCTGAACAAGGCTCGGTCTCTCTTTGTTAAAACGCCGTCCTGCGCGAGAAACACATTCATTGCGAGCAGGCAGGTGGCCAGCGTGAGCACGTGAAGAAAGTTGCTGTTTGTCACCCGTCAGTAGGTTGCGCCCATGGAAGGAAACCGGAGGCACACTGACGAGTCTTGACGGACTTGGTCCATGGAGACGCTGCTGCACTTGGTGATGACCTCGGCGATGGATTCCGCGTACAGCTCCGTGAGCTGCTGCTGCCCGCCACCGAGAGCCTGGCCCGTGATAGTGCCGCCGGGATACAGGGTGCACAGACAGAGAAGGGCTTCGTGGTAGCGGCTGGACCACTGCAGGCGCAGCTGCGCGGCAGATGTGTCGGACAGTTCCAAGAGACTGACATACGCCGTCGACTCCCGCCATTCCCTGAGCTTCTGGACGAGCGCCTGGATCGCGTCTGATGTAGCCGCCTTGTCTCCCGCCTTGGTCTTTGCCCGGAGTCGCGTGATCTCAGCGCAGATCTTGGAGTACCGCACCCTCACTGCCAATGCATCAGTTGCCGCTACAGATGCTTCTCCGCCACCCTCCCATGCTACGCGGGGCTGCGAAGCGGCCGGAGGGAGAAAATCGTCGCCAAGGATCTAGCGACGGTCAGTCTCCACATCTTATCAACGACTGGTAAATGGTGGTCACAAACCGAGAATGTGTTCCAGCGAAGGCTATGCGACCTTTCGATGCAGTAGAGCATCCACATGGCCCGGTGAACTCTCGCCGTGTGTTGCGTGCAGCCGGCGGATGAGTCGCGGCGACGGACGGCGCTCGGGTGCAGGTCGAGCTCTGCGGCGGTCGACACGCAGCTGAACATCAAGGCCTGTAGATCGCCGGTTCCTGTTTTCTCGGCCAGGCACAGCTGGGGGAGTTTCAGCGCCGAGCCTATCAGTAATGCACCAAGGGCATACGTACCATTACCACGAGCGCCTGAACCAATTAGCACGTCTCCTCATTCCACGGCCGTTTCTAGACTTACCAGAAATTTTTCTTCCGTGTCTCTTTGGCGGCGGAGGATGCTTGACAGTTCGTGAGCTGTATCAATCAAAGCTGTTGTCACACTACTGTCCATCTCAGAGTCTAGCAGAGCCCCGAGTGCAAGTGCAGCGGCGAGGAGGACAGCTTCGTCATGTCAGAGCGATGGCTGCACCGCGGTATGTGCCTTGTCATGGATCGATTTGACCCTAGATAGGCTGATGAAAAGGTTCACACTGCTTGTGCGTGAGCGTCACCGACTACCATCGACGTTGCAACACGCACCTCTCTGGCTCTTTGAAAGCCTCTTTTGATGATGGTCAGCATCCTTCCTGTAGTGAGGCCAGAGGGCAGCGTACCTTCAATCAGCCTAGCAGCCGGGAGGCTTGCGATCTCAAGGTTTCGATCTGCCGTCGGGGCGGGCTCAGAGAAGTAGAGGTGATGCCTGCGTGATAAGATGTATTCGACCTTTTCTGACAGGGCATGACCCCTGCGGCTACCTCCCGCCATCTCCCGAATAGAGATGGCTCCGGCTGAAATCCTTGGTTCGGGCGACGCGCTGGGCTGGAAGGTGGTAAGCACAATGCAAAGGCTGGTCGAGGCAAATGGATACATTATTTTCCTCGCCCAAGACCATCCGTAAGAGCGTATTGGAACCGGTCGCTCGAGTGGCTGTTTCTATCGTTGCTAGGGCATCGGGTAATCGAGTCATTGGAGAGACAAGGACGCTGTCGGATCGATTGAAGTGAGGAAGTAATTCGTCTTCGCGAAGATCGAGCGTGTCTGTACCTCCCTTGGACTACTGTCTTAGCTCGTGATCGATTCAGAAATGCACCCACCTCCCTGGCCAATGTAGGAACAGGATAAAGGAGAAGGGGGTAGTATTAAGGAGTACCTGCCATTGACATTGCTTGGGGGTTCAGGAGGGAAGTAAAAATCCGAGAAGGAAATCCCATCGTCGCAAGGGCTCTTCAAGAGATCATGGCCGAGGAACGTGGACGGTGAGTTCATTGAAAATTCCGACAAGTCGATAAAACTCTGATAAGGAGCATTACTACGACCTGGCGTATCTACTGCTTGGATCCGGGGCGGTGATTGTGGCTGGCTTCCTGAAGGCTTTTGCCGTGCTCGAGGCGTGTGTATGTACTCGCACAGCAAGTCGCTACGCTATTGCTTAAAGTCAGCAGATAGTTATAGAGAAGTAGAGTTTACTTGGATACCTCGCAGTAACGGCACGGATGCCCTCCATCGCCTTTCGCATATCGTTAGCGGACTGTTTGACAGTGTGGAAACGCCAAGTACTTACATCTGACTTTCTCCTGGCGGCATACTTCACACGCTCCTCTACGGCGGGTTAGTCTTGGGCGAGAGGGTTCCATCGTACCAATGGACAACATGCTGTTAAGATACGAGGACGTACCGTCTATTTATCCCGTCGACTACGTGTTCTGCTCGAGTGAATATGCTCTCAACTTTCCGGTCGATTTGATTGGTCTGTAGTAGCTTAGAAGCCTCAGCTGCCGTTCCATAACTCCGCGGTGGTAGTGGGGGAAACGTTCGGAAGCGGGCGGGCTCGTACTTTAAGCGTCTACTCTGCTAATAGTATAGCTGGTTACTGATAAGCTAAGCGTGAAACCGACTAGGGCAGCAGGGGTCATTGCCCATCCACACTACTACCCAAGCTGCCGGAAAATGCTCAGACGCTCGGCCGGCTCCGGTCATGAGAGTCAGAAGCCGTTTTCGATTAATGCATCGTCCCTTATACTCCTCGCTACTCCCCTACCACGTTATCATCTCTTCCGCCACTTCCGCCTCCTCCGCCCTGATCAGCCCACCCGCCTCTTCCGCCCTGCTCAGCCCACCATACATAATTTCCCTCATCGTAAAATGACTAGTAGAAATGCGACGAGGATAACTGCGTTACTTAGTAGTGCTGGCGACCACTAGCGCTTGTATGAAGATGATTGTGGATCATACAGCAGGGCCGTCCGTGGCGGCTGGAGGAGGTAAGTCGGATGGTAAAACCGCTGCAAAATGGGGTGAGATGGTATACCGAGGGAAAGTCGAGTGTTACAAGTCCCAAAACTTGGGGGCTTTATGACCCTAAGGCGAAGAGCCCGCACGGGAGAAGGAGACCGCAGGGTTAAGACGGATTAAGGTTCGTTAGTAAAGGCAGGATCCAGGAAGCAGGAATCGGGCAAAAGAGAACAGGTGGTATAAGACGACAGCACGACGCACTAGAATCTAAGATCCCAGATGCTACCCGAAGCGCCGAAGCCGCATGCGCTCCACCTATGCATCACACAATCACGTGACACCTCCTTATTTAATTATTGTCATCCCCCCCTTGTCTCTTCAAGGTAAACCCCCATTCGTAAAGCTTACACAAGACACCCGCTTCTTTACCGAAAGTTCCCCTCGGTACCAACCTAGTCTTTCGGAAGGAGGCTACCGTTACACCGAGCAGGAACAACCTCTACATCCCAAGCGTCCTAAACTTCTACGAGATACGAGGGTAGCTGAAAACCTATACCGGAAGTCCTGCGATGCTAAGAACGATTAGCGGCCGTACTATATTACGGATGGGTATGCCTGGACCTCTGGAGAAATCCCGTAGGCTCCGTTCTTGGTTGCCGACCGATGCGCCAAGGAAACTGGGCCATGGCGTATTACAAGCGCCAACGTGTCCCGCCAGCACGGCCTGGCTGGCGATAGCACGGCAAAAGTTCCAGGTGAAAAGACGATGTAAGGGAAACAAGGAATGATCGGGACCGAGAAGATGTCCTGCCGCGGTCATATCAACGGAGCCAGGTATGGAGTGGACTTGAGGGTGCCACAGCCATGAAAGAGACACGGCTATCCCCATTCTCCGGAAACTCCAAATCCCGTATGTGCACTGCTACGTATAGCTCATCGCGACGTATATCAAAATTGACCACTGAAATAGTAGTATGGTTCAATTGCGCCATCGATCGATACACCACTCCTGAATCTTTCTCTGTGCAGTGGCCCTCGAGCAATAGCCTAACAGTAATCGTATTGCTTTGCTGCGCGGCGAGCCATAGTGCGGTGGCGCCGTTCTTCTCCCCCGCGTTGGCGGATGCACCACCAGGAAAAAGAAATCACATATGAGTCGGGGTCCTTCAAGAGGGCCATGGAAAAAGCCAAAGCCATCCGGCTTAGAGGCGGTCCTGCGACGATGTAGTGAGCGGTCGAGTAGTATATAGTAAGAAGGTTCACGTGATAAGGGAGCAAATTTAAGATTCTACAGGTATAGAGCGGGCATTTGAGATTTGCATACTTATCACGCACGTAATAGGCAGCGGGAGTTAAGCACCTCATAAGACGTTACGATAGAATCGTCTAAATACATCTTCACCTGTAGAAATGTCTCATCGCATTACTTGAGAGCAGTAAAAGAATGACCTCATCCGATATGATTCCCTCTCAACACTACAGCATTGCGTTCCGTTCTGTCCGCTTGTCCGCCCGTCCGCTCGTCTATTCGTCCGTCATTTCTTCCCTCCTCATTGGCCTCTTCCTCTATTGACTTGCTGTTGGCGGGAGTATGAGGCCAATGCGAGTCTGAATCTTTCCATCCTGTCAGGGCTAGCCTAAAAGGTGTTCCAGACAATGACGGCCATTATCGAAGCAACCGCTCCCGCTATGATTGCCATTGCAGGAGCTAGCAGCCCTAGCATTGCCAAGCTAGTCAAAGTGGCAAACACTCCACTGGCAGGGGTAAAGCCGCCGTAGACCACAGATTGGAATATCGCCGCGGCGGAACCTAAATCGTCAGTCTTTTGTCTCGGATAAAACATTTCTTTTCGAGGTCATACCAGCGATGACACCTCCCGGCCCAAAGCCCAAAGACAGCCCAACAAGCATAAGCGTGGTAAAGGTAACCACCCAAGCGATTAACGTCCAGTAAACCTCTTATAAAATCGTTAGTGGCGAGATTGCAGAGAACGGCAACAGATCTTGAAAACTTACGTGGCGTGGAAAGCCATGCACAGAACTCGGCCCAGAGCTGGAGAATCCACTCATCGACTGCTGATGTATTAAGTCCATCATGGAAGCTCATTTTCAGTTCGTGGTCTTGGCAGCCGTCGGAATGTTGACAATAGTAAGAGAAAGGAGATTTTGATTCGCGTCTTGTCAAGCACAAGCGTTAGACAAGCTTTGTTGTTGCGGCCAGATTCTCTTTCTTAAGAGCGGTAGAAGCGAGGGTGGGATGTCCTACCTGCCACGTCAGCAGTGCATCAGGGATGCGCGTGCAGCGGACCACGTCTGCACAGTACAATTCATCACCGCGCCTCATGGACTCATTGAGTGTGGTAACAGTGTACGCAATGAATGAGCGGATGCTGACAGAGATAAGGTGAAGTGAGCTTGCTGCCTGGGGTACGCGGTACAACCCTGTTGCCTGGTGGTGAGCCTGCAATCCGCCGTAAATGGAAATGATGGACTGCGAATATTTGGGGTACGAAAATAAACATGGGGACCCAAATGCCCGATTCATGATTCCAGGCTCCCTACGCAGCTCCTTACAGTCTAATGTAGACTCCGCTCCTTGACAATGTAGTTGACGCTTGGATGGCCGCGGTGCACTTGCTCATCGGCGTTGAGCGACCAACACGGTGTACCAAACACTTGGCTCGATAGGCTATTATTACTGAGCGGAGTCCGTTGAAAGGCTTGGGGCGTGAAATTTGAGGAGGTGAACGGGTGTTTTATTGAGCTACCCGAGAGAAAGCACCAAATACCCCCCCCTGGTCATCGCGCCTTCCAACACCGTCACAGGCAGCGCAGAGGGCGTCACGGCGGGCAATGCATTCCTGGACAGCCTGCAGCGACTAGAACCACTGGTTTCGAAGGAACTCACGGGGATTTTTCGGGAAGCAACGTTCCAGCAAGCATCCTCCACCATTGTAGCACGCCGATGGAAGTCCTCTAGAACCGCAAAATATGGGACTCGGTCAGGTTTCCGACAAGTAAGAGCAAACACGTCAGCCTTTAAAGGGTGAGGAAGAATAACATTGAACAACCACTCATAATAAATATGCTAGCAGTCTATCGTGACACCTTCATTCTCCATTCATACAGATCTGTACATACAAGACCGTTAATTTCGCACCATTTGTAGAGTAGTGTGTATACCCACCCATCGAGTAGATTGATGTTTTACGGCTTGCAGTAAGGGCACCGCGCATGCGTGCAGGCCACAAAAGCCTCGTTCACAGGGTTGTTCCGAAGGCAATAGTCGTAACACACGCCAAGGTTTGCATCCGGGCAGACACCCTGCGCGAACACAGTAGCGGGCAGCATCGTTGCCGCAAAGAGGCTCATGGCGACTGCGAGAAGCTTCATGACTTTTGACTTGTCGTTCGGCTTTCGGGGATGATTGGTGGTATGGATCGCCGGCTTGTGGAAGGGTCCGGGCGTGTGCGGGGGTGGTGATGGATGAATGGGAAAGTCGAATTTCATAGATGGGTGGTCCATCTTATATACTCACTGCATACAGCTGATCGCGAGTCATCTTTCCAAGCTCGTGAGGCTGCAGTGGGAGATGGTGGACGGCCGGCGGTCCGTGTTGAGTAGTGCGAGTAAGGGCCTGGATGGGTCGAGTCATGGAAGAAGGATTAAAGTTTCCTTCGTCCATGACTAGGCTATCTACATACATGAAGATGTTCATCCTACAAAACCTCCAGCTCTACATAGTAGACTCCACTGCCCACTCGAAACTTCAAAACATATGATGACTCCTGGGATACAAATTCTGCCGTTAGAACCCCTTTGACGCTCAATGCACTCTCATACAAAACAGCTTCTCTTGACTCAACTCACCATTATATCGGTTGCAAAGTGTATCTGCCGATAGGTCCATGACACATACTAGTGCGGCTACATGTCCACCCGTCCCCTCATATCAAACTTTCTCCACGAGAGCTGTCATCACCATCCGTTCCTTCCCCTTTTCCAAGTCCTCCACCCTCTCCCACTCCGACAACCCCCCAGCCGCACCTCCTTCCTCGCCCACTCTCTCCCCGTTTTCCTTTCCACCCACATCCGAGCGACACGGCGCCCCAAACAGACCATCCATCTCCTCCAACATCACGCCCTTGGTCTCGGGGACGCAAAACCATGCCCAGGCACCCATCAGCACCATGAGAGTCGCGAAAAACATGTAAGTGCCGTAGCCCAAGGAAGTGATCATGTAGGGGGTGGTGCGGGAGATGATGAAGGACCAGAGCCACTGGTCGGCGGTGGTGATGGCGACGCAGAGCATGCGGATGTCGATGGGGAATATTTCGGAGCATATGACCCATGTGATGCCCTGGAGGGGAAGACGTCGTGTTCAGTGCCGGACTCCTGGGCTGGGATCAAGGGAAGGGGGTAGAGAATGACGAACCTGCCACGTGGCGCAGTAGATGAGGCCGTAGAGGTAGACGCAGACCATGGCGAGGTAGCTCCAGGCGTCGCGCGACAAGTCTCCGCGCGCGGCCGCGGCGGTGGGGTCTGCTTTGAGGACGTAGCCGCCGAGGTACCTGGAGCAAGGAAGCAGTCAGTGGCGAGGAGGTTGCTCGAGCTTGGGGGATGACATACCACATGGGAAGACTGCCGACGAAAGCGCCCCAGACCAGGCCCTGACGTCGCCCGAGTTTCTCCACGAGCCATACGCTGAAGATGATCATGCCGAGGGTCTTGGCGATGCCGTAGAAGCCGGTGGCGAAGAGCTTCGTGGATGTGCCCGTGATGCCTAACGTTTCGAAGATTCGTGGCGAGTAACTACATGAATCAATCAGGCTGTTGTTCCCTTTCCATTTGTGAAAGTAAAAAAATGTAATACGCACTACGTGATAATGTTGACGCCTGCATACTATCTGTTAGCAGAGTTTGTTTGTTAGGAGGGCTGGGCGAATAAGCAGCGGCTTACCGGTCAGGTTCTGGAAAGCCATCAAGAGCAAGCCGATACCGATCCGGTTCCGCGTACCCTTCTGCGACATGCGGCGAGCATAATACTTCCAGGTGTGACGCTGACCGGGCGGCGGCGCCGCAATGGAAATCTGGTCCTGGATCTCCTGAAGCTCCTGCTGGATGAACGGATGGTCCGGCGGGAGGTTGCGGATGTCAGACAGGACCTCCTTGGCCTTGTGCCAGCGATCCCGCTTGGCGTACCAGCGCGGCGTCTCCGGACACCAGACGATGCCGAGCAGCAGCATGGCGCCGGGAAGCAGCTGCAGGCCGAGCGGGACCTGCCACTGCGCGGCGAGGCGGACGGGTATGGTGCGGTCGCAGATGTAGTTGACCCAGAAGCCGGCCATGCCGCCGCCCTGGGAGCAGATCTCGAAGATTCCGATGAGCCGGCCGCGGATGGATGGTGGGGAGGTTTCGGCGATGTAGACAGGGACGAGCAGAGAGACGGAGCCGATGCCGAAGCCGGCAATGGCTCGGCCGGCGTAGATTATACCAAGTCGTCCACTGGCAGCAGTCTGGCAGGGCGTAAGTAAGTGCAGGGCAGCGGGTCGGGCTTTCTGCAACGTACCATAAGGGAACCGCCGACTAGGAATATGCAAATCGCCAGCATGAGGGCCTTCTTCCGGCCCCACCGCTCACCGATTGGAAAGGTCAAAAGGGCACCGAAGAAGGTCCCAGCCTGGAAGGTGGAAACAATGTTGCCCTGTAAAGTGTCGCGATCGTGACTTGAGACGTGGGCTAATCCGAAGTCCCTCTTGAAAGAATCCAGGGCCATAGTCCCGCCAATTACCGAAGTGTCGTAGCCCACTGATTCGATGGTGTAAGAGTCCGAGTGCGAGATCCAAGGTCAAGAACACTTACTAGCAATGGAGCCCATGCTGACAATCAGAGCCATGAGATGGACCCGCCAGTTGCGCACTTCGGGCGGATCATTGTTGTTGTCGGCGTGCAGATTGAATCCCATGCCCGCTGTTGGAAAAACAAGACTAACGAGAAATCTCTTGCAGCAGACACAGTCGACTTCCAGCGCGCTGTGCAATGGCAGTTGTTGTAAATAAGCAGTGGACAGTGCCCCGACTTTAATAAGTGGAGAGCGGGTAATGTGCAGTTACGGCGACTCCGTAGACTCCGTAGATGCGGGGTATGGGGTTGCCGCGGTGTGCCATGACTATCCTCTCCGGTTGGGGCCAGGGTAAATGTTGAGGGCGCGGGCTAAGCCATGGGAAGTGAGGACGGAGGGCGCCGGTGATCCACCCGTCGCGCGGAACCGCTGCCAAGGTCATTTGTCTATGGTTGGGCATAAGGCCTTTCGCTAAATGTCAAAAGAGAAGCAAGAGAGCAGAAGGAATGGTAGGATCGCGACGAGGATTCTTGAGTTCTCTCGGCGAGACGGGATGCCGAAAGAGACACGGCCTGGATTCGCAAGAAAAACGCTTTCCTTCCGGCCATTGCATGAAGAGGCTTCTCCACGCCGTTATTCCTGCATTATACTGAGACGGAGTAGTCTTAGTGGCTGGAAAGACGCGAGGGGAAGCTCGCTGTAGATGTCGCGTGGACAGGAACCCTTGTGGTGGGACGGGCTTGGGGTCTTAGGACAGTGCTTGGCCTCCGTCTTGGACTCCGCGCTTGGCAGTGCGTGACCCCGTCTTCCTCCACCTCATGCTGTACCTCTCATGCTCCGCTCCGTGAATCCGCTGCGAGGAGAATGGATGTGTGGAATTTCCGCGGGCCGGCTTTATGATTCGAGACGGGACGTTTGAAATGGACGGAAAGGCCAATTCCTTTTGCTCGTAGTGAGTGCTTTTGTCACTATATCGCTCTATAGAGCTGCAGCGGAGACCGAGCTTGAGGCTAGCGCAATGGACTCGGTGTTGAGTCTGCATTGAAAGCGGACTTCAACAGTGCCGCAACCTCTTTCGACAGAGTCCAAAACATTTTTGGGATGAAGATGCTTCGCTCGTGTGGCGATGATTGACGTGTTGACCGCTGTTCCGTCCCGCGAAACAGCGCCATGCTGAATGATACGGGTTTGTAATCCAATACCCTCCTGCTCCTCCACCCATCGTGCCTCTTCGTCGTCGTGTTGATGTGAATCGTCATTCCGTACGCCCGCAAGTCCAAAAACCACTGCATCGGAACGTCGCTTCCGCGGACCATGAAATGGCCCATCATCTGGTTGATCCGCTGCAAGCTGCTTCTGCCTGGTCCAGTTGCTGCGGCTGCCGACAAGGTCGAACAGTAGGTACGTCTCCGACATGGCACTCCCACATCTTGACGAGGCTACCCTGGTGCGGCGCACTGCCGGCGGAGATGGGGGATTAAATTTGGCTGATGAAGACGACTCGTACGGGCCAGGCTTGCTACTCATGAGGCTTGTGTCGATTGGCAGGAGACGAAGTGGTCGTTGGCCCTTGCGGTGGTTTCTTCTGTGCGGGCTCTAGCCTCTTGGCTCTTGGGGTCACAGGACCCTTGTGGTCTGGGGTTCGTAATAGTAGATTATGTTTCGTAAATATTAAACCTTATTTCGACGGAACGCCTGAGCGCTCGAGCCAGAGTAGAGAAGCAGCTTGGACTTGTCATCTTCTTCTTTCTTTAGTCTGGTCCTCATAGAGATGGCAACACCGCTGCGTTTCCGCGGGCGCATCGGGTGAAGGCATCTTAAAAGTATTTTGTCGTCAGATTCGGCCGCCGTTTGACTTTGCGCCGATGCGTAAAAGCGCCGAATAGTAAAGACTGAGATTCGTTCAATGGCTAAGTCAGGACGTAGTATTTTCGTATCGGCTATGCTTGTACGGCTTAGCGGCATGAGTCATGTAAAGCGATCTTGGCCCTTTCTACTCTCTTCAAGTCTTTGTCCGCATTAGAGTTAGGAGTAAGTACTAAATTAGACAGCCCACGTACTCGATGCTATCGAAGCTACTAGGTATATAAATGGCCAAACTTCTCAACTTACAATGCCACCACCGCTACCTTTTCTCCCTATACCAACACCACACGTGAACAATTCAAAATGAAGGGCTCTTTGCTTGCACTCCTTTTCATCTCGTAAGTTTCCGGCTCGCGGTTTCTACTGTTCGATATCTTACTCTGTTGCAGGACCCAAGCGGTCATGGTTACTGCCAAGCTTCACAAGTTGTGCTGGTGTGAATACAACGGAAGGGTAAGAGAAACATGATCGACCAGTAAAGGCAATCGAGTACTGAAATCATGAACAGAAAGCCAGTGGCGATACTCAAACCGCCTGCACCAAGTACCGGAACCGCAACACTGGCAACGCGCAATGGGACAAATGCCCGGATTGTAGGTAACGTGACAACCAACGATCCATAGTAGATACTGACGCTTTAAAAGGCTCGTACGATGCCGGAGCGCCCAACACGCTTGCGACTTGCAGCTCGGCAGGGTGGCACCTTGGAGGAGACGAGTGGGCCTACTACTGCGGGCAGACTGGTACGTCTGGCAAGTGCGAGTGAAGATCGGGATTGGAGAGAGAAGTGCAGGGACTTCAGGATTGGCGAATCATCATCTAGATTAATTGCGATACCTCCTACAATGTATGTACTGAGAAACCAAGCTGCTTCAACGTTCGGGAAATCACCAGTGATGATGTTCAAACTCTGCGTCGTTGATCGGGAACTCGCCGTCCGGGGGAGCGAAATGCGAGTCGGTGGGGATGTCCAATCGAATCAGGGGCTGAACGAAGAAGAAGCTATGGGCTGTTCGCTGCGGATCCTCGCTCCGCCGATTGTTCGGGGCCGTCTCGTCGGATGTGTTCCGAACACTCCACATTTCGAACTGTGTTTTCTGTTTCATGTCGGTTTGGTAGATTGAGATTGTACCGCAACATCCTACCAGAATGGAACCCTTAGAGATTGCCATTAAGCCAGAACCCCCCTTTGGTCACGAGGCACCGCCAGTGAGGCCGCTATAGCGACAGCTTGGGCATATGTGGCCCGTGCTTGGTGCGCGGTGTGAAGAGGCGGGGAGAAGGTAGTTCCTAACTTCGTCCTCATCACACCGTATGCAAGGCCAGTCCGCGTCGCATTCCAATCAACTGTGTGCGAGCCCGACGCCTCGTCGTCACTCGGCCAATGGCGTAGGGTCGCTTGCAAAATGGCGGCCGTTCGCAATCAAACTAAATGCGCGGCTAACTCTCCTGGCCACGGCCCGCGCGGACTCCACGGGCCCCGCGCATCCCGCGGACTCCGGCAATGGGTACAAACTGTCTCCCGCCGCCGCCAGCTGATGAGCAGCAGCACATCTGGTCTGCCTCGTCGTGTCCCTCATGGCCATCCACAGGTTCGTACATACAAGCACGCCGTCCCGGACATGATTCCCCTGACATTGCCCAGTGAGCCGAAGCTGCGCAGGGAAGCTCCCCCGCAAAGAGCATCTGCCCCGAAGCAGCCAAAACCAGTCCTGGTTGACGATGCGGCCGACACAGACTCGCGCGCCGAGTACGAGTTCGGCGGCCCGCTGGGCGTCGGCGCCATGATGGTCGGCTTCCCGCTGCTGATGTGGTACATGTTCGTCGGCGCCGTCTGCTACGACGGCAAGCTGCCGCTGCCCTCGGACGGCCAGTCGCTGCCCGACTTCGTCGCCCACCTGGCCTCGCTCGCCTACACGCACGCCTTCCCCCACCCCAAGGCCTGGGCCATCTACTGGACCTTCCTGGTGCTCGAGGGGCTGGGCTACCTGTACCTGCCCGGCGTCTACGGCAAGGGCAAGTACCTGCCGCACCTGGGCCAGCAGCTGCCCTACTACTGCTCCGGCATCTGGTCGTGGTACATCACCATCGCCGCCGCCCTCGCCCTGCACTTCTCCGGCCTCTTCCGGCTGCACACGCTGCTCGACGAGTTCGGCCCGCTCATGTCCGTCGCCATCCTGAGCGGCTTCCTGGTCGCCGCCGTCGCCTACGTCTCCGCCCTGGCCCGCGGCGCCCAGCACCGCATGACGGGCAACCCCGTCTACGACTACTTTATGGGCGCCGAGCTGAACCCGCGCCTGCTGGGCTGGCTGGACTTCAAGATGTTCTTCGAGGTCCGCATCCCGTGGTACACGCTCTTCCTGCTCTCGCTCGGCACCGCCCTCAAGCAGTACGAGGAGCTGGGCTACGTCTCGGGCGAGGTCTGCTTCATCCTCATGGCCCACGCCCTGTACGCCAACGCCTGCGCCAAGGGCGAGGAGCTCATCATCACGAGCTGGGACATCTACTACGAGAAGTGGGGCTTCATGCTCATCTTCTGGAACCTGGCCGGCGTGCCGCTGACCTACTGTCACTGCACCATCTACCTGGCCAACCACCACCCGTCCGAGTACCACTGGAACCGCGGCGTGCTGGCCGCCTGGTTCGCCGCCTACCTGTTCGCCTACTGGGTGTGGGACACGGGCAACAGCCAGAAGAACATGTTCCGCGCCATGGAGCGCGGCACCGAGCTCAACCGCAAGACGTTCCCCCAGCTGCCGTGGAAGTACGTCAAGAACCCGCAGATCATCAGGACCAAGACTGGCGACAACATCCTGTGCGACGGCTGGTGTAAGTTTTCATTTCGGCCCTCGCTCGCCAAGACTGACCTTCTCTCGCAGATGGCAAGGCCAGGAAGATCCACTACACCTGCGACTGGTTCTTCGCCTTTTCCTGGGGCCTCATCACCGGCTTCAACTCGCCCTTCCCCTGGTTCTACTCCATCTTCTTCACCGCCATGATCATCCACCGCGCCAAGCGGGATATCGAGAGATGCCGCGAAAGGTACGGCGAGGCTTGGAAGGAGTACGAACGCCGTGTCCCGTACCTGTTCATCCCGGTAAGTGTCCCGCTGCATCGCTACGACAAAACATGTGCTCCCTCTGACGCTTTCTCAGTACGTCTTTTAAGCTGCGAGCCATCACCTTCGCCACTTTTCTTCACCGACCAATGTGTCGTCGTACTCTTGCACGTAATGCCCACGCACGGCCGACAGCTTCTCTTCTCACATCCCGTCTTTCGAACCTTATATGCGTATTAATCTCAAGACCGCCGAGCCGCGGCAGCCATGTCTTGCCCCACTCGCCGATAGAAGCCCGGGGACCAGACTAGAGTCTCTGCAGAAGAAGAAAAAAAAAAACCATCAATAGTAATACCGCTCACGTCACTCAATCCTCTTTCTTCTCTTTCACGGTGATGTCCTTGCTCGATTCTCCCTTCACAATGATGCCTGCGAAACCGACACACCTGGCCACGACCTGCAACATCGTCGTCCAACTTTTTCCCTTCTCGGAATCACTTCTCTCTCTCTCTCTCTCTCTCTCTCTCTCTCTCTCTCTATGCCACGCTGCACCTTGCTGCGTCTTTCCTACGTTGCACCTGCCAGAGACGAAACATGATGGCAGCCGCGACGGCATAAGCGACTCCCGAATAGATCTGAGGGTACAGGTACGGCCGTTGCGCGCCAGGTCGGCGGATCTGGAGTGCGATGACTTCGGAAACTAGAAGGTGGAGAACCACGACAAAAGGGGGTATCAATCAGCATGTTTTCATCCCACCCCATCATCACTCTTCTCCTTCTCGGTTTTTGTTTTGACATACACGTGCAGGGCAGGACGATGGTCGCCCAAGCCAGCGACAACATGGAATTGAGATGTTTCAGCCCGGCCACTTCAACGCAGAGCGGCGAGATGGTCTGGACAAAAACCGACAGTCAGCCAAGCCATGAGCACAGAAGCACCGCGCATGCTCGAAAATCAGAGCAACAAAAAGACGAAGAGGAACAAGGAAGACAAGAAGAAAAAGAAGAAGGACCAAAAAAAAAAAAAAACAGCAGCAGCACCCACCATCCACAACACTCCCAAGACGGCGCCGCTCACGACGGCAAACCCCACGACGACGCCGTACTTCGCCCCGTCCCCGCCCTCGGCCTCGGACACGGGCAGCCAGACGGCAAACACCAAGACGGCGCAGGCGGCGGTGGCCGCGCCCGCGACCTCGAGCCTGCCCCAGCGGTCGCTCGCCCAGCCGAGGGCGGGGCGCCCGACGGCGGTGCCCAGGTTCAGCCAGGCGGTGACGGCGTCTGCGCGGGCGGCACTACTAGGGGCGGCGTCGCGCACGTACGCCGACAGGCTGTACAGCAGCGTCATGTAGCCGAGCATGGAGCAAAAGGCCCAGGCGAGCAGGAGGGCGACGTCGGGGCGGGCGAGGAGGGCGGCGTCGAAGCCGCGGGCGGTGGGGCGGAGCTGGCGGTCGCGGCCGCGGACGAGGGCGACGGCGGCGAGGTTGACGGCGGCGGAGGCGATGGCGAGGGTGCGCAGGGCCCAGGCGACGCCGTCGCCGCCGGTGGTCGTCATCGACATGACGCGGGACGAGGCCAGGGAGAAGGCGATGCCGCCGACGCCGGACCCGGCCGACACGATGCCGTTGGCGAGCGACCGGCGCCGCGCGAACCACTGCGAGGTGACGGCGGCCGAGGGGAGGTAGGCGAGGCCGATGCCCGCGCCGACGAGGACGCCCTGGGTGAGGTAGAGCTGCCAGATCTGGGTCCTGTCGGCAAAGGACGCGAGGAGGTAGCCGGCTGTTTGGATCAGGACCCCTGCCAGCATGGGGATGTGGATGCTGTCGAGCACGCGGGTGATGATTGTTATGGGCGAGGCCAGGGCGAGGGCGCAGCCGAATTGGAGGCCGCCGATGAAGGCGTAGTCGAGGGCGGTGGCGCCCGGGTGGGCGTCGGTGCTGAGGTAATGGGAAAGGAATACGCCGTAGGTCTATTGGTTTTTGTTCTTTGTCAGGGATGGTACAGGACTGTCGATCGGGGGGGACGTGGTGAAAACAAAATAAGAAAGTTTGGGATCATGTACAAGCCACTGCAGCGAGATTTGGTGGGATGGATGGACGGATGGGATCGCTGGAGCTTACTCACGGCTGCTATTCCCCACGTGCAAGCGTTCAGCATGAAGACGCACCCTACGCATACCCAGCCGTATCCACCATCTGGTGGCGTGGCGGACGTGTCTTGTTCGACCACGACACTGCCATTGGTGATAGCCGGTTCGGCGACGGTGGCGGCTGCGACGACTTCGGAGCGTTCTGCGTCGTTACCCATTGTTGTGAGGGGTTCCCGTCTTGAATCGCTCTAGCAGATGGGCTTGGTTTGGTGATGATGGTGTACGGGAGCGGTAAGCAATACAGCTCAGATACGATTGTGCAAATGCACCAAAAGCGTCAACCGAACCATGTGAGTCTTTGGTATCGAGCTGCTTCTCCCGGACAGAAGGCTGGAAAGGCCGAGCTATTTGATATCCAGCTCAATTGGAAAAGGGCTATCAAAAAGTCCTACGATATTGCACAAAAACGAATGGCCTGCTTCTCGGCATCTCTGGCCGAGGGGGCGGGGTCGTGTATCAGCGACTGGGGTGGAGGGATGGTTACGCCATCAATGCAGTTGGTTGCAGGGAACTATACCCCACTTTGGAAGTCGTCAAAGGGACGGCTCGGATAATCTGCATGCACGACAGCCAGTAGCGGTCGCGAGCGATGACGGCGGGCGGGCGAGCCGCGGGCTTGTTGGTCGGTGATCATCAGATAAGACAATGTGCATCATTTGCTGGGAAGAGGATGCTTGAGAAGCGGTGTCGGCCGTGGCGGTGAACCGGTTCAGGTTGTGCAGGGTGATTAGGTTGAGCCTGGTCTTGGACGGCCATATCCACACCGAAGGCACTACGGTGATGAGAGGCGGTGTCGAGAAGCGGTGTCCAATGCCGGTGGCAAGAGGCGTTATCACTCCGGGTGGACATCGCCGCAGCCCTCTTTGGGTGACCGACAAGGGCCGTCAACGTTGCTGCAGACCGTGAGCAGTACCCGGGTTGCGACGACTGTTGCAAGGAAAAAAAAAAAAAAGAGAGGCTCTACGCGGCTTGCGACGTGGCGTGAAAGGCATTACATTTGACGACACTTTGACAGAAACGGCCTGATCGACGGGCTATAATCGGCGTGCAAAACTCCTGCCATGACTGAGCAGTCCGTATCATGTGCGTGTAAACTCCAAACGACGGAAAGCAAGGAGAGTAGCCAACATATAAACAACATGGAGCGCGAGCGTGGTACTATAGCTCGTGACGGCCCGCAAACATGGCGAAGTCTACAAGGAAGGTTTATTCGATATATGCGGGAACACGTGGGCGAGACTACCATTGGGCTCATCGAGCGGAACCTTTGGCGTGGCATCCGGCTTCAATTCATCCGCCGACTTGACTCTGCTTTCGCCATGGTCGGTGACATTGCCCGTGTCAGGGTTGGCAGAGAGTTCCTTTTCAGGCTGCGGTGACTGAGGGCCGCTCTGCGTGCCGGCCTTTTTCCCAATGTGGTTTTCCAACCACTTGTGCTGGTTGTCGGCCAGCTTCAGCGTCTGATCAACCTGCCTGCTGAGCTTGTCGACCTCGTCCTCGAGCGCCTCGTCCTTGGTCTTGGGTGGCTCCTTGCCCAAGTCGGCCGCATCCTTGGGCGCCGTCTTGGCCCACAGCGCCTCCAGCTCGTCCAGCCAGCCACATGCCTCGGCCAATCTGCGCACACCCGTGTCGCAGTCATCAAGGAGCATTACATCGTCCCCACGCGACCCGATGGAGCCCACTTGCTCCTTGTTGATGAGCACCCGCGGACAGCCGTCGCTGACGAAGTTGGGCAGGCTGGCGAAGGGCTGGACGCTGAGGCTGGTGCCCATGACGATGCAGAGGTCGGCCTCGGCGGGCTTGTCGCGGTTGTCGAAGAAGGCGGCGGGCAGCTGCTCGCCGAAAAAGACGATCTTGGGCTTCACCAGGCCGCCGCAGCTCTCCCGTTCGCAGCGCGGAGGCTCCTTGCTGTGAATGTGCTGCCTCATCTTGTCGTCGGGGAAGCCCTGGCCGCAGTCGATGCAGGCCTGGTCGGCGAAGCTTCCGTGGGCTTCGACGATCAAGTCGCCAGGCACGCCGGCCTCGCGCTCGAGACAGTCGATGTTCTGGGTGAAGAGTTTCAAGAGGATGCCCTTGTCGTGCAGGAGGCGCATGAACGAGTGGGTGATAGTGGGGCGGTATTTGCCCGGGTACAACTCGTGGGCCAGGGTGTAGAAGGGCAGCGGGTTGTTGCGGAAGTAGGAAATGTCGAAGACGGCCTCGGCGTAGGGCAGGTTCAGACGGGCGAGATTGGCGTAGAGGCCGGTGTCCGGGCTGCGGAAGTCGGGAATGCCTGCGGAGGTGCTTATGCCGGCGCCGACCTGGGACTGTCAGCTGGGTACCTACGGGTGTGCTCAAGCGGCTGGCGGACCATGAAGACGACACGCTTTGCGCGGCCATGGCGAATGTATTTCGCAAGGCCGTCGAGGGAGCGGGAGTCGAGCGTCGAGGGCGGAACGCTCTCGTCAACGACGGAGCTCTCGTCCTGGCCCATTCTCCAACCGCGGCCTGCCCTTCCAGCCTTGCCGCGATTCGGGTTCTTGTTCTGGGGTCTGTCTTTGCCGTGCTTGCCCTGGGGGGCGTGCTGGCGGTGCGGCTTGTGCTTGCGGCCTATGGTGGCGAGTGAGAGGAGACTGCGGAGACGACGATACACGGCGGGGGCGAGAGCTTCGATGCAAGTGACGGGTCTTCCGAGTGGCGATGTTGTCGACTGGATGGCAGCAGGCAGCGGGCATTGGGTTGGTTTTCTTCGCGCGCAATGCCAACGGCAGCGAGCGTCATAGCTCAGCTCGAGTCCCGCCCCCACCCCCCGCGTACCAGCGCGAGTCATGCCGAACGGCCCGCGCACGTACACGAGTCAGGCATTTCCTGCGAGGCTGGCGCTGCTGTGATACAACAACATGGAACAACAACATCCATGATCAACACTTGCATTATTTCATCTAAACTACATGGCCACCCCTACCACTTGCCGAAACATGTCCCATGCGCCGCTGCATGTCAGCGTCTACCCTTCAGCGAATGAGCTTGGCCCTGCACCACAGCTCCGGCTTTTGCCACAGCGTGTACACATCCTGGTCCGCCCAGTTGGCGCTCTCGGCACAGAGCGACAGGTCGAAGTGCCACAGCACCTTCGCCATGATGATGCGCATCTCGTGGTACGCCAGGCTGCATCTCCCGGTCAGCATCATGCAGTCGCTGCGTCAATCACAAACTCACTTCTTGCCCAGGCAGTTGCGCGGCCCAAACGAGAACGGCTGCAGAACCTCCTTGCGGTCGCTGTCGTAGCCGGTGCCCGGCAGCCACCGCTCCGGCACAAACGAGTCGGGGTCCTTGAAGTTGCGCGTCGACCGGTAGGCCGACCAGTTGTGCACCGACAAACGCGTCTGGGGAGGTCATCGGGTCAGCATTGCCGCCATGGCCCACGCCGGGGATAACGAACCTTTTCCGGCACCCACTCGCCGCAGATGACATTGCCGCCCTCGGGCGTCTCGCGCGGCAGCCCGACGGGCACCGGCGGGTACATCCGAAGCGCCTCCTCGAAGCACGCGTTCAGGTACGACAGCCGGGGCAGCCGCTCCACCGTGAGCTCTTCCTCGCCGAGCGCCCTCACCTCGCGCTCCGCCTTCTGCATCTTGTCGCGGTTGCGGAGGAAGTAGTACGTGAGCCCGCTAAGCAGCGTCGCCGTCGTCTCGGTGCCGGCCGCCATGAACAGCGACGAGTTGGCGTGCATCTGGCCCACGCTGAGCTGCCCCTTGTTCTTGTCCAGCACCAGGCTCCAGATGTCCGGCTTGGCGTTGACCCCCTTCTCGAGCCGCCGGTCCACCCGCTCGTACGCGTTCCGGAAGTGCAGCAGCATCTGCTCCGCGAGGCCCTTGGGCATCCACCGGTTGACGAGCTTGCCGAGGAGCGGGTACTCGGTGCGCATGCGCGAGAGGTGCTGCGCCTTGATGTTGCCGTACACGGCCTTGACCCACGGCGTGTACTCGGACTGCTCGAGCAGCCCGAGCGGCTCGCCGAAGGTGAGGTCTCCCGTGATGTCGAACGTCGCGCAGTTGTAGAGCTTGACCATTCCGATCTTGGCCTCGCCGTCCGCCTTGACCGAGCGACGCATGTTGTCGATCATCTGGTCCGCATACCGCTTGATCAACGGCTCCTGGAGCTTCAGCGCCCTGTCGCTGAAGGCGTTGGCGAAGATTCTGCGCACCGCCCCGTGAGTCTGTATGTCGTACTCGGAAACCAGGTGGTTTTCGCCGTTCAGGTCCGGTTCGTAGAAGCGCGAGTCTTTGCCGTTCTCCTTTCGCCCGCCCGTCCGGTGCCCGTAGATGTCTTTCCACGCTTGAGGGCTGATGTAGCTGAGTCGGTCAGGCCCGAGCCGGACAACTTCGCCGTATCTTTCGTGTTGGCGTTGGGTCCAGGTTTCGATGCGGCCCCCGAAGCCTATGAACCACCAGACGAGAGAGCTGATGCAGGCATACTTCGGTCCCGGGACTGTCCAAAGGTAATCTTAGCCGACGTAGATGCATATCCACACGAGGGCGACTCACATTTGCTCAAAGGATGAAAGTAGACATTGTATACCGCCGTGGCAACAAGCTTCACGAAGACCTGCAATGCAACACATCAGAGTCCGACTCAGAATGGACGGGGGAGTCGACGGCTCAGCATACCAGAGCCGCAACGCCACCTAATAGGAGTGGCAAGGTCTTGAAAACACCAAACTTGGATGGAAGTCCTTGAATTGGGACTTTCCCCATGTCCGCCATGCTTCGGGAACCGAGTTTTTCCATGGTCGCGGTAACGAAGGTGAATGGGTGACGTGAATTTGGTTTCTGGTCCTTCCAAACTGCTGGGGTTTATATAGGCCTGGAAAAAAAGCCAAGGATGAATCGGCCCAGAGGTCATACCATCCCCGCAACACCAATTGCCGAACCGTCCTGGTCCTGGAAAGCCTGCATCTCTCTGCTTACTCCAGCACGTGTGTAGCCATGAACCCCGGTTCTTTCTGCGAGGCAATGATGGAGGCTGGCAGGGATCGGAGGGTGTGTGGAGTTGGGGCAGGCGGGACAGACGGCCTTGCCGCTGCCAAGGCATATTGACGGACATCAAGGGCCCTTTGGTGGACTGACGGGAGAGGTTCCGTGACATGTCGCAGGACGCCAGGTATTAAACGGTCGCGCATACGATGCAAGGATCCCAAGACGGTGCTTGAAAGTACCACATCGTCGACCCCGCACCCAGGCGGTGGGCAAGGCAGGGCCTATCGAGTTAGCTTCGAGTCAAATCGACTGGCTCGGGTGAAGCAGTTCCTTTCGGTCCGGACGGGCGCCTAACGACAAGCCGCATGGTGGATGCTGGGCCCGGTGAAACTGCAGCCGCAGAAAGTGGATATGTTCGTCTCGAGTATTGCCCTGCGAGCACTTACTTGTTCTGGCTCTTTGCCATCTCGTGAGGGCTCCTACGGGCTGGGGCAGCTCGGAGATGATCCCATTTGCAGAGCTTACGAAGCAGGACGGATCAATTGCGGAGAAACGCGAATCACGGGCAGGTGCACCGGATTGTCGATCCGCATCGTAGCTTTGGATAATAGTCGTGTTGTCAGCCGCCGTGGCTTTGTGAGGTCTCGTGTTGGCGCAAAGCGGGGTAGGTCGATTGAAGGCTCATGGCTGGTCTTACGGTCATCAATGTGGGAGCACTGTTGGTGGTGTGTGAAGGCCGAATCGTGCAGCCTTGTATGCCGGTTTCCCGGCAGGGAATAGCGAGAGATGCGCGATGCAGGTCTCAGAGCATGTGCCTGTCCCCCTGTCGGATTGCTAACGAGATAGCGGCGATGCCCACATTCTTACTGGTACGCCCGCCTTCATCTCCTCTTTTCTGTCCATGCTGCTCTTCCAAGCTCCTTATCATTCAACATGCCCTCGACTCGTCGTGACGAAAACCGTTATCCTATTCCACAACCTCGACGCTCGTCGTTTTTGGGTCGCATTTTCCGAAGGTCAAGGTAGCAATGTCGTCGTCGCGGATCTGCATTGCCACTATCACCGTATTCGTCAGTCAATTTCTCTGGCAACAGGATGCTGCTGTGATGCAGCACGAAGATGCATAAGTTCCTTTTCATGTCCTTGGCATTGTGGAGACAGGTCTAGAGTTTAGTACTTACGCGTTAACCTCTTAGAGCTCCATTCAGCGAAACACCCAGTAAACGATGCCTGTCAGTCACCTTGGTACGGTAGACGGAGCTGCTCGATCATCTTTCGCAACGGAGCAATGAAAGATGGGTACATCCAGCGTCTTATAGTTGTTGTCAGAACGATAAGCAAAGCGGAATCCTGCGTGGCTGCGGTGCGGACAAACGGCCAATCGCACCAACTTTCTTGATAACTCAAGGTGGTGCGTGAGTCATGTGTGGTCGGAATAATCAGCGGCTGGGCCTTCACGATAGGCATTTGCATTCGGCTTTGGCCTCGAAATAGTGAATTTACGTCAACCGCCACGTCAGCGTCAGTCTTCGCTGCTCCGGCTGTACTCTTCATCATATACGCTACCATTGGGGCTCATGTATCCATTTCAACACCAATTCATGCGTTTCGCTCAGCTTCAAGTTTCTCGCGCCATATCCGCTTCCCTTCTCCCCTGGGCTCCGTGCCAACATAATTTCCGTCTTCATCCTTTGCCCAATACTTCAAGTACTCCCCTCGTGTCATCTTGACATTGACAATCTTTTGCTTTTCTTTAGTCCCCAGCTTCTTGCCCAGCTTTGCGATCCAGGATGACCGTCTTTCATTTGGCTGCGGAACAGGTTCCGATCCGTCCCACAGATCCGCTGCAGGAATCGGTACGTTGATCATGGACTTGTCGGTGAACCTGACCGGCAACAAATTCGGCGCACCGCTACCAGTGAAGGATCCACAGTCCATGTTGGAGATGCCCGGTTGATAGTCTGGTTTCCTGCGGCACGCTGTCAGTGGAATAGAGATCTCGGTCACGGCAGGGGAAGTACACACGGCCGACCAGCTGCTGTAAAGCGCTCCATGTCAGGCTCCTCCGACGTTTCAATAATTATCGGTGACCCATGAACTGGATATCCATTCTTTGTGGCTGGACCAGTACGATCGGTTTCCGAAATGGTGTTTTTCTCAGCCATCATTCCCGTTGTGTTGCCTCCTGGGGTGAAGACAGGTGCGTTCGATCTTTAAATAGCGAAGCTTTCAGCTTTGTACTAAAAACGCCACCCTCCACCTGCTGATCGCCTGACCCTCCACCTATCGCAGGTTCCTGAACTGACCCATTTCCAGCGACGCGACCAAGGAAGTCACCAAAAAAAAAAAAAGATACTTTACCCGGCAGGTCGTGGAAATCCCCATCACGCTTCCGCTGCCGTTATCAAAACCTGAAATGGAAAAATCCCCTTTCCGAGCCCCCTAGCGTCCAATACGCGTGAAGAGGCCGCTCATTATTGTTAGTAGTCCCCTGATCGGAGACGAGGTAAGGGATGATCGGCCAAGTTGGAGATGGTTCAGCTCTGTCCCGATGTAGCCAAAATATCTGGAGCAAAAACGAGGGCCGCATGAGGAAGGCATGCTACCCTGTTGCGGCTTCGCTTGATGCTCCCCCTCTTCGACCTACTCTTTCCGGTTACCTGCCCTCCTCGCTCTGGCCCAGTTCGGACATGCCAGCTTCCGGAAAAAGCTACGTCGACGACATCCCTTCGTGTGTAAATCGGCCGGAACTGTCTTTCTTTGCGGAGGTGACGAGTAGCTCGCAGAGCATCTTCCCAATCGACTGCCAGTCCCGTTGTACGTGTGGAGTAGCGTCACCACGCTGTCGCAGAAGACTATAAAGCACCCCTTCGGCCCCAGTTCAGCCATCGAGAATCAACTCATCAAGCATCTCAATCACAGCAAAGACCTTACTACTGTCACCACAACAGTCAACACATCACCCATACCCAACGATGTACTTCCCAACCCCAGGCCGCCTGCTCCTTCTCAGCAGCCTCTCCCACACCTTAGTCCACTGCCAAACGGACGCCTCCGCCGCCGAGGCACAAGCAGCAGCAGCAGCAGCAGCACCACACCCCCACATGACGGGCACTACGCCGGCAAACCTCCGCGAGTTCGACCCGATCGCGCACCCCTTCCGGATCGGCATCCCCTCCAACGCGAAGCCGCACGCAAGTCGCACACACACACGGTCGCGGTCGCACCCACAGTCACAGCCACAGTCACAGCCACAGTCGCAGTCGGAGTCGGACCCCGTGCAGACGTCGTACGAGACGAGCACCGACGTCGACCCCTCGACCTGGAGCCACATCTCGGACGTGACGTACGGCGGGCTGACGGGACCGCCGTCGCCGCCGCCGCCGCCGAGCGCGGCCGCCGCGCTGTTGGAGGGAAACGTCGGTGATGGCGCGGTTGCGACGAGCCCCGCGGCGGTGGAGCCGGAGCCGGTGCAGACCACGACGATGGCGTCGTACGAGACGAGCACGGATGTGGATCCGGCGACGTGGTCGCATGTGGCGGATGCGACGTATGGGGGCTTGGGGGCGCCGCCGGCGGCGAAGGATAAGAGGCAGGCGAGCAGCAGCGGTAGCGGTAGTGGTGGTGGTAGTAGTACTGCTACTCGCTCGTTCTCGTCGTCTGGGCGTGGGGAGACGACGATTAATATTACGCTGGGGAAGGGCAAGACGTCGACGACGACGGCGACGAAGTCGGCGACGGGGACGGCGGCGAGCGCGTCGGCGAGTGTGAAGAGTGGCGCGGAGAGGCGGTTGAGGGTGCCATGGATCTTTGCAGTGTTGGGTCTGTTTTGAGGTGGGTGAGGTTTGGTTGCGGCGGTTGGGTCAGTTGGAGTGAACGGAGGTACGCTTGCTCGTTGCGGAGGATAATACAGGGCGAAGTGGGACGTTCGTTGTTGGCTTACCAAACCTTCTTGTAGCTGTCGAGATCATTGATTTCTTCTCCTTCCACAACTTCCCTGCTGTTATTTTCATGCCGGACGCGTGAGATGGGTTGACTTCTCTGGGTGAGCGAAGCGTGCGAAGCGACTCGAATAATGACTCGGGTGGGCTTTCTCGGGTGGGGCGTGCGGCAGGAGCTTGGGCGCGCCTCACGTCATTGCGACCGACGCGCTTTTGCTCAAAACGCGTCGTCCGTCACGTCACACAGCTTTCCCACCCATCCAACCGAATCCATGTTCAAACCCATCATTCGCCGCCTGAATCCAATCGCACAGCTTGCCACTCTCTCACCCATCAGTGCTATCAGACATCACCGTCGCCGTTACAGTACGATGCCCAAGGGAGCAGCAGCGGCTCGCGGCCGCAAGCGCGCCGCCGCCGATGAGTACGAGAACGACGGCTTTGTTGTCGACGACGGATCCACATCCAAGAAGCCCAAGACGGGCCAATCGGCCAAGGGAAAGCAGGTTGACAACGAGGGCGCCGATTACTGGGAGGTGAGAGTGGAACGCGACCGTAGGATATCTTGAGCCTGTGCTGACCCGCCGCTCACTCAGCTATCTTCGAAACGCCGCGTCACCATCTCCGAATTCCACGGAAAGCCCATGGTCAGCATCCGCGAATACTACGAGAAAGACGGCGTGCAGGCGCCGGGCAAGAAGGTATGGCCGCCGCATCGTCCCACACTCGCATCCATGGGCCGTGGTTGACGCGACCCTTGCAGGGAATCGCTCTTAGCCTCGACCAGTACAACGTGCTCATGGAAGTCCTCCCCGAGATCGAAGCCTCACTGGCAAAGAAGGGTCAAACAGTGGTGAGGCCGAATTTCGAGGGCTCGGGCAGTGGTGCAGCCAACGAGGATGCCGGCGACGCAGGCGGCGACACGGTCAAGCGCAACCACGAGGCTACGAGTGACGAGGACGACGAATAACGGGCCACCCCCTCCGACATGGACACATAACACCAGGGTCCACTGTTTCAGACCACACCTTTCGACGTGGTTCAAATAAGGTTGACATGGCTTGACGTGGTACGATGTCAGGGCTTCATACAGGCGCAAGGTGGCTCCAGGCTTTCGTGGCTTCTTTTCTCCTCTTTCCCTTCATATCCAAGCAGCTGCGTTCTTGTCGCTATCTACAGCCGTGCGAATTTGCATTCAGTTTGCTGCTCGCTGCCGTTGACCCCGTGCCGATCGACGCCATGGCACTTGTGACTGCCCCAGTGCTGAACGTGGTACGTTGAGGCTGGACCCTTTTCCCAACTGCCAGAGGCACAAGTAGAACAGAGCCAATTGAAAACAGTTCCTGCCCGCCGGAGAGGTTGTGTTCTCTCTCACAGCCGTACTTCTGCTCCCTGTCTGTCGCACTTTAAGAAGGCGCCTTCCAACAGCGACTGCCGCCTTCACCACACCACCGCGCCGCACCGCCACCGTCGCACTGTCTCAGCAGCCGAAGGCAGTCACTCCGTCCAAGACAAACCACCCGCCCTTCGACACACACGCGAAAATGTCGAACCCCTTCCCGTCCGACTGGAGCCTCAGCTCTCCGAAAGAGCAAACGGCGCCGCCCGCTCGACCGCCGCTCATCCCGCTCCGCAACCTCTCCCTCAAGAACGCCTTCGGCTACTGCGGCCAGATAATATCGCGCCTCTCGGCAGACTGGTCGCTGCCCGCGCTCGACCGCAGCTCGTCGACACGCGAGTCCTCGACGCCGTCGTCGCCCATCACGCCGGCCGACGAATACAGCGACTACAACAACAACAACGACAAGGCATCGGCCTCGTCGTCCTCGTCCTACAAGTTCCCGTTCCCGTGTTCGCCACGAGCGAAACAACAGCGATGGCGCACCGAGATGCGCGACCTCTGCAACTCGCAGCTCGGGCTGCAACTGGCCATCGTCCTGCCCGAGTGCACGTCTGCAACAGCACCATCGTCATCAGCATCGCGCCCCTCACAATGCTGTTGTCAGCGAATGGAGCTGCGGCATAGTGAGGGGCCCGGCGGCGACGCGATTCCGGTTTTGGATCTGGATGCAGTGCATGAGGAAGAAGATCAGTCGTCGTCGATTGGTGGTGGTGGTGGCGAAGGGGGAGGAGCTGAATCGACACAAGCAGGGCCGGAGGAGGAAGCTTCAGGCGACGACACGGTGCGGCTCAACGCTGGTGCTGCTGCAGTGAGCAGCAATAGCCGCAGCAGCATCCGCACAAACGGCAGTGAGCTGGCGAAATATGCAGGCCGATTAGTCGCGCCACGTGATTTGCTGTTTGAGTAGAGAGCTGGCTGGCTGGCTCGCGGGACGGGCATGGGCATGGCAAGGGCATGGAATGGCTGGGACGCGTGCCACGTCGAATGGACGCACGCGCTCGTGTCGGGCGTGATGAATGAATGAGAGAGACTATTTAGCAACGAGATACCCCCACGAAGGCGGGGATGGGAGAGGTCGTATTTGAAACTCGTCCCCTGATTAGAGACAGTAATTCAGCCTTGAGCTTCTTCGTCGTTCGCGAGTGATGGTGGCGTCGTGGTGGCGCAAAACGTGCTTTGGGAGGTGCAGCCACGGCGGTGGTCAGGGTAGGTAGCACTTGTGAAATCGTACAGCGCGAGATGTAGTTACTCCAGCTGACAGCGTCGGCAGAAAGGGTTGCCCTCTTCGCTGGAGGGAGCGCAGAATGGATATGTTTACCGGATTGGGAAAGAGGATGGGCTGCCTTGTGTTGGCCGCGAGCCGCGAGTCAGGGCATCGTCTGTCTCGCACTCCGTCTCTCGCGCACGACCATGTCCTCTTCCTCCGACTGGCATGCGACCCGCTCGGCAGCACACCTCAGCTCTCGATGGGATCGACAAGGGTGGTAAGGCTGAGGGATGGAACAGCCGGCGGGGGTCAGACGCGCGATTTGGCCTCGACTTTCTCGCGCACAGCCTGCTCTCGCCAGAAAGCACCTCGCGCTTCTCCAGCTGCTGCGCGCGGGCCAGGCTGCCACAACAATTCAAGCCGCTCGCCGACATGGCCGCAGACGGCGCTCACCACACCCCGCTCCGCCCCCCGCAGCTCCTCCTCCGGTGAACAGGCTCACCCGACGCTCCTCTCCGCCAAGCTGCCATGTCAGAGTCCTCGATTGGCGCCCAGCGCAACTCGTTCCTGTCGCGAGCTGTACGATAGCTGCCAACGACCCCCTCGGCCTGCGCCACATGCTAATGCGACTTGCTGCCCCAGTGCGAAAACTGCCGCCTGAGAAAAGTCTGGCCTCTCGCTGCCCGCGCCGCATTCCGCATTCCGCATTCCGCATTCCGCATTCCGTATTCCCGGGCTGACGTTCCCCAGATCAGATGCGACAAGGCGATTCCGTGCGCCAGCTGCAGGACGCTGGGAATCGCTTGCCAGGCTGCCGCCCGCAGCTCCGAGCACCGCCCGCGCGTTGTCATTTCCAGCCAGTACGAGAGGCAGATCGAGCTGATCCAGCAGCGCCTCACCTCCATCGAGAAGAGCGTCAAGGACATCTCGCTGTCGCGCGCCGCCACCCCCGCCCGCTCATCGCCCGCCAACGACCGCGGCCCCTCGACCTCGACCCACGGCTCGCCCTCCACCCCCATCACCGCCTATGAGGGTGATTCCTCCTTTGGCTCGCAGACCCTGCAGGCTGGCGAGGCCGCCGATCGCACCATTGCTCGTGTGCTTGGCGCCGCCTCCACCGCCGAGGTGCGCAGTGCCCTCTCGTCGTTGCGACACAGCCTCGAGACCCACGACTCGTCCACCCGTGTGCATGACGCCTATCTTTCTCCATCCGCCCCGCGCGCCGGCTCTCCCGAGCTGACCCTACCGCCCGTCGAGCTTGTCGTGGCCATTGTGCGGAGGATCAAGGGTGCGTCTGCCCGCCCTGCTCAACGCCACCCGGCTATACTAACTCCAACCGTCAGTCCATCCGCCCTTCTCGCTCGTCGGATATTGCTGGCGAGACCTTCAGCAGCTCGAGAAGCTCTGTCAAAAGGTTTACTTTCCCTCGGACTCTGTTACCCCGGGATCCCTGACCCTCATGCATGGCCTTCTCTTCTTCACCCTACGAGATTACATCACCGAAAATGACACCGCCCTTTCCAACTGGGACCTGCCCGTCTTTGCCGAGCTCTGTGAGCACAACTTTTATCAGTGTCTGGAGAGATACGAGAGCCTCGTCGTCCCCACTCTTGAGAACATCCAGTCTTTGCTCCTTGCGGTAGGCTGACTCCTCCACTGTCCTTGGCCATGAGTTGACTGTTGGCAGGCTACAAGAGCGCAGGAGCAGTCCAAACTACAGCTGGTCTGGACGTACGTGAGTGCTGGCCACGCCATGTGCCAGACTCTGGGCTATCACCGAGAATCGCACCTCAGGAACGACAATCCCGACGTTGCTGAAGTCAAGCGTCACGCTTTCTGGAACCTTTACATGGTGGACAAGAACCTTTCGCTTGGTCTAGGACGGAAGGGCAACTTCCAAGACGACGACATCGATGTTGAGTTGTTCAAAATCTCGCCGAATCCCAGATTTCGCGCGTGGGATGAGATCGCGCATGCGTCGATCCGGTTCGCGAAAGTCCAAGGCCAGGTTTACGATCGGCTGTACTCGATGGGTGCCTCCAAAGCTTCTTCGGAGCAGAGATTGTTGGCCGTAGAGGAACTGACACAAAGGATGGTGGAACTGCGGAACGAATTGGTGGCGGTACGGACACTGGGCCCCTCCAATACTTGGATCTACTGTTGACAGAGTGAATGATACCAGGTCGATGCCAGTGGGGCCGAGTACGGAGAGCACCTGGATAGCATGGTCCACGCTGCCGACTTCATTGCGTACACGGTCCTCACCACCATATACCGGGCGCAGACCTCGACCGGGACGGGAACTGAGATCAGCTCGAAATGCTTCGAGACGGCCCGTCTTGGGCTGCAAGCCCATCTGAAATGCTTCGAGTCATTCCAGAGCAGCAGCATGCTTGAGCAGATAGACTACGTTACCTGGTCAGCCCCGTCGACCCGAACCTGCCTCTTGTTTCGATGTGCTGACGGGACGCAGGATCCTACTCTACCCCACGTTTACCCCTTTCGTCGTGGTCTTCACACACGCGATTGCCACCATGTCGACGGAAGACCTCCGGCTGCTGCAAGAGACGACCGGGACTCTGGACCAGGCCAAGCACGTCTCCGAGGGCGCACAGCGGCTGTACGACGTGTGCAAAGCGTTCACGGACGCAGCCGAGATCCTGATCAACTCGGGCCAGAAAGTCACGGGCATGCAGCAGCACGACGACGGCTCCCTCGTCTTCCCCGCAGTGACCGACCCTCATCCTCCCATGTCAGCCCAAGACTTGATGTGGCCGACGTGGCCTACCCCGATGCACGGCCTAGACCCTGGCAGTATAGACATGTCCATGTTTCTGGGCAACTGGCTGGGCGCGAACCGGCCCGTCATGGACATGCTGAACCTCGACCCGACGGACCAAGAGTTGGGCTTGTAGTATCTCGGATTGGCGTCTTGGTCGAGAGCGTTGATTGCGGGGCGTAGACGGAATTGAGAGTTCGCAGTCGGAGCAGTGGCGCAGGATGGGCAGGGCGCTTGAGTTTTTGTGACTCGATCAAAGAGCTCGTGTCGAAAACAGCGGACCCCGCTTCATCGAGTGATAGGATGAGTACATCAAATAATACCCACACAGAATCTGCGTTTGCAACTTATCTAGTATTTCTTGACGATGCCCTGGCTGCATCTTGATCGAGACTGGCTCGGCTTTGGCAGAAGATATTCAGCTTCTCCGAGAATCCGGACTGGGGGCTCAATAGCATCTCCGTTGCTGCCGCCTGCGGGTCCGGCGTGGCCGTGTCTCTGATTCAACTCGTCTTTGAGGACGCATGAGAAGTTTGCGGAGGAGATTGAGGTGGTGAAGACGTTGACGCGGGCGAGTGCCGATCACGCCCCGTCGAGGGAACACCAAGCGACGCGGGACTACGACAACTACAAGCAGAGCGGGATCGTGCGCATCGTCATAGCGATGCTGAAGGAGCCGTGGGAGATGTGGCCACGGTTTGCTCTCGTCGTCGTGGCTTGTCTGATCGGAGGTGAGTGGATGCGCAGGACGGGGGGGTCTAGTCATGGTCCATGACTGACAAGTTATATCGCGACATGTGCGCGGCGCAGAGTCTGGATCGGGAGGTGTGAGGGAGGGGTTGGACAAGAACGGCTGGTTGTGTATGTGGATATGTATGTAATATGTAATTGTGTTAGACAATCACGTATATTCGATAACGTTGAGGCTAATCATGATGATCGTCATGATCAACCCAACGGGGCCCTCAACACCAACGTGCTATCTTGATCAACACCCGTGTTGAGCCTTAGGAGCGCTGACCCTTCTTTCGTTCATCTATATGAACCCCAGATAGCAGTAGCGTATAATGAGACATCCAGATTCACCAGCTTCTGCCTGTGACCGTTTGCGATCACCTGCCGACAAATTTTTATGGTTATTATAAGATCTCCTTCTCGCTGTTTCTCCATGATGGTGTAGCCTAATAAGATAGGCAAATAATAAAAGTATGGCGACTGCAGATATCAAGTCTGGATGCATAGACCCCTCGCATTAGACAGCGCTAGCTCGATAGGGCCGATATCCTGTTCTTATGTAGACATTCGCGGGACGGATGTGTTTTGACTCGACTGCTATCTACTGGCCTTTCCTTCCATCGGCCCACTCGTTCTCATAGTCACGACCTAGTCGGCTATTGTTATTGCGGTGGTTTGCATATGTTCCGGCTGTAAAGACAATCATTTTTTAAATGATGTCTTAGGTTTCAATCGCACTTCTCCTGTTAGACATTGAAAGGCCCGTGTTTCACGGCAGTCCTGGAGTCCGATGCAAGGAATCCGAGCGGGCCGTGTCTTCGTATACGAATCCGAATATGCACTACCTACGAGGAGCAATGGCCGAAAAGAGATGACGTGAATGCAGATCATCGAATCGAAATGGCATAGCTACGGCTCCAACTCTCTTGGCTACACGGAAAAGCAGGCGATTCAGGGGGCACTTTTCTACCGCGGTAAGCCACCGTACACAGCCCTACGCCACAGTGAGTAAAGCCTGGCTACTCTGCCATCGACACAGTATCTTAATCCTTGACCGGGCTGGGACAATACGTCCATGCCCTGCCTCCCCTTTCCCGTCCCGGCACGAAGCCATGACCCGACGACGAGCGATCGGCAAAAGCGGATCAACGGTGGGGGCACGCCGTCGCATACGGGCCGTATCATTCAGCCAATCATCGACTAAAGACTACGAGGGCCGTTGATGCCCACCCGCGCGGACATGGCTCCAGCTAATAGGCAGGCCTGCTTTTGAAACGAGGATCGGCAGCTTTGTGCAAGCACCAAGCGGGAGAGCACCGATCCGGGCCCCGTGCGGAGTGTCTTGCGTGTTTCCCTCGTCTTGGGACCCAGGGACTGAGAGGGTGATGCCTGTGCAAAAGGCTGGCTATATATATATATCGCGGGACAGAGTCGGTGTTTTTCCCAGACCGGATCTACGCTCCCCTTTTGCGGAGACGCTCCCTACTACTTTCTGCTCTACCATTTCTACACGCACAACAACAACAACAAAGATGGCGTTCGACGTCGTTTCCGCCAGCGCTGACAGCGGTGCCCTCCAACTGGGGTCTTTGCTCTTTGCCGGTTTTGTCATCATCGTCTCCGTTTTCAGCTACTATGCAAAGGAAGAGCGGCCATACCCCGGATTCAAGCTCATCGGGAAGGAACCGGGCGAGTGGACGAATGCGAAGGCCAAAGCACGTTATTTCCAGAGTGCTGTCCAGATCTTGAGGCGGGGCATGGACGAGGTGAGTACACTCACGAGCTTTATCGTGTCTTTCTGACGTGATTTTCCAAACCAGTGCCAGGGGAAAGTGTTCCAGGTCATCGGCAACAACGGACCTATCATCATCATTCCCCCGTCCTTTGCGGACGAGATTCGGAACAACGAGAACCTCTCATTGACCGGCTTCGGCGAAAGGGTAGGCCAAGAAAAGACTCCCGAGGCTGTACAGAGCGCTCATGCTGAACGATCCGGCCGCAGAACTTCTTCCCCTCCTACCCCGGTCTTGAGGTCTTCGGCCACGGAATCGGCGAGGATCACATCTTCCAAGACGTCGTCCGCAAAAACCTCACCCAAGCGCTTGGTCCGTAATACACACCCCAACCACTAGCAGACCCGAAACTGACAAAACCACCCCAGGCGGCATGACGGCCAGCCTCTCCGAGGAAGCCACCAAAGTGATCAGTCAACTCATCCCGCCCGCAAAAGGTAAGTAAAACAAAAGGCCGCATCATCTCCCACCACCACCACCCCCTCCAATCCAACCAATCCAACCAATCCAACCCGCCACATCAACAAAACCTCCAAAAAAAAAAATTCAACGCAAGCCCCCTTCCGGCTTCCACGACACTAACCCCCCCAATTCCCAGACTGGACACCCACGCGCTTCGCCCACGCCTCGCCCATGCTCGCCGCGCGCCTCTCGGCCAAGGTGTTCCTGGGCGAGCCGCTGTGCCGCGACGAGGAATGGCTGGCCATCTCGCTGCGGTACGCGGCCGACGCGTTCGCGGCGGCGCGGCGGCTGCGCGCCTTCGCGCCGTGGATGCGGCCGCTGGTGCACCCGTTCCTGCGCGAGCTGCGCGTGGCGCGCGAGCACGTGGCGCGGGCGCGGCGCATCATCGAGCCCGAGGTGGCGGCGAGGCGGGAGGAGAGGAGGAGGATTGTTGCTGACCAGGCGGCGTCGGGGGGAAAGGAGGCGGGGTTGGCATTGCCGAAGAGCACGGATGCGATCGGGTGGTTTGAGGACGTCGCGGCGGGGAGGCCGTTCGATGTCGTCTACGCGCAGCTGCTGCTGTCGGTCGTGGCCATCCACACGACGTCGCTGACCATCACGACGCTGCTGTACGACCTGGCGGCGAACCCGGAGTACGTCGGGCTGCTGCGGGAGGAGATTGTGGGGGTGTTGAGGGAGGATGGCGGGTGGAAGAAGACGAGTCTGTACAAGATGAAGCTGTTGGACAGCTGCATGAAGGAGAGCCAGCGGGTGCATGTTCTGACGGCGAGTGAGTGTTGATGACCGACCTTCCATGTGCTTTTTTGACCGGTTGCTGACGGCGGACAGACGCGATGACGCGGCGCGTGGAGAAGGCTGTTACGCTCTCGGACGGCACCAGGCTGCCCAAGGGCTCGCACATCGCCATGCCGACGTACCAGATGTACGATCCCGCGCACTGGGGCCCCGACGCGGGCAAGTTCGACGGACACCGCTTCCTGAATATGCGCAACCAGCCGGGGCAGGAGAACCGCTGGCAGTATGTGACTACGAGCGCGGAGCATCTCGGCTTCGGTCACGGTGAGTCGGATCCCAAACGCGAAAGTCAATTCTCTTCTCTACATCTCGACTGACTGTCCCGTGTGAAGGTCAACATGCTTGCCCTGGCCGTTTTTTCGTCAGCAACGAGATCAAGATTGCCATTGCGCACTTGCTGCTGAAGTACGATTGGAAGTTCGAGGGTGAGCAGCCGAAGAGCTTGACCGAGTCCGAGTATGTTCCCGATCCAAGCGCGGAGATTTTGTACAAGTCGAGAGAGCCGGAGATCGAGCTTTGAATGTTTCATATATTGTTGGGTCAAAAAGGAACAGGTTTGTGCTTCTGGGTAGAATCAGTGCTCAAAGAAGCCCTCAATCATCCCTCTCGGGCCCCTGATCACTTCGTGTCCATTATAGGCCGTGATATCGTCTATCCATCCTCCTTAAACTTGTTCACTCACTTGATAGGCTGCGAAGACCAAGAGTGAGTGCGTGTGGCTCTAGTGCTGCAGTGCAGAGAGCAGAAGAGATTTTTTACCCACTCACTCACTTGCAGAAGGCGAGCCACCAGCCCTCTTCCACTCCACACTCAAATACTCCCTCCACGTCCTCAATCCAACCTTCTCATACCAGCCCTCCAGCGTGACCCAATCAACAAAACACCTCTCCACGCCCCTCTCCCGCATCTCCTCCAACGCGGCCGCGACGAGCGCGAGCCCCACCCCGCCCTCCCTCCTCGCCGCATCCACGCCCACGCACGCAATCAACCCCGTGCGCTCCGCTCCCAACAGCTCGGGGAAAGCGAGATCGGGTAGGAAGACCGGCGTGCCGGGCTTCAGCATCATGGTCCAGGCGATCTGCTCCCCAACACCGCCGCCAGAAGAATCTGATCCCTTCCTGTTGATCTTCCGCCTGCCATCGTGCGCGACCATGACCTGCCCGTGCAAGCCAGCCTTGGCCAACTGCTCGTACCCCTCAACCCACCCGGCGTAGCCCCCAAAATTCATTCGCTGCTTCTCCAAACACTCGGCTTCCCCCTCACGCGTCCACGGGCGGAAGACGATGCCCTTGGCGCTGGCGCGCGCGACGCGGGCCGTGGCGTCGGGGTCCGGGACGTGGGCGACGAGGTCGATGCAGAGGTCGCGGGCGCGCGTGCCGCGGGCCGAGGGCGAGTCGCGGGCGGGGGCGAAGCCGCGGTGGAAGAAGAAGGTCTGGTTCGAGGGCGCGATGTCGCGGGGGAGGCCGGGGAAGAAGCGGGGGAAGGTGGAGCCGATGGACACGGCCGTGCACTCGTGCGGCGCGGAGCAGAGGTGCTGGCGGGCGTGCGCGAGGAGGGCGGTGCCGATGCCGAGTTTTTGCTGGAAGGGGTGGACGACGAGGGCGGTGATGAGACCCTTGGGTGGGGTGGAGGGGGGAGCAGATTTCGGAGGTGGTTGGATGTGGGTTGCGATGAAGCCGACAACGGCGTCGTAGCGGCGGACGACAAAGTGGGCGCTGCGTGGTCGCGTGAGAAGGTCTGCTAGGCGCGGCTTGGAGACTTGGTAGCTTGGGAGAACTTCGTGCCATAGGGCGCAGACCTGGTCCATGTCGCGCTTTGGAGAGAAGGGCTCGGGCGTGTATTCGTGCTGGGCATTTCGCTCGACGGGGAGGTGGCCTTGACCAGTGGTGATGCCGAACAGGACATGGGCGGCGGCGGTAAAAGCGGCTGAGGTCGGCTCGTAGATTGTCAAATAGTTTTTGATCGTCTCGGTGGAGAGGAAGTCGTATGGATCACATGTAGCGACCACAATCAGCTTGTCGACAGCTTCAGCTAGCTTGAGAGCCATGTCATTTTGATAAGGTGCAAGGCGGGCATTCCTGGTGGCCAGGATCACAGCGTCTGCAGCCCTCGCAGCCTTCAGGACCTCTTCCGCATTCGAGCCATCCTCGTAGAAGCGAAGACTTTCAATTGTCGAGTTGTGGGTTTTCAGAACGTCGATGAACTCCGGGGGCGTGTGCGGGCCACGGGGTGCGACTTGGCCATACTCAACAACGCCACTGGTGATGGGCTTTTCTCCGGGCGAGACGAAGACGAGGCGGTTATGGTTGGTCAGAGGAAGTATTCCGGGTTGCATGCGCACTACGGTTGTGCTTGAGGCGTATACCTTTGATGCAAGCTCGGTATTCTGTCTGTTAATGGTGGGGAGCTGTTCAAGAGCTGCCCGACTCGGGCCGTCTTGGACGAGGGTGTATTTGTCGTCACTAAAAGAGCTGACTCTGCCATGGGACTCCTCGAGCTGTCGGGAAAAGTCGGGATCCCGCTTGGCGGCATCGAAGACAGCGTGCAGAGCGCCGGTCTGCAGGTCAAGGGTGTGGCAGATCATGACGGAATCGCAACCAGCCTTGAGAGCGGTGACGGCGCCTTGAACGGTGCCGCCGCATTCGGTGCGGATGGCCTTCATTTCAAGGCAGTCAGACACGATGACGCCGGCAAAGTTGAGGTCTTTCCGCAGAGTGCTCAGAACAGCAGGATCGAGTGTTGCGGGTAGTTTCGAGTCTCCAATGACCATGTGGGCCGTCATGACGGCGGGGACCTTCTCGATGACGGCACGGCGAAAGGGAACCAGCTCGCACTTCTCCAGGTCGTTCCAGCTTTTTTGGAGGAGGGGAAGGCCGTAGTGGGAATCGACAGCGGTGTCGCCGTGGCCGGGGAAATGCTTGACGCATGGAATGACGCCCTCGTCGCGGAGGCCGTTCAGGTTGGCGGCAGCCAAGCGGGCAACGCAGTAGGGGTCGTCGCTGAAAGAGCGGACGCCAATGACGGGGTTCTCGGGGTTGTTGTTGACGTCGCAGACGGGGGCGTAGTTCATGTTGATGCCAAAGGCGCGCAGGGCTCTGGCGGTGGCGCAGCCGACATTGTAGGCGTCGTCGATGGAGCGGGCAGCGGCCAGGGTCATGGGACCGGGCAGCTGGGGGGTGATGGGAGGAGCGATGCGGGTGACGAGGCCATTTTCCTGGTCGATGGCAATGGTGAGCGGACGGTCGTGGCCGGCGTCTTTTGCGATCTGCTGCAGCTCGCAAGTGAGAGCGCTGAGCTGTTCGGCGTCGCGGACGTTGCGCTGGAACAGCACTATCTGGCCGACGTAGTAGGGAGCGCGGATCAGGCGCTTGACGTTCTCATCCGCCGTCTGGCTGTGGAAGCCGACTATGAACAGGCGGCCGATGAGGCGGCGCAGGCGGTCGTCGTCAGAGATCATGGTGCAAGCTGGTGGCAGGGTCCGACGCGATGCCGCAATAGGCAGTGCCGGTGCAAGCTAAAGCTAAACGGCGGGGTCTTTGCAGAGCAGAGGATGCGATTGCGATCAATCAATTGTGCGAGGTTGGGAGGCGGGCGGGCGGCATGTGGTTTGGCCAGGTGCGCGAGCTTGTCTGGACAGGAAGGTGATGAGCATCGGACGAGTCAATGGCTGGCGACGGAACACGGTGCGATGCGAGTGGGGAGGAGATGGCGCGGCGAGCGGCGGGTTTGGCGGGTTTGGCGGCGGGCGGTGTCGGCAGTGTCGGCAGTGGGGTGTAGCCTAGGTAGGTAGCCTGTTAGGCGGGGGTCCCGCGCCGATAAGCCTGCGATCGACGGCCGCCAGCACCGCTCCAGCATCACCCGCCGGCCCCCATCATCAGCGTCGTACCTTGCATGCCCCTCAAGAGCGCTGCATGTCCCACCATGTCGCCTCGTCTTCCTCGTCCGAGCCCCGCCGCCCGTCGCTGGAGCCCCTGCTCCACTCTGATTCCACCATGACCGCCCCGCCCGACAAGAAGCTGCGCGACAACCTCGAGCAATACGAGCAGCTGTTTGGCGCCGACGAAGACGCCTTCGACCAGCCCACCACCACCCGCAAGGAGCTCTGGTCCTACTACCTCTACTACAACGGCGACAACGGCGTTGGGCCCGGCTCCTATAGCCAGACACTGCGAGTCTCGCCCGCTGTCCACCACGCGTCCCAACCACTGACCTTGGCCAAACAGATTCCAGTCCGCTCTGACCTCTGCCGGCCACGACCCTCAGATCTCGCCGCCCGTCGCCGGCAACTGCGGCGATGGCGCATGCGTCGTTCCTTGGGGCAAGGGCACTCGCAGCGTTGCTTCAGTCGTGCTCATCGCCAACGGCCTCTGTTTCGCCATCATGACGCTGCTGTTCGTGTGGCTCGGCAGCGCTGCCGACTACGGCTCCTTTGGCCGCTGGCTGCTGCTCGTCCTGACCGTCATTTGCTGGGTCTTCCAGTACGGCTTCATGAGCGTCAAGGGTGCCCAGCAATGGCACACGGCCATGGGCCTGTACATTGTGAGCTACATCGCCTACGGTGCCACTCTGGTCTTCTACGCCGCTCTGTTCCCGCGCCTGGCCAGATACATGCCCCACGTGCGCAAGGCCCGTGAAGAGGACCTGAAGGAAGGCAAGATCAGCCAGGAGGAATACGACGAGCTCGAGAGCCTGGAGCGGAACCACCTGTCCAACATCTCCACCGCCCACTCCAACATCGGCTACCTCCTCACCCTCGCCATCAACCTGAGCGTGCTGCTCCCCATGCAGGGCAACGACTACGCCAACAACTGGGCCCTCTTCCTGACCAACACCTACTGGATCGTGCTCGGCATCTGGTGGTTCATCTTCCAGCAGCGCCGCCCGGGCCCGAAGCTCCCCGCCGGCTCCACCTACGCCACCATCGGCTGGAAGCAAGTCGTGCTCGCCCTCAAAGAAGTCCGCCACCTCCCGCAAACCTTCACCTACCTGCTCGGCTTCTTCCTGCTCGCCGACGGCCTCAACACGACGGGCACGCTCGTCGGCATCATCCAAGCCGACCAGGTGCACTTCTCCTTCCTGCAAATCACCTACCTCGGCCTCACGCAAGCCGTGTGCTCGACCTTCTCCACCCTCGCCTTCTGGCACGCCCAGCGCCGCTTCCGCATCAGCACGAAGCGCATGTTCATGCTCACCAACCTCTTCTCCGTGCTGATCCCCTTCTACGGCATGCTCGGCCTGTGGACCTCGCGCGTCGGCTACCACCGCGTGCGCGACTTCTACCTGTACAACGTCGTCTTCGGCCTCTTCCAGGCGCCCTACTACGCCTACGCCCAGACCATGATGAGCGAGGTCACGCCCCGCGGCTACGAGGGCATGTTCTTCGGCCTGTACGGCATCACCAACCGCGCCAGCTCCGTCATCGGCCCCAACGTCGTGCAGGCCATCGTCAACGCCACGGGCGACAACTGGATGGGGTTCCCCTTCTTGGTCGCCCTGTGCGCCGCGGCGAGCGTGGTGATTTGGTTCGTGGATCTCGAGAGGGGGAGGGAGAGTTGCAGGCGCTATGTCGAGGAGAGGAAGCTGTTGCGTGTGGCGAGGGAGAGCGGGAGGACGGTCGAGGATATCGTTGAGGGTGCGGCGAACGCGGCCGCGGCCGATGCGGGTGAAGATGGGGGAGTGGCTACGGTGGTTGTGGAGACGGTAGATGGTGGCGGTGGTGAGAGGAAGAAGCTGTGAAGTGAATATATGATTGGATGATTCAAGGAGCAAACAAGCATCAACGGAGATGAGCCCCCGTGCCGTTGCGCGTTGACGATGATGGTTAGTGAGGTTTTATTATCGTTACTAGTGCTTGAGAGTTAGATATATGTGAAGAAGTCGACACTTTGTGCTGCGGTCTCTCTGTGGGGTGCCTGCTCTCCTTTCTCCAGGCGTGGCCTTATACCGGTTCGTGGGGTGAGATGCCCTCCGGGTCGTTGCGGCGTGCGGAGGTTCTGATTGGTTGCATAGTCGCAACGGTGCCATGCCGTATCGTCCAAGGTTTGAACCAGATACTTGCATGCGTAGTAAATTCGTATGTCCAGAAGTGCATGGAGTGATGAAAATGGCCATCTCAACCTGGTCATTCGCTTGCAAGGAGAGTGTTTACTGTCACATTTGAGTCCAAGTTCTTGCTTCAGTTGTCTTCGCTGATCGGAAATCGAAAGATGACGACCGTCGTCCTCTTTCCATACCTGAGCTTGCAGCTCCCAGCGACTTCAACAACGTGGAACCCAGAAACCTCTGTTATTCTTTCAACCAAGACGGTATCCTACGCAATCTCTCTGAGTCACAGCCGACCTCCTGACCCTGAACCGGTACTTCGTCTACTCCAGCATCCGTCCCCGCTTACTCTCACCATCACGGAGTACTCCCGAATATAGAGCTCCTACACTCGCTTGGGGAAGGCGACCGGCGGAGCGGAGAAGGCGCGTTATGGCGGTGAGGTAGGCGCTGTGAGCGTGTCCTGGGCTGTGCAAGTCAGTCTAGCTAGAAAGTAGTGGCGGGCAGGGTGGTTTTGCGCGAGGGTGGGACATGGTCCACGCTGATAAGGCTCGAGAGTTTCGTGAAGGATGATGAAAAGGTTCGTGAACGCTGTGCATCACGGTGGTGTAGCTTTTCGCCGCTGGTGAAGCACTACAGCGACGGCAGGTAGAGGCTTCCTACGCGACTTGCCATGCGAGTCTCCCTTTGCTAGATGCCGACTGTGGGCTTAGCAAGAGGACGCTTCGGCGGTTGGATGCCACTGGACCTGAGGGCGTTTGGGACGGCCAGAATTATGTGGTGGAATGAGGTCTTGTGCTTGCAGCCATTGCAGAAGCAATTTGGATTCTGTAGTGGCTTGACCTACGACTTGATCAATCTCAAAGTCGTCGCCAAGCAGCTAGAGATGCTCAACGTTGACCAGGCACTTTAGATCGGTTGCAGGAAGCATGTTGCTGCTCCCGAAACAGCAGCGGGAGTGATTGGCTGCCAGTATATCTGCTTCCATGCTGGTTTCCAGTGCTCCGCTGAGCGGGTAGTCCTTGTGAAAGGGGGTAGCCATATCTTGGCTCAGTCGGTTGTAGTCAATGGTCTAGAAGTCATCCACGGCGGCGAGGGTCAGGTTGCGCATACCTTGGGCGATGATCGGATGCTGCGAGTAGATGCACAAATTGGCGAGGCATACAAGATGGAAAGAGAGGAGCTGGCATAACACTGCGCTGCGCTAACCACATTTCTCTCCTGTCGAGCCAGGCACCTCGCGGTAGGCTTCCCGCGCCGCCAGAGATACTCTTGGTTCTATGATCGCTTAGCTTATGCACAAATTATCGCAAAGCCAGTCCTTTATACCAGTTATTTTGGCCGATGCTGTTCAGCTGTGATTGGCGTCTCCATCTAACTCAGGCTCTGTCTGTGGAAGCACAGAGACAGTTCAGCATTCGAGGTCAAGCGGCTTGCCGAGTGCGGTCTATTTGCGCTGCGTTTGCGTTTCGATATATCAAGGTCTTGCGTATGAACGGCTTTGCTATAATGCAAACAACTTCTTCATCGCTACTCTACTAATAGTTACGACAGCAGTGATCAAAGCATGCTCTCTATTCAATGGACTTACGAGGTAGACAAAGGCAAGGAAGCCGGCGCATCGAAGCTGGGCAGGCTGCGTTTGCTGAGGTAGAAGATCGACAGGCTGAATGCGTGGTGCCTGTGCGCGAGGATCGTGTGCATCCATCCGGACAGCAACAATCGCTTTTTCGCGTCCCATGGCGGGCTCATGGGAGCGATCTCCTTCATTCTAGGCGATTCAATTGAGCATTGCCATGATGGAGTCGGACTCATGGTCTATGCTGCTGCTAGTATGGCTAACTATATGGGAAAGTCAGTTCAGGAGTGTTCGTCAAAGTGCGCAGCAAGACCAATACTTACCGTAGGAATCGCTCAGATGTAGCTTTGTAATCTTTTCAAAGCGGAAGTACTGCGGGACAGAAGAAACAGACAACGAACAAAAGTCGCATCTGAAGGCGTCGTTGTTGTCCATGAAGATACTTGCGTGACAGGTACTTCCGTACCATGCATTGAATGCAAAATGGAGCGGGCTGGCCAGAGATGACAGACTGAGGCTCGAGACACGCTGCTTGTTACAGCGTGCGAGGGGAGCTCCTCGTTCCAAGAAGTGTATGACCCAATGTCCCGACATTGTCCTCCGAGTTTTCGTGGTGCTGACAGGATGACCAGGATCTTCTAGTTCCATAATTTGGGGCGTGAAAAGCGATGGAAGCACTCTGTGAGCTCGACACTTGGGTTTAGGTCTTGGTGATTTTGGTAAGCGATGGACTCTTTGTATCTGCGCCCGTATCTAGGGGCCGTAAAACGGCTTGATCCGTGTGATAGCGGGGGCAATCCGATCTCGCAAATGGCTAGTAAGACGTTGATCTCGAGCTTCTTGTATGTACGGGCCAAGGCCAACTCACCCAGCTTCGGCAACATGCTTGTACATCTCTAATATCAACTCGTGCGGAAGGTCGACGAGTGAAGGAGGCTGACTGGGGTCCATGACTAGCGCGGAGGCGGGAATATCTAACGACAGCTGATATGTGTTCGGCCTGAACTGGTAGGAAGTCAGCGGAAGGACCTGAGCAGAGGGAGCCCGACGAGGTCGCAAGGGTGATATGGTGTGGAAAGGAGCGGACCAAATGCGCAGCGCCCACCATGAATGCTTCTGGCCTAGCCTTGAACATGACGAGTGAACAGATTCGGTAGGGAAGGCAAAGGATGTATATCGTACCGCAATGAAGCTCAAAGGGGCTTGCGAGCTTGTAAGCGCTGCCGTTGACTAGCGCTGTGAGTGTTGGGAGTATGATTTAGGATGGCCAGGCTGTGACACTTACACTCGAAGCCGTTTTCAAAGGCACTCTGCTGATGAGTGCACTGCAGTTGAATCATGGAGCAGCAATATATGTGGATGATCGGTTAAGCGGCGAGGCAGAAGGTGAAGCGCGTCAAGAGGGCAGGTAAGAGAGGCAACGGCTGGAAGGCGGTGGCCGCGTTACAAGCATAGGCCTTGGCTAAGGACTGCAAACCTCGTCAAGCGCACGTGTTTGCGCCGCGCATGAAAGGTCGTAGTAATCTTCCGACTCCGCAACATCTCCTTACTGCGACACCTCACCACACTTCCTTACCTAACGTCCACCGCGCGGCACGCGCCCTCGCCCTCGCTCATTCCTCCTCGCTCACAGCCCGATCAAGACACAGCGCAGAACATTCTCTCTGTCGAGAATTGAGAACGTCTTAACTGCCGCACTGCGCGCTCTTAGATGCTCGAGGTTGATCATGGACGGTAATCAATCAACTCCCGACGGCTCTACCGTACCTCAGCTTGCTGGCAGCTTCTCACATGACACCATGGATGTCGATGATGCCGAAGATTGGCTCGCGCTTGTTTCCGAGCCTCCTTGCGATGGGCGCTCGCCGGCTTCCCAAATGCCCAGAGACGTCCTTTACCTGATCACAGATCTACTCGACCTTCCCGCCCTCTGCGCGCTCCGCGCAACCTGCCGCGACATGCAAAGCTCGGTAGACAGGAGCTTCCCGAAGACGTACTGTCCGAACTTACATATCTCCTTTGCGATAAGAGGCTTAAATGCCATAGAAGACTTCTCAACCACCATCTTTGCGCCTATCCTCTCCTCGATCACCTTCCACGCCTCGGAAATCGAAGAACCATACTTTGTCCGCGGAGAGTTCGGCGAGCTGACCTATCTCCACGAGGGGCAGCAGAGGAAATTGATACTAAAGGCCATGTTTGAGCGGAAGCTTACAACTTGCTTGAGGCGTTACCCTCAACTCAAGAAGATAGTGTTGAAGGACTGGGCACCTAACAGAGCTTCCCCACACCATGAGTATGACGCTAATCCTTTCGCATCGTGGGGCCTCTCTTCATTGACCAAGGCCTTATCTTGCGCCGGCATCGGCCTCAAACGTCTCGCGCTTGATGAAGGCGCTTACGGGTGGTATTTTGGCCGCAAACTGCAACTGTCCTGGCCCATGGCCTGGGACGGCTTAGCCAGCCTCAACAGCCTGTCACTTACTTTCCCCGAGTACTTCCACAGTAAGTTTCTCTGAGTCGCATGATTGGATGCTTGATAACAGACCGTTTGTCGCAGACGAATCTCAGTTCCACACATTGCTACACGTCATCGCTTCAGCCCCGGACATCACAGTCCTTCGTCTCGCCGGCAGAGAGGAGCTCGGTTGGAACCGTTTGATTGTCGGCGTAGGCATCAACTACCTGGCGAACAACATACAGCTTCCGAAGCTTCGGGAGCTTTCCATCCGACTCCTTCGCATCGAGGTGCAGCCACTCCAGCAATTGTTGCGCCAACACAGCCTCACCTTGCGGAAGGTGAAGATCGAGAAGTGCTGGGAGCTTGAAGAATGCTCTGAGCTTGATTGCGATCCTGAGATTTTGGACTTTGCGCGCCAGCACCTCACCCTTGATGATGGACAACCCATCATCGTTTGCGATCCGGACGCCCGCTTCTAGGGAGATGTGGGTGGCACAAGGTCTTGGCAGGATATAAGCTACTAGGAACAAGTTATGATTATGCTCGGGATATGTATTCGTGCTTGTCTTCGTGCTTGTCTTGCCCCTTCTAATGCCCTAAAACCATGCTGCCAACCGATGATCAATGCGCGTCGACCTTCTCTTGCTAGGTGCTTTCTAACATACACAAGGATCTTATCTGGCAGCACATAGGCAGCGCATGCTAAGTAGTACTTCGTGGTTATTGATGAGTACGCGGTCAGGTATGTGGTGTTTCTACTTGGACCACGATCATTAATGTGAAGATATCCGCTTGTATCTGGTCCACGATCTAGCAGCAACACATATGTCCTGTCCTTTCCTGTTATCTCATCGTCCACTCCGTTCTCTACGTCACTTAGCTACAGCGCAATCATCCGGTTGTCCTTCACAGAGATCATCTCTAGACTAAATCAAGTTTGGAAATCAATCGTAGTGTCGACCAGTTAGACGTCTCTGGCGACTTGCAGCTTAATTACTGATGCTTGAGCGCGCACTCAGTGATCATTGCTACTTCATCGTGCTCAACGAAGAGATCGCCAGAGGTTGTTGGCATTTGAAGCAAACTGCTACTTTCTAGATGATTCAGTGACGAGAAAAGACCGACCATCAAACCCGGCATTGGAGCTTCTGAGACAGCGCTGCAACCTTCCAGATTGTTCGCTGCTATTTTGGAGAAATTCTGCAAAGGAAAAGATCTGTTTCCGGCAGGTTAAGCACCGTAACTCTCGCAATGCGCCAAGCAAGAGCACTGCCACCGGACCAACACTCTTTACCAAGTGCGTAAATTCGAGACCCTCTCCGCAGGGGCTCCTAACGCCCACAGCGGCCCGCTTGCCATAGCCGCTTCTTGGGTCATCATACCAATGGCTTGGCTCAGCATTCCGAAACGTCGCGTCACCAGCGGCAAATGGTTCGCCCTGTTTTCGTACTATCACGTGACATCGTTGGTAGTTTACGCCCGCTCTCTTTTACGCTACCCGACTATTCGAAAGGTATCAACGGCTCCGACGGCACTTTGTGCACCCAGGCCTAGGTTGTGTGCAGTGGTCAAAGTATGTGCCGCTGAGTGCAGCCGGGAATGCTCCGCTCAGGAGAGAAGAGTGGAGTGCAGGAACCAGGGAAAAGCCTACTGTTACACAGAGTGCCGTGAAGAGACTTTGGCTTATTCCTATCCGAGTAAGGTTGCCGGAGACGTGTGCAGAAACAACGGTAAGGCAGCGGGAAGGCAGCGGGAAGCAAGGGGCGTAGGAACGTTTTCGCCCAGAGGCCAATCATGCTGCCGCGTCCCCTTAGCCCGCCACGCGAGTGGCATGCTGCTTTCGGACGTCGACATTCGCATGTGGTGCAGTCCGGCAACTGCTTCGACATCAGTCTGCAAAAGACTCCAACCGAGTGTCTACTTAATGCTCGCTGTCTGAAGCATGTTGATCCCACAGCACAGCACTCACACTTCATTCTCACCAAGACCACCAGCATCCTCGCAACCCAGCATATCCCACCAATCCTCTCCCAACACCAAAAAAGATAATTTCCCCCAGTCCGACACAATGAGGATCTCAGCCGCAACGCTCACCGTGGCCTTCGCCACGCTCTTCTCCACCGTCTCCTCGGCGCCCACAGCCTTCACCGACGTCTCCCCCAATGACCTACAGCCGTTCGACATCGAAAAGCGGCAAATCAGCGTGTCGGTGGAGGCCAAGGTGACGGTCAGCGCGATGCTGGTCTCCAGCTACGACCAGATGCGCGTGCACACGGGCAACATCAACAACACGCTCGGCACCATCAACGGCGACTCGTCGTGGGTGGTCAAGAACAACGCCATCATGTCGATCCGGTCCGAGCTCAACGCCATCGGCACCATCTTCGCCACCACCACCACCCAGGTCGGCACCCTCGGCGGCAACCTCGGCAGCGACCTGACGGGCATCGCCAACACCGTCATTGCCATCGTCAACGAGCTGCTCTACACGCTGCAGTATGTCGTGTACAAGCTGGGCTCAGGTGCGTCGATTTCCTTGTTTTCCTTTTTCCTCTTCCCCTTTTTCTCTCGTGTGTGTGTGTGTGTCGGTGTGCTAACGGGTACATGACTCCCCTCTAAAAGGCGTCTTGGTGGTCCTCGGCATCATCATCAACAACGTCTTGAGCATCCTAGCTGGCCTGATCCTGGCGGTCAACATCCTAGTTCAAGGGTCGCTGCCTCTGGTGAACGCGTCGTTGAACGCCACCCTTCCGACGCTGGTTCCTGCCCTCTCGTCCATCATCCTGGGTCTCAAATACCTGGTTGGCTACTGAACAAGTGGAAGGCGCCGAGTTGAAGTGATATGGTGAATGTGCAGGAAATGGGAGGATGAGGGAATTAGATTGAGATTGATAGATTGAAACGATGGCTTCTGACTTTTCGCTGCTCTCGAATGTTTGTGCGGGTGGAATGTCCACCTATCTCTCGGCAATTTCTATAGCAAAACCCCCAATTCCAACATTCTTGACTACCACGAAAAAGAGAATTGGAGACAAGAGGTGTGGTCAGTACCATACGTAATCTTACGGTAGTGCCCCCGTCTAGCCCATCGATATGCCAAGCAAACAGGCAAATATGTTTACAAACAGGGCAGTCCTTCTTATTTGTTCATCTGGTCCAGCGGCTACCGCAATGTTTGTTTGGTTGAATGGTCAATCAAATAGATGTTTGCAAGCCTATTTGACTGTCAGCCACCTTCTTTACTACCGACCATATCTCTCTCCATCTCGACGAACAATCCGTATATTCGCATCTCCACACCCAAAAGCCGCACTAGCTACAACGCGACCGAATATCCTACACACAAAAAATAGAAAAACACGAAGAAGATGAAGAAGAAGAAGGAAGAACAAGCTGAAAAAACAAAAATCAAACCACCTCCTTCATCTCCGCCCCCAGCGCACTCCCCGCACTATCCATCCTCTTCCCACTCTCGACAACATGCCACCCCGCGCCGCCCTCCACCTCCGCCCACCCCTTCCGACTCAAATGCCTCTGCAGCCCCTCATCCCCGCCCTCATGCACCGCCCTCCCCGTCCCCAGCTTCGCCAAACTGTCCCGCATGACGCACTCGTAGTAACAGGTCGCGAAGAACGTCGCGGGGACGTTGACCAGGATGGCGATCCAGCAGTAGCTGCGGTAGGAAAACGCGTCGGGGCCGAAGAAGATGGCGGCGACGAGGCGGGTGCCGAGGTCGCGGGCGAGGTTGGTGGAGATGGAGATGCTGGCGAAGCCCCAGACCATGGCGGCGTAGGCGAAGCCGATGACGAAGGGGGCCGAGTGCGGCGCGACGAAGGGGTTGGCGGGGTCGAGGGCGGCCCAGATGACGATGCCCTGGGGGGGTGGGGTGGAGGTTAGGGATGGGTTGGGTTGGGTTGGCGGGGAAGAGGGGATGGGGGATGAGGACGACGATACTTACGATGTAGGCGTCGACGAAGAACTCGATCAGGAAGAGGTAGCCGAGGTTGTGCTGGGTCTCGCCGGGGAAGGTGCACAGGATGCTGGCGGGCCCGCCGTTGTAGACGGACGAGCCGGTCTTGGCCAGCGACTCGGCGTTGAAGGCGGCCATCTGCTCGTGGTACTGGCCCATCAGCACCAGGCCGGCCATGAAGGCGCCGAAGATCTGCGAGAAGATGTACACGGGCACCTTCTTCCACGGGAAGTCCTGCCAGATGGCGAAGCAGATGGTGACGGCCTGGAGATGTCATGGTTTCACTTTCGGTCAGCGATGCCGTTTTTTTTTTCGGCGCCGACGGACGGACATACCGGGTTGAAGTGGCCACCGGACGTCGAGGCGCAAGTGATGATGGCAAAAGCGATGCCGAACGCATACGCAAAGCCGATCTGCAGCAGCGACCCGAAAGCCGGCTCCGTCCCGTTGAGGAAAAACGTCGCGGTCGAGGCAATGCCCGGGTAGACTGCACGCAAAAGACCCATCAGAAAACAACCGCTCCATTTATCCACCCGTGCGTCATTTTACCGTAGAAGAACACGCCCGTCGCCTCGGCACACATCTCTCGCAGCCACCTCGGCCGCTTCTGCTCGAACTCGAGCTTCCTATCCGACACGGGCTTCCGCTCGACGATGCGGCGGGCGTAGTGCTTCTGTACGGCGTCGGTCGCGCCGACCTCCAGCGTCTGGAGCCTGTGCAGACCGGCGTCGCTCATGATGATGTCCGATTGAAGCCGGAGTAGTAGGAAGACGGGAGCCCGAGAAGGCAGGGAAGAGATAAAAAGAAATGGGAGACAAGAGGCAAGCGAAGCAAGCAGCTAGCCTGCAGCGTGATGGAGGGAACAGGGAGATGAAAAAAGAATGCGGAGAAGAACCTTGCGGATGACCAGAAAGAAAAGGATGGCCGAAAACCTGGGGCAAACCCGCTCTTTGTATCCGCAACGGGCTTCATTCGCGCGCGGTCCCGCACGCCCTTCTCCCCAAATCGGACGACAACGACGACGACCACGACGACGACCACGAATAGTGCGGGATTCCCTCAAAAAACTCAAGCGGGCCAGGCCGCCCCGGCAGCCGCAACGCTTGCCCAATGCCGAGGCCATGGCAATCTTTTTGCCCCTTGCGGGGGAAGAATGGCGGGGGGAGGAGGCGCCGCCACACGCCACGCCTGGCTCTCAACACCAGTCGTCCATTGGTCTGCGGCCCCAGTCCGGTAGGAACCGGCGATAACAAAGTCGTCGACACGCCACGCGGAGAAAGCGGCGATATCAACGAGAAACTGGCTTAGTAAAGTGGCGAAGAGAAAGGTCCGGCGGGCTACGGGAACATGTGAAGCGCGTCGAATGGGGGTGAGGGAGGACGGGATTATCGGGTGGGCCTGGGCTGGCTGTGAGAGAAGGAGGGAGGGAGGAGAGGAAGAGAGATAGAGAGCCGCTGCCGTGTTCTCGTCGTCACTGCGTGGCGTCGGGGCGCCCGGGGGGGAACATGCGGGTGGAGCAGGATCCGGGGCTCCGCACTCTCCTGGGAATTGCTTATGCGGCCGGGAGTGAAGGCTTGACGGTGGTTTTGTCAGCGTTGATTCGCGGGGCGATCGACGCGGCTGCGCGGAAACGGCTGGGGAGTGCTTGGTGGTGTACCACTGTACGCCATGGGGGTGGCTTGCAGCTGCCTACCCCGCCTTTTTTTCTTCGAAACAGGAGGCCGCGGTCTGGTGGGAAAGCCATCCGTGGCTAACTGGAAGAGGGACGTGGATGACGGTGTTTGGTGGGCGCTGCAAATGCGGAGACGCGGAGACGAGACAGCGTGACGTGTGTGGAGGATCGGCAGTTCCGCACGGAGAGCAGAACAACTGTATAATTAGCCTATTCTGACCTCACTGTTTTTTCTACAACGACTTCTCGTCCAGTACTTCTCGCTTCCACCTCCAAGAACCGTTCTCGCATCAGCCTTGGTGCGAAGTGCATGACCTTGACCTGCTCAACCTTCCTTTCGTTTCTGGCCATCTGCGAGGTTTCCTTACACAACGCCAGAGATGCATGTCGAGCTTCAAGGTGCCATCCTCCATCCGGTCCATTGTCTCTGTCAAGTCACCCTCCCCGAACTCTTCTCCGCAGCGTTAGAGTACCTAGACCACTTGACAGACCGATGCTCCCCCGCCATCAAAATCCAACAACATGACATTGGGTATGCATCTATCTAAAAGCAAAAATAAAAAGAAAAATGGCAGAAATAACAACCATCCTTCTACTGCGACGACTCCGCTGTCTCCGCCCTCGCCGCCACACTTCCCTTCCTCCACGCCTCCCTATGATCCGTCCGCCTCACAACCCTGCTCTCCTCGCCCGCCCTGCCCCACCCGCCGCCTCCGGGGGTGTTGATGATGATGCGCTCGCCGGGCTGCATGCTCGCCGTATTCTTGGCGCCGAGGTTGACGAAGCGCCACTCGCTCTCCCTTTCGGCCTCCCCGTTGCCATTCCCGTTCCCATTCGTCGCCGTGACCGCATCCGCATTCTCGTCCGACCGGCCCACGTGCCTCACCCACACGTTCAACCCGCACTTCGCGTCCTCGCCGCCCTCGAGGCCGTACGGGTGATAGACGCGGCGCTCCGACAGGATGCTGACCTGGACCGGGATCCTGAACTCGATGTCCCGCACGACACCGTCGCCGCCGCGGTGCTGGCCGTCGCCGCCGCTGCCCGCGCGGATACCGAACTCGCGCAGGATGACGGGGTAGCGGCGCTCGAAGACCTCGGCGTCGGTGATGCGCGTGTTGGTCATGTGCGTGTGCACCCCCGACGAGCCGTTCCACGTCGGGCCCGCGCCGGACCCGCCGGCGATGGTTTCGTAGTAGCCGAAGCCCTTTTGTTCCGCCTGGCCGGCGACGTTGCCGCCGTAGCCGAAGGTGAGGTTGTTGCAGTCGCCTTGCGAGGCGGCGCAGGCGCGGAAGGCTTTGAGCACGACGTCGGTGACGCGTTGGCTCTGTGCGAAGCAGGTGGTGATTAGCCAAAGGCCGAGACGGAGGGCTGAATCGGGTAAGAAAGAGCACTCACTGTGAGCACGTTGCCTCCCACAACGGCGGCCTTGTCTGATGGTGAGAGGAAGGATTTCTTCGGAATCTTGACCTTGATCGGTTTCAGGCATCCTTGGTTGAGGGGGATGTCTTCCTTGATCAGGCATCGAAGGCAGTAGATGATTGCCGAGTATGTCACGGCTTCCGGTGCGTTGATGTTGCCTATGGTGCATCATGGGTCAGTTCCCGAATTCAGAAAATCCATCCATCCGAATCACTTACCATAGACCTCGGGACCGGTCCCCTCAAAATCAAAAACAGCCTCTCCCTTCTCGGCATCAATCGTGACCTTCAGCTGGATCGGGCTACCGTCGTCCATGTAATCTACCGCAGAAAGGTCTTGGCCTTCGAAGCGTTTGCTGACTTCCTTGAGCAAGTGCCTGACGCTCTGCTCGGCGTTGTTCTGAATGCTGTGCATGTAGAACTGAACAACATCTTCTCCGTAGTCTTCAATCAGCGTGCTGATGAGGTTGATACCCTTCTGGTTGGCAGCAACCTGAGCCTTCAAGTCGTTGATGTTGTCAGCCAGACACCTGGTGCCACTGCAGCCGGGATACTGGGCTGGCTCCTTGTGCAAGAGTTCGGTAATACGCTTCTCGTTGAAGTGGCCTTCCGAGACCAGCTTCTCCGTCTTGATTGCGGCGCCTTCTTGGAAGAGTTCCCGCGAATGAGGGGGCATCGATCCGGGGAGTATCCCACCAATGTCGGCGTGGTGAGCGCGAGATGCCACGTAGAAGACAATCTTGTCTCCACTGAATGCAGGCGTGATGACAGTGATGTCAGGAAGATGAGTTCCGCCGAACATGGGGTGGTTGGAGACGAGGACATCACCACGCTTCAGCTTCCCCTTCCAGATGCTCGCCTGTTTTCGCACACAAGTGGACATGGAGCCGAGGTGGACAGGAAGATGCGGTGCGTTCGCCACAAGCCCACCTTCGGCATCGAACAGAGCGCAGGAGTAGTCGAGACGCTCTTTGACGTTTGTGCTCACGCTGGTCTTCTGCAGCGCCCTACCCATCTGCTCGGCGATGGCCATGAAGCGGTGCGCGAAGATACTAAGCATGATGGGATCGACCTGCTTCGTGTTGATCTTGTTCTCCTGACTGCTGGTCTCTCCAATGTTGATGACAACATGAGTGTTGATGAGGAGAGCCGAGGCGTCGGGCGTGACGACGATGGTTTGCGTGCCGTCGGCAATGATGGCAGGCCCTTGCAGACGATCGCCGGTAGCAAGATCTTCCAGCTTGTAAATCGGGGTTTCCTGCCTGCCGCCCTCGAAGTAGACTGAACCGGTGCCATACTGCTTCGCACCCTTGGAAAGGTCATTGGGCTTGATCTCCTGCAGTTGATCGTCGACGGTCTTTTCCAACCCCTCGAAAGTCTTTCCGATTCCTCTTGCACGAACATCATCGACGATGATGTCGCGGTCAGGGAGAGTGAAGCCGAACTCCTGCTCATGCTGCTTGATGAAAGCCTTGCCGAACGACCATTCTTCGCCGCCATAGTCTTTGTCAGCCTCCTCCTTGGTCGGCTTGATAACCATGAGAGCGGACTCGGTGCCACGGTAGCGCATGTTCAAGTACTCCTCGAAGTAGATCTGTTTTTCGGAGAAGCCTTGGTCCTTGAGTGTTGCGGTTGACTTTGTCTTCAGGTCCTGCATCTTCTGCTGCAGGTACTTCTTGGTCTCTTCGTTGTCGTCAGACCAGACCTTTGACTCCGGCTCCTGCCTCTCGTCGACGACATCGGCCAGGGCCATACCGTAGGCAGAGAGGACGGAGGAGTAGCGATGGACGAGGATCTGGGAGATTCCGAGAGCTTGGGCGATGGCGACGGCGTGCTGGCCGCCGGCGCCACCAAAGGTAGCCAGCCGATGCTTCGAAGTGTCGTGACCTCTGGCCTCGGTCAAAGAACGAATGGGTCTTGTCATGGTCTCGTTGGCAATCTTGATGAAACCGTAGGCAACTTCGTCCATGGACATGGCCTTGTCCTTGTTACCGCCAGCAACTTCGTTGTTGATCTTCTCGGCCAATTCTTCAAAGAGCTTCTTGCTGGCCTCGGCATCGAGTGGTTCGTCCTCATTCTTGCCGAAGATTTTGGGGAAAAAGTCAGGCAAGAGTCGGCCGAGGAAGAGGTTGGCGTCGGTGATTGTAAGAGGTCCGCCCTTGCGGTAGCATGCGGGGCCAGGGTGGGCGCTCGCAGACTCGGGGCCGACGACGAACAGGCCGTTTTTGAAAAACAGACGGCTGCCACCTCCTGCTGCAACCGTGTTGATGTCGAGCTGAGGTGACTGGATGGTGACACCGGCTGTCGTCGTCTCGAAGACATGATCGTACTTGCCGGCACCATAACGGCTGACGTCGGTGCTGGTACCGCCCATGTCAAAACCGATGACGGGGATCTTCGTCTTCGCATCATACGAAGTGAGGGCGTATCCTACGACGCCACCGGCGGGACCAGAGAGGATGGCACGAAGGCCGGAGAAGATGTCTACGTCGACGAGACCGCCATCGCTCTGCATGAACTCGCAGCGTGCGCCCTTGTCGCCGGCCTCCTTCTTGACACTTTCCGAGCCGAGGCCGCCGGCGAAGCCGCTGGAGAAGCCGTCAATGTACTTCCTGATGGCAGGAGTGAGGTAGGCGTCGGCGCAGGCAGAGGTGGCACGGGGAACAAGCTTGATCATGGGCATCAGCTCGTGGCTCAGGCTCACGTGTTCAAAGCCGATTTCCTTTGCTATCCTACCGACAAGGGCCTCGTGGTGCGGGTAGGTGTAGCCGTGCATGAGGCAGACAGCGATGCTCCGCAGGCCGGAGTCGTAGACTTCCTGCAGCTGTTTCCGGATGCTCTCTTCTTCAGGCCTCTGCAATATCCTCACGGCCTCTCCGGAAAGGCCGCGCACGAGGTCAGGGGTGGGGCCAGCCTTGTCGAGCGGGTCGGCCTTTGTCTCTGTCCTTTCGGGGTCTTCGGCGTAGTCTTCGAGGGTGACTCGCTCGTCAATCTCGACGACGCGCTTGTAGAGCACCTCTGGTTTCCGGATGTCCAGGTCGAAGATGTTGGGTCGTGACTGGTTGCCGATTTCCAGGCAGTCCTTGAAGCCCTTGGTGACAACCATGGCGATGTCCTCGCCCTTGCGTTCCAGGAGGGCATTTGTGGCTACGGTGGTGCCCATGCGTATGCTCTCGATGTTGGAGGTGTCGAGCGGCTGACCGCGCGGAATGTCGTGGCCGGTGAACTTTTCCAGCAGGCGGCGGATGCCTTCCAGCGGGGCGTCATCGTAGTTCTGGGGATCGACGGAGAGCAGCTTGATGATGACATCGTCCTCCATCTTGCCGGAGCCGGGGTTGCCGACGCAGTCGGTGAAGGTGCCACCGCGCTGCAGGATCAACAGTCAGTAGGGAATGCGGGCAGCGGGCCATGATGACATACATCGATGGCGATGCGGATGCCGCGCTCTGCCTTCACTTGGGAACCCATTATGCTCAAGGAGAAAGAATGCAAAAGTGAATTGAAGGGTGCAGGATGGAGAGCGGTGGTGGTTTATATGGAAGCTGGTGTTCGGTGATCGGGATCTCAAGCCGACGGCAACTCGCCGACGGATTGGGGGCAGATCGGCGCAGTTTCGCCCGCTGAGAAGGCTTTCCGAGGCGATGCTGAGCAGAGACGAAGCTAGCAGGCAACAGCCCCGGGACGTGGATGAGTGTGAGGTGGAATTCGGAATTTGTTGCCTGTGTCCCCGCGGTGGTGATGCGGCTCAGATGGCGATGACCTCACCTTGACTCGTTTTCTGCCACCGCCTACGCGTCGCGCCATCGGCCACGCCTTCCGACCCTCGACGCTCGACGCTCGACTCTCTGCTGACCGTCGCTGACCGTCGCTGACCGTCGTGTCCCGTCTCTCGGCCTCAACCTCCCGTCGCGCCCCACCAATTCGAGCCTAGGTTGCCGCTGACTCTCAGGCAGCGCGGATGCCAGGAGCCATACCGCCACCCCAGCCCTTTCGTTTGCCAACGACATCCAGCTGCTTCCCGCCGTCCTGTTCGCGGCACAACCGAGGTCAAGGCTGGAATCATTCTCAATCATGTCGCAGTCACAAGTGCCGTCTTGTCGCCCATCTTATCGCCACCTACCGCGCCGCCCGGCCGAGGCTCGCTCTTCCCGCCCGTCGCCCTCGGGAGCCATTGCTGAGGGATGCGTCGAAGCATATTCATCACCTGGGGTCACTGTCATCGCCCATGTCCAATTCGCTGCAAATTAATGTTTGTGGATGCTAATATTTGAGACACGGCCTGATGCCTCTCGCCTCGTGGGCATTGCTCTTCTTTTTCCCCAGTCAGAACAGAGTGAGTCAAGTACGCGTATCCACAATTCATATGGCAAGAGGATCATCATCCTGGGTGCAGTTCATGAATCGATCTGTTCATTCTCCTGATTGAGGCTCCTGGTAAACGAGTGAGGAAAAGAAGATAACAGTACTCCCGAAAAAAAAAAGATTTCGTATATACAAAACGCGTCTCTTTTTCTGTGGTCCTGTAGATCCGGGGGGGGCATGAGGACATGTAGGCCAAGCACGACAGCAGAGAGAAGTAGAAGAAGAAGAAGAAGTAGTAGTAAGCGTCATTCCACATGATCCACGAACCCGAGCATTTACCCTTACTCTTTCTCTCTTTTCCCCTCCTCCCGGCCCAAGAGATCCGGAAGGAAGAAGAAAAGAGACCGCACAGCTCTTTGACGCTCGATCGCTCAGTTACCCAGAGTAAAGATCTTCGAAGCGCAGCAGACCCTACATCGGACAAAAACGGGGACCAGTCAGCATAAACCCAACGACCTACGCTCCTCACAACCGTGGTGAAATGACGAATCGAGCCGAAGGAAGAGGGTGCAGGCTGAGCCTAGCCGTGCCGAGCCGCGCAAAGCAGCAAAGAAAGAAAGAAAGGAAACCACAGCGACCGCTACTCACAAATAATCCACCCCACTCAACTCCTTGCAACTCGCGCCATCCTCACCACCAGCATCGCCTTCACCGCCCTCACCGCCCGGCGTCGTCGTCGCCGCCGGCGTCTCCGCCTCACCACCACCAGCCGAAACCGTGGTCGTAACTGTCGTCGTCATCAGAACCGTGACCTGGTTGGCACAAGCCGCGCTGCTGGCACCACCTTGGGGAGCGCTCGAGCCGCCGGTGCCGGGCGGCGAGGCGACGGTGCTGAGCGTCGAGGGTTGCGCGGCGGCGGAGCCTGTTGGGAGGGAGGGGGGGATTGAGTCAGCGAGGGGTCGTTGGAAGGAAAGAGAAGAAGAAGAAGCGGGTGTTGGGGCTGGGGCTGGGATGGAGTGGGGAAGAGAAGAAGGGAGGGGGGGGAAGAGATGGTGGTGGCGAGGAAGGTGGGAAAGGAGGGGGGGTTGGTGATAGGGAGAGGGTGTGAGATGCTCTTCGGGCTTCCATCTACAACCCGAGTTGTAGAAGGTCGGTCGGGGACAAGACGTGACATACTCGTAGCCTCAGGCGCGCTGGCCGACGGCGACGCCTCCGGCGCACTGCTCCCCACCGCCGCAGAGCTACTAGTCGTCGCCTCGGGTGTGCTGCTCGCCGCCGCTTCCGTCGTCGTCGGCGCCGGCGCGGCCGCGGCGGCGGTGGCCACGCACGAGCAGATGGACTGGGCGCCCGACGAGGCCTGCAGCGCCGTCTCGATGTTGTTGTCGCACGCGCTGAGCACGCACTGCGTCAGCGCGGCGTTGGTGGCGAGCGCCGCCGACGACGAGCAGCCGCACGCGTAGTCGGTCTCGACGGTGCACCCGATGGACGACTTGGCCGAGAGCAGGCAGGACTGCGCGCACGCGGGCACGAGGGCCGAGGCTGAAGAGACGCAGCCGGCCTGTGCGGAGACGGTGGTGATGAGGAAGGTGAAGGTGAAGGTGGCGAGGAGGCTGGTGCGAGAGGAGGAGGGCTTCATGATGGGCTCTGCTTGCTGCTGGGATGGGGGAAGATGGGTAGATGGAAGATGGTGCGGTGTGGACGAGATGTGATGGGGCTTTCTCGCCTGGTGTTTTGTATACGTTGGTAATAAGGAGCTCTATTATATCCGTCTTCAGTCAACGCCTCGGCGAAGCACATGTCACCGAGAGACACTGTAGCGCTCTGCATGGCCCCGCAACATACTCAATCCTCCACGGACAAGGATACAAACCTTGAGGCACCCGGACGGAGCTGCGTCCAGCTACACGAGGAGGGGGGAAACAAAGACGTCACAGGCAGTCGAGCGGGGTTGGCCAATTGGCCACCTGCAGCTCAGACGACGGAGCAGAGCAAAAAGTATCGAAACGAACCAACGTCCCGGTGTTGAGTGTAATTTGGCGAGACCGAGGGCTAAGCTATCCGCGGCACTAGCTTGGCTACGGCAGGCGCACGCGTGGTGTATGGGGAAATGCGGGGAAGCTTAAAATCTCGCTGCCAGGCACCAGGCACGGGCCACACGGCGGCGGTTTGACCCTTCGCAGCCTAGGCGATGTGACGTCGGGCATGGGGGACTTGCAGAGAGCCTCGGCGGACCGTGAAAACTCGATTTCACGTGGTCGCGGAAACAGGAACGGGCGGGCCGAGATGGGGGGGAGGAGCGTGCTGTGGCGACTCTCGAGCCAACTGGATGTGGAAAGTCGGTGTTCATCATTGACCAATTGGATCGGTGGGGGCAGGGATGGGGTTCGCATGAAGAAGGAGACAAAGTATTGATGATGTAGCCCGCTCAGGAACAGCTTTGGCGAAAACAGGAAGGTCGACGTCAGAACGGAGGGTAAACCGCACGGATCGATTGAGGATAGCCAAACGTGGCCGACCTCGGTATATGAAAAATAGACAAGGACGGTGTAGGTGGAATCGCATGTGATTCAAAGACAGAGCCAGACGGCAAGTGTAGAGCCTTCACTCACACTCAATAAATACGAATCGACGATGTCTTCTCCCGCTTTACAGACGTAGTCACCACTCCCGGGTATTTGCTCAATGAGTTATGGGCTTGTTTGGGCTTTCACGATAGGATACCCGTCATTTTCACAGGTGAATGGCGAGGCCAAAAGACAAAAGGTACGGATATGATTATTTCCACCTTGCTACCCTCCCTGCAATGGCCGTGCGGGGAAGAGGACAGCAAATTATCATGGACGGCGAGCGGGGTTTTGCAGGTGTGAAAGATCGAGACAGCTCACAAGGATAGTGTAGATCTGATGCGAGTGTTTCCACGAAGATATAAGCGAGAGGAGCTAAAGAGAAAATCATTATAACAAGCATGTGTCGGACTGTTGGCACATTGAGCAGGTGGGCCGAACAAACAAAATGGGGATTTTGGGTTGTCGTCGACCCGTTTGGGAGTGCCATCAGTCCTCTCTGCACAATGATCAGTCTATCTCCGAGGTCGAGTTAGAAGGACTCACATACATACGCATCCAGTAGTTGACTGCGTGAGAAAGCTCGAGGATATCGTGCGGGAGGAGATGTCATCGACGGGGCCGGATAAGCAGCCCGCTCAAACACCTTCCCACTAAGCTCCACAAAAGGTGTACCCGCTGTAGGTAGCGAAGCCATACGTTCCATCTTCCATCTAAACGAGGGCAGGCCTTCCCATTAGTAGCATGTGCTCGCACGGCGCGTCCTTCAATCCCCTCTCGGCGCGGGATCGGACGGTAGTAGACGATACTTTCAACAAGCTGCATGAGCAGGGCAAACTGGACTGGACGAAGAAGCGCACCATCTTCGGCTATCCAGTGTTTGTCGTTTGGAAGAAGGTCCTTAAGGACGGCAAGTGGATCGAGAAGCCCCAGGCAGTCGTCGACATACGTGGTCTTAAACAGCTCGGCGACTGTGCGGCTTAGGCCCGCCCTCGAGCGATACTCCCTTTCGTTCTTGCCCAGGCGTGCGGCGACGTGTTCCCCGAGCGTGGGCCGCTGGTGGGCAAGGAGGTCCGTGACGCTGTTGCAGTAAATGACCGAGGCGCATTTGCGGCAGCCTCTGATCTCGTCCGCGAGGAGGTATAGGCTCCACACAAAGAGGCCCTCCCTGACCATCGACTTCCGGTGGTCGGCGACGGCGGCCCTTGCCGCTGGCATCCACGCTACGTGCTCGTCGCAGGTCGGCTGGAGGCATACCTCGCCTCGGATGTGGCAGTCGTAGCAGGACGCACTCCTCTGCTCGTATGGCTCGTCAAGGATTCCTACCCCTTGCCGGCCCAAGGGGACATGGAGCTTTAGTGAGCGGACCTCTCTGCCCGAAGCCTGCCCAGCACCCGCCCCGAGTCCTCATCGAAAGACTTTCCGGTGAATGGCAATTTGGTCTTCTCCAGAAACTCCGCCGTGATCTGTTCCTTCTGTGTGGAGAGGCGTACGAGGTCGAATACGCGATCGATTGTGACGATGCCCTGTTGTTTGGCAACATCGACGTCGCAGCAATGGTTGGCAGCCCTAGACGCATCAACGCAAGGTCAACTAATAAGAGTCAAATTACACTTGGTGGTTGGTGGTTGGCAGCTGACATTCAAACAATACATACATAACAAGCTGTCCATGATATCGTATCTTATTTTCTTTTCTTTCTCATTTTCTTTTCCTTTCATTCCTTTTCCTCAAAGCCCCCATTTATGCATCCATTCATATCCAAATCCCTCCATGTCTCTCGCCAGCCATTACCGCCAAAGACACCTCATCGACTACGACGAACCCTGCAGCGGCTGATCCATCCCGCCCAAGGTAATAGACTTCGTCACGAGATACTCCTCGACGCCCAAAAAGCTGCCCTCGCGGCCGAATCCGCTCTCCTTCACGCCACCGAAGGGGCTGGCCACATCCGAGATCAAGCCGGTGTTGACGCCCACCATGCCGACCTCGAGGGCCTCGGCGACGCGGTAGCAGCGCTGGACGTCGCGGCTGAAGAAGTATCCGGCAAGGCCGACCTCGGCGGCGTTGGCCAGCCCGACGACGTCGGCCTCGGAATCGAAGGGGAACAGCGCGCCGACGGGGCCGAACGTCTCCTCGTGGGCGATGCGCATGTCGTTGGTCACGTCGCGCAGGACCGTGGGCTGGAAGAAGTTGTCGCCCAGGTCGGGCAGCTTCTGGCCGCCGACCAGCACCGTGGCGCCGTGCTTGACCGCGTCCTGCACGTGCTCCTCGACCTTGCCCACCGCGCGGCTGTGGATGAGCGGGCCGTGGGTGACGCCCTCGCCGTAGCCGCCGCCCACCTTGAACGCCTTGACCTTCTCGGCGAAGGCGTTGGCGAACTTGTCGTAGATGCCGCGCTGCACGTAGATGCGGTTGGCGCACACGCACGTCTGGCCCGAGCTGCGGAATTTGCTGGCGATGGCGCCGTTGACGGCGACGTCCAGGTCGGCGTCGTCGAAGACGATGAAGGGCGCGTTGCCGCCGAGTTCGAAGGAGAGCTTCTTAAGGGTGCTGCTGGATTGCTTCATGAGGAGCTTGCCAACGTTGGTGCTGCCGGTAAAGGAAACCTTCTTGACGGTGGGCGAGGTGGTAATCAGCTCGCCGACCTGGGGGGTGTTTTCGAGAGCGGTGACGAAGTTGACGACGCCCTTGGGGATGCCGGCGCGGTGGGCGAGCTCGGCGAGAGCGGCAGCGGTCAGAGGGGTCTCACCAGGAGACTTGGCGACGACGGTGCAGCCAGCCGCCAGTGCAGGGCCGATCTTGCGGGTGATCATGGCGGCGGGGAAGTTCCAGGGCGTGATCAGGCCGCACACACCGACGGGCTCCTTGCGGGTGAAGACGCGGTTTGCGCCGACAGTGGCGGGAATGGTGGTGCCATAGATGCGCGGGGCCTCTTCAGAAAACCACTCGAAGAAGTTGGCGGCATAGGTAACCTCGCCCTTCGCATCGGCCAGCGGCTTTCCGTTCTCCCATGTTATGAGCTTTGCGAGGTCGTCGGCGTTTTCGATCATCAGGTCGTACCACTTGCGTAGGTAGCGAGCGCGTTCGCGGCCGGTAAGCTTGCTGAAGGCAGGCAGGGCTGCTGCTGCTGCGTCGATGGCCTTTTGTGTGTCTGCTGCGTCCATCTCGGGCTGGGTCGCAATGACGGCACCTGTCGACGGGTCGGTGACGTCGAAGGTCTTGCCGGATGCCGCGCCGACCCATTCACCATTGATGTAGGACTTTGTCTTGAGGAGCGACTTGTCGCTGAGCTGCACGCGCCAGAGGGTCAGCCAATGGGTGGCTGGAGATGGAGCAGCTCGCGGGCTCTGCGACTCACCGGAGGGATGTTGTGACCCATTGCGTATGTTCTTGAGCGGAGGACGGGGAAGGAGACGGGGACGAAGCGCGAGCGGATGGCGGACTTTGCTGCGAAGGAGAGAAGGGGCCTCATGATGATTATGTAGTGCGGGGGGCGTGCGCGAGGGCTGCAATGGTCGAGAGTGGGTGAAGGGCTTCTGGCGAAAAGTAGCTCGGGAGGCGGAGCTCAGCGGGCGGCCGGCCTTCTGATTCGACGGCGGACGAGCTGCGATGACTTGATGATGACGCGCGTGACTTCCAGGAGCTCTGCTGACGCGCGGATCAGTAAACGGAGGCACAGAGTCGGACGTTGGTCAGCGGCAGCGGCAGGACGTGGTTTTGAAGCTGCGCGAGCTGCGCAAGTTGCGACGGACGTGTATCTCGTCGCGGGGCGCGTCAATGGCGGAGATGGGCCGACGTCAGCGTCAACAGCGGCCACTGCACGGGCCCCGACTTCGGAGAAGGCCTATTTGGACGGCCTACCTCCACTCCAGCACCACCTCTTGCGGCTAAGCACAACAACGCTGCTGTTCCGTCCCCAAGCTACCCTGCGCCACAACACCAACACGCGCGCTCCGCTGCTATCGTAAACATGCATTGAGACGGCAATGAGTCTACCAGATTATATGGCATTGTCGGAACGCAGCACCTCAAATTCGTGAAACGACAATTATATAGTATGTCGCGACTTGACCAAGACCCGGAGCACCCGTCTCCAGAGATGACAGTCTTTCGCTTTTGCTCTGCCGGCCCTCTGATCAAAGATAGCCGAACCCACCCATCTCTCTCCCGACCAGATATCCTGCCCTCCATCCAGCCATCCACCGGGATTTATGGGCATCCCTGGCCCTTCCTGGGGAGACCAGGAGTGAATTAGACATTAAGATTAGAAATTAAGGAAAGGGAAATAAGAAAACAAAGGAGAAGCGTGATACTGACCAAAAGAGCAAAGAATCTGCTTGGCAACCCCATGACGGACTGCAACAAGAGAAAGGTCGAAAGCCAAGATGGAGTCCTCGGAGGTGAGGGCACAAGGACAGGACAGTAGGCCAAAGCAAGGGTCGATCGGAGCAGCCAAGTCATGTCCTTCTTAGCGTGTCGGTGACGGAAGCTCCTCAATGGGATTTCCGCCATGAGGGTTCCTCCACCTTCTGACCCGGCGCCATGATTTGCACCCTGACTGGGCCCCAGCAACCATGTCGGCAGCAACGTTTGGAGCGACGTCGGAATGACCCTTCGTCATCTCAAACACGCAGCCCACGCCATACTTGTTCAGCGTCTCGCGACTCTGGAGGATCGAGATATTGCAGTACTCGTAAACACGAGTTTGACCAGCAGAAAGCCGGTACCGGCCGACACTCTTGAGCACAAGTTCACAGTCGGAGAGCACGACAATGGTCTTCCATGTCGACTTCCTCTGCGCCCTGCGCTGGACAATCATCTCGACTGCCTTCTCGAGAGCCTCCGAAGCGGCTCGAAGCTCCATCTCACCCGAGCGGACCTTCTTCTCGTCTTCCCAGGGCACAATGGCCCACGGTGGCCTTTCGGCCCACGTCATGGAACCGGACGTGAAGTGAATGAGTCGGTCTCCCGGTGCCGACTGGATCGCGGCCCAACCACCGCGTTTGCCTCGCTCTGCGACGGAACCGTCGGTGGAGAGAACCAGCAAATCTTCATCAGCGATGCTGTGATAGTGCCTCGAGGCCCTGACCCTGTCGCTGACGCTTGGCCTCAAGATGACTTGATAATCAAGTGGTGCATCTTTGGTGAAGTCTCCTGTCCAGTTCTTGACTTCGAGGTCTTCCTTCGAGTTCATGACCGCCATGGTGCTGTCGACACACCACACGCCATCGACTGTGTAACTAATCGCGGGTTATCTAGTTCTCAAGTCTGAGGCCCGGGACAAACATACACCACCTGAGAGGAAGGCATGCTGTCAGATTGACTGCAGGGTGGTTAGTGTGTGTGAAGAGACGGTCTGTAAGACGGGCTACTGACTGTACGTGTGTGTGTGGCGAAGCGTGTTGGAGGGAGAAGAAGAGGAGAGGAGGGCGCGGCGCGGCGGGAAAACAACAACACCACCCGACCGGTTGCCCGCCGCAACGCGGCCGGAGAAACGAGATGGCCGGCTCTCTTCGGGCAGGTGCGCGCGGTCGCGCCTGCCTACTCGGCCTGACCGCTTTTGTTGGATACTGCCGCGCCGCCGCCCGGTCGCTCGCGCCCTCTGGCACGGATTGGTGTCGAAGCCCCAATGCAGCAGCCAGATACACCTGCTGAGAGCTCCGTAACGATGTACTACAGGCTGCGTCTACACCACTGTGTGGCGGATAGTAGACCAAGCCGCAAGTATGATAGATATATCTACTCCACGGGCGCGCGTCCGCCACAGTTGAGCTTGACCGAAGCCGCGTTGGGCAAGAAGAACGCCCAACCAACATGTAAATTATCCCCGAGTAGCTCCAAACCGATGCGGCTCTCAAGTGCTCAAGCTCTGTCGCGAGCGAGACCGGCGCGCCTGCGAAGCCGGGTGATGTACAAGCTGGAGGACGATCTGGGTGGGCGTAGCCGGCACCAACACTTCAGAATTTAGAGGGGGTATATAATCCGAAACCGCCACTTTTTCTCCCATCCAGCCGATAAAGGTTACGTGGCTAACTGGTTTACCAGCCCACGACTCCTAGGCAACGCTCGGGGATTAGAGCGTCATGGATACCTAAAAAAAGGTGGTGGTCCCCCGTGTCACCTTTCTGTAGCGGTCCGGTTTACCGGTGCCGCACGGCCAGCTTAGGGAGTCCTTCGGGGCCTTGCCCATGTAGCTTGCGCCAATACGTCCAAGTGGCGTAGTTGGCCCGGCCGTGCGGTGTTGCGCCAGTCCCAGGGTTCAATCCCGGGGTGGTGCATCAGCTTCAGTTTTGCTTTTTTGACCATCGCCATCTTGGATGGACTTTTCTGCTGTTCTTCTTTTTGCCTCACCGGTTGAATATCTGCAGCCAGACAACTATCCGGACTGTCCATCATCCTGAGTCTACTTCACTCCAATCCGTCAAGTTTGATGGCCCATCTCAGCGCGCGCCAGAGGAAGGTGAAGCGTTCATGGCCCCATACATTCACCACCCGCGCTTACCGTCAGAAGTACAATAGCTTGAGAAAATTCACGCGATATCTTCGGGCTACATTCGTCTCATAGACCCTGAGTCTATCAACCATGAGTGAGGCGAGAATAGACCTGTACCTCTAAAAATGTCCATCAGTGACGGTAGCGGCGCTGTGGTACTGTACACTACGGTTGACAAACTATCTTCAATCAAAACGCTGCCTCATACCCCAAGCCGCTTCTCTCCCCGGGCGGTGCGGGTTGGGATGGCGCCACATCGCTGCAAAGACTTTGCAACCCTTCTGTTCAATCGTACGCAGCTTCATTATACCTCACTTCCATCCATCGCCTGACTCACTCGCGCTCTGATTCAAGCACCTCAGCGGCGAAGTGATCGCAATAATGCAAATAGAGAGAAATGTATTATTCATTGACTACGATGGCATGTAGCGATTTGACCAAAGGCACAAGCACCCGTCGATGCCCATATCAGAGGTCCTCCGCCCTTTGATCCACGGCCTGGCCAATGACTGCAATGTGTCCATTCAGTCCTCCTGACAACCGCCGTCAAAACCCCGAGAGTGTGTTGAAACCAACCAGCCACCACCGGGTATTTGGCAGATAGGCCAGGCTACCCCGGCCTCCCCGAAACCGACTGAACTATTAAGCATTAGTGATTAGAATATAAAGAGGAGACAGGAAAGCAAGCAGCAAAGTCAAGAAAAAAACTGGGGAAGGGCAGCAAAAAAACCAGAGAGAGCAGATGAGCAAAAAAGAAAATGGAGACTTCCCAGTAGTAAGAGTGTGCGTACGACTTCCGGGCCATGAGCCAACAAAGGATTGCCAGGGAAGAGCACCAGAGCCCACGTAGTCCGTTGGTCGGGAGCATGGTGCGAGGAGACTACACACAAGGGAACGGATATCGGAGAGGAGGTGTCAAACCCGGCTGCGCGTCGGTGGACCGAAAGCTGCGCAAGCGCCACCGGATCAACGATGCAAGCCCGTTAGTGAAGGAGCTATTGGAACTGCAGGGCACCACCCATCGGCCACTCAAAGGGAAGCTGGGAAATGTACTGTGAACGAGAAAGCAAGATCAGAGCCCAAGAGCAGCCGGCTACTTCCAAGGTTTGCCCGCCGCTGCCGCTTTGGCGATACGATCCGCCTCTTCGTTGCCAGGGATGTTGGAGTGACCAGGCACCCACTGGCACTTGACGTACACGCCGCAGTCCCTGAGCTTCCGGGCGCACTCCAAGATTTGCCGCAGTACCCATGCTGACGGGTGGTCTTGCCACGCGGAATCACCCGCCCTGAACAGCCGGAGCGTGTTCAAGCCCCCGAAGCAGTCACTCCAGAGAAGTAGGTGACTGGTAGTCAGGTCACCGAGCTCCCGGATTTCCACCTCAGATACAGCGTACTCGAAGCCCCTCAGCATGGCAACCCTATGGAACATGTGATCAGAGCATCTCTTTGGTCCAAGGGCAGTCGGGCAGAAGGGTGACTTACAGCTCCAGCTCCTCCACCTCCAGCTGCCGGTGTCTGAGAGGGCCGTCCTCCAGGCGGTCCTCGATGGTGAACTCCTCGCCGGTCACACCATCGAGGCGAAACTTGTCAGGTGCCTGCCCTGGATTCTGCTCACTCTCGCCGGCACTGGCAGTAGCGCTCTGGTCCGCGTCACTCGGCAAGACTCGAACCACCGCTATTCCCCCGATGACACGTATTCCCTGCCCGCCGGGGAGAGACGCGTCAGTGAAGAGGACGATGGTCTTGTCGTCCGGTGGCTCTTCGTGGGCCTGCATCGCGATCCGCGTGGCGTCGACCCGGTTGCGCTTGACGACGTTGAAGCCAAGATCGTACATGTCTCCGCGCTGGGAGTCAGTTGGACCAAAGCCCTCCCCATCGGCCAAATTCGCCCTCGTGCCCTCGCGCTCCCTCTGCGACTGCCGCGGGACATACGGCGCTTGGCGGTGGTTCCTAGCATTGGTCTGTGTAACGTTAACTCGATCTTGGTGTGAAGAGGAGAGGACTTGCATACCGAGTGGAAGATCCGTGTTGTTTCGGCATGGTTGCGGAAATCGTGCGGAGGGTGAAGGGTCGAGGGTGCGGGAGGCTTATATAGAACCCTCCCCATCGGCGGACGCGGCGCCGACCTGCTGTCGGCACGACAACCACCACAACAACAACACGTGAGCGCAAAGCAGGCTCCGACGCGACGCGGCGCTGCGCGTCACAGTGCGGCGCGGTTGGAGCGCTGTGCAGCACGTAGCGGGAATCCATCCTGCAAGCCGAAGCCGCCCAGGCTCGGTGCATCAAACTCTCATCACTGCACCGTATCTCATCCGCATCTGGTAACTGGGTAGGTCAGGTTATGCCTGCTTTATCTTCTTCCACCCGTGGAGCTGCGCCAAAGTAGCAGTTCATGTGGAAGTGGTTCGCCAGTGGTCTACATAATGCTATGGCGACGGCTGTACGACTCGTCTCATGAAGTGCTTTGGATTGATAGATATTTTGCCATGAGTGATGCATCGATGGCTGAATTGATTTTCATAGCTTCATAGTCTGAGAAGAAGGCCAAGGGAGATTCGACCGAGTTTTGTTTACACGAAATTGGGACGGTCTATCCACAGGAGGTATATCACAATCTCCTCAGGCTAGCTCGGACACTTCCCTCACCAAGACCCCCGAAAGATGGTGGACCATGGCAGGTACGTTTTGTAAGTCATCTGCCCGTCGAAGCCCCAGTCATTCTCAATGTGCTCGACCTCGGCTTTCGGCCTTCTTGGACGCACAAACGCTTCCTTGATGGTTTCCTGGCTATGGGAGAAAACTACAAGCAGAATTGGAATCTGCGCGTATGTAGCAGCAACGCAACCATAAGCTCGCGCTTGCTCCTGGAGGCTAAGCCGTCAAGCCAACCATCATGCTGGGAAATTGACCGCCTGCAGGTGCGTATACTGGCACACATGCTCAAACTCCCGAACCACGGCAAGCCCAGTATATTCCTTCAGGAAGTCGCCATGACGACGTCAGGCACAGTTGCGATTCCGGTGGGTGACGTGACGGTCAGGCGGGTGGTTCTGTAGCGGCCCCAGGCGGTCGTGCTGTCGTCATAGTTGCGATGGAAGCCATCTTTCTTTAGATAGTGGCGTTATCCGTATCTGGAGAGGGTGTGATACTTACGCGGCCGAAGGTTCTAGCATTGAGTGACTTATTTTCCCTGAGTGTGCTGGCGGAGGGTAAGAATACCTTGCAAATGCTGGTCTGCGCCAGCGGCTCGCCTGCTTTCGTTGCTTCCAAACTTGGCAGTCACAGGGTTGCCGGGCAGGCACGCCGTTGCTGCCAGACTTGCAGCCCAGCATTCGCACACCATCATCATCCAGGTGGAACAAGCCATCGGAAGCACACTGCGCAGTGTTTCTTGAGCTGGTACAGCTTGCATGCATCTACTCGAGTACTTTGCTGACTCTTCCAGTACCCACCTCCTCCGTCCGGACCCATGAGATTCCCGACCGACACATACCGAGACGAAGACGCGATCCCTGCCGCCCGACATTCAAGCTCCTGCCTCACAGCTTCGATCTCTTTCTCGTCTCCTGTTCCCACGCCCTCCCAGCCTCGTCCTCCGCATCGTGGCTGTACAGCCAGATTTGCGTCGTCGGGTCGCTCAACCCGTTTGGACTCTGGATGTAATGTTTTCCATCCGCTTCCGCCCGCATCGCTTCGTCGCGCGCCCGCTGCTCCGGTCCGTCTGGGAAGTGGAAGATGCGTCCGTTGACGAAGCTTGCCTGCTGCACCTGCGCCGTCCGCACTATGCGCAGCTCCTCGAAGACGCGTAACGCTGTCGGAAGCTCTGATTTCGACGAAATGGAGGATATGAGCGTAGCCAAACTCGCTGCATCTTCGACGGCCTGCGCGGCTCCTGGAACAAAAGACGGCTGAGTACTGGGTGAAAGTGCTCCTTTGATACGAAATCTCTCCTACCTTGACTCATGAAGGGCAACATGGCGTGCGCCGCGTCTCCGATGATAACCACTTTGTTCGACTCGGAAACCCATCGCTCCAGCGCTTGTCCTGCCATCATCGGCCACTTGAGCGTCGATGTGATCAGACTAATGAGCTTTGTAACGCTGCGGGCTGTCAGTGGTCTTCCCGCCCCAGACCCAAGTCCTGCACCCCGCCACTCACCTGCGTTCCCAACCAACGAACTGCTCCTTCATATCCGTCAACGCAGTCTCTTGCTTCCACGTGCTCGGGTCTGACGGCTCTGGATGGATAAGAACCACATTGACCGCTGCTCCACCGGTGATGGTGTACGTGACGACATGCCGCGAAGGTCCAAGCCTGGAATTCCATCAGCTCAGGATCCGTCATCATCAGAAGTAGACTGCCACCGACCAGCCGTTCTGAATGTAATTGTCCAGCATCCACGCCGTATCCGGATCGCTCCTGATCTTCTCCGCCGGAATGGTCGCCCTGTACGCCGCCAAACCCGTCAATACAGGCGGCTGATCCCTGTCCCCAAGCACCGCCTTCCGTCCTTCCGAAAAGATGCCTGCACGTCGTATGTCAGTCAGCATATACGGGCCCATGGAGGGAAAGAAAAGAAACGCTGTGTAACGTGGGGCCGGGCCACCACCTCCGCTGGGCACTCTTCTCCCCCTCAACCCGAAACACAAGCTCCGACGGACAGCGGCTAAACCAGGCGCGGAAGCAGTGCCAAAAAAAAAAAAAAACCAAATCCCACTCACCATCAGCAGCAACCACCAAGTCCGCCACCTCCTCCCCTTCCTCAGCTCGACCCGCTTCCCCGCCACCGACCCACCGCACAGCGCCCCTCCCCTCATCCACGCCAACAACCCTCCTCCCAAACATAACCTCGACCCCAAGCTCCCTCGCCCGCTCATACAACGCCGCCTGATAATCCGCCCGATGCACAACCCAATACGGGGCATCGCTTCTCTTCCCCATCCCCTTGCCCTCTCCCTCCCCCTCCCCCACTCCCACCCCCGCCCCGCCTCCCTCACCACGCAACCCAGACGCCGAACACTCAGCACCATCACCATCACCACCATCAGCAGCAGTTGAACCACCCCCACCAAACCACTCCCCCACCTCGGGCATCAGCACCGCCCTCCCGACGACGGCCCCGTCTCGCCACCGCCGGAACACGCTCGCCTCGGGCTCGACCACGTGTTTTTCTAGATGCGGGCGTACGCCCCACCGCAGCAGGAGCCGCGTCGCGTTGGGCGGGATCTGCACGCCCGCGCCGATTTCCGAGAGGTGCGGGGACTGCTCGATGATTTTGATTTTTGGTGTCGTTGGCGTCGGCGTCTTCGTGGGCGTCGTCGTTTTGTTGTTGTTGTTGTTGTTGTTGTTTTTTTGCTTGAGGTGCAGGGTTAGGGCGATGGCGGTGGAGAGGCCGCAGATGCCGGCGCCGATGATGAGGATGGTGTTGAGGGCGGGGGCGTTGGGGGCGGGGGCGGGGGCGGGGCACTCTTCTGTCGTTGTTGATGTTGGCGGAGAAGGAGCAGCAGGAGGAGGGGTGGAGGTGGCGGTGTTGTTGGTCTCGGTAGGCTTTTGTTGGAGCGCGGAGAGGAAGTGGAGGGAGCGGGTGGGGTAGTTTGCGTTCTGCGCGGTGGTTTTTGTTTTTTGCTCGTCAGCGTGGCTTTCCTTGGTCATGGAGGGGAGAGAGGGAAAGGGGTTGCATCGATGGGAGGCGGCTGATTGCTACTCCTCCGCACAGTGAAGTGCAGTGGCTGCTCAGAGGATAGATTGATAGGTAGGTATGTGACTTTTGCGCTGCGCTTACCAGCGGTCCGTCGTGTAGAATGTGGCTCGCGCTGTCGACCAACCCGGCCGTCTTGTCTCTATTGCGGAACGAGCTCCTCGGCGCTGCCATTTCCAGTCGATTTTGCTAAACAGAGAGAAGGGAGAAAAAAAAAGAGCTCTACTACTCTCTGACTGAAAAGGTCCAATTGCGAGAAAAAGAGAGGGAGGTCCTGCTTTCACATCTCCGCAAACTAGCTCCCCTACCTATTTGCCGGCTCTCCCGCTAGTCTTCTCCATGTCTCGGCCCCCATCATCTCCGGCGGCGGCGGTCCCTGATCGCTGGTTGCCACACCCGCGAATGCCGTGCGTATTAGCGCAAAAATCCTGTCCGGACGCAGTCAGACTCTCCCGTGCGGGCGGGACCTAAGGCGACAAGGGCGTTTTGGTACTACCTACCACCTACCACCGCCGATCGATCCCACGTAAGATTGGCGTGCGTGGAAGAGTTGAACATGACCCCGCGGTTTTTTTTTGTCCGATGGTTGTTTTGCCTACCTACGGATTACACGTGGACGTGTAGCATTTTTCTTTCTTGTTCTTTCACTTCCAGGAGAGGCTGGAAAGTGGTGATGGTGAATAAATGGTGTCGAGGAAATATCAGGGCTGTGCGAGAAACAGGCAAAAGAGCTTGTGCCAAACATGCAGCTGGTACGTAGTATGACTGGTAGCCGTTAGTGATGAGCTGCGATGCGATGGCAAGGTTACTACTGAGCAACGCTTGCGCATGAAGGCTACGAAAATGTGCCAAGGTTGCTTGGTGCAACTACACACTTCAACACTCGATAACATGGCTTTGCAGAACACATACACTGAATGGAACCAGACAACAGTCAAGGAGCGTGGCAGAGCGTAAGAGCGACGGGGTATCATGATTGCAACTGAGAAAGGTCTGACCCTTCTGTCTACGTTCTTTTCTTCTTCTTTGCACTAGCCAACGCTTCGGAGATCCGCGCAAGATCTGCTTCAACCGCCTCGTCATCGTCTTCGTCTTTCTCCTCGGCGACCAAAGTCTCGGCATCACCCTCCTCGGAGTCTTCCTCGGATCCCTCGCCTTCCCCGGACTCGAAACCCTCGAACGAATCATCGTCGTCATCGGCTTCATCTTCGGGCTTTTGAACCTCGCAGCCGGCGGCAGGCTTGGGTTCCTCTTCGCGCTTCCTCTTGCGCGGCATCTCACCGAGACGGCCTTGCCGACCTTCGCGATTTGTGTCGTCATCCTCCTCCTTGTCGGGTAGAGGAGTGTACCACGGAATCTTGCCACGCATGAACTCGGTGAGTACCATCTTGGCAACGCTGTCCAGATCGGGCTCGCCTCCCTTCAACAGTCTTCCTCCCTTTCGGGCAAGCTGTTCCAACAGGTCTGTGTGGTCCTTGTAGTCTTTGAGCTCGTATGTTCGCAGAACGTGTTGCTTTTTGCATTTGCTCAATGCAGCGGCAACGTACTGCTCCGGATGCTCCGTCTTCTCAAGACGCACAACGCCACGAAGCAGAAGGTCGGCATCAGTGTCGTTGGCGTTCGGAGGGACGATGCCGGGGCAATCGATGAGGTAGATCCTCTTCATAAGCGTGACGTATTGCCAGACCTTGGTCTCGCCAGGAATGGGCGCGGTCGTGCAAACCTTCTTCTTCCTCAACGTGTTGATGATGGAAGATTTGCCAATGTTGGGGTAGCCGATGAGACCGCAGGAGATCTGCTTACGATCGGAGTGAAGAGACGAGAACTGACGGAGAAGGGAGATCAAGGAGCCTTTTCCAAAGCTGTTATTGATCGAAGCGTGAAAAGCGAGGGTGGGGTAATCCTTGGAAAGATAGCGGACCCAAGCAGCCTGTTGATCGTCAGTGTATGAGCTCCGAAAAGCAACTTTGACGATTGTGTTCGGGGCATATATGAAACGTTACTAAGAGGACCGCCATGAAAACCACTTAACGCGGAGACGGCCCTCAACTCAAACGAATCATTCTCAGACCCTTGCGGACAAACGCCAAGACGGAGATTGTCCAACTTCAAAGCCATGACGGCCAGAAGCGGCGGGCGAGCTTGATCTCCCAAAGCTGTAACGGACTTCTTCCATAGAGAGTAGCAACGAATGCAGGAAAAAGCCCTGACTTAGCAATGGGGCTGATGGGGGAGCGGTGCAGAAAAGAAAATGGCAAAGTGTCGGACTTACCGCAACTTTAGTCGGCACCAGGTCACACTTGTTCAAGACGAAGATCAGGTGCTTGTGGGGTGCCTCCTCCCTGATGTACTTCTCGACGGAGCGACACCTCGTGCCAAGGGGGTCTCTTGCGTCCAGGACGTGTATTACCACGTCGGACGAGTCAATGACCTTGTACAGCTCGTTCCAGATACGCTTGCTCTGACCCTTGGAGAAGACAGCCTCACGTGCTGCAGAGGAAGCGCCCGTGTCCTCCTCCTCGTCGGCGCCAGCTCCAGCGTTTCCGCTAAGCAGGTGAGCTTGCTCGAGACGGTCCAGATAGTCATCGTGGGACTTGACAGTCTCTCCAGCAAGATCCTCAATGCTCGATACTCCAATCTTGACTCGCTTCCTCTGTGCCTTGGGGCCGAAGGTATCGCTGAACGGGGCCGTTTCAATGGCCATCTTGGCTTGATGCTGCTTGACGCCGTTGACCTTGTCCTGGCCGTCTCTGATCAGGGACATCGGCAGCTTGTTCGACTTCAGCAGCACCGAATAAGGGTCTGTGGCACGCTCGGCCATGGCAGTGCGGAACGCAGAGAGAGATTCTTGGCTGATGACGCGGGAGTTGGTGAACCACTTGCGGTTCGGCTCAATGCGGGCAGTAGGCACGTCCCTGGATTGGTAGATGGCGGCCTTGGTGATATCACCGCGTGCGTTCCTCTGTGCCTTGCCATCCGTGTACATGTTCAGATGCTTCACCCTCTTCGCCGAGCTGAATGCAGGTCAGCACCAGGTCCACAGTCCGTCACGAGTGCTTCCGCTTACCGATAGAAGTTCTCGCCCTTGGTCCTGACATTGCTCATGCCATCGCCAGTCTTCCCCTGCCGCTCCCTCCTGGTCGCCTCTTTTTTTCCGGTGCCCATGGTGGCAAGATGCGCGACGACGCTCTCGGGGCGGTGACTCGAGATGGGAGGAAAAGAGTTGGCGCGGCTGGTCCACCACGCGGCGCTTGCTGCAGCAAATCTGAAGGGCGCAGAGAGGAAAGAAAAGGGAAGAGAAAAGCGCGCAGTGGGGGATTGAGTGTGCTGCGACGCTCGGGCGCGCTCGATCTTTTTTTCGGGGCTTGCGTGCCAAGATTTCACCGCCAAGACATGGCAGCGCCGAAGCTCCGCCGGCGAAGCGTTTGAGAAAGTCTGGCGGCAACGACACGCTTGACCACGCCCGCAGCCGCCATCAGCCATGCCTCCCCCACATGCCCGGACGGCCTTGTCGTCCTCGATACGCTGCAATGCCTGCGTCAATTCCTCCGTAACGCGCCGCGCATTCGCCTCTTCGCCTGCCCCGCGCCAGGTTGGACCCGAATCTCCCAGATACATAGACGTCCCGAAGCCGCTGCAGCAGAAGGCGCCCTACAAGCCCGTCGTCAAAGGATCCCTGCCCGTCCCCCGCAATATCTTCATCAATCGGAGCAGGCTGGAGAAGGACTCCAAGGAGTTCCTGGACAATGCCACACGAGAGCCATCCACGGCAGCCTCGCTCGGCGGACTCCATGCCGATCGCCTTGCTTGGAAGCAACGTCTCTCAGCATTGAGGAGGAAGAACCTCCGCGAAGGTGTGACTTCTTTGCACAAGCGCAAGCAAAGAAGCGACGAATTCTTGGCCAAGCGGGGCACGCAGCGCCAGAACCAGCAATTGAGCCTCATCAACCAGCGGCCGCGCGATGACGAGGTCTTCACCAACCCCAGCGTGTCCAAGGTCGTTCGCGACTTCCTCAGCGGCGTGTATAACACCGTTTCCGACAAAAATGTGCTGCAGAAGAAGGCGGTCATCGCACGCAGGGAAGCAGGGAAGACGGAGCACAGGAAGGAGGCCCTGCACAAGCTATACACGCACGCAAAAGAGTACATTCTCACCGAAGACCAGCTGTCCAAGGCTATTGAAGACACGTTCGGCACCGAGGACAACCTTCCGGGCTTCGCTACCGGCAATTCTAAGCAGGGTCGTAGCATCTGGGCTCGAGGCTCGTTGTTGAACACGGCCCAGATGTTGGCGGCAAACCAGGGCAGGAGCAATAGAGCGGTGACCAACAAATCAAGCCCCGAAGTGACGCAGAAACGCATCCACCAGATTGCAGAGGAGCTCACCGGCGGCAAGATCCCGCGCCAGGAGGATGCCATTTGAAGGCCTAGTACGCCAGAGGCTGTTCGCGGGAGGAGGGAAATGGTGGTGTACTATACGTTGCAATGCATGGCTGACGGCATTTTCGACCATTGATCGATGTTTGAATTCAAAGTGACTCACAAAGACGCTACCTGGAGTGCTCAAACGGATGATGTGGAGCGGTTTGCTGATTGCGTGAGTACAGAGGGGAGACTCTTAGTGAGGACCCTTGCAGGACCCGTGGAGTTACGTAAGCGTCGCGCTGCCTTCTCGTCTCGGTAGTTTTCAATCACTGCCCTGCCTCGAGGTAACTCGCAGCCAAGCTGCACTATCGGGTTTACACCGAACACTTCTTTCTTGCACTCCACCACAGCAAACTGCATTCTTTCACTCCACCAAACCGTCGCTGTTGTTTTAACTGCGTGACACCCGAGTGCCAACTCTTACGCGCTTTAGCGGTTCAGTTCACGAATCCAGTTCTTCAACCTTGCCTCAGCTTCGCCGATTCAATCACGCGACAGGATGGCTTCTTTGTCAGAAGTGTATGATCCACCTGTCCACCGGACCAATCTGGTCGATCTCAGTGATTATGAACGTCGGCAAGCCTACGGTCGGCTGGAGAAGGAAATCTTCCTGGCGCGATTCGGATCTCCAAGTCCGCCTCCGATTGTTACATCCACCACGGTCCTCCCGACTATCCCGACCATACCTATATGTTGCGGGATGAGACCTGATCTCACCATCATCAAACTTATAGCCTTGGCGATCATTAATCATGCGGACCGCTCACCTACAGGTCAAGAGCTACTGCTCTGGATTGAGTCACGCTTCAAGTATTTCGTCAGGCATCCGGTGGCTCTCGCTCACATCAGGATCAGGCTCCAGGATGTCTTCTTGGAGTACGACCCACCCGTGGTTCCGCTGAGCGGCAATGCCTATCAACACTTTGCTATGCCTTGGGACGCGGACAACATTCTCAGCCTCCGCTACGCCATCGTCGTCGGTCACTTGAACGTCATCTTTCCGCCTCCTCGAGCATTCTCTATGAACTTTCGTTTCATGAAACTTCCCTCGGAATTACGCCTTCAGGTGTATGAATATACTCTCGGGATGCCTTGCAGGCAGTTGACAACGGCGCAATTGCAGAGGAGCGACCTGGGCAAGAAGGAGCAAAACCGCCTTCTCAGTATGGTGCGCTACGATGAAAACAGTGACTGGAAGGGCACTACCTTGTTCAGGTGTCCGCGAGTTGGTACTGTCCTTGCTCTGCTGTTGGTTTCCAGAATGGTCCGCAAAGAGGCTCTGCCAATATTCTACCGTATCAATACGTTCACCTGCAAGGCGATCTTTGGGCTTACGATGGTTCGGACCAGCATGGGTGCCGCCCACCACAGCTACGTTCGCAATCTCGTTATCGAATATCCGTACTGGCCATGCGGACGACGTGTCCGGGAAACGTTGGCTGACTGTGCAGAATTGGAGAACCTCAGTCTTTGGCTTAGCCGTCCCATCGACGAACCTGATTCCATGGGCATTCTTGTTGATTACCATGAGCTTGGCATTCTTCGAGGAGTCAAGAAGTTCGCGGTTCACGGTGAGGCCCCGCAATCAGAAATTGATACGATCAGGGCGTATTTGGAGTCGCTGGTGACGCAGCCGCGCGAGAAGTCAGAAAAAGTTGCAGTTGAAGAGCCACCGGCGAAGAGGCGAAAGATTGGACCGGCGTGAGAATGGAGATAGTGTAGTTCTCATGACAGTAGACAGGCCCGAGAGCCAACACTGGAAAGGGAGAGAAGTAGTGGGGGACAGGAGGAATAGGCAAGGGAAAAGTCAAAAGAGTGATAAAAAATAGACTGAAGTCCATTTCCTATGCTTCTGTTCGGATAGTCGCTTGAACTACGATGTTGTGTGCTTTCACAATCCTCTCCACGTGACTGCTGTCATAGTGCACGCCCACGCCCGCAACAACTAATACCCCTCGAACTGCTATTGCCGAAATGTATGCCGGGCAGCCAGTTACTGCAGTCTCTCATATCACTATCGCCTTCTTTGGTGGGAAAACCTAACGCACGCCAGTTCAGCCGTCTTCATTGCCACTGCCACCCTCTACGCCCACCGGGACGGACCTTCCACGCACCGATCGATACGCTGGCGAAGTTGAAAGTCGCCGCCATCACCACCGGGCAGGCTTGCTTTCCTCCCGAGGTAGGCGTCGCTGCAAACGCTGCATTCAAGCAGCCGCCTTTGCTGTCGCAGCGTCCCGTTTGGCGCCTTCGTGGGTATGACTTCCGCGATTCCGCTCGTGCTCGGGCTTCCTGGGCGAATGCGCCAGGCACGGCTGCCAGAAGCGGCTGGCGGCGGCGGGTCGAGCGATCTCAGCGGTTTCGCTGAGGGGAGCGCGGCGGCGTGGTGGTGCCTTCCCTGCGAGGCAACTGCCTCCAGCGTCGCTGGCGAGGGCTGCGTCCTTATTCTCTTCGCTCGCCCCTCGACTCTCTCTCTCTTCTTCTTCAACATCCATCCAGTACCCACAGTTCCGCAGCGTTACCCATTGCTCCATTGCTCCATTGCTTGCCCATCCAGCAGACTTGTTTGCTTTTACCCCTCAAGCATCCCATCCACGCCACCACTCATCCACCAGCAAACATGAAGTCTGCCATCATCGCCATTGGCCTCGCGCTGGGCGTCTCCGCAGCTCCTGCGTCATCAATTGAGTCAGTCAACCGGGGTTGGTCAGTGTTCCCGTCCCTCAAGTCACAGATCCTCTACTGACTTTGCTTGTGCCAGCTGCTTCGGCATTGATGCCTACGGCGTCCAAGGCACCGTCTCCGAAGGCTACTGGGGCAAGATCCAACAGATCTCCGACGGTCAGCTCCGCATCGGACAATCGAACATCGAGAAGGAATCCAACTTCTGCCTCAACGACAAGTATGGTACGTCGCCTCTTTCTTTCCTGTCCCATTCCGCTCTGCCTCACACACACTTGAACTGTCTCTCCTGTCCTGTCTCATTCTCCCAAGCCATATTGCCTTGCACGCTTGAGCCGTCTGTTCTTGAGTGATGCTGACAGATTTTGATGACAATAGGCTTGTATGATCAGAAGCACTTTGGCTGCATCCTTGCTGGCTGGGAGGAGCAGTTCCAGTGTGACAGCGGCAAAATGTCCTGGTCCAACTGGCACATCGGCTATGAAGGCATCGTCACTATCCAAGGCAGCGCCAGCTGGTGGGCTTGCCCGACCGGAGACCATAACGGATACAACATCTACAAGAAGCCTCTTCCCGGACAAAGATATTGCTCTCAGGTCGCTCTTGTTGCAGACGAGTGCCATGCTGTTGAGGATTCTGTCTCGGCCCCCACTCACCCAGATGGCCCGGAGGACGCTCCCACCGACGAAGAAGGCCCAAAGGACGATGACACCGACAAAGAAGTCCTAAAGGACGATGACACCGACAAAGAAGGCCCAAAGGACGATGGCACCGACGAAAAGGGCCCAAAGGACGATGACACCGACGAAGAAGGCCCAGAGGACGATGATACCGACGAAAAGGGCCCAAAGGACGATGACACCGACGAAGATGGCCCAGAGGACGATGACACCCACGAAGATGGCCCAGAGGACGATCACACTCACCCAGTTGGCCCAGAGGACGCTCCCGCCGACGAAGATGGCCTAGAGGACGCTCACACTCCTGGCACAACTCTCTCTGACACCACTTTCCAATCTTCACGTCAGGACTGCACCGAGTCTGGATCATGCAGCGGCAGCCGGTCGAGTTGTCCTGATGAGCTGAGCGGAGATTGGCAGGTAAGCAGACGTTCGCCAAGTGTGCCTCGCAGATAACTGACTTGAAACAGTTCCCACACTTGATCATTCCCGTCGATGCTGACAAGCCTGACTTTGCTCCTGGCACGTCCCTCTTTGGCACCGTCTCGAATTCCACCAAGTCCTACTTCAACTTCGACATCCCCTCCGAGTACGAAGGCAAGACCTGTACCGTCAAGTTTCTATTCCCACAACAGGAGCAACTCGAAACATCCAGCTTCGAACTCAAGGGATCTGGCAAAGTCATGGTCGGCTGGACCAAGGAAGTCAGCAACTCGACCTCGTTCAAGATCGCACCCAAGTGCCCGAAGCAGGTCACTGGGACCTTCAGCCCCGGGCACAGCTACCAGCTTGGCGAAGCTGAATGCGAGCCTGGTGTTATGGGATTCGTCATTCAGGGAGCCTCCGACACTTACTTTAGATGGTTCCAGGACTTCAACCCTTGCCCGTGAGTGTTCGCTCTCCAGCCCTTGATGTTTGAAAGTGGAGTTTCACATAGCTGACAAGTTCAAGCAGCATTGGTCTCTACCTCACTGCTGAGTAGAGGGGGAAGATGATGGTGCTGTTTGATGGTACTGTTTGATGGTACTGTTTGACGGTGCTGTTTGATGGTGTTGTTCGAGGGCGTTGTTTGAGGGCATTGTCCCACGATGCCAATTTCTAGTGTTGTTTTTTGTTGTTTTGATTTTCTACTATCCCTAGCCTAGCCTCGTCTGTCCCTACCTCGAGTCTCTTATCAATCTTGCCTTTTAAAAAATGCTCTCTTGATGATGTGATGTTGCTTTGAAGATGAGTGCTTGGACCCAAGACTCCGACGTAGATGTGAGTCCTTGGGTATGATGCAATGGAGACCTCTGAGGTAGAAGCTAGTGACGTCAAAGTGATGGATTATAGTATGGTATTCCTTTCCCTCAAGCAGCATCCCAAGCCAGCCAATAATACCGAAACTCCATAACGCCCTGCCATGCACGCGGTTGCTCAAGACATCAGTTCCAGCCAATGATGCCCTCAGCCAGAGTGGTGCCGGTGTCCTTCAAATCTGTGACGATAGACACCTTCCTGCCAATGACGCCCCTGTCACCAACGGACAGGTCAAGCACATGGGCCAGGTCCAGCTGGGCAAGGCTCTGGTGTTCGTCCACGGCGGGCCTGAGTTGGATGGCGTAGAGAGCGTTGCTGGCGGCCTCGCTTAGCGACGGTCGCGCGAGCAGGTCCCCGTTGTGGCTGTGGGGGGAGAAGATCACGTCAGCACGATCGAGTACCATGAATGGAGAATAATGGCGAAGCAAGCAAACTCACTGGATCAGCATGAAATAGCCCATGAAGTTGTCGAAGCAGCCACCATCGTCGGCCTGGAAGACGGCGCGTGTGCGGCCACGGAGCTCGCCGGGATTCTGGAAGAAGAGGTTGCAGCTGGCGGTGGATGGTTGCGACTCGTGCGGCGGAGGGCGTAAGACGGCAATGGTGCCGCCTGCGGAAAGGCGTGTCGAGTTGCCGCACATGGTGGTGTCGAATGATGCGGGGGTTCGTCGCGGAGCTTCCGATTGGTCGATGATGCGGTGCACGCCCAACAGCCAAGTGTCAACACCACGAAACGCTGACTTCCTCGCTGCCTTGATTGCTTTGTTGTCTCTTGGAAGTGCAGAGCGCCCGCCCTTCTTTGCCTGCCCTTATAAACCCGGCCTTTGATTGTGAGGCGCGACTTGGTGTTTCACCGGACCTTCAGCTGCGCGCGAATGAGCACGTTTCGAGCGGATATTGAGCAAGTTTGAGTCTCTTGGAATTTGCGCACCTCACACTGTCCAGGCGCCCCTTTCGCAACGTCTTTCCGATGGCGACGATGGCTTCAGTCGGCTCTCCTCGCGCCGCTGCCAGCGTGCGCTCGCGCGGCGCTTTAAGTGCAGGTGCGCCTCAGGGCGGGACATCATGGTGCTGTTACCCTGCTGTCCCGCCCGCCCAGCGCAAGCGCAACCCGGCCACTGCCCGACGCCAGCCTGTCTTCTCTGCAACCCTCCTCTCTCTGACCCTCATCGTCTGCTTCTTCACCACCACTGCGTCTGCCTTCCAGCTGCCTTTCTTCAATAACCCGACGCTCGGCACCAACTCCACCATGTCTGTCCAAAAATACAGCCTCCCGCCGCTTCCTTACGGCTACGATGTAAGCTGTCTCGTCATTTCTGATCCATGCGCCCCCTCAAACGGAGCGTTCCTATCGTCCTACTCCATCTCCCATCTCAGTCCTCCCACCGCGCACTCACCCCTCCACCACCCGTGATTTTTCCAAACATGGCCGCCATAGGCCTTTCTGAACCCTCCACCGTCCCCACCCAGCGCTGAAACATCCCTCTCCCGCTCGCTCTCTTTTCCGCACTCCCCCTCCCGATCCGTTGTCATCTCACCCGCCAACCAATTCTCTTCTCTCCCCCAAACAGGCCCTCGAACCCGCCATCTCGCGCCAGATCATGGAGCTGCACCACAGCAAGCACCACCAGACGTACATCACGAACCTGAACGCGGCGCTCGCGACGTACGCGACGGCCACGGCGGCCGGCGACATCCCGACGCAGCTCGGCCTGCAGCAGGCGCTCAAGTTCAACGGCGGCGGCCACATCAACCACTCGCTGTTCTGGGAGAACCTCGCGCCCGCCAACTCGAGCGACGTCAAGCTCGCGACGGCGGCGCCGAAGCTGGCGGAGCGGATCGCGGAGACGTGGGGCGCCGAGGAGAAGTTCAAGGAGGCGTTTGCGAAGGCGCTGTTGGGGATCCAGGGGAGTGGGTGGGGCTGGTTGGTCAAGATGGAGGGTGAGGGCGGTAGGCTGGCGATTGTGACGACGTGAGTATTGCGCCCGCTCTCTCTCTCTCTCTCTCTCTTTTTCTTTTTTTCTTTCTTCGCTCTTTCGGCGGTGAGCGTCTTGGCTAACGTGTGCGGTCTTTCCAGCAAGGACCAGGATCCCGTCGTTGGCCCTGGTGAGGTCCCCATCTTCGGCGTGGACATGTGGGAGCATGCGTACTACCTGCAGGTAAGGATTCCTTTATGTTTGTCTCTGTCTCTCCGTGTTGCCATGCATTTGTATTTGCCCCTGGTTCCCTTTTCGTTTGTCCGTTCATTGGCCACAGAGATCGTTGTTCCTAGCTTGCAAACGCTGACGTTACGTTTACTCTTGCAGTACCTCAATGGCAAGGCTGCGTACGTCCAGAACATCTGGAGCGTCCTCAACTGGAAGACGGCAGAGGAGCGCTTCCTCGGCACCCGCGCCGATGCGTTCAAGACTCTCAAGGCATCCATTTAAGCGGTAGAATACCTGCAACCAGCCTCTCTACCAAGACCCTGGACGATGGCACGAAAGAATACTGTTAGCGATGGAAAGCATCACTTACAATGCCTCGTCAGGCCAAGACAACACTACAACAGAGTTCGTGCAAGGATACGGACACAAGCGATTACTTGACTATAGATTATGTAAATGTCACTCGTTTTCGGCCAAGAATTCTCTCCGCGACTCCGGTGACCTACGTTTTTCTTTCACGGCGGTGAAGAGGAGCATTGACCCACTGAGTGTCCCACGCGATCGATTGTGGACTGAGGAGCCCAAAAAGAAGACGGAGTTGACGGAGGAGGCTTACTGGTGGGTTGACCCCATATATCGCCGACCCAGTCCATCCACATTCAGACGTCGGAGTCCTCTGGCTAACAAGCGTCGAGTACCGCGCAGGTAGGCCGAAATGCTTTCCGTAGGCCAACTGATGATCACCTTGATGCCGAGATCATGGTTCAAACGCTCAGCGTGCATTAACGGATGCGCATGCTTTTTCTTTGACGTGGGCTCAACTGACCATGACGTTACTAATTAATATCCCTACTCTTGTTTGCAGATGCCGAGAATCGCCGCTCAAAAAAAAAAGTTTAAGCCGCACGTACGATCAATCAAAACATGTGAAACAGCGACCCCGTGCCGGCACTGGCGCTCCGTCCACGATTCTGGAAAGGCTGTCCGTGTTTAGGCTCTGGTGATGTCGTGATTAACTTGTTCTAGCGGCCAAGCCGGGAGATTGCTTTTCTGACACAACCCCGGCTTGCTCTTCCCGGCCGACCCGACGGCCTGTCCACCGTCGACCAAGCCTCACGCTTCTCGCTCCGGCCACTGCCCCTCCTTTTACCCCATCGTGGCCCCCGCCGTCCCGCGCCTCAAGCGATTCATCCACCAATTAATACGACGCATAGGACCTCCTGAGCTCATCCCCTTTGGCTCGGCGTTTCCTCCACACGCCATCTGGACCCTTGTGTCTTACTCGCCGATCCCCGCTCCCGAGTCGCAGAAGTGATGGCCGTTGTTCATGCCATGATCGCCGCATGCAAGCCGGCAATGACTTGATCGCCATGCTTTTCCCTGCGAGTCAAAGCAATAGAGCCCTTGCGCCATGCTGCATCCTCGGCATGCATGGAGCCGCACTGAAAATGGAAACAAAGTTGTGGCTGCATTTATGAACGCTCTGCCCGGCTGCTCTTAATGTCAGCACCAGGCTCTCTTTTCTCTCCGTCGGTCTGTCCATTCCCTCAATCTGTTTTTTGCAAACATGAAGGGCTCCTCCATTGCTGTGGCGCTCACCGCCGCAGCCACCGCTGGCATCGCCAATGCGCAAAGTAAGATCCCCTCACACACCAACCTTCTCCTCCCCTCTTTGCGGCCATGCCATGCTCCCAAAGACACAGACAATCAATAGAAACAAGCAAGAGAAGCAAGAAAGACAAGAGGAAGAGAAAACGAACCCTCCCCCCTTCCTTCCTTCCTTCCTCCCTCCCAAACAATCCACCCACCCAAAGAAGAGAAGAGAAGAGTCGAGTCGAGTCCACCCTCAATCAAACAAAAAAAACTAACCCCACCCCCCTCGTCTCCAGCAACCCACACCCCCTCTCTCGACTGGCCCGCCGCGCGCGCCAAAGCCCTCGCCGCCCTCGCCCAGCTCGACCAGGCCGAGAAAGCCAACATCGTCACGGGCGTGGGGTGGGGCAACGGCCCGTGCGTGGGCAACACGTACGCGGTGCCCAAGATCGGGTACCCGTCGCTGTGCCTGCAGGACGGGCCCCTCGGGGTGCGGTACGCGGCCAACGTGTCGGCGCTGCCGGCGGGCGCGCAGGCGGCGGCCACGTGGGACCGCGAGTTGATTTATGGCAGAGGCAAGGCGCTGGGCGTGGAGGCGAAGGCGCTGGGCGTGCATGTGCAGTTGGGGCCGGTGGCGGGGCCGTTGGGGAAGGTTAGTGCGGGTTTTTTTTTGTTTTGGTTTTTGCGGCTCTGGTTTCTGGAGGGTTTTTTTGGATTCTGGGTTGTGGACGGGCTGCTGCTTGCTTGGTGGTCGAGGAGAGAGAAGAGGATTGTTGTTGTCGTTGTTGTTGTTTTTGTTCAGAGAAAAGGGTTCATCGCTGACGACGAACAACAGTACCCGGAGGGCGGTAGGAACTGGGAAGGCTTCTCGCCCGACCCGTACCTCACGGGCATCTCCATGTACGAGACCATCGTCGGAATGCAGGACGGCGGGGTGCAGGCGTGCGCGAAGCACTACATCGGCAACGAGCAGGAGCTGAACCGGACCACCGTCTCCGAGAACATCGACGACCGCGCCATGCACGAGCTGTACCTCTGGCCCTTTGCCGACGCGGTCAGAGCCGGGCCGGCATCCTTTATGTGTTCTTACGTGAGCAGTCTCCAATCCCCCGTTGAAGGGTTTCTTTACTTACATGTTGTCATGTCATGACAGAACAAGCTCAACGGCACGTGGGCGTGCGAGAACGACAAGGCACTCAACAACCTCCTCAAGGAAGAGCAAGGGTTCCAGGGCTACGTCATGACCGACTGGGGCGCGCACCACACGACGGTCGAGAGCGCCAACGCCGGGCTGGACATGTCGATGCCGGGCACCGACTACAACAAAACCCCCGAGAGCCTGTACTGGGGCGCCAACCTGACGGCCGCCGTCGACGCCGGCGACATCGCCCAGGAGCGCCTCGACGACATGGTGGTGCGCATCCTCGCCGCCTGGTACGCCCTCGGCCAGGACGACCCGGACTACCCGCCCGTGACCTTCAACTCGTGGGCCGCCGAGGGGCAGCGCGGCGGGTTCCCGGCGCCGCAGACGCAGCACAATGAGATTGCCCGCGCCGTCGCGAGGGACGGCATCGTGTTGCTGAAGAACGAGAACGGCGCGCTGCCGTTGGATGCCGCCGCGGCCGGCAGCCTGGCCATCATCGGCGACGACGCCCGCCTCAACCCCGACGGCGCCAACGCCTGCGTCGACCGCGCCTGCAACAACGGCACCTTGGCCGTGGGATGGGGCTCCGGCACGAGCGAGTTCCCGGTAAGTAGTAGTACTAGAGCACTCAATCAACCCCAACCCAAGCCTTTCCCCAGATCCTCCTCGCACACACACACCAACTAACCACGCAACCAGTACCTCATCTCCCCCATCGACGCCATCCGCGCGCGCCTCTCATCCAGCGGCAACGCCACCACCATCATCGCCTCCACGACCGACGACCAAGCCTCGGCCGCCTCGGCCGCCGCCGCCGCCTCCACCGCCCTCGTCTTCATCACCTCGGACGCCGGCGAGGGCTACCTCACCGTCGAAGGCGTCGACGGCGACCGCAACGACCTGGACCCGTGGCACTCCGGCAACGAGCTCGTCGGCGCCGTCGCGGCCGCCGCGCCCGCCGGCGCGCCCATCATCGTCGTCGTGCACTCGGTGGGCGCCGTGATCCTCGAGGAGGTGCTGGCGCACGAGAACGTGGTCGCGGTCGTGTGGGCGGGGCTGGGCGGGCAGGAGCAGGGCAACGCGCTGGCGGACGTGCTGTTTGGGGATGTGGCGCCGAGCGGGAAGCTGGTGTATACGATTGCGAAGGCGAGGGAGGACTATGGGGTCGCGATCGCGGGGCCGGATGTCGACGATGAGTTTGTCGAGGGGTTGTATGTCGATTACAGGCATTTTGACCGCGCGGGCATCGAGCCCAGGTTTGAGTTTGGGTTTGGGTTGTGTGAGTCTTTTTGTCCCTCGCCCCCGTTTCTCGTTTTCTTTTTTTTTTGTTGTTTTCTTTCTTCCCTTGCTGTCAATATATGCTGACTGTCGTGCCACCCCTACCAGCATACACCAACTTCACCTACTCCGACCTCGTCGTCACCCCGGCGGCGAGCAACGCGACGGAGGACCTGTACGCCCCCATCGCCACGGTCACGGCGTCGATCACGAACTCGGGCGGCGTCGCGGGCGCCGAGGTCGTCCAGCTGTACCTCTCGCTGCCCGAAGGGATCGAGGCGCCGCCGCGCCAGCTGCGCGGGTTCGAGAAGATCCCGCTGGCGGCCGGCGAGAGCGGCGCGGTCGAGTTCGTGCTGCGGAGGAAGGACGCCAGCTATTGGAGCGTCGAGCAGCAGCAGTGGGTGCTGCCGGCCGGCGAGTTCGGCGTCGCTGTGGCGGCGAGCTCGAGGGATTTGAGGCTGGAGGGGACGTTGGTGGTGTAGTGTGTGTGTCGTAGAGGGTGTTGTAGACGTAGTGATTTATTCATCCTGGTGGTTGGAGCAGCGCTTCACTGGCGCCGCAACTGCTTCGAGACGTCGACAATCCTCTTTTCGTACTCCCTCTCTCTGTGTGTGTGTGTGTGTGTGTGTGTGTGTGTGTGTGTGTCGTCATGAGCTTGAGACTCTGCTGATGAGACGTCGTCGCCGATGTCATGGCGTCGACTCGCCGAAGCCGCTTTGTGAGGGCCCGCCGCAGTGTCCTACAAGGCTTCCTGCAGCTGGCCGCGGCAGCGTCCACGGCCGCAACAGGCGGGAGCTTGTAATTGTACATACTTATCCGCCAATGAGGGAATCCGGACGCGTTTCCCCCTGCCAGTCTATCCGCGGCCTCGTTGCCCCCCCAACGCCGGAATGAGCAGGCACCCAGCGGTACTCCAGCTCTAGTATCTATTTCCGACCGTGCGCCCAAGGTCCGGGCCGGTCCTCCCCCCGTCCCTCGATGATGACCTACGCTGCCTCGGAAAAGCGCCAGGATGGTGCCGACGCGTGTGAGTGCAGCGCTTCGTAGGAGTCGGCTTGGGTGACTGAGAGCCAGGGAAGAGCGGGAGAGGTGAAGGAGGTGGAGATGGCGGCGGCGGCGGCGGCGGATGCGGAGGGGGGAGAGGGGAAGAAGAAGCGGGAGAAGTCAGAGAGTTGGGGGTTCCAATATGATAGAAATCGGTGTTTTTGAGGAGGAATGTGTGGTGTAATTGTTGCTGGATGTGGAGGGAGCCGTCTGAATAGGAATCGGGGGGTGGGCAGGGTCGAAGGACGTACGGGTGAACAGTGATTAATCCATCGACACGTGCACGCTTCGGATGGACGGGGAAGGCGCCAACTAAGAGCATCTGCCATTTGGTGCGAAAACAACTGCTCACGCTTTGTATGGTGCTTCACCTGAGCCAGTTCCTAAGGTGATGACGGCCACATACTGACTCTCAACGCCTCAACGGCATAGCGGATAGCGAAATATAAGAGCATTTAGTATTATATCGTTGGATAAGCTAGTCATCTCGGAGGACTTATAGAGAAGATCTAGCGCGCCGATGGGAAGATCTAAAGCGCGGAGTAGGAACATATCTCGGCTACACGACGCCAGAGGCACTTCCACCGCTTCTTCGCAATCCCTTTACACTTCTCGACTGCGTACGCTTAGAGAAAGCAGGCAATCAACCCATGCATAACGAGAGAGCTTCGGCAGCGGCCGGTGCCGGAGTAAAGCCATCTGCTGGCGTGACTTCCTTTCTGGGTAGTGCCTGCGGCGGAGGTAAAAAAGAAAGGACCAAATGGCAAAAACTCCGATTCATACCGAAATCGAACCTCCAACCTGATGCGGTTATCGGCAGCGGCATGAACCAATGGGAGAAACCCTTGCCGCATGGACTAAGTGTTTTTTTGTCGTTGGACGAGAGAAAGAGCTGGCTGTTCAGTATATAGACCCACATAAAACTCCCAACTCAGACGAGGAGGCCGTGGCAGTTCTCATGAATACGGGCGCGGCAAGAGCCGAGTCGCACAGTCGACTCCAAAACATTCGCCTTCCCAAAGGATGGTTTACCCATCCGGAGCCCAGCGAGGACGAAGCGCTGGCGGCTGATATCGAGGCCGGCACTACATACCACACCACTTACCACGACCGGCCCGAGCCAAGGCCAGCACCCCCGAAGAAGAGGGCCGTCCCCCCCTCATTCGAATCGCCATTTATGAAAAGGCGACTAATTAACATCGAATCCTCATCATCATTCATGCTTTTCTCCATTTGAGGCTCGTCCATCGTGTTCCCACTCTGGACCGCACCAATTGGTAGCTGAAAGGCATAACTACCACACGATCACAGCCGCCAGGATCTGCATCCACCAGGCTGATCGTTGTCCTCCGACCGCACCAGGAGTTCTCTCCACCAGCGGAACGAGCCCCCAACCTCTCGCGTCTCTCCAAGACGACTCCTCATCGCTTCCGCTCGAAACAACAAAAACGCTTCCGCTTCCCGTTCACATTCAAAAACCTCGAGGACGAAGTCGGCCAAGCCTCATCGTCCTCCATACCACACTTCGCTGCACTTTCGACGACCTTCCACGGTCTTCCGATCACAAAGGGAAAGAGGCACCTCTCAGGGATCCAGAAGGTCAGGCCTGACGGATCGAAGTTACCGCACCAATTCAGCCCCGCCGCTGTCTCACATTTACACCAGCCAGATTTTTGCTCTCTATGCGCAATCACTGTCTACCAGAGTGAGCGTTCAGTGTTCATCTTCTATCTGCTGCCGGCGACGGACGACGACGACGCCCGCTAGCCACCTCACCTCCCCCGCAGACACTTCCGAGTCACGAGCCGTCCACAACAACATGCACGTCAGGCGCCCAATGACTGATTTAAAAGCATATAGAGGTGTGCAGCTCCCCCTAAGGGCGCGTTTTTCCGGGTGTTTCAGTGCATTTGCGCTCCGCCGACCGCTTCGAGCCTCCAACCGACGTCCGCGCTTCCTCAACAACCACTGCGACCGGACAAGGTATCCGAGCGCCGACTCCTCGCTCTCTTGCTCTAAGGTTTCCCAAATATCTTTTTATCGGACTAAGATACCTACAGACTAGCGATCAAGACCATACAATGCGGCATCAGCCCATCCATCCACTCTTAACCACAGTCCACGCAGCACCACTCCCGATCATTGAAAATACCCGGAGCAAAGCCTACCCATACTCTTGGTTATATATCACGTCCCAGGATCAGTTCAACATGCAGTTGAGATACTCGTCCAGCCCAAACGGGAAGTGTACGCAGCATGCGCAAGCTGGGGCGGTACTTGACGTTTGATCTCGAGTTCGGACAAGACGCGTCACCTCTCCAAGTTAAACCTCATCGGTCATCGATATCCAGTCAACCAAACTACCATTGAGAGCTTCCTTGTGGCGGCTTCCTCGAAACCTATGTGGCCCCTCAAGGTCCATGACTTCCAAATATCTCATCCCAGACCACGTCCGGAGCGATAGCTCGCGCATCTACGCAGAGCAGCCGATCCCCACATCTTCACGTACCCAATCGACACCATCTCATCCCGATGTCGAGCTCCACCGAAACTCACGCGCCCAAACACGCGGCTCTCTTCGCGGAGATAGGCAGACAGGCAGCGCAGCGCGTGTACCCATCACCCACCCTCCAACCCCGCTGATTATCCCACAAAGCCGGAGCCGGCGTCGGCGTCGGCACCCGTTCCCAACCCTTTCTCGCCCACGACATCCACATCAGTCGCTTGGAAGTGGTTGGAGCTGACTGGGAGCGACCGGCGTGGCTGTGTTTAGGTGAGTCGGCGAGATCGTTGTGGCGTGTGTGGTGGGGATTTCAAGGTACCTGACTGTGGTGTGGTGGATGGAACGAGCTTGTGTGAAGGTTGTGGAGAGAAGCAGGGCGGAGGTGCGCAAAGGCATCGCTTTTACGCAGCCAGCTAGCAGGCGCGGTCGTCGCATCTCGCGGCGCAGACGCGCTTCCCATGAAAGAGATGATTGCCTCGCGCCGTCTACTAAAGGGCCTCGACGTGGTGAAAACCAGGCGGCGTCCAAACAGGCAAGATTTAGCAAACACGAGGTAAGCACGGAGTCAAGTCAAGTGGATAGCCGAGTCCAGTGGTGATTCGAAAGTTCTAGTACAGTGGCTGGTACATGCGTGATCCTTCCGGCGGCGGCGGGTGGTGGAGGTGGTTCTCGGGTCATTCACTGTCTTGACATTCACTCCCACGCCCGCTCTAATCTTTCCACGTCCCGCTCATGCGTGCTCTGCATCATTTGGTTCTACAAGCCGCTTGTGCACACCTAAAATCCCTCCGTTTTACGTCCTGCTCGCGCGCTATTGCATATCCTGTTAAATCTCGAACGCAACGCAGCAATGTCTCGTCCGAATGCCTCCTTGGGCTGCCTTGACGCTTTCATTGAGGGCCAGTGGGGCATAAGTGCCACCACTGTCCTTGTCGATATGGGCTGCGCCGCTCTGATGCAGCAAGATCATCCGCCGAAGTTGGTACTCGATGCCCTGGTCAGCATCTCGCTCAACACTCCCAACGCGTACTCCAGTGCCTTGGAGACACTCAAGGCCGTCGCTGCCCCATATTATTTTTGGAAAGACTGGGGCCACGTTGAGACTACTCTTGCCGCTACCCTCCACGTCCTCCAAAAGGATCAGGACGTCAAGTTCTTGGTGGACAGGATAGCTGCGCTCGAGCAGGAGACTGCCCGCAAGAACAGGCAAATTGAGTTTCAAAACGAGAGGATCGCCGAGCTGGAGACCCAGCTGAGAGAGGCCCAGGCAGCTGCCAATCTCGAGCAAATCATGGTCGCGGATATGATTGCGGACATGTCCCGCCAGCTGGCCCGGGTCAGGGGCCAAGGCTTCAGGGTGGCATCGGCGATCATCGACGACCACTTTCCGCCGAGGATTCTGGACCAGCTTCGCCATATGGACTGGCAGGACGGCAGAACCGGCAGCTTCATCACCCGGGTGGAGCTGGACCACCTCCTCCACCTCCTACCACCAGCTATCCATGTGGAGTTGAAGGAGCTCCTGCAAGCGCACATGGACGCCACCAGGATCTTTCAGTCATACAGCGATGGCGATGGCGATGACGATTGACGACCACGACGACCATAATGACGATGACAAAGACGAGAACGACGACGATGACAAGGCTACGTCTGGACGGGGCAGGATCTAGGCGTCGCCGTTAGCGATGAATTTGTATACCAGATATTTGCGGCTATGGAGAAGTAGGAACTCTCTGCTAATGACGGAGATGATTGGTCAATCCACATGCTTTCGCGTCATTATTTAGTTACCTTTCAATTGTGCCAGACTGCCAGTGACGCTGCACCAAGCTTGTGTCAATAGTGGCTTCCTATGACTTGAATCTTATGCCCAGATCCGGATGTTTGCTTCAAATGCGCGTGAAGGAGCGTGGCATCCTTTGCGAGATTTAGAAAATCAAAGAGCTTTCTAGATGTTTGGCATGTTGGTTGCGGGAGCAGCTACTAAGAAGATTCCAGAAGTCAGGATACGCCAAGGGTGGCAAAGATTGGAAGCGCTTTGTATGTAAATAATGGGTGTCAATAGACTTTTGCTGGTCCAAGCAGGCTGTGTACACTGAGACAAGGCCATCGATGTGGTCACTATGGAGAAGGGCTGCGATGATTTCGCTACACATGGACAAAGCGCTCCTGACAGGAGGACGGAAACGCCGTCAAGTGACCGAATCGAAGCTGTTGAGGCGGCAAATGCAGGGACTGCATCAGATGGGCTTCCAATCATTTGGCCCCATCCTCCGTGACCGGCCAACACGGTACTGCTTCTCGCCAAACTCCGTCCATCCACATCATCACTTCACCACAAGTCTCTTCCCACCTCATCCTCACACCCTTTTGATATTCCCCAAGGAAAAAACCATCAAGGCCTCCCTCTTCTTCTCCACCACCACCACCACCGCCGCCACCAACCCGCCCCAATGCCAATGGCTCCAAAGCTCCTGTCCAGCAAGATACTCCACCTCCACCACCACCACCCGCCGTACAGCAGCCCGCGGTCCGAAGCGACGGCGCGGGCGCGGCTGGAAGCCTGGCGCAGCGGCTTCGACGACACGCTCACCACCTTCCGCGGGCGCGTCGTGCCGGTGCAGGCCGGCGACCTGCGCTACGACAAGCCGCGCGAGTACTGGGTGCTGCCGGCCGGCGGCTGGGAGGTGGTCAAGATCAGGGCCAAGCTGATCAAGGCGGCGGCGCGACGACCTTCTTCCAAGTCGCGGTATAAGTACTGGCTACGGGGGCGCGAGAGGGAGAATAAACGACAACAGCGACAGCGTCAGCGGCCCCAGCTCCTCGTCAAGCGCAAGCGGCGGTACGAGCCCGACGCGGTCTGGTTCGGGCGGATGGCGAAGCGGCAGGCGGCCGACATGCTGAAGCCGGTGGCGGCGCGGCGCGGCGGCGGCGGTCATGAATATGCGCGCGAACGGCTCCTCCACACCGTCATCAACAACAAGGTCCAGGTGGAGGGAACGGCACACTGCGTCGAGCTCGGACAGACCTTCTTCCCGTGGGCGCGCCTGCCCGCGGCGATCCAAGCCCGGATCATTGCGCTGGCGGCGTGGGGGAATCCAGACGGCGTAGTAGTGCGATTGGAACGTCGTCCACTCGACGACGATGACGATGACGGGAACAACTTCCGCTTCCAAGCCCGGCCGCTGACCACCTCCCCCCATCGCCCTCCCACATCCACACCGACACCCAGCACGCCCCTCCCTCCCGGCCTCCTGACCGTCAGCCGCGCCTTCTCCGCGCGCGTCCTGCACGCCTTCTACGCCACCACGACGCTCCACTTTTGCGCCGCCGCCGACCTGCTCCGCTTCGTCCGCGAGACGTCGACGGCATCAGCGTCAGACCTGCCGCATCTGGCGCACCTCGTGCTCGAGACGACGGATCGGGACGCGTTTGAGGTTTTGACGCCGCGGGGGGCGTTTCCTGGTGGGGGTGAGGGACGGTCGTGTGAGGAGGAGGCGGCGGCGGGAGAGCGGTCTCGCAATCGGGGGCGTGGCGAGGGACGGTCGGGGCTGCGGAGACGTGGTGGCCGGTTGCGCCGGGTTGGGGAGAAGGAGGAGGAGGAGGAGGAGGAGGAGGAGGGGTCGCGGGTTCGGAGCGACGGCGAAAGTGGCAGTGGCAGCAGCAGCTTGGAGGGGGACGATGACGACGACCAACACCCGGCGAGTATCGACGTCAGTCCCTTCTCCTCCTCCATCTTCTACTTCGCCGAAAGCGAATCATCACGGCGGAAGGACCGACGACGACGAAAAGGAAGACTCCCCCGCCACAGACAACGGCAACAACGGCAACAACAACAAAAGAATCCACCAAAGTCCAAACATGGCCGTTCCACAGCCACGAAGGAGCAGAAGAAGAGCGACATCCACAGCCATCACGGCACCAGCTGCTGTGGTCACGCTCATAACCACGACCTCATGCAACACCACAGCCGCCATCACTCATCCTCGTCCTCACCCTCGTCCCACTCTGACTCCATCGACGCCACGACCGAAGAGACGCAGCGGCACCGACCAGCCCGGCTGCGTTGTTGGCCGAAACCCTGCACGGCGCTGGCGCTCCGCCGCCTCTGGGCCAAGGGGAAGGAGAAAGTGACGACGTCAACGTCACTACGGCGCGGGGGAACGAAGACGAAGAGGAAGACGAAGAGGAAGCAGAAGCAGCAGCAAGAGAGCGGCCACGGCTGCTGCTGCTCCCACGACCACGGACATGGCCGCCACCACCACGGCGACATGAAGGAAGTAGTGGAAGAAGACGAAGAAGAAGAAAAAGAAGAAGGAGAAGGACGACAAGCTCACCACTCCACACAGCGGCTCCCACAGTGGCAGCGCTCGCTACAGAACGGCTCCGCGACGCAGCCAAAAGACGTGCTAACAGGGCTGAAGACCTTCGTCCTGAAGATCGAAGGCGGCGGCGGCGGCGGCGGCGGCGGCGGTGATGGCGAAGCCCAACGGACGAGGCGCCACTTCAAGTGGATGCGCGTGATCGAGGACGACGATATCGAGAAGCGGTCGCGGCCGCCCAACCCCACCTCCACCCCCAACCCCAGCAGCAGCAGCCGCGAGCCCGAGGTCGTCGTCGTCCCCGGGGGACGAGGAGGAGCACGGCCACCGGACGACCACCGCCGCGGACGGCCGGGACGGGGACGGGTGATTTGCGACTTGCGAGGCGATCACTACGGGAGCGAGGTCGGGCTGCGGGCGGTGTGGGGCGCGGAGTGGCTCGTCCGGGGGTTGCGGGAGACGGTGGTGCCGAGGACGTGCGAGGTCAGACTCAGGATCGAGGGGTTTTCGGTGTCTAGTGGCGGCGGCGGTGGCGGCGGTGGCGGCGATAGCGACGACGAGGAACAGAAGGCAGCAGAGGTGGCGGTGGTGGTGGATCCTGCTGCGGGTCCGTCTCGCGGGCGAGAGATTGGAAAGGCCGGCGGAGGTGGTGGTGCTGATACTGCGGCTGCAGTACTGCAATCTTCGTCGCCGCCGCTGCCGAAGCAGCAGTGCAAGAGTCGAGAGAAGTGGTTGTTCCCGAGCGAGGATTCTTCGGGCGATGAAGATTGGTGCTCGGCTCTCACTTCTCAGCACCACCACCATAAAGTTCGGCCAGCAGAAAGATCTTTGAATGCCAGGGGGAAGAATATTAAGGGGCGGATCAAAACTCATCGGGGGAAGCAGAGCGAAAGCGCTCAGGTTGCCCCTTGGACGGACCTCATGCTACCGAATGACTACAAGAAGAAGTTCCGGTTGAAATTGTTGTAGGGCGGGCCGGAATGCATGGCAAGTGCGGGTTGATGAGAGAACAGATTGGAACATGTAGTATTTTCCTGGCATATAGGACATTTTACGTCGGCGGATAGGGCTGGGCGAAGAAATATGCGGAGGTACTCACCGCATGGTGTGAACCAATGACGTAGCATTAGCAGATGGGACGAGACCACATACTGTAGATCAAGTATCCTGCTCATCAAGACCTGATGGTGAGTCCTGTCCTGAATAGCGGAAATTCTTTGAGAGCGTGCTCGGCGCTGCGAGCGGCGGCGAAGGAGGAGGACATGGGGTTGCGGGCTAGGTGCCCTCTCCCGTCTGCCGATGCTGACGAGACGATGGAGGGGCAGTTTCGTCGGAAGTGACTTGAGAGCTGCATGTGGGGAAGCCCTTCCCGACACCCCACCACCAAATCTATCGTCTGCGTCATCTGGTTCGCTGCTGCGGTTTCATCACTTCATGTTTTCTTTGCTACATTGATGCTGACACACAACGTGAATATCCCCCGTCGTGCGCCTTCAACTACTTTCCTCAGCAGAGGTTGCCCGAAAAACAATGCGTCACGGACCTATCCCGCGCTCTCAACCTTCCACCTTGAAATCATATATATATGCAACGATGCCTTTGCCTTCAGATTTCCCGAACTCTTCCTCTTCCTGACTGACGTACAGTCTCAGCACTTTGGCTCAGCTTTGTGATGCCAAAAGGCATACCCTGGCTATGCTGTTAGCACTTCCCGCATAACGGCAATGTTTGCCTTTGGGACACGGCTCATAGCTGTAGGAGAATGGGTCGGGCAAACTATACGTAAGAAGTTTAGAGCCGAAACGAGCAGTGGCGCAACGCCGCCGCACGACAACGTCTTCACGTACCTGAGACTAGCTGCACCGGACCGAAAGCTAAAAAAAAAAAGAAGCGCGTTGAAAATTCTTGCTGGGCGACATGTCAGAATTGGGATCGAAGCAGGCAGTACAGTTTATACTGATCTGTTCACGAATCATCATCCCCTCAGCCCAGAGAAAGGTTTCATGAAGACAAGCAACAAATCAAGACTTTTAATTTTGTAAGACAGCCAACCCATTCCCTTTCTATGTCGCAAGTGGTGGTATCCTTCCGTAACTCATTAATGGAGAGGGCAAAGAGGTAAGTAGGGGCAAAATAATAAAAGGAGCAAGAAAGAAATGAAGTCTAACGCATACCGAGGCCCCTGCCATATATGCGCCCGCGCCCTGATTATCCCATTTCCAGTCCAAGGCCGATCTGTACTCTCCCATCAGAAAGCGCCAGGCGCCAACCCCCTTTGTTTTCCCCCTTTCCGTAAAACCAAAGCACGAATCCGTCAGAACTTTGTATCGTACACGCTTCTTCCGAACCTCTCCGCGGGCTCATGCCCACTTGCCAAGCAGCGCCATCAAGGCGGCACCCAAGCACATCAGCCCAAAGGCCGAAAGGACTGTCTTGATGGGTGCCTTGGACATGGTGGGGGAGAACATGAACTCGTGGGCCATGAGCTCGACGAGGCCGGTGTAGATGAGGATGCCGGCAGAGACCGAGTCGAAGACGCCGTTGGCGATGAGCGAGGTCGCGCTTTCCGGAGAGAAGCTGGAGCGGACGCCGAGACCGATGGCGATGGCGATGGGGGTCGAGATGCCGAAGGCGATGGCAAGCAGGTAGGGGGTCCAGCGCTTGCTCTTGGGCCAGGGCACCGCCGACAGACGGGAACCCAGACCGAGTCCCTCGAAGGTCTGGTGGAAGACCAGGACGATGTAGAGGGTGGTGAACTCCTCGCCCGAAACAGCGAGGGTCAGGCCGATGAAAATCGAGTGGAAAATGACGCCAAACTCGAGGATGAAAATGGCGGTGAGCTGGGCGGCGTACGACTCGGGGATCACGCCACTCTTCTCCCAGTCCTCGTTGAGATCCTCGTTGGCGCCGTGGTTGCGGCTGTGTCCAAGATGGTCCTGGCCGGGAGTAGACGATGTAGGCTCGATGGTGTCGGCGCTCTTGGCAATGTCAACATGGTTGTTGGTGGCGCCCGTGGCATCGCTTGAGGCCTCAAGGTCGTGACCATGGTCGTGACCATGGTCGTGGCCGCCACCGAAGTGGGCATAGCGCATGGCAATGAGCTCGACGAAGAAGAGCACCATGACGGTCATGAGGACGATGCCTTCAGCCCAGTCGTACTCGGTGATGGGGCCAGTCAAGCACTCGTTGGTGAGGGCTTCAATGGCGGGCGCAAGCAACTGATGAGCGTGTTAGTGGCCAACCGCCAATACCGTACACAGGAGTCCAGAAGCTGCTCACGTGAATGAAGGCTGTCGCGATGATAACACCGGAGCCAAAGAACTTGGCGACGAAGAAGGGCCATTCGGGCATACCGGCACCCGCATGGCGGCGGGCGAAGACGGGGAACCATGCACCTGGTCGATAGTGAGCATCCGGAGAATATTTTGGGACAACGGCGGCAATCACTCACCAGCGAGAGATCCGACCAGAATGACGAAGATGGAGGAGATCCTGAGGCCCATTCTCCCGTCATACTCGTTGGTCGTGTCACAGTAGCCGGCAGTACCAATAAGGTCGGCGGGCACGGACGAGGAGCCGCCGGACTCGGCGGACTCCTGGCGCAGGACCAGGTGTGCAACGTTGAGTGCGTTTTCCATGACGGAAACGGTTGCGGCGACGGGTAGATGCGTGAGTGAAACGAAAAGCAGCCGGCAGCGGGATTTTTGAAGGGGAAGCTTCACTGAGACCGGGCAGAAGTCTGATGGTCCAAAGCCTGACGCAAATTCCGGACAGCAAAAGACTTAAGACTAGGTTGTTGGTCGGAGGCGCGGCGGGGGCTTGACTTTAGTAGGAGGAGTGGACGGCTGAGGGCCGCGGCGAAAGGTAGTGTATCGCGTTGAGCACCTTGATGGTTTTCTCGCGCTAGCCGAACCACTGGCCCACACAATCGCCGCGAGAGAGCAAGAACGCCCCGCTGGCTATTTAAGTCGGCTCCCAAACGAGCGCCTGACGCAGCCTGAGCGCGGCACCCTCTCACAGCGACGGCCTCTGTCATCCGCAACACGGCAGAGCGCGCTGCGTGTCGTGGTTGACGTGCGAGAGGGGTGCCATCATCGGTGAGGCCGCCCGCCAGTCGTGTTTTCGCTGACACAGCAGCCTCAGCCCCGGCAGCCAGCACGGGCCTGAGGCCGGCGATCCCCGAGCTCTTGACCGTCAGCAGAGTTTGCCGCTCCGCCCGTGGCTCGTCTGCGCCCGCCGCCATGGTGTTGTGAACCCCTGCCGCTGTGTGTCCCGGGACACCAAGGTGCGGACAAGTCACGCCCTCGCCGCGATCCAATGCGTCCAGACGCCGTTACTCTGATGGACGCGAGCCCGTGGCTGAAATCGCGCACTCGCGCCCCGTCGTGTCTGGCGCGCATGCGGTCATGCGGTGGAGCTGCGAATTTTTGCGCGATCGACTTTCGAAACCTGCACCGGACGACCGATTGGCACCGCCCGGCGACTGGGATGCGACAGCGGCTGGCGGTACGTATCCAGAAGACCGGCGGTCGCGTGAACTCATCGCCCAGCGGTGCCCGACGCGCTTTCTGCGCTCAGCGTGCGCCTGTGACCGAGTAGGCGGCCCCCACCGCGACATGGGGAGCGTCGAGGGCGGTGCGCGTTACAGCGCTTCGTGGCAGCAATTGCGTCGATTGGGAGATGGGAGTCCTGGCGAACCTTCGGGTGAAGCGACGTCTGGTGTTCTTCAGTCATGTCGCCAGCCATGCCAAGACCTACCCACGCTGCTACCCGCATGCCACCTTACTGAAGCAGTAAATGACCTGCATGTTCGAAGCACCGTATGCGGATTTCTGGGTCCAAGAGGGAAGCTGAATCGGGCCTTTCGGCTGCTGCGGGTCGGTCCTTCGTCACAGCCTTCGTCTCTCGCTTGCTCGAGGGCGTTGAGCGCCTTTATACACCCGCCCCGCCCTTGGCCTGTGAAAGCCTGGTTTGTGTCCGAACACAGTAACCCCACATGGAGCTTAACACCTCTGAGCTATACCGCCAGCTCGGCTCTTACACGTGCACGACGCCCCGTGGCAACGTGTCCAACAGTCGGTGCTTCGCAAGACCAACTTCGAGATGAAATGGGCTGCGTGTTCCCCAGCCCTTGCAGAGGTAGGGCATTACCCACTGTTAACGCAAACCATTGTGTTTAATTGTTCTCCTTACGCATGTGATTGAACCCTCCGACCCCCCCGCTCCTGAGGCTGCGCGAGGTTACAGCGCGTTCCATGCCGTACGACCGGACCATGCATGTCCACCGATGTGGAAGGTCAGAAAAGAGAATGGTTCCATCTTGGACCCGGACCTCTGTAACGAATGTGAAAGGAGAAAAGCCCAATCACATATGGAACATCTCGCCGCCAGGGTGTCCTGACTCTGAAACAAATTACCCTCCGCCAACGCCCATGAACCCAAACCACCGTCGCCGATGCAGCCGAACTGTTCTACTTACGCTTCAAGAACGCCGATAACCTTGAAGAGCTCTTTGAAGCCGACTTGCGCTTGTAGACGATCCTTACGCCCTCATGAAGCTCATCCAGTTTGCGCCGTTCTGGTGTGCTCGGGTCCATGCCGAAAGGGCTCGATGGTTCGTCCTCGTCAGCCTGACTGGAGTTGGCATACTGCCTGTGTGCCGAGCCGCGTCCAACGAAGTCCTCCGTGGGGATTTGGACCTTCAACTCTCTCCGCTTCTCGTGTCCCGGCTTCTGGCCCGCGGTACTGATCATGGAATTGGCGGGCTCGGTAGCCATGGCGTGGTCAGCTGACGAGTGTCTCAGGCGGGCATCTGGGACTATCGTGCAGTAAGTACTCTTCCGCTCAATCTTCGAGAACCTCAAGAACCTACTGGCCTGCTCTTTGGCCCTCGAGACCAGAGAATCGAGCTTACGCTTCTTGCGCAGAGGCTTGGCCGGTGTTGAAGACGCGGAATGAGAGATGCGAGCTGGTGTAGCTCTGTACATGCGAACCTCTTGAGCAACGCCGACTTCGGCATCCGTACAGTACTCCTCGCCGCAATGCTCGCATGGCTCAAGGCTTGCTGTCGGTGAGACTGCGAGATCTCGGGTGTCGTTGTCGCCGTTGACTTGACCGTACTCGGAAAGGTTCTGATAGCTCTCATCAGAAGTGAGGATCTGCATGGTGGTGAGGGTCGCTCGAATCGGGCAGCTGGATCAGCTTGACGTGCGGTCTGTCAGGCCTGGGGTAGTATTGCCAGAGGTGTTTTTTCTTGTTTGCTGACGCAGAAACGCTTTGGGTGGAGAGCACCAGCAGCGACCGATCTGCCTGGTTTCAGAGCTTGGTGAGGTTGAGGTTTGCTCCGTGGCGATGGCGTGGAAGGTGTTAGTATCGGCGAGCTGCTGGAGTGGAGTGGAGTGCAAGCAGCCCGAAGCAGAGCCGCCGCACAGGAGTGCGGAGGTGAGCAAGACTTGAGCAGACTGATTGTGAGTAGATGACGCTTAGGTTGGGGCAGCAGGCAAAAGTTTGACGAGAAGTTGAAGTGCTGAGCGGATGACCGTGATTGAAAGTAGGTGGACGTGTAGGCGCAGAGGCGACCCGACGCGCGGCTTCACCGCAGTACCTCCAACCTTCACCACCAGATATCCCTAGCCCTAGTGTCTGTAGATTTCGAGATTCGATTGCGATTTTGCAGCGTGCTGACCATTCTCACCATCCCCACAGCCCTTTTGTATGCCCGGACATATAACTCAACGTCACAAATCTGGGCAATGAATAGGCAACCTAATTGCCGAACATGCTTAGCATCCTGTCGTATAGTCGAAGAGGCCTCAATTGTATCGCTTGTGGTAGGATGAATTAAGCCTGTGATTTGTCCGGTTTAGAGAGACCTCAGTAACCTCAGTCCACGTGACAGTCAAGGAATCAGACATTTTGTTGTGCACGCAAGGCCAGTGGAGACTAATAAATTGCTTCAAGTTGACATGGGGATGCATTTTGGATGCTCACCTTATATTGCAGCCGAGGTAGATCCTTGGGTTTGGATAAGGCTGGCAGGTACCGGAGGTCCCAGAGCGAAATTCCTGTGGAACTTGTCCGGATAATTGGGTTGGCTTTTATTGAAGTGAGAGCGGGCAATGACGAACGGTATGAAAGAGAGAGACAGAAGACAGCAAAACGAGCGACGCGCAAATCCATTCAAGGACAGCGCAGAGCCAAGAACAAGCTCGGCCTTCTAGGCAGTCGTGCGGACAAGGTGGACAGAAGAGGAAATTGCAGGGCAGAGGGCCAGTGCGGCGCCTTGCCGTGTGCGGAAAGTTAAGAAAGATGAGCACCGACTCAAAGCCGTGAGCTGGCCTCGAGAAGAAAGAACACGTCAAGCGGGGGAAAAAAGCGTAGAGACATGAAGCAAGGAAAATCAAGAGGCGCTTGAGGCTGAGCTGACTTGAGCGACGTTGTCGGTCGTGCATGTCAGGTGCGAACGGCACCAAACGCTATCCACATGGGCAACCGAATCCTACATCTACCGCGGTGAGTTGGATCGAGTTCGCTGGCTTGGGCGACTTCGCAGTCGGGTACCCTACCCTACCCAAAACGGGCTTCTTGCGGATTTGATTGGGCTGGTTGGAACCGTTGCGGACCCAAACGGCGTCCGTATCGTGATGCATTAGGTGGGCATGAGAGATGGGATCTCCCACTTCCTTCGGCGTGGACTTCTTGATGGCGTTGGAACGTAGTCATAGTGCTTGCCGTCCGGTAGGTTCTTGGCGAAACTCACCTTCGCTGATGTGATGAAACTGGGCGGATCACGGTGTTATTCCTTCATATTCCCGATCCTGTGACATCTGCTCGACGGAGTCTAGCACTGGCAAGCACCTTCGAAGATGACGGCATAATTGAAAGGGTGGCAAGGCTCCAATGTGCATGGGCCCAACCCCTGCCATGTGCTGGTAGGCCGTTTCGGCGAGTGTTCCATCTTCTCTTGTGCATGGTCGTGGATTCGTCGACGCTTTCAGATAAATTCGATGCGCCAGGTGTGGGCCAGGCTTATCCACGAGATATGACTCGCAAGGCCGAGGCAAACTGTCTGGGATGGTGGCAGGACGGAGCGGTCGCAGGACAGGGCGGATGATAAGGAACGTCCAGGAAGGGCAAAGCGCAAGTGGGCGGGCTGGCTACATATCTGCGACAGAGTCGAGCATTTCAGCTTTCCCGCACGTCTTGTTTTCCACCCTCGCCGAACGCCAAAGAACCGCCTGCGACCGTTGCGACCGTTAGCGGAAGGGCGGAGCGCCTGACACTGACGCCACGACAATGTAATCGGAGACCGGAGCTGCAGGCGCAGCGGAGACATCGACCCAACCCAGGCAATTAGCGGGGCCGTGGTACGGCGGTGCCAGGCCTTGAGATCAACAAACCCAGCTTCCTAGCCACTGCCGCCGCCGCCATGGGCCGGATGACATCTGCATTCCATCAACACATCGCGAGAGGGCCGTCACCTGAGCAACTACGCTGTTTCAAGGCCTTGCCGCGGCTCTAGACCGGGAAACCGCTGCAGCTGGGCGCTTCGACAGGCCAGTCGGGGAAGGCGCGGGCTTGAGGAGATGGGAATGCTGATTGCGGGTGGCAGCATCGATGGGCGGGAGCGAACCGGAGGCCCTGGCTGATCGTCCGATGGGAAGCACAGACCACCGCCTGCCGTCCACAGCTAGCGTCATGACGTACTGTGTACAGAGCTCAACGCGGGGTGACTGGTTCAGGCAAGCTTCGCAGGTACTTTTGGACCTCGCTGCCTTCTCCGCTTTCTCCTCTTCACCTCTCTTCCGCGCCCTTGATTCTCTCTCCAGCTCCAAACTGCCACCGGAGACAAAGAATCGCCCACCATGATCCACCCCGAGCAGGTTGCCGACATGCTGAAGAAGACGAGCAGTCTGCTCGTCCCCACGAGGTAAGGGAGCTCCCGCTGCTGCCTGCGCGAGCGGCAATCGTTCTGACTCGATTCCAGCACGGGCTCGCCCTCGGTCGACCCCGTCCCAACCGTCGTCCGTACGTGTGCCCACGCAGAATCCGCCTGCACTCACTGACCACAGTCCAGCCGACCACCCCATCCACCAGAATGCTGGCGAGGCCGGCGCCAGGACGCTCTGGGTCGTCTTTGTGCTGATGCTGCTTGCCACCATCACCTTTTCTGGCCTGTCCTGGACCGTCCCAACAGTGAGTGCAACACAAACGCCAGAGACACGTCACGCCTTTGGCTAACCATTTGCAGTCTCGCCGCCTGTACCATGTTGTCACCACCCTGATCACCATCATTGCCTCTCTTTCGTACTTCGCAATGGCCACTGGTCATGGTGTGTCTGAGCACCACACCAGGGTGCGTGAGTCGCACAAGCACGTTCCCGACACCTACCACGACGTTTACCGTCAGGTCTTCTGGGCCCGTTACGTCGATTGGGCCCTGACCACGCCTCTGCTCCTGCTCGACCTTTGCCTTCTGGCCGGAGTCGATGGCGCCCACACTCTGATGGCTATCGTGGCCGACGAGATCATGATTCTCACTGGTCTTTTCGCCGCTTTCGGCAACGAGGGTACTCCCCAGAAATGGGGCTGGTATACCATTGCTTGCATTGCCTACCTTGTCGTCATCTGGCATCTTGCTATCCACGGTCGTGCCAAGGCATTCTCTCGGGGCGACAAGGTCAGCAAGCTCTTCGGATCCCTTGCTCTGTTTACCCTGATCCTCTGGACTGCCTACCCCATGTAAGTCATTCCCCGGTGCGTGCACGACTCTTCAATGCTAACGTGGAACAGCGTCTGGGGTGTTGCGGACGGCTCCCGCAGGGCCTCTGTCAACGATGAGATCATTGCCTACGCTGTCTTGGACCTTCTTGCCAAGCCAGTCTTCGGTCTTTGGCTCTTGCTTAGCCATGCCAGGCTGTCCGATACCCACCTGGAGCTTGGCGGCTACTGGACTCACGGCCTTACCAGCGAAGGCGCCATCCGCATCGGCGATGACGACGAGGGTGCTTAAGGGTACAATCTCAGGCGTCCAGCGCACGATAGCCCCGTTGCTCCCAGGGACATCCAAGACATGACCTTCCCTGCAAAAAATTGAAGGATGTGCGCGCAGGACAGCCAACCAAAAGTGCGGCAGCCCCATTGCAAGAAAATTGGCATTCATAATTGTGATTTCCTAGTATCGACTCCGGTCAACACACCCTTCGCAGATAGCCTATGAGTGTACTTAATTAATCGTCATGGAGTGTCGAGTAGCCCCACGATCGTGAGCCAAAGTCTTGATGTGCATCAAATGAACCAAGCCTGTTGTCCGAAGGTCCGAGGCCCGCTCAGCTCCGAGGATAGGCTCTTGTTTGGTCCGCATGCAATCATTCTTTTGCTTGGCTGCTGCCTGAACCCTGGATCGCGGGGATCTAAAGTGCGGGGAGAGCAGGGATCTAGCTTATGTACGCCATTGGTCCTTCTTGGTACGCTAGTTGATCCGTTGAAACAAGCCTTCAGCATTCTCGCTAGCTGCCACGACAACAGGTTTCCACAACTGAGACACGCATCAACTCCCGCCAAAACCATTGAAATGGGAAAGATTCAATGCCAAGCGTTCACTGGAAACATTGCTCGTCACACATGGCTTTGGAACCTAAACTCCTCACTGCTCCGGCAAGTACCCAAAAGACGCACGGAAAAGAGGGGGAGGCAGGCATTGCATGGTGGTAGAAGCATACAGCGCGTTCTATTGGCTCCAAATTTTCAACCATCCCGGCAGGCAATCATGCGTGGAGGGGGGCCTCTTCAAGTTTGCAGTTTAGCGGTCGGTCGGTCGGTGATGCACGTAATCACGACGATGCATGCATGCTGCACGCACGTCGCCGCCTGATTTCCCCATCATCGACATACATACGTACGGATCACATGCTTGAGCGTTGGGACATTCAACAATTTTTTTTTCGCTTCCCCTCCTCTTTTTCTTTCCTGGTGAAAATGAGAGAACGAGGGTTTTGGTCGCGCGGGGAGTGACGAGAGAAATCGACGTACGGCGATCCTTTGCGTGGGCAGTTGGGGCAAGTATGTGGACGTTGGACGTGGGTTTGAACAGCCGTTTCTTCATAGATAGCTGGAGCGGTTGTGTGGATATTAAACCATACAAACGCATCCAGATATGTCCATCGGCCGGTTTCTCATGTCGCCCGCTGCAGTCGTGCACGGAAAGCGAGCTGCTTTTTTTTTTATTGAGCCGAAAACGATGGGAGAAACGAGTCTCTCGGAAGCCAGTCAGGCAGCCGGGTGCGGCCGGAGAACTCGTCGAAGATGGCGGCGGAGGAGGAGGAGATCTGAAGCACGGTGTCACCTGGTTGGTCTGCCGCCCTTTGTTCATCATTGTCTACGGGCCGGTGGTCGCTTTTCCATCGGGCTCCTTCCTTCTGGTCATTGTCTCTGGTGGCTTCCGCTTGTGCTTGTGGACTCGGGGAGAGGCTTGCTGCGAAACTGCTGAGCGCGAGGGAATATCGAGGGGAGCTGATGGCTCTGTGCGCCCGTGTGGCGGCTGACCTGTCAGCTCATCTGTCGGTTGCATCCACAAGCGTCTCACTTCACTCCAGAAGCACCCGGCGAGGCTGATGCGGGGGAGGGCGAACAAGTGCTGTATATATGCGAGACGGTGGAACAGTGGCGGGACTTGCATGCGCGGGGCAGGAAGCGAGCGGGAGGGGAGATTATGGCCAACTGCCGGACAGAAGTTAAGGTTGGGAAAGTCGATGCTTTAACGCACGTGTGGCTCGATGGGGTAGCATGGTGGCTTTTCCACCAATTGGTTCGTTTCAGGTTGTTTGATTGGCAAAGGCCCGGGCTGGCTTCTCGTTCGCCATGTCCGGTCGTGGCGTGTGCGCTGGGCCGCATGTGGCAGCAGCTGAGAGCTACGTCGTAGGCCGGGGCGTTGCTTGCCCACGCTTGACTCTGGAGCTTGATTCAGCCCTACTGTCTACCTTCCGGCTCCTGTACAACCGTGACGTGTGGGCCGCGCCATTCCAGGCCTGGCGAAAGCGTCGGCAGACGGCGAGTCGAAGCTTTTGGTGATCTGTGCCCTTGGCGAGAAAGGCGGGAGAAGGGTCTGAGTGGATGGTTACCGCCCTTTCGTGGTGTGCGTGCACGACGTTCCCGTCATAGTACCGGCGAAGTAAGAAGCAGCCTCCCTGAAATGACACGTTCAGGTCACCGCCATATAACTACGTAGCGTTGTTCGCATCCAGTTCTCAGGTTTCACTCTGAGCTGCGAGCATATAAAGAAGCTTCCGCCGATACGCCTATTTTTAAAAGGCAGTACGAAGCCTTTTGAGCCCGACCGCCACGCATTCCGCTCTTGTTGTCGCTCGCTCTGTAATACCAACAGTGGAAAAATGCCGGGAATCCAAAACCTCCTCGTTCTCCTGGTGGCTGCGTTGACTGTGAGCAATGTGTACGTCCCTTCCGGCTTTCGCTCGTCATGCCGCTCCCTACTCTCCTGACCACGGACTGACACCGCGTAGAGCCGCCTCGCCGCTGAAGAGAGAGCTTCCACCATGGCCGAGCACGCCTACTCCGGCGACTGTTACGCCGGCACCTACCTCCATTCCTGGCAACGCCGTGATCCGCCCCGCTACAACGCCCTCCCCGAGTACCGGCTGCACGACCAAGCTCTTTGAAGCGCAGAAAATGGGGGCGGTCGAGAAAGGGACATGCACGTATTACGACTCCTACACCACAGTTACCGAGTACGTCGACTGCGGAGGCTGCACCCTACAGATGCAACAAATGGGCCACGGACCGGTAAGGGGGGAAATCTTCATTTAGCACTCGCCTTCTGCCCTGTTTTTTTTTCCCCTGTCGTCTCAATTTCCGTGGTGTGGAACTTGTGGAGAGGGCGATTGTTCTCGACCGCCTGAGATCCGCGCTCTTGATACTTTGCCTTCTGTGCTCTGGCCCCTCGGATCGGAGAATCAGGTCACCTGTGCTGACGAGACAACGTTCTGGCTACCAGGTCGCGAAGTGCAGTGCCGCCACGACGCTGCCACTGGGAACGACGACGGCGACGAGCTGCAGCCCCAGCAGCAGCAACTACGATGACGCCGCCACTACTCCCTCGACAGCCAGGCCAACGGTACTGCCGGATCGCGAGCCGCCGCGGTAGGCGAAGCTGGCCGCGAACAGTGACGATGCGCATGGAATCTCAGGATTGCGGGCCGACAAAGCGAGACGGGAGAGGCGCGGGGAGGGCGTCAGGCTGGAAAGGGAGGCTCCGCGCAGCGCTCAAAGGGCGGAGATGGAAGATATGGATCGACAGGGTACGCACTCGGATCAGGGCGCGTGCTGGGGGGCGGCGGCGGCTTCCGGGCGGACAGTTGCATTGTGTGTACATAGTTTTTGAAATTGCAGGAATGTCTTTGCACGCACCGAATGCAGCGGGCGAGGAGGCGGGCTCACGCGCCGGGGCGGGACAAGTCACAGGCCACGCCTTTGTTCCCTGGTGACTCTGATGAGCCGGAGACGTCATCTGGTGGCGACGACTTGCGAGAACGTGACGTGCGGGCGACGCGCGGGCGGCGTGGCAGAGCGAGTGAGCGATTGCTGCGGCGAAAAGTGGGTTGGGGTGGTGAGAGCGTGAGAGCTTCGGTGGGCTTGGTGCCTGGATCGTCAGGCGCGCGGCGGCGGCGACGTTTGCGGGGCTGGGGCTCGTTTGGGCGCGCGCGGGGCAGCCGGAACCACGAGCTCAAGCTGGCCTGGCGAGTGACGGGCAAGACAGCGCACGCCCATCGCCTGGGAAACACAGTACAAGACACGACAACTGACCGCCCTGGGCCCCTGCGCAGCTGGCGTGTCGTGTGTTGTTGCGTCCAAGCCACTTCACGGACCCAACCGCCCCAGCACACAAATTGCAACCAGCTGCTCTCACCTGAGCTCCCGCCTCTCTCCACCTCCGCATTCCTCTCGTCCCCCTCACCCACCACACCAACCTCTGCAACAATGGCCGCCGAAGAAGCCCAGCCTCCTGCCGTCGACGAGACCCCCATCTCGCCCGTCCGCGCCAACGACCGCCGCAACTCGCTGGAGAAGCACCTGCAGCACCGCCCGGACCCCCAGGACCTGAAGAACAGGCACATCCTGCTCGACACGGCCGCTGCCCCGTGAGTCCTGACAGCCGCCCTGCCCTGCGCAAACTCTGACTCTCGCCACAGTGCCCTGCAGCAGAAGCAGCTGGAGCTCGAGCGCCAGAAGGTCAGCGACAACCTGAAGAAGGGCCTCGCGCACCGTCCCGAGCGTGACGAGCTTGTCGAGCGTAAGCATTCCCCTCGCTCCGTCCCTTTCAATCCCACACGCTGGCCGCGTCAAAACGTCGGGCCCGGACCTGGCGGGTTGTTTCAAGGCGACATCCAACCACGGCTCCCCACTCAAAAAATCTCGTTTCTGGTACCCGGATGGCTGGACTGACGGTGCGTTTCTTCAGGTCACATCCTCCCCGACTCCAACGCCGCGCCCGCGCTGCAGGCCCACCAGATCGAGCTCGAACGCAACATGAAGGCCGACAACCTGGAGAGCGCGCTCAAGACCAGGCCTGCTCCCGACGAGCTCGTCAACAAGGGCATCCTGGCTGAGAACCCCGCGGCGTGAGCTACCTTCCCGGGGAGCTATATATACGGGGGTTAGCATCATTGGACATGCATGATTGAATGGTCGTTTTCTCTGCTCAATAACAAGCGCTTTTGTTTGTTTTTTTTTTGTTTTACTGCCTACTGGGGGTGATCAAGCTCTGCTTGAATGGCTTTTTTTTTTATCCTCGTCTGGCTCCTTGCCTCGATTCTCTCGATGACCGCGCTCACGATAGCAGTCGATATATCACCCAAAGGAAGTAACGATCGCTTTGTCTTTCTCCAACGATACAATCAACAGGCGCAGGGCGGGAGTCGACTGTATTAGCTTCGATTTTAGCTATTCCAGATAGCAAATCTCATTCCATGACGCATAACGAACACATCCGTGTGCTGCGCATACTGGGACGAGGTCGGTGAGACCATTCAGCGCCGTCTGTCGAGGCAAGGAGAAAGAGACTCGACGTGTTGCGATGTAGGAATGGTCGCGACTACAGTGCTGACAAGCAACGACCTAGATGAAACATTCAACCCCTCATCATCACCTGCAGCAAAGTAACAAACAAGAGGGACCTTTTTTTTTTCTCGAAATAATTCAGAAGATGCCATGATTAGGATAACGTCACCAATACTTTACACACACACTGACTCCCGTCCTCATCAACCCCCGCACTCGCAACTCGCATCATTCGCGCACGGTAATAAACAAACAAACAAAAGTTCCGCGCCCGCGCGCCCGCGCGCCCATCCCCGGCGTGACGGCTGTTTCAGCAGCAGCTGCAGCTACAGCGCCTCCTCCCCTCCAGCAGCCAGCCGGGCAGGCAGGCGGGCAGGCGGGCGGGCAGGAGGGCGGGTGGGGTTCGCGGTGGTGGTGGTGGAGTCGGAGCCGGAGTCGGAGTCGTGGAGTTCATTCATGGCGGCGCAGCAGGGCGCTGGTGCTGGTGCTGGTGCTGGCGCAGAGGTTGGGGTTAGGGCTGGGGTCGGAGTTAGGGTTAGAGTTGGGGTTAGGGCTGGGGTCGGAGTTAGGGTTAGAGTTGGGGTTAGAGATAGAGTTGGGGTTAGAGTTAGAGTTGGGATTGGGATTGTGGTTAGGGAGTAGGCGGGAGTTAGGGTTAGAGTTAGGGAGTGGGAGGGGGAAGAGGAGTGGCGGGGAGGCGAGGTGGCCTACGATAAGGACTTGGAGGAGGTTAGAGACGTTAGAGCGGTCGGGCGACGTGTTAAGGTTAGAGATAGAGTTGGGATTGGGGTTAGGGTTAGAGCTAGGGAGTAGGAGGGAATTAGGGTTAGAGTTAGAAAGTGGGAGAAGGAAGAGGAGTGGCGGAGAGGCGAGGTGGCGCACGATGAGGACTTTGAGGAGGTTGGAGACATTAGAGCGGTCGGGCGTGTTGGGTTTGCGGAGGTCGAAGCGGAGGGCGGAGAAGAGCAGGGTTGGGGAGGTGGACGTAGAGGATGGGGAGGATGATGGGGGGGCCCGTCCTCCATTGCCAAAGAGGGCCTAGTAAGTAGGTACTGTGTACCTCTGCAAGCCATCGACCTCTCTCCAAAAATGCAGCAACGTCTCGGCGCATGACGACGGGCTGTGCTTGTTTGGTCACTTCTCGCACAAGTTGCGCCGTCTCCGAGAAATTGTCGGTGGCGGTGGAGGCCGAGGCCGGAGGGGACGTATATCATGTTGCCTGAAATGGGTCTCTCAGGATTCATACCCTTGCTCGCGGCATCTGTATAAGGGAGAAAATTGACGACCCGCTTTAAGCCCGCGGTCATGGCTCCGATAGGTAAAGCCGTCCCCGCATAAAACGTTCACTACGTAGGACTCAGGTTAGCCGGCTCGTAAAAGCAACGAAGGGGCAGCATCTCTATCTTATTTTCTTCTTCCTTTTCATGATCGAATGCTGGTTTCTTCGGGCGCACAGAGCGATGCCTTACAGCAATGGATCCGAAATATGGCAGCCGCCTTGGAAGAAGGGGAGTGAACATCCTCGAAAAATCGAAATTCGATTGAAGCATGCATTCACGCAACAAGACTTCGTCGCCAATGGATAATGGCTGGAACGCCAGACATGTCATCATCAATCGGGATTATATTTTCCCCCAACACATTAACGACGACGTGCACACGCGACTAGCGAGAGCAACTACCATCAGAATCATCATCAACTTTCCAAAAAAAAAAAAAAAAAATCACGTGAAGACAACCAAACACTTCCAGCAACGAGAACGAGACACAACAAAGGCACCTCGGTCTCCCGTCTCCAGCCAATGTTCTGTCTCATCCCGTATTGCCCGCCCACCCGCCGCCGCCTTCTAATCCTTGCGCGCCGCCTCGGGCGAAGCCGGCACGATTTTGACCTGCTCGATCCCCGTCTTCTCCTCGGCGGCGGTAGGGGCGGCGGGGGAGCTGCGACCGTTGTCGTGATCGTGTTCGTGGGCCTCGACGTCCTTGACGAGCTCGGTGACGCCGAAGAGGTCGTCCATGCTCTCGAGCGACAGGCCCTTGGTCTCGGGCACGAAGAACCAGACGAAGAGGAACATGCTGAAGCAGAAGGTGCCGTATGTGAAGAAAGCGCTGTAAGAGAAAGAGGGGTCAGCTATGTGGTTTTCCCAGCTTATGGAACCGGGGAAGAAATATGAAAGAGAAAGAGAGCGAGAGGGAAAGAGAAAGAAGGGGAAAAAGGAAAAGAGAGGACTGACCCAAACCCACCCTTCCCCATTGTAGCCAACATATTCGGCGTAGCCCTCGCCACAACAAAGTTGAACAACCACTGCGTTGCGGCACCGAGGGCGACGTTGGTCGAGCGCAGCCGCGCCGTGGGGATCTCGGAAATGTAGATCCAGCACACGGGGCCCCAGCCGAACTGGAAGAAACCCGCGAACAGGAAGATGCACACGAGCGCGACGTAGCCGGCCGGGGGCACCGGCGCGCCGTCCTTGGGCGGCGCCACCCGCACGTAGATGCCGATGTAGTACATGCACGTGCCCTGCGCGATAGACGTCCACAGCAGCGACCGCCGCCGGCCCAGCGAGTCGGCGACGAAGAGCAGGAAGCACGCGCACGTCACCATCTTGACGACGCCGTAGATGCCGGTTGCGAAGAGGCCGGTCTCGGCGGAGGGGATGCCGAGACCGCGGAAGATCATGGGGGCATAGTAGTTGACTGCATGGTGGGAAAAGGGGTCTTTTGTCAGCAAACTTGCTCTCGTTTTAGAGACTGAGGGGGCGGGTAAGGGAGCAACATACTGGCGTTGGTGCCCGTCATCTGCTGGCAGACCATCAGGCCGATGGTGAGCAGAGCACGTTTGCGGTTGCCAGGAATAAGCCACATCTCCCTCTGCAGGTCCTTGAGGGAGGCTCCGCCGATGAGGCGGCGCTCGTGCTCAAGCTGCTCGGCGATTTCGCTGATCTCTGCTTGTACGTAGGGGTGGGAGGCGGGCAGCTGGCGGATGCGGGTAAGGACGGAGGTGGCCTCCTCCCAACGGTCCTGCTTGGCCAGGAAACGGGGCGATTCGTTGCAGAGCCACATGCTCACGAGAAGACAGATGGCCGGGATGGCTTGGACAATCAGCGGTACAACTGTGAGAGCGAGTCAGCGATTGGCACATCAATGGCTGTTGCTGGCCGGAGCATACCGAAGGTGGTGTTGCCGTGCAAGTGCTTGATGGCACCGTAGTTGGTCCAGAAAGACAACATGGTACCAGTGGCAATCTAGAGAGGTCAGTTCCTACCCGAGCCATTGGGACTCTCGGTACCTACGAAGAGCTGATAGATTCCAGTAAGACCGCCACGGATTGCGCGAGGCGAATTCTCAGAGATGTACAGCGGGACAACCATGGACGCAGCACCGACACCGAGACCGGCAACAAATCTGATTCGTCAGCTGCGTCCTCTCGAGACCGGGTAAGAACGAACCTTCCGATGTACATGACAGCCAGGTGACCACTGCCAGCAGCCTGCATGACGCAGCCCACAATGGCGACGGCGGCAGCCAGCAACAGCGAAGCGCGACGGCCGTACTTGTCGGCAAGCCAGGAAGTGACGAAGCAGGCGGCGAAGCAACCGGCCTGGAGGGTGGAGACGATGTTGGCCGACAGGTTGGCGATGCCAGTTTTGTCGAGGTGGGCGAGCCCGTACTCGGCCTGGAAGGCGGGCAGCTCAAGCACGCCGCCGATGATGCCAATGTCCATGCCGAACAGCATGCCGCCGAAGCAGGCGGAACAGGCCAGCATGTAGACGCGCCAGCCGTAAATCTCGGTCGGATCCGACTTCATGGCATCATTGTGCACCACGCGCTGGAGGAAGTTCACCATGGCTGCGGTGTTGGGGATCTGACGACACTGATGAAAGGAGATGGGTCCAGCCGGTCAGGGGAGAATGGAATGGGGAAGCCGGGGAGGAAAGCGGGTGAGGTGAGATGGGAAACAGGGCCAAATATCAGTCGAAACGGAGCCCAAGACGGCGGCGAAGCTGGCGCCGGAGGAGTGTAGGACAATGGAACATGCACGGTCGAGGACTGGCTCTCCCGCAAGCCAAGGCGAGCGACTCAGTGCTGCGACGAGGCCCAGAGCGTGTAATTTGTGGGAAAACCAAGCGGGATGGCTTGCCAAGCAGCCTTCGAGCTGCTCCCAAGAGTGATGGGATTCTCCGCCGGAGGGAGCCAAGTATCAGCTGAGACGAAGGCAGCTTGGAGCGAGGCACAAGGTTGAGCTTGAATCAATCGCATGCGAAGAGGCCGAGGGGGGTGCCGATTCTCAGGTAGATGTATTCATGCCGGCACACGGGTGGGAAGCGGGCGGCACTGGTGCATGCTGCTTATCCGGCGAGCTCGGCAACAGCGCGACGGTTTGCGCGGCGTGACATGGGTGCAGACTGCAGGGGCGAGTGGCTGGAGCGGCGTGAGGAGCGGAAAAGGCACGATGGTGCTAAGTGGGTGGCAGATCTGGAGAAAGTGGAGCTGGTGGACCCCGTCTGCTCCCCCGCCGCCACCCCCAGACTCGGCACTTTCGCGACTCGATTCGCGCTTTCGCCCTTCACTGCGCCGGTAAGCGAGGCTGCACGCCGGATCCATCGTCGCCCCCTCACGCCCCCCTCATCCAGTGCTGGCGTGCAGGGAATTTAGCCGATACGCGGATAAACAGTGGCCGGACGTCGAGCTGGTTAAAGGGGGCGCCGCCGTGTCGACGTCTTGGTGTTGTGTGTGTACACTGCACGATCCTGGTGGCGCTCTTCCCTTTTTCCGCATCCAAGGTTGGCCAAGAAGCTTGATCCGCCTAGGTTTCGATTGGCGGTGCTGTTCCATCTCTGCGTGGCCGTTGCTCCCGCTGACTCGCCTCGCTTTCAAGAACATTGACTTCGGCTGAGACGCCCCAGGCTGAGTGGCAATCTAATAAACGCAAGGCAAAGCCAGCGGCCCGGACCTTCGGCACTAGGTAGGCACCAGGTACGCCCGCCGCCCCAATTGCCGGCAGCTGTCGCCAATCCAGAGGGCAAATTATCGCCAACCCGGTGTCCACCACGCGTACAGTGCAGCGGCCGACCCCGAAATACCACCCGAGCCCCGTTCCACTACTGCGTTTCAAGTCTGAGACGGTGGTCCCCCCCGCGACAGATCCCAATTTCCCGATTGGGGCACATGGTCCAAACGGCCAACTCAAACGAACAACACCACCGCTTGCATTATGTCAGCCACCAACAACCACGGCCTGGCCGCCGCCAACCGGCCGTTTCCGCTGCACCCGTTCAACAAGAACCCGATGCGCACCCGCGAAGACGTAGCCGCCGCGTGCGCCTCCCTGCTTGACCCGCTCGAAGCCGGCACCTCGCCCGGCGGCGCCCTCGTCCGCGTCGGCGGCACCGGCACGCGCTTCGACGAGACGGCGGCGCAGAGCGAGGGCTACGCCCGCCCGCTGTGGGGGCTCGCGCCTCTGCTCGCCGGCGGCGGCGAGTACGCCGGCACCGAGCGCTGGGTGCGCGGCCTCGTCAACGGCACCGACCCCGAGCACGCCGAGTTCTGGGGGTACATGGAGGACCTGGACCAGCGCATGGTCGAGGCCTGCCCCATCGGCTTCACCCTGGCCATCGCCGGCGAGCACTTCTGGGACCCGTTGACCGAGAGGCAGAGGAAGAACGTCGAGGCCTACCTGGGGAGCATGAACGACAAGGAGATGCCCAACACGAACTGGTATGCCCCCGTCTCTTCTTCATCCTCGATGCCCTCGCATCCCAATGCCATCTCTCCTTCTCGAGCTCCCTTTTTTGCCCTGCTGCGTCCGTCAACAGTCAGTTCCTACCAACTGCCCGTCAACCCAACCCACTCCTCAACCCTGTATCCCCCCCGCCGACCTACCTTCCAAGCTCCCCCCCTCTAACCAAACCGCCACGCACCAACGGACAGGCTCTGGTTCCGCGTCTTCGCCAACCTCGGCCTCGCCAAAGTCGGCGCCGGCTACTCGTCCGCCCGGCTCGAGTCGGACATCCAGCACCTCAACACCTTCTACCGGGGCCAGGGCTGGTCCAACGACGGGCCGGCGGGCTACACGCAGATGGACTACTACTCGGGCTCGTTCGCGATCCAGTACCTGCAGCTGCTGTACGCGCAAATCACCGACTCCAACCAAAACGTCCACGACCCCGCGCGCGCCGCCGAGTTCCGCGCGCGCGCCCGGCTGTACGCGCTCGACTTCGCCTACTACTTCGACGGCGCGGGGCGGGCGGTGACGTTCGGGCGGTCGCTGACGTACCGCTTCGCCATGGCCGCCTTCTGGGGTGCCGTCGCCTTCTCGTCGACGACGCTCCCCGCGCCGCTGACGTGGGGCGTCGTCAAGGGCCTGCTGCTGCGCAACCTGCGGTGGTGGACGGGGCGCGCCGACATCTTCCAGCCCAACGGGATGCTCAACGTCGGCTACGCGTACCCCAACACGTACCTCGCCGAGAACTACAACTCGCCGGGGTCGCCGTACTGGTGCATGCTCGCGTTCGCGCCGCTGGCGCTGCCGCGCGACCACCCGTTCTGGGCGAGCGCCGAGGAGCCGCACCCCCTGAGCAGCTCGCTGCCGCCGCTGCGCAAGCTCGAGCTGCCGCTGCAGATCGCGAGCAACCGCGGGGGCCACGCGCTCGTGCTGAGCAGCGGCCAGGAGTGCCACTACGCGCTCAAGAACCCGCAGGCCAAGTACGGGCGCTTCGCGTACAGCGCCGCCTTCGCCTACTCCGTCGCCACCGGCGCCTACACGCTCGAGCAGTGGGTGCCCGAGAGCGCGCTCGCCCTGTCCGACGACGGCGGCGACCTGTGGCGCATGCGGCGCGAGGTCGAGGGCGCGCATTTCGAGGGCGGGGACGGAGATGATGAGGATTCGCCGCCGTGTTTGGTGTCGGCCATGCGGCCGTGGAGGGACGTCGAGGTGGGGACGTGGCTGCTGCCGCCGGCTGAGGCCACACCGTACTGGCATGTCCGCGTGCATCGCGTGTCGTCGCCGTCGGGCGGTGGCGGCGGCGGTGGGGTTGGACGCGACCTGTTGGCGGCCGAGGGCGCGTGGGCCGTCTACGGCGTCCGTTTGCGCGACGGCAGGCCTTTGGGACTGTATGACAGTGCTGCGCACGAGGGCCACGTATGCGACCCTGATGATGGCAGCGTGCTCGTCGTGTCGCCCAAGTCCGGTGCCGTGGGGATGGTCGACTTGCTGCCGAGGGAGAAGAGTGGCGGGCGGACCGGCGCCGTGCTGGATGCCGATGCGAATTCGAACCTGGTGGAGCCGCGGACGGTGCTTCCCATCTTGCGCAGCGAGCTGAAGGCCGGGGAGACGAGGTGGTACGCCACTGCCGTGTTTGCTGTCCCGGAGAGCGTGCCCGGGTGGAAGGAGCTGTACCGGCAGCATTGGCAGAAGAGGCCTTCGCTTCCCGGGTGGTTGTCTGAGAGGATCAATGCGTAAACGTGGGCGAAGTGATGTCGGGCCTTTTCTTTTGTGCCACGGAAGTCAAGGGTAGGCGCAAATCAAATGATCAAACAATGCTCATCTAGATTGTTAGCCTCATTCCCAGCGTATATAGACTAATAGACAATGTTGTGAGGAAAAAGAAAGAAACAGGAAAAGCTCCAATCTGAGCGAAGAGCGGACGGCTTCGATTGGAGTGTTAAATGCTGGGGTATCTCGAGATCAAGTACAAGTATCGCAGACACCCACCCAAGCAGGATGCACGGACTCTGTAGTGAAAATAGAAAAGAATAGGAGTGAGAAACGACGCATACGAGGGTAGAGAGACGCCAAGCCCGCTGCTAATTCCCCCTCTTGAGTAAAAACCAAAAACCAACCTGTCTGTCCATCTCAAAGAACGCCCGCTTCCAACGTATGTACTGAAAAGGGAGATCTCCCAACCAATCTGGGACTCCTGAGGCAAAACAAAAAGGACTGACGAGTACACATCGATACGAGAAAAGTGAAGAGGATCATAGGCCGTGAAGAAGAAATGGAAATGGGCAGCCGACAGCCGTGGCCTAATCACTGTCGCCGACGCCATTGAAGTAATCCGCCGGGGCTTTTGGGGCTCGCATGTCTATGCCGCTGTCACGATCGGTCCGCGGGATGTCCAACGACGCTCTGACTGCGGCAGATGCATCCGGGCGTGTCCAAGGGCTCAGGAGTGATCCTCCATGGGGCGCTTCGTCTTCCTCTGAATCGGATTGGCCCTGGTCTTCAGGGCTGAGGATGCGCCCGCCCAGCTTGACGTCGCTCACGCGAATTTTGTATTCCAGCGCTTTTTTCCCTTGCTTGATCAGATCCTCCGTGACCGTAAGGCAGCGTTTCAAGCTCTGGTTCATCTTTTGGCTGTCAATTAGGATATCCTTGTGCTTGGCCAGGTCCAATTGCAGGCGTTTCTGGTCTTGGAATCGGTATTTGGCATCCTTCTCGGCCAGTGCGCTCGCGCTCATGTTGCTTTCACTAAGTGAGGATTCACTCGACGAGAGCTCTCCCTGGTCGTCATCATCCTCGTCATCCTCATTCTCTCCTAGACCTAGGACTTCTTCATCGGCGAACTCGGCTGTTTCTCCCTCGGTGAGAGAGCCCAGATTCGAAGATGCATTGTTGCCACCGGGTGCCATTTGGCCAGTCCTGCTCATCCGTCGGAACCTCTTAAGCTCAGCCTTCTGTTTGCGGACTTCCCGTTCAAGCTGTCGGTTAATGGCGAGGAGCGAAGAGTTGCTGATCTCTAAATCCATGACTTTGCGTTCTCGTCTCGCGTTGGCAGCCAATTCGTTCATCTTCTGCAGCGCGCTCTTCGGCTGCTGGTCAGCGTCATCCGACCCGTCGGGGCTCTGCCTCGCTGGACTCTGGGGTAGTGAGAGCGGTGATTGCAATCCATTGGGCTCCTTTCCGTTTCTTCCGTCATTATTCAAGTTCGTCGATGCAGACATTACTGTAGAGGGAGATGTTATATCCACCTGGAGGGGGCTCGGCGAGTGGTCTACCCCAGAAATCCTCCGATTCGAGCATACTGAATCGATCGAGGACATGCTCGAGCTCTTGTGGTGGCCGATTTGAACGCCGCTGACCTCGGTGCTCGACCTCCTGCGATGCCCCGGTGTTGCATCCTTGGCGTCAGTGTTGGAGAACACCGACACGGCGGATGCGGGGCGCGAGTGCCCATTTGGCCGAATAATCTGCGAGGCCCCTTTCCTGTATGACAGGTGCAGGGCATCCTTATTCGGAGACACTGGACGTGGGCCCTCCTTGCCGGACGTGTGCGGATGGAAATGCGGGTCCGGGGTCGCGGAGAGGATGGGCGGTGAGTGCAATGGCGAGTTGGTACCGCGGTCGTTGTGGATTGTGTTTGCGTGGAAGAACTTGCTTTCGATGTTTGGCGGGCGGCTTCTCTCGGAAGCCGATATAGGAGGAGACTTGACCCCTGCTGAAGCGCTCCGCTCTCCTTCCCTCGGCGCGCTTGCGTAGAAGAAGTTTGTGGGGTTCTTGAGGACAGGGTTCGATGTGGGTTCATGACGTCTTGCTTCGCTGGCGTGGAAAAACATGGCTGAAGAGTCTTTGGAGCCAAATCCCACTTCGCTGCTGGGGCGTGAATTCCTGCCGCCTGGCGCAGCCAGTACGGGCCCAACGCGCGGCCCATCGTTGCCACCCACGATGCTCCTGGGGCGCGAGGGGCCGCTGCCTCCAGGGGCGCTCCTCGGGATTGTATCGGCCAGCGTCAAACGGGGCGCGGTGGGAGTGTCGGGGGTGCCGGTGGGGGTGGACTGGGTGCTGCTGGCTCTCGACTTGCGCGATGAGGAGCGCGGCGTCACATTGCTCAGATGGGGCGACGGCGGGTCGTCTCTGGTGCTGGCGCGCGAAGCGGTGCTGGAGACGCCGAGGGCGGCGCGAGCGGAGGGCGCAGGCTGGGTGGATGCGAGCTTGGGGGTGAGCGGCGCCTTGTTCGTGCGACTGGACGCAAGGGTGGGCCTGAGACTCTTGCCATTGTTACTGGCGGAGCTGGTTCTGTCGGATGCGGGCATCCTCGGACGGGCGGCGGTCGAGTAGCAGTCTATCGGCAGCCGGGAGCAGCTTTGTGCACATTGCACATGGTAGGGACGCGGACGAGGGCGCAGGCGAGGCGTGGGCGAGGAAGCGGCTGTGGGCGTTGGCGGCGGTCAACGGCGTGGACGAGCAGCCGGTTTGTTTTGGTTGCTGGGCAGCAGTGTTGCAGGCCCGAGGCGAGCGAGCGATGCAGCTAGTGACGAATTTGCGACAATGCCCCGCCTTACCCGTTGCGGCAGCAGATTTGCGCTTAGACAAGAGGCGGGTGAGGTGACAGCGGGCTATAAGGCTGCGGGCAGGCTGGTGGTGAAGGGAGTTCGAGAACGGGCATTAATTGCTATTACTCCTTAGGGTGGTGTGAGCGCGCGGGTCATTTGCGCGCGGTACGCGGTATGGCCTACTCTAGGGCCTCAAGCCGGCCGGCAGCCTTACGCCGCCGGGCGAAACCCTGCAGCCTCCCGTCATCACCGCCCACGCGCCGCCAAACACGAGCAACCATGCCGCCAACACCCCGCGTCTTCCCGACATGAGCCATGAGCCCACCAACGCGTCGCCGCACCACGCGACGCCCAGCGGCCCCCCGCCCCCGGCACCCACCACCGCCGCCGACGCCCGCGGCGCGGACGGCTCGCTGAAGTACCACCTGCTCGGCCCGTCGCTGCAGAAGAGCGGTCAGGATGGCGTTGACCAGACAAAGGCAGGCCTCCTTTTCTCACTCACGATGAAACGTGCCGGTGGGGCTGCACGCTGATGCTGCCTCAAACAGGTCGCGGACATCATCTACAACGCCTCCAAGGGCTCCAAGTTCTTCAACAACGAGTCTGTAAAGGACCGAGTCCTAACCGAGAAGATCGACCGCATCCTCGCCCGCAAGCGGCAGCTCCAACGGACAGACCTCTCGCATGATCTCCGTCGTGCCGACTCCTTCGCTGCCGAGCTCGAGCTAGGCCGTGATCTTTCCCAGGCCATAGTGCATCTGGACTGCGACGCCTTCTACGCCGCCGTCGAAGAGCTGGATCGCCCGGAGCTCAAGCATGTTCCGTTTGCTGTGGGGAAGGGGGTGTTGACGACATGCAACTACCACGCCCGCAAGTTTGGCTGCCGGAGCGGCATGGCCGGCTTCGTCGCCATGAAGCTGTGCCCGCAGCTGATCTGCCTGCCGCTAAACTTCGACAAGTATACGGCAAAGGCGCGCGAGGTTCGTGCGGTTCTAGAGCAGTACGATCCGTGCTTCGAAAGCGCTAGCATCGACGAAGCCTACTTAAATATCACCGCATACTGTGAACAGCACGACATGGATCCCGAGGACGCTGTGCAACAACTCCGCGCCGAGGTGCATGAGAAGACCAAAATCACCGTGAGCGCCGGCATCGCTGCAAATGCCAAGCTGGCCAAAATCTGCTCCAACAAGAACAAGCCCAACGGTCAGTTCCGTCTTGCCAATGACCGAGCTACCATCATGGCCTTCATGAGAGACCTGGCCACCAGAAAAGTCAACGGCATCGGGCGCGTCTTTGAGCGAGAGCTGGACGCAATCGGCGTCAAGACGTGCGGTGACATATACGAGCACCGTGCGTACTTGCCCAAGCTGTTTGGTGAGAAAGCCTTCCAATTCCTGATGCAATGCTACCTGGGTCTGGGGCGCACCAAGATCCAACCCGCCGAGAGCTACGAGCGCAAGAGTGTAGGCACCGAGAGCACATTTCGCGACATGTCAGACAAGGACGAACTGCGTGCTAAGCTTTGGCACACGGCCGAGGAGCTTGAAAAGGACCTCGAGCGAACACAGTTCAAGGGTAGAACGCTTGTGTTGAAGGTGAAGCTGCACACGTATGAAGTCTTATCACGGCAGACTTCGCCGCCTTTCGCGGTATATCGTAAGGACGACCTGTACAAGTACGCATTGCCAATGTTGGCGAAGCTTGAAAAAGAGATACCAGGCATGAAGCTACGGCTGATGGGGTTGAGAGCTACGCACATTGTCAGCATGAAGAAAGGATCAGTTGACTTCTTCGGTCTGAACAAACGCATAACGTCAGCAGACTCCAGTACGAGCGAGCAGCAGTCGGCTCAGTCGGCGAAGGCCAAAACGGGAAGTGAAGATGAGTGGGAAGTGTGGCCTGAGGAAGAATTCGAAGAGGCAGCACGACAGGAGCGCGAAGCAGATTTCGTGGAGACGCTGCGGCTCAGCCAGCAAGAAGACCGGGGCGTTCAAGAAGGCACCGAGGGAGACACACAGCCTCAGGCTGCGGAAATCCACTGGGACTGTCCAATCTGCCTCCGGCCACAACCAGCAAACGATCGCGCCTTCAACGATCACGTCGACTTCTGCCTGTCTCGAGACGCCATCAAGGAGACAGTCAAGGAAGCCAATGAGTCTGGCACGCCCCCACCACAGGCACAATCGGACACAGAGTCAGCCAAGCCCAAAGATGCGTTCGGGTTGATGGGGATGAAGGCCGGATCGGCTACCAATGGTGGACAGAAGAAAAGAGGAAGACCTCGAAGCGATGGCCTTGGCTCCGGGCATGGGCAGAAAGATTCAAGGAAGCGACCCTTCTTTGGGTGAGACGGTCATTATTCCAGTTGAACAGCGCGCATAACGATAGCATTGAATAGCATGAGACACAATATTGCAGCGAAAATTTGCCTTTGTTCTTTTTTTCCTACGACCGTATGCTTTGTTTTGTTTTTCTGCTCCTTCCATCAGCTCGTTAACTGACATCACCCCACACTCAGCTGCCCCATCCCCCGCTTTCAAGAAATCTCCACTTCACTCCAGACCCACAACAATGCAAGACAAAAAAGCTTGACGACTCATGTCCACCATTTTCTCCGCGGCCCCCTGCCCCACAGAGTCGGTCAGGATCACGAGGCTGCTTTTCGCCCCAACAACAAGTCACGCCACGAGCCGAAGATCACGGAAACAAGACGCTGCTTTCGGGCCATGCATCTGGGTCCGGAGCGGGCCGGGATGCTGACTACTATAGCCGGACCGTTTCGTTTCCAGCTTTCCGAGAGGAAGACACCAAGTCGGACGTCTGCGCGGGCTCGGGCTCAGACGCGGTGCGGCGCCGGCTTCGATTGGCCGATTTCCAGACGCAGGAACCCGCGGGTTCTGCCTAGCTTGATGATTTTTTTCTTGGAGCGCTGCCCTATACATGTATCCGCGTGACGCGAGCGCGGAAGGATTATGACGACAGCAAGGTTTTTCTTCGCGCTTGGGGGGGCTCGCGTAAGTAGCGGTGTTCCGTGGCGGTTGCGCCGCGTGACGCTGTCACGGGGACCGCCCGGGCAAGATGGCGCGCTTTTGTTTGGAGTGTGTGGCTGGGGAGTGTTGTTGCTTGGTGCGGATTGTTTTTTTTTTTGCTTTTATTTTCAGTGGCGCCCTGTCGATGCGCGGAGATGGATCGCTGCGGCGGCGTGTTGTTGTTGTATGATTCGAAAATACACTGCTGGTTGGATGCAGTTTTATCTCAACGACACCGGCTCACCTACTAATGAAGCTAACAAAGACATACTAGAAGGGCGTAGTTGCTGGAATCTGCAGAATGCCGTTATATTATGGCTCTATGCAGTGTAATATGGCGTGGTTAAGTATTTTTGAGAATTAGCTACGTAGCACCAAGATGTTATGCTATCAACATACAACGCACGACATTTACAAAATCATACATGATCAGCACAAATGCATCCTCTTCAAGGAAAAAGAGCACCTACAATCACAGCATTTTCTTCAAACCTCGACCTGACTTGTAAAAGCAAGCAAGCATTCGGCGACCGATCCAACCAATCAGAGCCCCGCACAATCGGCAACCACCCACACGGCAAAGGGCCCAACGCGCGACGTACGTAATCCGTACGTGCCCCTCCACCAAACCAAACCAAACCGCAAACCAAAACACTCAAAACCATCCACACCAAAGAAAAACAAAAAAAAACAGAAAATGCCTTCCACCAACGACCACCAAGACCACCCCCCAACGGCCTTCAAGATCCTCACCGCCGCGCAATGGGCCGCGTGGCAGCGCGCCGGCGCCTTCTCCGGCGCCGGCATCGACCTCGCCGACGGCTACATCCACCTCTCCACCGCCGCCACCGCGGGCGAGACGTACGCGCGGTACTTTGCCGATCAGCACGACCCGGACTCCTTGGTCGTCGTCGAGGTCGATTTGCGGCGCCTCGGGCAGCAGGGAACGGGAGCGGGGACGGGGGCCGAGGTGAAGTGGGAGGTGAGCAGGGGCGGGGCGCTGTTTCCGCACGTGTATGGGGAGATTCCGGTGGGGGCGGTGGGGAGGCGGTGGGAGGGGGGGGAGGTGGGGAGGGGGTTGTTTGAGGGGTTGGAGGCGGAGGCCGGGAGGGGGTAGGGTGGTTGAGATGGAGGGGATGGAGGGGATGGAGGGGAGAGGTTGTTGTCTCTCTTCTCGAGATTGCAGATAGTGCCTAGCAAAATAGGATTTGACGGATGCACACGTGTCTCGAGCTTTTTAACATCTGCCTGCCGTCGAAAGCAATTGATCATATATCCCGACGCCCCCTCTTCTCAGTATCTATAAACGGAAACAAGCTCATCTCTCTCGCGTGCTCTTCCAGATCCTGAGCTTGAACAACGATCCAAATACAACGAAATCCAATACAAAGGGTATATACTAAACGGCTCCTCCACACAAGCATTTTTCCATCCGGGCCCACCTCAATCAATCAAGCCCTCACGCTCCCCACGCCCGCCGACACCTCCCCCTCCTCCCACGCATCCCTCACAAACTCGACCGCCGTCTCAAACGTGACCTCCCTCGCCCTCTTCTGGCCCTCGTCCAACCAGCCCACGGGCATCTGCGTCCACCCGTGCCTCATGCCCTCGAACCGCTCGACGCGCAAGTCGCCGCCGCGCCCGTCTTCGGCCACCTTCCTGACCCACGCCTCGCTCTGCTCGGCCAACGAGTCCAGCTCGGGCAGGACGAGGTACATGCGCGCGCGGGGGTGCAGGCCGCCGTCGCGCAGGTCGGCGAGGCCGGGCGAGGCGCGCGGGTGCGCCGCCAGCTCGCGCGGCACGTACGTCGGGTGCAGGACGTCGAAGCTGTCGCCCCAGAAGGACTTGGAGAGCGGCAGCTTGGGCGGGCGCGTGCGCTCCGACGGCAGCTGGCGCGCGTCGAAGGACGGGTAGTACAGCAGCAGCGGGACGGGGCGCGCGTGCGCGGCCGGGATGCGGCTCGGCCACGGCGTCGGGACCTGCGGCTCGCGCAGCGACAGGGCGAGGTTGAGCGCGAGGTTGCCGCCGCTGCTGAAGCCCGAGAGGCAGAGCCGCGAGGCGTCGAGTGTGACGGACGTCGGTTTCGGGGGCGCGGCGGCGGAGCCGGAGCCGGAGCCGGCGGGCGGCTTGACGTTGGCGGCGATGCCGTCGCGCAGGGGCTTGTGGGCGGGCGAGGACGGGTCGAGCAGCGCGCTCAGCACGTCCTCGCCGTCCTCGATGGCGGCGGGGAACTTGTCGATGGGGCCCATGCGGTAGTCGACCGAGATGGCGACGCAGCGCAGGTCGCGGGCCATCTTGGCGCAGAAGGGCGACTGCTCCAGGCACGACCCCATGACGAAGCCGCCGCCGTGGAAGTCGAGGATGACGGGGTAGCCCGCGGGCGACGGGGGCGGCGACGGAGGGACGAAGACGTAGACGGGGATGGTGTAGGCGCTGCTGCGAGAGGGCAGCTTGAGCACGAACGGGTGCGGGCCTTCGGGCGAGGTGAAACGGAGGGTGAGGTCGGGGACGGCGCGGGGCAGGCGCAAGACAGCGGTGCGCCATTGCACGTCGAGCGGCTGCGAGAAGAAGCGTTGTAGGCCGGACATGATGGAGTGCGGTGGTTCGGTCGAGAGCTTCGACTGCGAGGTGGGTGTTCAGGTCACGGAGATACGAGAAGCTGGAGGAGACAGCAATAGGGGATCTGCGGCCCGGGATGTCCTGCCACGACACGCAACCGCCATGGCAGCCGGCGGGCGAGAACCGGTCAACGAACTGCTGATGAAGCCGGTGTGATTGCGAAGGGCGGATGACCTCATCATGCAAGACGGCTTGGCGCTGGCACTGCCGATCTTTGCCCTTCCCGGTCCAAACCTTCCCGCAACTTCACCTCTCCACCTCCCATCTCGATGCAATTTTAGAGTATATTCATCTGGTCAGTAGGGTGCCCAATGGCTATTCGGCTTCACACTGTTGCTACGAGGGAATAACGCACAGGCTCGGGAGTGTTGCAAAACACCCAACATGCATCATCCCTGCAAAAGTAAACACCACATCACATACAGTTTCACTCACAGTGACAATAACAAAGATCAAGAGATTTGACATGACGTCTTATAATTGTGAATTCTATGCTTCAACAGCGGCATCTACTGCCATCTACCGCCACTCACCAAGGACCCTCTCCCGCGATCAACGGCGGCCACCAGGCACATACGAAGAGCCAGACCTCCGGTGGTTTCCGCGGTAGCCCCGCCCAACAGATCCACCATATGCGAGTCCCCCAGGCGCAGAGCCACCAGTGCTGCTCCTCCAAAGACGCGGAGGGAGGGCACCTCCACCACCCGCATGCCCTGCATGCGAAAAGCTGCGAGAATGGCCACCACGGCCACTAGTGCTGGATGCCCGCCTCGCCCTCGCCCTGCTGCTGCCGCTGCTGCCACCGCTGCCCCTGCGATCGCCGCCGGCGCCACTGATGACGGTGGCGACGACGGGATGCGCGACGGGGTCGACGACGTCCGGGCGGGCGGCGACGGCGGTGCGGTCGGCGAGCTCGTTGCCCTCGACGCCCGCGTGCGCGGGCACCCAGTGCAGCTCGACCCTCTTGCCGTAGACGTCGACGAGGAGGTCGGCGAACTCGAGGACGAGCTTGAGGTCGCTGGCGTTCCAGTTGGGTGGTTGCGTGCCGGTGGTGGCGCGCGTGGCGGTGGACGTGGCGGATGTGGTGGATGTGGTGGATGTGGTGGATGTGGTGAGGGCTGTTTTCGTCGTCGTCGTCGTCGTGAGGCGCCGCAGGATGCCGACGGAGTCGCAGAAGATGAGGATGGTGTGGATGGCGCTGTTGTTGGCGAAGTGGTCGTGGGCGAATTCGAAGCTGCGCGCGAGACCCGCGAGCTCCGCGTCGGTGCTTTGCGTGATGTGCGCCGGCAGGGTGAAGCCGAGGCGGGTCCAGATGAGGTCGTCTGGGGTGGGGCGCAGGACGACGGCGCAGGAGCACCAGCGTGCGGTTGTGGTGATGGTGGCGGGCTTGCTGTCGTCGATGGCTTCGCTGATCTCGCCGTCCTCCATGTCCATGGCTGAGGAAAGCTCGGTGGGGAGCGAGACGCTGGTGGTGGTGCGTGGGGCGGTGATGAGGCGCGGCTTTGATGCCGAGCCGTCGGTGAAGAGGGCCTGGACACCGTCGGGTGCACGTCTGTTGGAATATTTGTGGGCGGTTCTGAGTGCATCTGCCGGGGTTTTGATGAACACACGGGCTTTGCACGGCCCGATGGGGTAAGACTCACCGCTGTAGGTCATGTCGACATCTTCATCGAGACTGAGTTCGAATTTCATCCAGTCGTCCTCATCCGAATCGGTGTTGGGCGTCGTCATTGGCGCAAAAGTGGGCGTTGCTGGTGCACTGTTCGAGCCGACCCTGTCTGTCACCCCCTTCTCCGGGTTATAGAGCGTGTTGATAGACTGCATGATGCGTCTGATATGTGGTTAGCTGTCAAGACGTAGCTGTGAGTGCTCTGGGTGTGGGCGCGAGATCGAAGAAACTCCAGAAAAAGTCTGACCAGCAGGCGAGAACTAGAGGATGCGTCGACACAGCGAAGAAGGTGGTAGACAACAGGCGAATTGTCGAAGCGATGAGAGGTTGTTGTGTGGGATCTTTTGGTGGTATGCCATGCCTCTCATATATTCTCAGAATCTAGAATTGTACAAGAGCATCTGAATGCGGGTTCAGACTTGTACCAGAACACGTGAACTTGTTCAGGAAAAATCGGTTGTTTTCCAACCTCCTGCGACACGACAGACGCCATTTCAGACACAGCAGCCGAAACACTCACAGTGGCGAATATATACTAGACGATGTAGGCAAAAGATAACTTTTATATATCTCTCAAGAGCGTGAGATACCAGCTTATTCGCAGGCCATTTAAGTAAACCGGCCGAGTCGCACCATGGAAATGCCTCCAGCATGCGATTAATAGCAACAAAGAAACCCGACAGCATGTCGACGGCCGTAAACCGCACAAACACAACAACGTAACTGTGCCAACGGACGAACAATGCAAGCTCTCCCCTTCCAACACACAAACGGGTATTACGCAAAAAAAATCTCCCTCACCAAAGACGACACCACCGCAAAGCCCAGCTCTCAAAGGAGGACAACAACAGCGACAACAACAACAGCAAACCCACTCACCGCGCATACCCCGGCAACATCTCCCCCTCCCTCTCCCCCTCCGCCTCGACCAAATCGTCATCGACGAAATACTCCATCAACCGCCTAGGCATGTCCTTTTGCTCCCTAGTCGCGCCGGCACCCAACCCACCACCACCACCACCGGCCCTCGACCCAGGCGGACTGGTCCTAAACGGGCTCCGCGGCGGGACATCCGGCCTCGCCTCTTCCCTCCGCTGCTCAGAGCGGCCCCTGCTATCGCCATAGCCATAGCCATAGCCATACCCGTACCCATACTCCTTCTCGACCGCACCGCGCCTAGCACTACCACTCTGCACCAGCGGCGGCGGCGGCGAGCGCAGCGGCGGCGGGAGCAGCGCTTCGTCGTGTTCGCGATCCGCCGCCGCATCATCGCCAGTACCGCCGCCGCCGCCGCTGAGCACGAGATCGTTGTTCCTCTGCTGCTGATTCTGCTGCTGCTGCTGACCCCCGAGCACCCGCTCGTGCAGGCCGCCGCCGCCGCCGCCGTGGCGCAGCTCGTACTCGTCGAACTCGCGGCGCTGGGCGAGGAGCTTCTGCTCGAACTGGTGCATGCGCAGCTTGCGGTCGCGGTCGTTGAGCAGGCGGCCGTCGAGCTCGGAGATGATGCGGCCGTGGTGGCCGTGGTGGCCGTTGGCGTTGCCGTGGCCGTGGCCGCCAGAACGTGGGGAAGCTGGTGGTTGTGATGGGGGGAAGAGAGTGGTGTTGTTGTTGTTGCCGCCGCGGCCATGGCCACCACCGCCGCCGCCGCCGCCGCCGCTTCTCCCAGTCCCATCGTCGTTCGCCACGTCCGCGTTCAATTCGACGGCAGGGGTCTCGCGACCGCCCCCGCCGCCGCCCCCACCGCCACCGTCCCACCTGAGCGGCGCGGTCCAGCAGTGGCTCTGACGCTGCGACGCCTCGCGCACCTCGACGGTCGACGGCACGCGGCGGGTGCCCGTGAGGCTGCGGGCGGGGGGCCAGGGGGGGCAGTTGTCGAGGGAAGGGGAGGTGAAGTAGGGGACGGGGACCTCGACGCGGGCGTTGTTGTTGTCGTACTTGAGGCCCTCGGTGTCGACGGAGAGGGTGGACAGGACCTGGAGGATGCCGTAGAGGAGCAGCCAGCGGCCGAGGCGGGCGTCGGCGGCGGGCACGTCGCGGAGCTCGGCGGCGACGGCCTTTTCGTACTCGAGGAACGAGTCGCGGAGGTCGTTGGCCGCGAGCGTCATGCCCAGCTTGTTGATGTTTGTGGCGTCGCCGAAGGCCAGGGATATCTTCATTTGCTCGGACGGATCCCGGGCGGTTGCCGTTTTGTCCTTTTTTCCGAGACTGAAGATGTTTTTCTTCTTGGCTGGTGCGGCTGTGAGCGATGATACACGACGGGGGAGGAGGGGGTATGGGTGCGGGATATGGAGGTAGCCATGCTGGTTGTCGAAGCTGATGAGCATGTCCGTGATCGGCATTCCGGGAAGGTCTGGTGAGAAGATGTCCGTTAGAGCCGTCTTGCTGGCCATTTCCCACTTGCGCGTATGCCGGGCCTCGTTGTCCGTCCAGATGATATCACGGTTGACGAGCACGTCGTAGATGGCACCAAAATCACCCTGGAGCTTTTGGATGAGTTCCCTGGTGACCCAGTGTCCGTTTTGGTTGATCTTTGGCGGCCATTGCTCGTGCATGTGGGTGAAATACTGCTTGAGCCAGCCACGGAAGGCCTCTGATGCTCGGAAGGCTGCACTGTTGGCGACGACGTTGGGTAGATGCCACAGATCCGGAAACGAAAATGTACCAAGTTTTTCCTCCGCATTCAATATCTTAATCTGCATACCATTGTAGGCCTTCTCGAGATTGTGTCGGGTCACTGGCGAAAGTCTCTTAAACTCTGGGCGTTCGAATGTGCTTTGGGTCAACATTCCCACAGCGTGAACATACGACTCGAGGTATCCTTGCTCCCATCCAACATCAAGCTTTTCGCTCCATGCAAGCAAGCTAAGTGCATTGGTCAGGTTGCCTCTTACATCATCGAGGCGTCTGCCTACGAGGTAGTCGACGATTATTGCGGCAACGTTCGGACGTCTGTTAGGCTCGTTCAACTCGTACATGATGTCCATGACCATTTGAAGCTCTGAAAGCATCTCAAATAGATCTGTCCCGGCGATCGGCTTGTTGTACAACAGGGCGAGAAAATTCCTGGTTGCGAGGTGGTGCCGGCGTTGCGCATGAGGGGTCTTGATGTAGGACGGGGCAGGGAACCAGATCTCGTGCGTGATTTCGACCTCCTGGTTACTCAGATCTGCTGAAGATGCAACGTCACTTTGCGTCCGTGAACGAGGCGGCGTTGGAAAGGCTGAAAGGTGAGGGTTTCGAAACAGGGGGTTGCCTCCATAGGCACTCTCGAAAGAACGCAGGGACTGAGAGGCCAATTGTCGGGTGGGTGACACCATGCCACGATCCGAAGTGTCTCGTGCGGGTATAGGTGATATTGTGTCTTCATCAAGATAGCCCAGATTGGAAGAAGTCAGAGGGTAGGCCGGTGGGGAGGTGGCGGAGCCTGCGACACTTGGCGGAGGAGAGTATTCTTCCTGGTCAACTTCGCCATAAGTGACGAGATTACTCAGGAAAGATGACCGTGCTTCTTGAAGCTTGTCAACATGGACGCGCAGCATGGGACGGGCTTCGCTGTGCCCGCTGTCTTCACCAAAATAGACAAGACAGTCTCCAGAGGGCATGTACATGTCGGAATCCTGAACCGATTAGCTGCAACTCTCCCAAAAGAACACAGCCTACTCACGTGTTCAAATCCTCTCCATCGCTGGGTTGGCTGGCCGTTTCCGTGCCAAATCCTCATGTTTGCCCAAACCTTCTCCCGTGATGACAGTTGAGGCGATGCACCGGTTGGAGAAGCCAGGTCGGAGTCATAACTGGTGTTGGAATGATGCGTCTCCGATTGCGCGGTCTTGGGCGGCACTCCACCACCGCGGCCTCTAGGGGCGGCGGTTTCCTTGCCTTTGACTGCATATCGCTTGGGATCCTTCGGATCGATGCCGAAAAGGCCGGGGGTGGCAGCTCTGATCTTGTCGCTTCCTCTGGATCTGTCGGAGCTATGGGTGCTGACGCTCGCAGCGGTCAAAGAGCCTCGACGGTTTGATGAAGTGCCTCGATGGGGAAGATTCCAGCCGGATTCCGAGGGAGGCCTGGCCAGCTCATCGGCAAAGTCTTTCGCCTCCTTTTTCTTTTCGGTCTTTTCAATATTCTTCTTGATAGCCTTCCGGCTCGTTGCGCCGCGACCCGACATGGTCGCGGTTATTCCCAACCGTGCAATTCCAATCCAACCGTCGGGTCCAAAGACTCAAAGCAGCGACGTAAGTATGAATGGTTTCAAAGCAGGCCAACAAAGCTTGCAACTGAAGGATGTTCGACGGCGCGACGGTCGGCTGGCGGCGCCGCAGGCTTATCAGCTCGGGATAGGATAGGATTGTCGGTGGGGCCAAGACGAGGGAGCATTGGCAGTGTTCTGGCAGCTGTTGGGGGCCGATCACATATGATTGCAGAGGCCAAGAAGGAGTGCTGAAAGCCCAAATCGAGCGCAGCGCACGGAACCGGGGCTCGGAAGCTGATCACACTCAACGCGTCTCCGACCGGACGGGTGCGAATGGATTTATTGGTTATGCAGTAATCGCTAGGGACCAAAGACGAGGGCCACGGACGGACAAAGGAAAAGGAGAGCAGCCCCTCTTATTACTGAGAGACAGTTGGGCTGAGGTTAAAAAGTGGCCGTCGAGTCACAGCGATCAGACGAGACGGGCGGGAAGGGTGCTCGCGGTGCTGGCCCTGGCTAGCAGCACAAGGCTGAAACAAGTCCGGGGACCAAGGGCCCGTCGGGCGATCAGGCAGGCGGCGCGGCGAAGAGGAAAGAGTGACGGCGATCCAAAGACGACGAAGAACAGCACGCGCAGAGGCCGGGCGGAGCAGTGGAGCAGCAGGTAACTATATGAGGCCGGCGGAATCCCTTACATGGCGCTCGAAATCGCAGGTCGACGTTCCACGACAGCAGCCCCATGCAGCGGGCCAATATCCGCGCGCAAATGATAGCTAGCCAGGCGCGGACGCGGGCTGGCCGTGGCCATGCGGCGCAGGACAGGCACGGACGCAGCCAGGCGCGAGCCGAGGCCACGGCGAAGCAGCTTTGGGTTGGTGGTCGACGAGGTGTAGGCGGCGGGCGCTGAGTGGGCGCGATAAGAAGGCTCCCCAAGTGGCATGGTGTGGTGCTCTCGCCGGCGCCCGGCTCCAGCTGCCTGCCACGAAAGGGGCCGTCTCCGCTCGCTCCCGCGTGGTGCGTGTCCGGCGCAAGCCGCGAAGAGACGGCGCGCAGGGTCGTTTATTAGCAGCAACGTTGTGGCGTTCATATATCACCGCCGTGCCTCGCAAAACAAATCTCCCTCGTCACCACCGCATCCTCCGTTTCGTCGCGCCCTCGTCCGTCGCCTGGTTGCCTCGGGCGACGCGTGCCGCCGTGTTTCAGCACGCCACGATGCAGGCCTTCACCGGCCAGGCGAGCTCTGTGTGATGCGACGGCGGCCCTGCGTCAGCTGCTCGCCATCAAGCCAGAGTGCGCGTCGCAGCCGTCCGCGCCGAGACCGCGCGGGAGCGCTGCGCCAGAGACGGCGCCGCTGGGATCGGGCCATGGGCTGCGGCAGGCGTGCAGGCGTGCAGCCGGCAAAAGTGTCGCGACAAGTGTGGTGGTTGGGTTCGGATGATGGCGGAGGTGACAGCTTCAGGCCTGAGCGCGTCCCCGCAGCAGCTCTCCCGCGGCAGCCACCACTCAGCGCTCGCGCAGCCTCTTGCTTCCGGCCCGCGATTAGCTGTTCGCCAGCCTCCTCCCAGCCCTCTCTGCCCTCTCCGCCCCGTTTGCTCGGCCGCCAAAACCTTGGTCGTTGGCACTGCTGGCGGCCTCTTATTAGTGCTACGTCACCGTCCTGCCCAAATACAAAGCATTCTTCCCTCCAACTGCCGCCAATTCGCTCGTGCGCCAACTGCAGCTCCGTCGCTCTCCACTCACTGCCGGGTCCATCCCTCTCTGCAGCAAACTCTCGCAGCCTGATCGCCCTCGGATGCATTGAGCATATAAACCCGACAAGCCTCTGCTTTTCCTGCGACCCAGCTCAGCTCCCACTACTCCCCGCTGTTGGTCGTCCACCAGCGCCGCCGCCGCCGCCATGTTCTCCAGCCTCCTCTTCATCTCGACCCGCATCTTCCAGATCGTCACCCTCATTCCCACTCTGGGAATGCTAGCCTGGTTTGTCCACGGCTACACCTCCCAGAATGCTCTCACCCCGGATTTCATCCTGATCCTGTTCATCGCGTCGGTGCTGGGCGCCGCCTGGTGCATCGCGACGCTTGTCGCTTACGCCCGCGCCCGTCACTCTGCCCTCTTCGTCGCCCTCGTCGACCTGGGCTTCGTCGGCCTCTTCATTGCTGCCGTCTACGAGTTGCGCTTTATTGGCAACGCCAATTGCAACAACTTCGTCAACGAGCCCTCCTACATCACCCTCGGCGTCGTCGGCGGTCTCGGCCTTCAGCTCAACACCGAGTGGTCCTTCCACCCGAACAAGGAGTGCTCGATGCTCAAGGCTTGCTTCGCCTTCGGCATCATGAACTGCATCCTGTTCTTCGTCTCCTTCGTAAGCTCTCCCAAGACGCATGACTGATTCCCACACCACTGACTCTGACGTCTAGCTCCTTGCTCTTCTGGTCCACCGTCACCACCGCGGCGAAGACGTCGTTGTGAAGCGCACCACGCACGTCTCCCGGCACAGCCACCGTCCCAGAAGCCGGGACTACGGCTACTCGAGCAGCCCACGCCGCTCTCACCACAGCTCCCGCAGATACTACGTCTGAGCCGGCCTCTCCTTTCCGGACACAACTTTCGGGTTTTTCGGCGCGGGCGGTATTTTGCGATGCGAGAGAAGGCGTCTCCTACGACGACGTGGACGAGGCAGATCTCCAAAGACTGCCGGTTTCCAGGACCATGTACAGGCGTCCATTTGGCGGGTGGAAGTCGAAACGTGTCGACGCCCCATCTGCTCTTTTCTTTTCACGAAACACGATAATGATTGGCGATGACGACCTTTAAATATATACCCAGTAATGTAGATGGCCGAGACCTGTCCTTACTCTTCTGGGACAGCTATGACGAGCTACGAGTCTTTCACATGCATGCTGTAGTTTACCAGCCTGCGTTATCCTAGTACAACCTAGCGCCAGACCCCGCACTGCGCGGTGCGCCATGGTAGGATTCAAAATTGATTCTAATTTAACGACCGAGTGTCCAGACTTTGCTCCTCGCCGCGCGTCTAGCGCTGCTGTGATTCTGCCTTCACTCATCAGCAGGAACCCTGTCAGCTCAAACCACCAGCTGCCATCAAATTCCGGCGCGATGGTCACCCACTGTCAAAAACGCGCCAAAGCGGCATGTCCACGGGAGATCAGGGACCGATGATATATCACTCGCAGCCCGTTGGTGCGCTGATCCGGTCGGAGCGGCGCGATCCATGTCGTTCATCCGTGATCGTCATTGTCACATGCCAGACATGGCTGCAAAGCTCAGGCCATCAGCTCCTTCGGTGCTCACGATGACGACAAAAGCTATGTTGCCGTGGCTTCTGACGACTCACATGGCATGTATTATCAACAGAAAGCGCACCTTCCCCGCGCCCAACAAGTTCCCGTGCTCCTTCTGCATTGAATAACTTGATCCCGAGCCCCCTCTGCCCTTCTCGTCCAGAACACTGCACTCCCAGACCATCCTCTTCCCGCCAACCATGCCCAAGAAATCAAACTCTCAGAAGCAACACCAACAACAAAAGGAACAACAGTCTCAAGACAAGATGGCCTCACCCCCGTCCCCCAAGCCCACCAACGTCGACCCGGCCGCGCCGTCGTCGTACGCCAACGTGGCCCACCTGGAGAACCCGCCGGCCAGCAACACGGCCGCACACGACGTGCCGCCGTCGCCGCCGCAGAGCACCATTGAAGACGAGAAAGTGCAGCAAGGATACGAGCTGGTCGGCCGGGCCATCGATGCCTACCCGCCGGGCAAGTCGTACGCGACGGGCATCGACGAGGCCCCCGTGACACTCGAGCGCACGCCCTACATCCCGGGCGACAACGAGCCGCTGCTGGACCCGGGCACGGCGCGGGCCACCATCGCCGCCAGCAGGGAGGCCCCGAACGGGACCGTCGATGCCGGGTGGACGAGGAAGCATCAAGATAAGACTGTTAGTGGGCCATTTTGTCTTGCCCTCCTGCATGAATTCACTGAAACCCCGCTCTCCTTCACTTTCTCTATCGTCCTTGACTTTCCCCATGTCCTTTCCTTCCTCCTCGTCTTTCTCTTTCTCCTTCATTTCCTTCCATTTCTCCTTTTTGCTCCCGTCCTCGTTTTCCTCTCCCTCCTCCACATCCTCCGCCGCTGGCCACCCAAGACCACTGCTAAAAGCTCCCTCCCCCTCCCCAGGTCCTGCAACAGCACCTCCAATACTTCGACCCGGACCAGGACAACATCATCTGGCCGCGCGACACCTACACGGGATGCCGCAAGTGGGGCTGGTCGATCCCGCTCTCGCTCATCGTCGCCCTCATCATCCACGGCGCGCTCTCGTACCCCACGGTCCCGCACCTGCTCCTGCCGGACCCGCTCTTCCGCATCTACGTGGAGCGCGCGCACAAGCAGAAGCACGGCAGCAGCAGCGACACGTACGACAACGAGGGCCGGTTCCGCCCGCAGCAGTTTGAGGACATGTTTGCCAAGTACGACGACGGCAACAAGGGCGGGCTGGATGCGTGGGATCTGGTGAGGTTTTGGAGGGGCCAGGTGTTGGTGTTTGATTTCTTTGGGGCGACGGCGTCCGCGTTGGAATGTGAGTTCTTTTATTCGTCCTTGTCGTTTTTCCCCCAGTCTCTCTCTCTCTCTCTCTTTTGCGCGCTACGTGGAGTGATGCTGATTCGTTTGTTGCGTAACAGGGTTCGCGACGTACCTCCTGCTGTGGCCCGAGGACGGCGTCCTGCGCAAGGAAGACGTCAGGCGTGTATACGACGGCAGCATCTTCCAGCACAAGGCTGACGAGTATGCGAGGAAGAAGCAGAAGCAGAGGGGCGGTGGCGGCGCCGTTGCCAATGCGAAGAACAGGAGGCTGCAGGCTGGCGCTTGGTGGTCGCAGTCGGCTAAGACTGCTTGAGTGAGCAATTCAAGATATCTTAGCCGTGACAGCAAGGAAAATAATGCCGGCTGTTTGTCAAATTGATCCAGGGAAAGGAGTAAAGGGTGTGGAGAAAAAAAAAGGGAGGAATTGTGGTGTGTAATGTCTGATATTGTCATAGTGGTAAACAAAATAGGCGTGCGCGAGAAAATATATTGGTTCATTCTTTGTAACTTTTAATAAGATATTCTCCCGAGTGTATAAGTTTCCATACTTGTTTTGCCTAGCTTCCACTGGAGTTGGAAGTGTAAGATTACGCGCTAAGTGGCAATGTTATTGGTGGATGAGACTGCAATGCTGTCTCTCTATCGTATGATCCTGCTCATTTATCCCGGGCTGGCAGACAAAATGACTGGGCCCACCTTTATGGTCAACTTAAAGTTCCAATTCAAGCCTACTAATTTGGAGGTAGCCGGCTTATTGTGCATCGCACGATCACGTAATACCTTCTTGTCCAATCATTATCATCCCCTCTTGTCTCTTCAAGGTAAAACCTACGGCTTATCCGACCTGCTGAGCGACTCCGAAGCTCAGTGGAAGGAGCCTACCGTTACAGACGGAACGTAATTAAACACTTCTACTCCCATCGTCGCACAACACACTTGAGCTTCAACGATCATCCGTATCACATTCACGCACTCAAGGAACAGTCAAGGTTAGATACCACATGTACATCCAGACCAGATTGGCGCTCCAGCTCGTCACACGCGGCTGTCTACATCTTCCGCGCAAAATGGCCCCCCACCCCTCTTTTACCTCCCTCCCTCCCCCTCCTGAACAGAGTTCTGCGCCGTGTTAAATCATCTGCTTTGGTGGAACAGACCACTCAAGCTCGAGGTTTACTGTCGAGGTTATTATAGCGTTCGTGAAGTGGTACCAAATACGGTTCCGGGGCGCGGACGTGTTACTTACTCGGGGGAATGAAGTCCAGCCTGACCATGGCCATCTGCATCCGCATCACTCTCCGCCCGACCATGGCCATTTCCGTCCTCATCGTACTTCTCCAGCCGTCCGTAGGTAACATCAAGCTCTGCGGATAGCCTCGCCTTCTGACGCTTCTTCCGCGCGCTCGTACGCCGGTTCTTCAAGTACTTCGAAGCCGGGCCGAGGCGCTGCGGCGGCTCGTCGACCCGGACTGCAGGCCCGACGACGGGGTACTCCCTCGGCAACAGCACGTCCGGGCGCGCCATGTGCGCCGCCTTATCCGCCATCTCCTCCCCGGGCACCCCGCAGTGCGAAGGCACCCAGTAGAGGCGGACCTCGACGCCGGGCCGCTCTGCCAGCCGGACGAGCCCCTTCATGACGTCCAGCAGCAGCGGGAGGTCCCACCGGTACGGCAGCCTGCGCGTCGCGGGCAGGCCCGCCAAGACGTCGAGGACGTTGAGGTGGTCGGTGAAGCAGTAGACCTTGCTGAACGTCAAGTCGGCCAGCGCGCGGTCGGCGGCCAGCGCCGCGGCGCGGCCCAGCGCGTCCACCTCGCCGTTGGTGCTGGTCCACAGCCCCGCGCCCGGGTAGCCCTCGAGCTGCCACGCCTCGGCGCCCGGGTCCGCCTTGTACGCCACGCCGGAGCTGACCCACCGCCGGTTTTGCGTCTTGATCTTGCAGCGCTTGCCGCCTGCTAGGCGCGCGCGCGCGACGCCTGCTGCTGAGAGCCGCGCCGATGCCGAGCCGTCGCAGAACACGGCGAGGATGTCGTCCGCCGGGCGGGGGATCGAGTATTTCGTGGCGAAGGCTTTCGCCTCCGCGACGTTCTTGTTGAGGTGGATGAGCGCTGCGCACTTGGTTGCTAGAGGCTCGAAGTCCTCCCATTTGAGATCCCCATTGCCGGAGCGCGTGGTCTGTTGCGCCGCTGGCATCGGAGGCGGTGGCGCTCCTGGACATTAACAACATCTGTAGACGGGTGGATGAGGCGGAGCTTACAGGAAAGTGGGAAGTTGGATATGGTGCGCTTCCGAGCTATTTGTTAATGATGGTAACGAAGACGACGACGATAACGACGGTGACGGTTGTGGTTGTGGTGCGGAAGCTGATTGTCGCTGGAGAGCGAGGTGCTGGGGTTGCGGCGGGCTTTGCGAGAAGATGAGCGTCGTGGATTGAATGTAAACATGGCGCATTGCGCCTTCCACATGGGCATGTTGGTTGCTGCTTCCTATTCGAGGGTCCCGTGCCTCACGGGCGTTTAGTGTGTTGCTGAGTTCCCACCTCTTAGATTACTTTCCACTCACATATTATATCTCGTTGAGGACAAAGGATTCTTTGAGATATTCCGCGCGAATGATTATACACAGCCCGGATTCGACCTTCAGGTCACCTTTTGGCCAATCGGATCACTTTGAACTCATTTTAAACTGTATGATTTTCAACAGGTCTGTCGAAGAAGGACACTTGCCGAGATGTGGGCAGCTACCATTTTTCAATGAGTATCAGTGAGATTCAATGATATCTCAATTGTGTAAGGGTCAGAATTAATACCTGTTGAGTGCGGGGCATCTTCGTCTTTGCAAGTGTTTAACCAAAACGACACGATTTCTAGCTGAACGGCCAACACAAGAACCTACAAGGTTGGCCTGACGTAAAAAGAAATCACAGGTAACATACTCCTTTCATCTTCTCTAGTCGAGCTATGCGCCCCAGTCCACCTAATCTTGCCCTTCGCGGATGGATGACGCGGCAGCTTGCGGAGAAAGGAGGCTGCGAACACTTCGCAATGACCCAAGGAGAACCCTGTCTCCAAAAGATTTTCGAGCACCAACCAACAGGGAATTGAGTATTCTAATGCTTGGTGTTTACTGGATCTATGTATACAGTCTGTGAGAGATTTATGGCGGAAGTGATGCACGAAAACCGGGAGTGATCGCAACATGAACATGGCGACAGCGGTGGTTTCATCCCACTCAAAGCAGCCTAACTATGGATATAAGTTCATGAAGCATCGAATCACTTCCAACCAGATCGTCAGCCGTAACTCAAGTAAAGATCTTGGTGCCTGGATAAATCGTGGAAATGTGGGCTCCAGATCACCCGTATCGGCGAAGCCGATGCACCTTGGTGGCATGTGTAGTGTTTGGGAAGGCGCGGATGATGGAAACAGAGGAAGGCGCGTATGACGCGTAGGAGCGAGGAGCGCAAAATCACTCAGTGGGTGCCAGATCGAGTAGGCGCGTTCCGGGTTGAAAATCTGGCAGCCCCATTAACCTTCACACTGAGCTCGATTTGCTAGATATTTGTGCCAGATCTAAAACGAGCAGGCGCCATGGAATCTTAGCAAAAAGAGCAGGCACCAGAAGTGTAGCATCACGAGCGCTGGCTAGCAGCCTCGCCAAATGGTTTACAATATAAACCTATCTGCGTACTTCTTTTCTTCGACCAGCACATCCAACACATCCTCCGCAATCCCAGCTCCAACAGCAGCAGCAACACCACCACCACAACCACAACCATCACCACCACCACCTCCACTTCCACCACCACCACCACCACCACCACCATGTCTGCCCCTTCATCCGCCCTGTCCGCCGCCGCCGCCACCGCCCCGACGCCGCAAGAAACCCTTCTGAGCGCTCCCGATGGAGCACTCCACTGCAAGATCTTCGCCAACTGGCAAGACGAGGACGAGGCCATCAAGAATGGCAAGTTCGCCAGCCTGCACGACGAGGAGGGGGTCCTCGCCATCTTCTGCGACGGGTCGGCGTCGGCGCCGTACAACGAGCAGGGCGACTGCTGGACCGGCTGTTCGGCGGTCTACCGGAAGCCCGGCACGGCCGAGTGGGTGAAGAACGGCAAGCCGCTGCCGCACTTCAAGCGCAGCGGACCGGCCGAGGTGGCCGGCCTGGACTTGGCCCTCGAGGTCGGCCTCGACAAAGTCGCGGAGCATCCGGCCGTCCGCGCCATCTCGGTCGTCAAGGTCTTCACCGACTACATGCCGGTTCTCGACGTCCTCCAGGGGTTGGCTGTGGCTGGTCAGGACGGGTCGCCGGCGACCGTCCTCCACAGGCTCCCCAAGGAGACGATGCAAAGCATCGTTGATCGTGACATGGTACTGGCTCGCCAGTATGGTGTCACCGTCGAGCTGTACTGGGTGAAGTCACACAAGGGCGTGCCGGGCAACAAGATCGCCGACAGGGTCGCCAAGGACTACAGGCCGGACAGGCTCGAGCCGGACAACTACCCGGTGCCGAGCAGGGGTCCGGCCAGGTCCAAGGCGGCCAGGCAGCAGAAGGCGCAGAGGAAAGACTCCGAGATGCGGGCGGCCCAGGCGATAATGGCCGAAGAACATGGGGAGGAGGCCGACAGGGCCGACAAGGACAAGTTTTTCGCTGGGATGGTGCCCGAATCCGAGAGGCTGAGGATGGAGGCGGAGAAGGAGAAGCCGGAGGAGAAGCCCAAGGACGATATAGACTTGGAGATGGATGCGTTGATGAGAGATTTGGCAAGGCCTCCGCCTTGGTAAGTCATGATCCCCGCCCCCCTAAAGACACGGCTAAATTACGCAGAACCCTCAGCGTCCTCCGTCTTCTCTCTCCTATACAACCAAACAACGGTAAGAAACCCCAGCCACAACAACGTATAAAACGCAATGCAGCTTGGCCACCCCGCTTTCCATTCCGGTGCCCCCCAATCCCCTGCTGTCGGGAAGAGCAGTAGAGGGACCCATATGTTGAAGCTATATCCAAACGACATCATAGCGCCCTGTCACAAGCCCACAAGAATTAGCTAACTGGCACCAACAGCTCTCCAGACTCGTCCGAGGCTTACCACAGTGAGCGCTCGCTCCTCCGCATCATCTTTCAGCACCGTGTTCACCGTCGAGTACAGGATCGGGCTCGAACAGCCGGCCAGGCCGAAGGCGTACCACGCCACGAACCTGCACCACATTGTCAGCACGCCCGCGCCATCAGCATCTTCTTTCCTCTCTCTCTCTCTCTCTCTCTCTCTCTCTCTCTCTCTCTCTCTCTCTCTCTCATGAATGAATCCGTCCGCCATCCACACCACACCGGGGGGATGAGCGCTCCGAGAAGATCTCCCAAGGTTCTGGATGCCATGAAGTGGCTGTGGAGGGGACGAGCCCGCGACTGGGCGGGGGCAGGCTGTGGAAGAGGGGCTGTCGGGTTGAACTTCCCGCGGAGGGATTTGTTCGGTCGGAGTTACGAGGGCGTGTCCTTGGCCTGTCTTGAAATCCGAGTCACTGAGCAAGCGGTCTTCCTCGACATCCTTCATAAGCCTCTCGAACAATTGATGGGTAACTGGCCGTGAGCCGGCCGAGTCCACTCGGTAAAAGTAGGCTATGATCGTCGCGTGCTTCCATTCTGCAGAAGACGTCAAGGTCTTCTGCTGCTCACTACGGGAGTCGTGGGCGCTGGTCGGAGGTGCCGCAGGGGCCTGTCCGGAGGGGGAACCGTCATCTGGCCTCGTCTTCCTTTTCTTTGATGGCCGGTCCGAAGGGATCATGTCATCTTATACGGCTGGGGGTTTGGATGCGTGGGAGAGCGTATGCTCGGGGGGGAGGAGGGCTTGGTGCCCAGACCGATAGCTAGCGAATTCCAGTTGCTGGTCCGCCGACAGGACGATATCGTGATCACATCCCATTTCTTCTCGTCCTCGCAACAACCAGCGCAGAGACGCAAGGCCCGTAGGCCACCACCACACACATTACACGCAGTACACCGCCTGCCCTCGCTCTGCTCTGCACCCCACCACCCACCAACCAAGAGAGAGAGAAAGAAAGGAGAAGAGAATATAAGGAATGGGGGAAGACGGGGAATAACATCACTCACTTCAACGCGACGGGGATCTTCCAAACCGTCATGCAGGCGCTCGAGAAGACGCACGCGGCCATGGCGACGGAGTAAATCGCCCAGCTGGGGTAGATGGCGGCGAGGGTGGTTCCCAGCCAGCTGGAGACGATGGTGATGGCGTTGAGCGCCGTCGGCAGCTTGTTGATCTGCGGGACCGAGTAGCGCTCCGCCTTGAGCCAGAGGTTCATGTACGAGGACGGGTACGAGGAGATGATCATGCAGCTGCGGACGACGAGGTTAGCTGAGGGGGTTGGGGGACTTCGAATGGATCTGGTTTGGCTTTTTCTTTCTCTCGCGGGGAGAGGCGGGTCATTTGGGGAGGGAGGGATGGATGGAGAGAGAGAGAGAGAGAGAGAGCACACACATATAGCAGAACACGAAGACGTAGATGTGCCATCGGCGCAGGCTGCGTTTGAAGACGTCCAGGTTGAGCTTCCCCGGCGGCCGGACCTTCTCATCCGCCATGCGTTCCTTGGCGAGAGAGATGTCGTCATGGGTGAGAAAGATGGGCTTGGGCGATTCGGGAATACCGGGGAAGATGAAGAAGCCGGCGAGGGCGACGGGGATGGTGAAGATGCCGTCTATGGTCGAAAGATCAGAACACATCAACAGCAAAGGATCACGTCTCCCGGGCATGGGAAGAATGTATACCTATGATGAAAAGCCATCTGTGACCATGTCAGCCGCGTCGATAGAGGAAGAAGAGACAGTGAGGAGAGGCAGAGGGGGAGCAATGCTTACCGCCATCCCGACAGACCGGCAACGCCAGACAGATTCGTGTACGCTGCTGCCTGCAAGTAACCGCTGACCATGGTGCCGAGCGAGTTGCAGATGAACCACGTCCCCGCGCGCTTGAACAGCTCCTGCTTGCGGTACCAGCTGCCGAGGATGAAGTGCGTGCCGGCGAAGACGGGGGCTTCGAAAAGGCCGACGAAGAAGCGCAGCGCATACAGCTGTGTGGCGCTCGTGACACGACTCTGGGCGAAAGTGAGGATGCCCCAGGCTATTTCCAAGGTGGGGAGCATGTACCGAGCGCTGTAATTGCTTAGTTTGCTTTCAACGTGAAGAGGGCGATGGGCTCGGGGCTGCATACAGCTTGGGGCGGGAGATGAGTAGCAGCAAGGGGATTTGAGCAATGACGTAGGCTGTAAAATACGACACATTGAAGTAGTTCAGCTCATTGCCATAGAGCTCGAGGTCCTCCTTCATTCCTGAAGTATACGCATTGCTGAGATTCGATTGATCGAGGTACTTGGTGAAGACTTGAGGAACTGTCAGAAAGGTGTCGCGTAGACGCACAGCTCGGAAGAGCAACTTACAGCACAGGCATGAGAAAATTAAGATGGAGAGGTCGAGTTTGAACAAGAGTCTTATCGGTAAGCAGTTTGCGAGAAAGTTAAGAGGTTGCCCAGCACTTACTTTCGCTCTTTGGCAGGGTAGTGGGACGGATACCAGTTGAACACCTCCTTGACAACGCCCCAAAGCGTTCTCGGTTGACCTTTCTCGATCTCCATCTCCGTCTGTGTCTCGTAGACACCGCTATCTTTTGGACCGGTCATCTTGCCGCTGGAGGCTTTATACTGTCAGGCAAAAACGGACGTCGCCAGAATGCCAGAGTATGAGCATCAGCGGAGGGCAGCACTGTTCCAGAATCAGGTATCGGGAGCAAAGATTGAGAGAAGATAAACATACAAAAGAATTCGTGCAACTAACGCGGCCGGATGGCGTCAGCGCTATTGCCGCTCAAGCGTTTGGCTTGCGTGCTTAATCGACCCATGTTGATAACCTTTCAGCTTTAGCCGCGCTTACATGATGGTCATAGCTTCGGAGAGGAAGCTTGTTTGGACTAGGCTTCGTTTGCTGCATCCACCTCCTATCATGGTCATGATGACAAAGCTATCAAATAGTGTTTTTTAGATCACCAGGGGAGAGCTGGCTGAGTGCTTGGGTAGCTCTTCTATTCTCTCTCGTAGTATCTACTTGGTGTCTTGATCTTTCCGGTTTCTAACTTGCTTGATTAACCGTGTCTCGGGTGCTGAACATGGATGACAAAGTCGAGGAAACCGTCGCTTGACCTGTTCACACCAGGAAAATGCACGGCGATAGGGCTTCTCCATGACCTCTGCGTACTTGCGAACGACTGTGTGAGTACTGTCAGCCAAGTCCTGAAATGAACCAAAGCCATAACCAAGATATGATTCTACAGCGCTTTCCATTCCCAAGTACATAATCGCAACGTAGAGTTCTAGATGAAGCATCGGAAATAGCGAAAGTTGGTAACGGCGACAGCGCCGATGTTGTGAGAGCTTCCCCGCATTGCGTGCTGCACCACACCAAATAACGCATCTCCGAAATCACGTCGTCCAATCAGCATTTTTCTCGTCCCCCTCGTACCTTAGAATCCTGCTAATCTTCGAAAGCTTCATGCAAAGCAGTCCGCGAGGGATTGGCGCTTTGTCGCCCCTCACTGTCCCCCCATTTTCGGGCTCCACTCTTGCTGGCGTCGGCAACTAGACCGTGAGCGCATTGGATAGAGATATCTATGGTGTGATTGCCGGCATCGGTGACATCATGCTGGGTGGATTTGAAAGCCGACGTTGGAGGGGTAGATGTCTGGTGGTCGGCGACCAGGCGGATAGCATGTTGGAACGGAGTACTTATAATGTCGTGCATTAGCACTGTCCAGGCGGGGAGCTAGACCGACACCGACACTCGATCCTAAGCTATCCACGGGTTCTGCGAAACAGTTCAGCAATAATGCCGGGAAAGACCATTTCGCCATACAAGCAGGTCCCAGTGACCAAGGCTGATCGTTAGTGAGCCCATCCCAATTTCAGCCTGTCCAGCGACTGACGTGGGAACTGTACATAGTCGATTGGGCCGAGCTCGTCACGCTTGACCTGAGTCAATTCGATAAGCCGGGAGGCAAGGAGAAGCTCGCGGAGCAGCTCACCTACGCAGCGCAGCATGTCGGTTTCTTCTACGTCAAGAACTTCGGCATCAGCCAAGAGGAGGTCGACAGGCAATTCGCACTGGGTCGCGAGTTCTACGACCTGCCGCTGGAGGAGAAGCTGAAGTACCACAACATCAAGGATCTTGAGAGCGGAGAGTACAACGGATACAGGCCTGCTGGTCTCCGAAAGTAAGCGTTTGTTCCTGCCAGACCACCCGAGAACTGCAAAGGCTAATCGCAGATCAGTCTCACGGAAGACGGTAGCGTCAAAGACAACATCCAGGTGTACAATATCCCCAAGTTCGATGGCTTCCACAACCGCCAGCACCCGCCGGTTCTGGCAGACCACATCAACGAAATCGAGCAGTTCAGCCGGGTAAGCTGCTTCCTCTTCGCGCCAGCACCGTCTCAAAGCTAACCAGCTTGATTCACGCAGAAATGCCACGAGCTCGTCGTGAAGAAGCTCCTGCGTCTCTTCGCCATCATCCTCGAGCTGCCGGACGAGGAGCAGCTGGTGCGCGAGCACGTGTACGACGACCGGGGCGAGGACCACCTTCGGTACATGCACTACAAGGCGCGCACGCCCGAGGAGAATCGACGGATAGGCAGCCTCTTCACGCCGGGGCACACGGACCTGGGAAGCGTGACGCTGCTGTTCCGGCAGCCGGTGGCGGCGCTGCAGATTCTCAACAACCAGGGCCAGTGGAAATGGGTCAAGCCGCAGGACGAGACCATCACCATCAACATCTGCGACGCGCTCAGTGCCATCACCGGCGGCTATCTGAAGAGCAGCATCCACCGTGTGCACTCGCCGCCGGATGACCAGGCGCACGTCGATAGGCTGGGCGTGCTGTACTTTGCGAGGTAAGTCGCTTTGGTGAGATGTGGATTGGGAGAGACGAAGTAGTGCTGACGCCATCTCTGTGCAGGCCGAACAACCATGTCGTCCTGGACCCGCTCAAGAACAGCGGGCTGCTGAAGCGGTTGGGGCTGGAGGAGAATGAGTTCACCAAGCTTGGACAGCACCTGACGATGGAGGAATGGGTGAAGGTCAGGCAGTCGCAGCAGCAGCGGAGGACACAGGCGCCGAAGATAAGCGAGGATGGAAAGTATGAGTACACAAAGAAGGACTTGGAGATCCTCCCGGGCTTGCATGCGAAGATCCACAACTAGAGATTTCGCCAGGATGGACGGTGTCTGAGGAAGGCCAATCGGACCAAGTGGCCGGTAAAATTGGAATCACGAATACATGACGCGAGCAAGCTCTCCATAGCCTGTGCCGATGACTTGTGAATGCGGACTTGGATGCGGATGTGTCTTGTGGAAGTGTGATGTTGTCGCGTCGGCGGAGAAGCTGCGGGCGGATGCGTGGGTTGACCATTGTGGCCCGTGCACGGGCAGCTTACGAGTACGTTGCATTAAGCCAAAGCTCCAGCGAAGCAACACCACGACGCTCCTCGCCGCCCAGCATCGCCCACGCAGAAGTCCGACCATGCGTTTCTCGTTCCTGCCATCGCTGCTGCTCATTGGAGCTAGCGCTGTCTCCGCTGCCTCGTCCTGGGGCTTTGAGGAGGCCACGCTGACTGTCACCTCAAAGGGCTCAGGCGTCGGCAGCGGCCTGAAGGAGAAGTACAACTCGCCTGATGCCAGCCATTGACCCGTGCCAGCTGCTAATCCAGCCTTCTGCAGGTTTGGCCCTCAGTCTCCCATCGAGAAGCCCGTTGCGCTGGGCCCGTCGGACACGCTCAAGCTCCTCCTCACCACCCTCGACGGCAAGAAGGCCCAGCGCCCGCACCAGGCTTTCCTGACCCTCACCGACCCCGCCACCGGTCTGCAGGATTCGTTTGCTCTGAGCGTCAAGGACAATGGCAAGGGCAAGATTGAGCTGGTACGCCCCGCGCTTCCATCTGCAATGCATTCATCCGACCATTAACACCTTCCCACCAGACGCAAAAAGACCTTGCGGTCCAATTCCTCACCACCGAATCCCCGGTCAAGGCCTCGCTCATCATCGCCTCCTTCGGCTCTTCCGTCCCCTACAAGTCCGCCGTCTTTGACCTTGACGTTTCGCGCGACCCAAACACGCCTCTGGCGCTTCCCGAGCCGCCCGTGCGCTATGGCAAGAAGGACGAGATCCACCACATTTTCAAGGATGACCCCAAGAACCCTCCCAAGGTCATCACCCTCGTCTTCACTGCCGCCGTCGTCGCCGCGCTTCCCGTCCTCTTCGGCGCCTGGGCCATGCTGGGCGCCAACATCGCCCACGCCCCCAAGGCCTTCGGCGCCGCCCCCGTCTCGCACGGCCTCTTCTTTGGCTCCATCATCGCGCTCGAGGGCATCTTCTTCCTCTACTACACCGCTTGGAACCTGTTCCAGACGCTCCCGGCCGCCGTTGCCGTCGGGCTTGTGGCCTACGTCAGCGGCAGCCGTGCGCTGTCTGAGGTCCAGGAGCGGAGACTTGCTGGCCAGAGATAAGCCGCACGTGCTCTTGTCGTATGCTTGGGAGTTGGCATTGCTGTATTTTGAAGCGATGACGTTACAAGTATTGATGGTTGAAAAAAGTAGCGAGCAAAAATTTCGGAACGGGATTTTATATTTTAGAATCATATGGATTGAAAAAGCATCCCTCTCAACAAATTCGCAGAGTTGGAGACATTGGCAACGCCTTCCTTTCATGTACAACTGACGTCAAAATGTCCAGGGGGTAATTCTCTTTGAAGATGTGGTCGTTTTAAATGACTTCATTCCACATAGCTCTAGCCGGTAGAGTGATAAAGTACCGCACGAGGAAGCCCAAAGAGGTTACACAACGCCACAACACCAGGTTACAGCGCTTTCCACCAGAACGCGCGCCATACCGCCAACCGAAACCAAAGCAAAAACCGTCGTCTTTCTCACACACACACTCTCTCTCCTTCTCTCGTCTCCCCACCCACCACCACCACCTCACACAATCACCACACACCCCACACACACCCAAAAAAAAAAAAAAAAAACTCAACAACTCCCCCTCGTCACCCCATCCCACCCCACCAACCTATTCGCCACATCCACAACATAACTCGCCGTCCCCCACCCCCCCGTCGCCGACAGGTCCCCCGCATCCGGCACGCTCCCCGTGTTGTACGCCCGCAGCGCCCGCCACGGGTCGCCATACACCCCCATCCAATACGCCAAGCCCGGTCCGCCATCCGGCCAGCTCCCCGCCACGCCCTGCACGCCGTCGCGCAGCATCTGCTCGATGGACGCCGCGGGCCGCGCCGCGTCGAAGGAGGCGCTCCCGGGAGCGGCTTGCATGATGCCGCAGTTGGAGGTGCCGGTGCAGGGCACGTCGAGGCGCCCGTTGGATTCTTGCAGGACGGTGGCGAGGACGAGGCGCGGGTCGAGGGAGGTGAGGGCGGAGATGGCGGTGATTTTGGCGTGGAGGGTCTGCGTGAGGGTTGAGGCGGTCGTGCCGCTGCTGCTGCTGCTGCTGCCGGCGAGGGCGGCGGCGTTGGCGTTGGCGGCGGCGATGCCCGGCGCCGCGGCGGTCCAGAGCGTCGCGAAGCTGGCCCAGGAGGTGAGCGGCGGGAAGGTCGCGGTCGTGAAGCAAGTGTAGGTCGAGGTTGTGCCGGTGTTGCCGCTGGTGGTGGTGTCGCTGGTGATGGCGGTTACGGCGCTGTTGCTGGAGCTGCTGCCGCCGGCGCCGCTGCCTTGGGAGGCGTCGTACCAGGCGAGTGCGGAGGGGTTGGTGATGATGGAGTTTTCGAAAACGGCGGAGCGGGGGGTGAGGGGGGCGGTGGGGAGGGCGGAGACGGCGGCGGCGGCGGCGGCCAGGAGGAGTGTGGGGAGGTGGATCTGGGAAGGATGGTGTGAGTATTGTGGGAGGAGCTTTTTTTTTTTTCACTCTTTCTATCAAGCCGGGTTGATTTGATGTTGTGGAGGGGGAGAGTTACCATGATAAATACACTGGATTGTCTTTTTATGACCTGCAAGAGACAGATAGTGGGTGTATAAGGACAGTAGAAGAAGGCTCGTCCAAGTGCAAGCCTGAGTAGAAATGACAGAAGGTACAGAGGCTTAAGATACAATACCGATGAAAGAGGATATTTTCTGAGAGATCCCAGCCCTCATTTATGCATCCGAAACCCAGAGGGTCGGATACGGCATTTCAAAGGCCGTTTGCAGTGTTGAGAGGACTAAATTTACGTGCAACGTTCGTGTTCGCCTATAGGTACTTCACACTCAAACACCAGGACTTACGCCTCAGATGGGGAGTCCGGATAGCCGCAGGGGTTTCTTCATCCAACACCGCAGAACAGGGCCGGTGACACATGCCCAATGACGAGCGTCGTTAAGCGGCGCGACTTTGCGGCGCGTTTCGCAAGGTCTGAAAACGCAGTGGCAGGTCCTGGATCTGGGAAGGCCTAATGTCACGTTCCCTTGGGGAGAAGACACGACTGTCGCCTGTAGCATGCGTTTCTCACGCCGTGTGCATTATTCGGCTACCGGCAAGCCGTATGTGCCCGGCGAGCGGGGTGGTCGTGATACCAAGATGGCGTCCCCTTGGAATGCGGCGTCGGGTTGGTGTTGGGGTCCGGGATCAGATCAGAATATTGTCCGGGCCAACGTGTGCCTTGCGCCTCAAAGCGAAGCCGCCCCCAAGATAGACGGTTGATCTCCACCCACCCCACATCATCCGGCGCGAGATTCACGGCGCGGTGCCTGGTGCCTTATTGAAGGTAGGGACACGGCATGTAGTGAGAGGTTAAGGGCACACCCGACCATGCGACCAGCCGCGGTTTGGTGGAACGTTGATAGAGCTGTGTTTCTTCAACGCCCGCCCCAGATCGGCATGGACCAGGAAGAAAGGGCGAGGTCTCACGCTGCGGACCGCAGCAAGAAGGATTTGATCCACACGTGCTCTCTAGTGCTCGCATATGTTGCACGGGTAAGCAACGTCCGACGCGCCACTTACACGAGTGGCAGAACTTTCGAAAGGCAGGCAGGATGATGAAGTATTCCTTGAAACATGTGACACCGTTATTGCGGTCCAGACTCTATGAGAGGAAGAGGTGGGCCTGTTGACGATGCCGACTTGTAAGTTCATCTTCGCTGGCGCAATGGAGAGCCGTTATATGGTGGACGACAAGGCTCTCATAGGATTTGGCCAGCGATTGGGTGAAGCGCTTCATGACCGCCAAGTTTCATCCAGAGATAAATGATTCTTCATTATTGCGGGTATGTACATGATCGTACTCGTCAAGTAAAATTAACCTCGAACCGGTGCAACCGCAGCGATCCAAGGGATATCCTTCCAGAACTTGGTTCAGAGATGCCTTTTAGCGTCCGTTTTGTAACAAGGTGGGTGTGCCGAACGCCGATATCATGCTGCCTCCAGTCCCACAATCGAACCGCTTAAGCCCGGTGAGGGGAGAGCTCGAAAGCGAGAGAGGGGCCAGCTCATCGGGTACACGCTGGGCTTTCATCATCTGCGCGGTCCAGGTCAGCATTCTGCGCGCATTGCAGGTGGGGAGGAAAGCAGGAGGGCTCACTTGTTGTAAACTGGAAGGATGCGATCGCGAGATGAGCGCGAGGCCGCGATTATTTTTGTAGGTCCTCGGCTGACTCATCGTTGGCGCTAGCACCGACCGGGATGGCGCACCAGAAAAGCATCCGACGCTCTCACAGCCGCAACTCCATCGCTCCACCGCCTTGAGCATTGCCTGCACTCGGAGGACGTGCGTCATGCTGTTCTCTTCGTGCAAGAGACCTGCTGCCCGCAGCATTGCGGCGTTGAGGTCCCCAACCCAAATCCCCAAATTTACCGCGTCTCGAGGGTTCGTGAGTGTGTCACGACCATGCTCTACAACCTCTTCGCGGCGAGCGGGCCAGAGTGTTTCGCCAATTCGCCATTTCTCTTCAAGCGCAACACTTCGTAATGATCTTCCTTTTCTGGAAAGCTATAAGCAGTCCTGTAGGTGGACGTAATTTCTATTCTCTGGTATTGTCCAGTCTGATTGTTCCTTTAGTTCATTTCTCCCCGGCCACGCATGAGATCAAGGAGCTTGCGAATGCTTCAATTGGAGAGACGGTTACTCTGCACGGCTATCTCGGGCCCCGCGCCGACCTTTCGAAAAAGCTCTCCTTCGTCCCGTTGTTAAGCAAAGACCTCAGCCACAGTGTTCAGATAATCAGCACCCCCCGTTCGTCCGAGGAGTTGCACGCTCGCTTGAAGGCCCTGGGAGCACAAGACCCTGTCGCCATCACAGGCGTTTTGAAGGAACGTAAGCCTACTAAGAGTGACGCAGGAGAAATTCAAAAGATCACCAACGTAGAGGTTGAACTAAAGGAGCTGTGTGTGCTCAACGAGTTCCCAAAGGAAATCACCTTCCAAGAGGACACCAACATCCCACCTGAGCAGCGCCATCTGCAAATCCGCCAGGACAAGGGCATCCGTGACGCACTGGCATTCAGGGCCAAGGCTGCCAACACCTGCAGAGATGAGCTAGCTAACAAGCATGATTTCTTGGAGATCGAGACGCCTATGCTTTTCAAGTCTACGCCCGAGGGGGCAAGAGAGTTTTTGGTGCCTACTCGGACCAAGGGCCTGGCATACGCACTTCCTCAGAGCCCGCAGCAGTACAAGCAAATCCTGATGGCCAGTGGTATCCCAAAGTACTTCCAAATCGCTCGTTGCTTCCGAGACGAAGACCTCAGGGCAGACAGACAGCCTGAATTCACTCAGGTCAGTGGGTCGTGCATCATTCTATATATCTGCTGACAGTAACTAGCTTGACCTGGAAATGTCCTTTGCGGCTGGCGAGGACGTTCAGAAGTGTATTGAGAACCTCGTTCGGAGACTGTGGGGTGAGCTTCTGAATGTCAAGCTGCCATCCAACTTCCCGCACATGTCTTACAATGATGCCATGGCGAAGTATGGCTCCGACAAGCCCGACATCCGCCTGGGCATGGAGGTGCGTAATTCTCTGCTTTCTCTTCTTCACATTCTGACCGTTCCAGATCTCGCAAATCGACTATCTCCTTCCAGTAGATCTGGTCACCAAAATCGGGCCTCTAGCTGATCCTGCAGTCGATGTGATGAGGTTGCGCGTCTCAAATGAGCCCTCGGAGACACGAAAATTCGTGAATGAATTCATGGAATCCCCGGAGGCCGCCCCCTTCATGAACAACCCTGAAGGCCAGCCCGGAATTTTCATCTTCGATACACGGAAGCCATTGCAAGGACTGCAGCCGTTCGGCTTCGAAGCAGCAGAGCGTCTCGAGGATATGTATCAACTTGAAGACGGCGACCTCATCGTTATCCAGGCCCGCAAGAACGTGCCTTTCTCAGGAGGCTCAACGCCAATCGGAAACTTGCGTTTGGCATTGCACAAAGCGGCCGTCGCCAAGGGTCTCGTTCCTGCACCACAAGGCTTTGAGTTCCTCTGGATCACGGACTTTCCGCTTTTCTCACCAAGCAGTGACACAGAGCCAGGCCAGGGTGGGGCTGCTGGATTTGCGGCTACCCATCATCCTTTCACCGCGCCGAAGACTGCGGAGGATGTTGGTCTGCTTTCCACGGATCCTGCCAGTGTTCGCGCAGAGCACTACGACATTGTTGTCAATGGCGTAGAACTTGGCGGCGGCAGCAGACGTATTCACGATGCTCGGGTTCAAGAGTTCATCATGCGTGACGTGCTGAAGATGAGCGAAGAGCGACTGCAGGACTTCAGGCACCTGCTCGACGTTCTTCGAGCCGGATGTCCACCACACGCTGGGATTGCCCTTGGCTTCGACAGACTGATCGCCGTGATGCTCGGAAAGGAGTCGGTTAGGGACGTCATCGCATTCCCCAAGAGCGGTAAGGGAGAGGATCTGCTCGTGAAAGCACCGAATGCTGTGACGAAAGAGCAGTTGGAAACATACCACTTGACATTTAAGAACTGAACGATGCGAGGGTTTCTCGTTCTTACCCTCAATATCCTGTAAAATATTTTGCTGCAAACTACTGTACTTTTTTTTGTTTCTCCTGTAGTAGGATCGCCGCCGAAGACTCTAGATGGCCAACGGAAGATTCATCCAGGCTTCCCCGTGGTAACCTCAAAACACACCCAACTCCCAAATACTTCCCGTGGATTTTCTTTTTATACCTCGCTATGCCGTAACTGACTATCGTGACATCATCCCCGCCTGCGCGGACCGCACACAGAGGGCGCTTGTCGGCTAGCTGATCTTCGCATTGGAGAAGTCCATCTCCGGGTGCTGGGCCTTGAACTTGGCCAAGATGTCCTCCTTCTTCTGCTCGTCGCTGGTCGGCTTGCCCATCTCCTTCTGACGCTGGTCCCACATCATCTTCTCGACCATGGCGCGCGTCTCGCCCTCGAGGTCGCTGAGCTTGCTGCTCTCGGGGGTAATCTTAGCAGTGTCGATCTTGGGCGCCGTCGTCACAACGTGCTCCCACCACTCCATTTTGTTAACCTTGTCCAGATGAACGGCGATCTCCTTGCCGCCCGGGACCGTCTCCAGCGTCCAGGTGCTCTCGTCGGCGTGGATCGGCTTGGACAGCTCGCCCTAAATTTCGCGAAGGCCGACGTCAGCGGGGAGGCAGCGCGCCGAAGGGGCGGGGGCAAGCGAGGGCTCCTTACGTCGATGATGGGGTCTTGGCCCTTGATGGCGACCTTGAGCTTGGTCTTGGAGATCACCACGTCGAGGTCGCGGGCGCGGAGGGTGGCGGGGATGGTGGTGGTGATGTCGACATCCTGGATGGTCTGGGTCCACTGGTAGGGCAGCGTGGCCTGCTCGGCGGCCTCTTTTGCGCGGGCCTCGCGGTCCTGCTTCTCGCGCTCAGAAGGCGTGGGCGAGCTGGGGCGCGACATTGCTGGGGGCGTTCGCGTGGTGGGCGGGTTGGGTCGTGCAGCATGCAGGAGAGCTTGAGCGCAATATGGAACCCTTGCGCCCAAAGGCGGCGCCCGCGCCCGCTTGATGACGCCGCGCCGCCGCCGACCTCCCGTCTGCCCAATGTTTACCACTGCTTGCACCTGAACCCTCCATCCCGGCCTCCCCGCCCGACCGCCGCCTACAGGCCTCCGTAACCCACCGCCCCATCCGACGCTGCGGCATGCGACGCGCGGGAAATGTCGAGCTCCTTTGAGAAGTCCGTGAAGGGAGCCACCAAGATCAAGGCAAGCCGCCCGCTCCTGCTCCTTGCGCGCGCGCGCGCGCCCATGTCCCGCGAGCAGCCCAACGAGCAGCCGCTGACCGCACCACCACCCACAGCTCGCTCCCCCCAAGAGCAAGTATGTCGAGCACATTCTGGTCGCCACTCACGCCGGCGAGGCCGGCGTCGCCGAGGTCTTTCGCGCCATCCAGAACCGCCTGCGCGACTCCACCTGGACCATCGTCTTCAAGGCGCTCATTATCATACACCTGATGATCCGCGAGGGCGAGCCGGATGTCACCCTCAAGTACCTTGCGCAGGCGCCTTCCCGCCGCCTGGCCATCAACAACTTCACCGAGGGTATGCGCCCGCAGTCCACCGCATCCGGCCGCCTAGTGTGGCGCAGACACAGTGCTAATCGGCCGAGCAGTGCAGACCCAGGGCCACAACATCCGCGCCTACACCGAGTATATTGTAACGCGCGCGAAGAGCTTCGGCGCCACCAGGGTGGACTATGTGCGCAGCGGCGAGGGCCGTCTCAAGCGCCTGTCGGTTGATAAGGGTCTGTTGCGCGAGACGGAGCAGGTCCAGGACCAGATCCACGCCCTGCTACAGTGCGACTTCCTGTCGGCCGAGCCCGAGAACGAAATCACTCTGACGGCTTTCCGGCTGCTGACAATGGACATTCTTGCCCTTTTTCACGTCATGAACGAGGGCACCATCAACGTGCTCGGTCCGTATTCCCCTCGGCCCCCTGGAACGAGGCCCGGCTGACCTGCTCGCAGAGCACTACTTTGAGATGTCGCATACCGACGCGGAACGCGCATTGAGGATATACAGGATGTTCTGCAGGCAGACGGATGCTGTAGTGCAGTACCTGTCCATTGCAAGGCTGCACGAGCATTCCACCCGCCTCGAGATCCCCAAGGTCAAACACGCCCCCACCAGCCTGGGAAACTCCCTCGAAGAGTACCTCAACGATAAGGATTTCGAAATCAACCGCCGACAGTACCTCGCGCAGCAGGAGGCGAAGAGGAGTGGGAAGGCCAATGGCTCCAGCAAGCTGCCCGAAAAGAAGGACGCTGCAAGGGCAGACACTGGCTTTCCCGAGGCGAACTTGGCGCAGCCTGAAAGCAAGGGCCCGGCGCCAGATTTGATTGACTTCTTCGAGTCCATCGAGCAGAACCAGCAGCCCATGGCCCAGCAGGCCCAGGGCTTCCAACCGCCTCAGATTCAATTCCCGCAACAGACCGGAATGATGCCGCAGCAGACAGGGTTTGATCCAAACTTCCAAAGCAACCCATTTGCACAACAGCAACAGCCTCAGCAATTGCAACCCAATTTCACCGGCGCCGGATTTGGCGGCTACGGGCCTCAACCACCGCAGCAGTTTGGACAGCAGCCACAGATACCACCAGTACCGCCAATACCGCAGAACGGCCCTGCCCCCTTCTTACAGCCATCATTTACTGGACCTGCATCACAGGGATTGCAACCACAAACGACCAACCCTTTCCGAGCCTCGATGCTCATGCAATCGCAGCCAACTGGAGGAAACCCGTTCAGCGCCGCCAACAACCCGAACAGAGCATCCACGAACCCATTTGCCAAAAACTCTCCACAGAACACCGGTGGTTTTGCCCCTTCATTGCCTACGATACAGTCCTCGCAATCCGTCGATTTCTCGCAGCCGCCGCAGACCAGCCACAGCCCCGCACCGCTGCAACCAGCGCCAACTGGCACAAATCCATTCGCACGCCCGCAGACGGCGCATGCCGGTGCGTCGCAACCAATGCTCATGCCCACTGCCACGGGGAGCACCAATCCTTTCCGCCAGAGTGCATTTGTGAACCAGCAGACGGGACAGGGTTGGCAGAACAATCAAGGCACAATGGGAGGATTGGAGCAATTGGAAACAGTGTCCATCTTCCCTCGGCCGGGTCAGCCCAACGGGCAGCAGCCGCAGCAGACTGGGTGGTCATCGTGAAGGAACAGAAGAGAAAAAAAAAAGCTTGCGCGGGTCACTTTCCAACTCTTTTTCTTTCCTTGTTGGGCTGGGACGGGTTACGGAGCGGAGGGGGCGTTCTGGGAAGGGTGTTCCATTGCATCATCAATACTCGACCTACTATATCACAGGAGAGAAGCACGAAGTATTGCTCTATTTGGTTTCACAGTCTGATGACCTTGCAGCGAGGTCGGGGGGCTGGCAAGGACAAGAGAAAGACTCTTTTTCCTAGGAAAGACATCGTTATCTGATGCAATCCATATCCGTAAATGTTCCCTATCCTATTCTCTTTGCTTCGGTTTGAGCCATAATGAAGCTTATCACCTGCAACCCTTAATCTCCTTCTTAGTGTCGATATACTCTTTTTCATTGGTTTGTTCACTTTAGCTGGAATCGTTCTTTGCCGTTCTCGTTTGTCTCGTTTCTTTTTGCTTTTTTTCTTTTTTCATTATTCCAAATATGTCTTTCAAGCGAGCGGGGTAGTCTGTGAAGGGCATCATAGCATTGGTAGACCAGCTTTTCGCCAACCGCAGCAAGAAGAGCGAACGGAGCAGGGGAAAGGGGAGGGGGATGGGGATGGGGAATAGTCGTGCGATATTATGTATGTACTCTCCGAACATACCATGGTACGCTCAGGAGATAGAACGGCGGAAATACGAACGGCGAGTGCTGCTTGCTTGCTGCTTGGTGTCCTCCTTGTGTGTCGCACTGGGGCTGAGCCGGATGGTGCGGGTGTCGCGCCATTTAGATTGCACGTACAGCAAGTGCTGCGTACGCGTCCTTTTTTTCGCAGGGCTGCATGCCTGCGGGTACGCGCCTTGCTACTGCTGCTGCGTCATGTGGAACACAGAAGAGTCTACGTACATACCATCAGCGGCAGGCAATGCTTTCGCGCCGGAGGAGAGCGATGATGGGAGTGCGCACGTTGGGGGACATATTATTAGTGACGGGCGGGCAGTGACGGGCGGGCAGCACCTAGTGACGGGCGGCGGCAGGGACAGTACCTAGTAGTGACCATTGTTCGGGTGGGTCATCCCAACGGCCCGCTCCGTGGCGCAGATCGGACCTCATGAACGCTCCCTTCGCTCAACATCTTCTCCCCATGGCCAGGCGACGTATTTAAATCCGTCTCCTGGTAACCAATCAGCCCCGCACGCCCTATTCCCAGGCACGTCGCTCCGTTGTTGTACGTACCATGCATTTCGCGGCTCTGGCAGTCTTTGGGGCTCTGCTCGCCACCACAGATGCCGCCCCACCCGGCAACAGCAGCCTTCAGCCTGTGCCTGCTCCGCTCGAAGCCGGCCTGTGCAATGTCCCAGAGATGACGCCCGACATCTTCCAGGCGAAATCGAAAGAAATCGACACGTGGCTGCGAGCAAGGATGCAGGCTTTCCGCGCCACACCCGACAATGACATGGCCCCGTCATTTTTCTCCTACGTCTTGCGAACCAACTTTCCGAATCTTGCACTGAGCGCTACGGCGTGCAGCGTTGATCAAGGGTGCTCTGTACGTCTGCCTCTCTCCGCAACGCCGTGGACGCTGGTTAACCGGCAACGCAGTCTATCACATGCACCGAATTCCGGGGCCGCCTTCAGGGAGAGACTCCGGAGCAGTACGAGCACGAACGCACCATGGCTGTCTATGCAACCAACGCGTTTTCCAACTTCTACAACTTCCAGCGCACAATGGTCCGCGCTTTCGAGAATGGAGCTCAGTATATCAACAACATGCTTGCGGACCTTGTGCACACCTTCAGCTGGACCGACAACCAGGACATGTACGTGAAGCAAGAGAAGGCGAGAAAAGATGAAGCGGTAAAGAGGAGATCGGTTGCCTTATCTATCGGATTGTTGATCATCCTCGTCGCAGCGGCGGCGGCTGGTCCTTACGCTGTCCCTATTTATGGCGAGGTGACGGGCGCTTTAGTAGGGGCTGCTATCGGGGCCCTCTCTTCAGCCTACGCCGGGGGGACTTCGATCGCAGGGAACTTCAAGCCGGGCGATGTGGAGTAAGTCCAATCAACCAACATGGTATCTCTGCCGAACTAAGCCATGAAAACAGCGCTACTCTCTTCGCCCGTAGGGAACTTGAATTCTCAAGAGTGTGGACCACCGCGGCGGAGGAGGCGAAGAAATTCCTTAAAGACACAACATTTTCTACGGTCAAAGGACGGAAAGATAATGCCGACGGTAGAAACATCATCGACGCCCTCATGTATTTCCACGCCCCGTTCCGCGATGACACCGACGCACAAATCGAGAAAGAGGTTTCAACACAGCTGGTTGGCCACGCCATTGACCTCTTGTGGAGTGAACCCACCACGAATGCCTGGATCGTTCGGTCCAAAGCCCCCACCGGCGCGAGTTGCGTGACGGACTCGAGGATCAACGAGGCCGCCAAGGTTTGCTTGCCCGAGGAGCCGGACATAACTTACTTCGTGACCGGCACGGATAACTTTGAAGACAAGGAAACATACTTGCACGTACTGCCGGGGTTTCAGACGTTGAGAAGTAGCTAAACTCCTCCCGGTCGTGTTGTTCAAGAGGTTGACTGATGTGCTTTGCAGCTCACCCTGAGAAGTGGCGGAACATCACCGTCGAGGATGTTGTCAGATCGTCCGTCCGATACTACAAAGAGACGCGTAATAGGGACATCCTTGAAGGCCGGACGGGCCACACGAACCAGACCGATGTCGAGACCATGTTGGAGCGAGTCAGCAAGATGGGCGTCTCGTCAATCCACTTGCCGGTGTGCAACAGTCTTGGCGGCCAGGCACTCGGCGCGCTGAACCAGAAGCGCGGCATGGTTTATCCGTGCGTGTGCGAGGATATCAACGGCGCCCCCGAAACCCCGTCGCCTAAAAGCGAGACCCTGGGCTTGTTGAAGCAGTCGGGCCTGATCACACGGCCACACGTCTACAGGCATTGCAGAAAGGCGATGCAATGCGCAAAGGTGAGCGGCAACCCGTACGGGCTGAAGTGCACGAGCGACGAAAAAATCAAGGGGAAGCCCATCATCTCGGGATGGTGCAAGAATGTGTTCAGCAGCTTCGGCCCGCCTGCCTCGGGCAAGAAGCTCCCGGGAAGCAGCCGCGCATGGCTGGATGAGGAGGGGGGGCCGAGATAGGACGGAGTAGATATAGAAGTCTGTAGTGCTTAATGGATCATGTCTTGGCGCAAACCCTAAGTACTTACCCAAGTCCCGCGCGTCGGCCGCAACGTAGCAACAACACCCGCTGACCCCACCGCCGCCATGCGTTTCTGCACTGCCCTCGTTGCCATCCTGCCGCTGGCCCTCGCCCTCGACAAGCCCCTCGACATCCAGGTCACCCACAGCGTCGAGTGCGAGCGCAAGACCGTCGCCGGCGACAAGGTCGACGTGCACTACCGCGGCACGCTCGAGGCCGACGGCACCGGTGCGCCCCGCCAGCCCCGCCCATCCTGTCCTGCTGCGCTGACTTTGCCAGAGTTCGACGCCTCCTACAACCGCGGCCAGCCGCTCTCCTTCACCGTCGGAAAGGGCATGGTCATCAAGGGCTGGGACCAAGGCCTGCTCGACATGTGCATTGGCGAGAAGCGCACCCTCACCATCCAGCCCGAGTGGGCCTACGGCTCTCGCGGCGTGGGCCCCATCCCGGCCAACAGCGTGCTGATCTTCGAGACGGAGCTCGTCAAGATCAATGGCGCCGCCAAGGACGAGCTGTGAGGGCGACTGCCGTACTGCATACATAGAAAATGTCATGTTTGTTCTTTAGCCTAGTCGCCGTGCGATGCAGCCTCTTCCAGCGCCACCACGGCATTGTCAAGCTCCCTGATCCTCTGCCCTATCCGCCGCTTGACCTCCTCCCCAACCTCCCTGTTATCTCCACCGACCACGGCCTCGTAAGCCGCCTTCAGCTCGTCGAGCGCCTCCCTCGCCGCCGCACGGTCGTCGGCGGCGTAGACGGTGTTGCCCTCGGTCTCTTCAGCTGCGATCTCAAATTCGTCCTTGGCGGTTGCGTAGCTATGTGGCGTCAGTTGCGGGACACTCGAGGGAGAGGGCGCCGTCATATTGGCCGCATCCCCGACGTACAGCTCCTGGATCTCGTCGATCTTCTCGTCTGCAATACGCTTACTGCTGAAGTAACGGGCGTGCTCGCTGACAATGCTTGCTGGACGGCACGACACCCGCGTCGACGGTGCGGCGCTCAGTGCCGTGGAAATTCCAGCTCTGGTGTTGTGCGGGCCGAGAGCCATGGCAAAGGCTTGCCGTGCCTGGCGTGCGCAAGTGCGCGAGGCGGTGCGGAAGGACATGATGGGGGCCCGTTGACTGAACAGAAGACAGAGAGTGGCTGCGGGATCAGAGCTCGATGACGGCGCGCCAGCACGAGTCAGGCGGCGGCGAGGTCCCTGCATGAAATCATGGCCGCCATCCCACAGTCAGCCTCCGATCAACCCCAGGTCATCCACACCCCCCCAACTCAATCCCGCGACATGCTCCTTGGTATCTCCGCACTCCTCATTTCCGCCACCTTTCTGCTGTACAACCATCCGCCGCGGGCATGGCTGCAGCTGTTCAGGCAATGGGGTCAAAGGGGGCTCGCCGCCCCTCCCAAGTCCGACGACATTGCGAGCGAACCCGCCCCGGGCTCCTCACACAAGTCTCCGCCGCCGCCCGTCGCAGATGAGCGCAAACCTGCCGTGAGCATACAAGTTCCGCGCTTGGACGAGGTGCCCTCCGAAGATAGCGAGTCAGCGCAAACGACCCCCAAAGCCACCGTCTTCCCGGCCGTGCCGATATTCACAGTCGCCTCCTCCGACCATGACAACCACGACGACGACGACGACGAAGGCGACGACGGAGACAGCTTGCCTCCGCCATCCTTCCCTGCCGTGAACTCTGCGCAGCGCACCTCCGGCCCCTCGCCCGCACCTTCCGCTCTCAAGTCGCCGTCGGCCCAGCCATCCTCACTCGCACCACCGCGCCTCGCGCCCGCGCCACGGCTACAACAGCAGCGTTCAGGCGGGCTGATGCCGCCACCGCGCATGCCTGCGAGCTCTCTGCGCACCGGCCCATCCGGCCCGCTACCGAACAGAGGACCGCCCAGAAGCGGCGGCGGCGGCGGCGGCGGCGGCGTTTTTTCTAGCAACTTGGGACTGCCTATGGCGGCACCGGTCAAGACGCCAAACCCGCGCGCCAAGGTGTCGCTGACGCCGGGCCATTCGCCGCTGGACTGGGCGGCGCTGGTCAAGTCGAGCGCAAATCTGTCCGGCGTCGGATCGCTGCGGCGCGTCGCGCCGTCGGAGCTGAAGCGGTACAATGGCCGTAAGAACAAGCAAACGGGTGAGACGATGCCGGCGTGGAGCGCATACCAGGGGAAGGTGTACAACATCACGCCGTACCTGCCGTACCATCCCGGTGGCGAGGGTGAGCTGCGCAGGGCGGCGGGCAAGGATGGGGGAAAGCTGTTCAATGAAGTGCATCCGTGGGTGAATTGGGATAATATGCTAAGTGAATGTGTGGTGGGTATTTTGGTGCCTGAGCACAGCGCGGAAGACCCCGCTGCGAGCAGTTTGGATGACATGGATTGAGGAAACGCGGGGGGATCGTAGAAGCGATGGTTTTGCGAGTGGAAGGGATCCCGCTTTGATACCCCAGTTGCTCAGAGTAGACGGCGGATTCGCATTAGAGCATTAGGAAAGCTTGAAACCCGGGGAGCACAGAGTGACTGCCTGATCGGGAAGCATTATCAAGCTCAGATGGCGGGTCTCGTGACACCGCATCCTTATCGCGCGCGTCTTTCTGCCTGAAGCTCTGACAACTCCCACACCCGCGTCGGCCGCTCCCACGCGTCGACATACCTCACATCCGCTCACAGCAGCCATCGAGTGACGCGCCCAACCCAGGCAGTGACAACCCCCATTGTTTCCCGCTCCGACCGCAAAAAAATAAAAAATAAAAATATGTGGCTCCTCACCCACGACGGCGACCACACGCAAAAGAAGCGCTGCTGGCTGCGACCCGGCACCTCGCACCTGCTCGGCCGCACGCGCAGCAACGACGTCGACTTCCATTTCCACATCGACCACAAATCCGTCTCGCGCCAGCACCTCATCATCACCGTGCGTGACGTCGCCGACGCCAGGGCCGCTCCCGACGCCCTTTCCGCCCCGTCGGCATCGTCGTCGTCGTCACCGTCACCATGGTCGACACGTTTCGCGCGCTCCGAAGTCGTCCTGACGGATGCCAGCAGATTCGGGACGTGGCTCGACGGCGAACAGTTCAAGGGCTGCGAGCGCGTGGTGGGCAGCGCCGCCGGGAAGGGCTACCGGCGCCGCGGCCACGAGAGCCACGAGATCAGGCTGGGCAAATGGAGCGCCGCATGGCGGCTGGAATGGCAGCCGGTCGTGCTGACGGCGAGCCTCGGCGGTGGCGGCGGCGGCGCCACAAGCAGCAGGAAGGCGAAGACGAAGAGGAACAACAACGACGACGACGACGGCGCTGTCGCTGATCAGGCCTCGTGCGCCGAGCTGCTGCGCGAGCGGCTCGCGCCGTTCGACGTCGCCGTCGTGCCCGAGTACGTGGCCGGGGTGACGACGCACGTGGTGGCGCTGAAGCGCAACACGCCGCGCGTGCTGCAGGCGCTGGTCGAGGGCGCGCACGTCGTGTCCGAGGCCTTCGTCCGGGCGCTGGAGGAGCGCGCGCAGAAGCGGGAGCCGGTCGTGGTCGCGGTCGGCGTCGAAGAGGTGCCGAGGGCGCCGTTGGAGGAGGACTTCGACGGCAATTGGCCGCGCGAGCTGGACTTCGTGCCGCCGTCGGCGAACGAGCCGGTGGCGCGGCCGGCGGATATGCTTGCTCCGGACCCGCAGAGGGAGACGGTGTTTGCGGGGTACACTTTCGTCTTCAGTGACGGAAATCAGTTCGCACAGCTCGGGCCGGTCGTGGAGCAGGGGACCGGGAAGGCGTTGCTGCGGGAGCTGGAGACGGGCTCTGACGACACCGACGGATTCATCCGATACGTGAAGAGTGTTGCTGGAGAGAAGGGTGCTGGCGAGTTTGAAGACGGCAGCGAGGGCAAGGGGGTGGTGGTGGTGCGACTCACGGAGCCTCGTGGGAACGACGAAAAGTGGTGGAAGCGATTCTACCATTCTGTCGATCTGGGATTGAATCAGCGGAGCATCAACCAAAATGAGTTTTTGGATGCAATCATCACAAACGATGCATCGCCGCTGAGGCGACCGCTGGAGCAGGAAACGGATGACGAGGCTGTTCCTAGCAGCATTCCCGGACCGCCGCCGTCCACTTCAGGTGTGCCGTTTTTCTTTTTGCTTTCTACCTCGGCTGAGAATTGCTAACACGACTGCAGTGGGTCCGTCTCAGATGTCTATTGTTGCCTCACATGAAGGACAAACGCAGGCGGGTCAATCGCAGATGGAGGCTCCGCTGTCTTCAGAACCACCTGTGCCGAAGACTACCCGGAAAGGGTTCCGTCGCGCACTCACAGAATCTAGATTCAAAGGTTTTGATGATTTCGACCCAGACATGGTACCGAAAATACAACCTGTGTCGGATGAGGATGATGAAATGGAGCCGGGTCACGTCGACCAATCACAATGGTCAACGGCGCAATCGCAATACACTGGTAGGTCACAAGATCGAGCAAGACACACTAGGGGAACGAAGAGGCAGCATGAGCCAGTGGAATCGGTGCACATCTCTGATGACGATGACGCGAATTCTATCGAAAAGCTATTCCCTGCCGCGTATGCCATGAAAAAGAGAAAATTGGAACAGCAGCTCCAAGACGCAGCCATGAAAGATATCCCAGAGGAGACGGAAGAGACACCGAAGAAGCCGCCCCTCGTCTTGCCTTCGGAGCTGCGTAAGTCGAAACCGGAGAAGGTGGTCAATTCCAAGCAGCTGGCGCTGTTAGCACGAGAACGTCGTGAAAAGGAGGAAGACGGGCGGAAGAAGGACGAAGAGACTTTACGGGAAGCACTGGAGGGTATGGACGTTGATCAGATGAAGGACTTGGCTAAAGTTGAGGTCATGGAGATTCTTCCTCGAAAGAACCTCGTCGATGTCGAGGAAGGAAACAACGACGGTGAGCGTTGGAAGCCGGAGTGGAACGGCCGCAAAAATTTCAAGAAGTTCCGAAAGAGCAAACCGGGCGACAAGGACAGCGGCTCGCAAGCTCCGCTCCGTTCGCGGAGAGTCATCGTCCCCCTCGAAGAAGTGACGCTCGGCGCGGCCGAGGATCCCTACCTGTTCGACAATACCAGCACTTTCGACAGCATCCGAACTAGGCCGCGGCCCGGCAAGACCGGCACTTTCGACAGCATCCGCTCTCGGGCAGGCACTAGAAGCATCGGCGACACGTCCGGCCATCCAGGCGACACTGACGACGACGAAGACACCTCCTTCAGACGAAGCAACCTCCGCAGCGGCACCAACTCCCAACAGCAGCAGCGTGGCCGCAACAACGGGCCCGCCAGCGCAATCGCCATCGGTTCCGAGGACGAGGAAGAGCTGCAGGACCTCGACCCCGAGGAAATCGCTGGCCGGCCCCGCAGCGAAAACATCGCATCCGCCCTGTCGCCGTCGACACGGTCGTCCAACAGACCCGGCACCGCCACGTCGTCGTCGTCATCCAGCAGGACCAGCAGAGCGGCGGCGCACGCCAACAACAACAACAGCAACGACCCCCTCCCCCCCTCTCCTGATTACTACGCCACCGCGAGCACCGCCCGCGGCGGCGGCGGCGGCGGCGGCGGCGGCGGCAGCAAACGGGCCGCCGACCCTCACCCGCCCCACCATCATCCTCCTCCTCCGTACTCGCAGCGCGACCCGTCCCCGTCCCCGGCGCTGAGCAGCCAGACCATGGCGGACGGCAGCACGGAACACGCCAGGCCGGACAGCAAGGGGAGCGCGACGAGTGGGGTCAGTGGCAGCACGACGGCGACGGCGACGGCGACGAGGGGGGGCAAAAGAGGCGCCATGGGTCCGCCGGCGCCTTTGGAGCCGCCGGCGAAGAAGCAGAAGAAGGCTGGGGGAACGGCGACGACGACGACGACGACGACGACGACGACGACGACGAAGCAAGGTGGGGGGAGGAAGAAGGTGGTGCCATCGGCGCCGTTGGCGAAGGGATTGGGAGTGGGGGATGAGGATGATGATTGGGAGGGGAGCGATGATGGTGAGGATAGTGGAGGGGAGTTGAAGTTTAAGAGGCGGAGGTGGTGAGAGGGGAGGGGAGGGGGGGTTGTGGCCGTGAGGGGGTAAAATAGGGTATGATCGGAAAGGGAGGGGGGCAGCTAATGTGTATGCTTTCCTTTTTGCTTCTATGAAAAAAAAAAGTTTCCAGGTAGCTTATCACTGGTATGTGTGGTTTACAAACGTACAAACGGAGTTCTGTGTCCGTGTTCCTAATTGGTTACACGAGAAGCATACCCGGCGACCCTGGTCTGAAAGCCTGCGACGCGGCAAAACATACATCTATATCGGGGCTGCATCTCGTTTCATGATGGGAGAGACTCTTATAGAGTTGAATAACTATAGCAATATGGTATATATCATAGCAGGCAGGCGTAGGATGTATGCGCTGTTGCTGTTGCTCATTAGATTATATACGAGCAAGCAGACCTGGCGGGAAGGAGGAAAAAGAAAAAAAGCATGCCAGTCAATATGCCGACCGAGAGAGTAAATGAAAACGATAGCAGAAGCGAGTGGATAGAATTCTGGCCTGGTTGCTAGTGTTGGGCTGTAAACTAGAGAGGAAAATACGCGCCGTTGCTGTTTGCTACATCCTGTAATCTTAGCATAGGTGAATTGACAAAGGGTGTCAGTACGTGGGAATTTACAGGAACATCAGGGCGCTGATTTTAACGGCTTGGGGACCGATGGATGAACTAGTAATTGCTCTTTTTCTATTTCTTTATATCATTCTTATTTAGTAGTAAGGTAGAAGATACGAATGCAAGTAAAGACCCGGAAAGGAGCTCAATTCGCCGCTTTACCCATTCTTTGACATAAGCCCGGACGGTAGTAGAAAGGCTTTGCGGTCCGTCAATTGCTCATCCGCTGATGAGAGGAAGAAAATCGAAAACGACCAGGAATAAAAAAAAAAGGCATTCCCGGAGATCAAGCGCGTCTCTGTTGAGCTCCCTGGTCAACAGATAAAACGCTGTCGTGAACCTTATCTCTCCGCATGATCGTTGCTCCTGTCTTCGCGAAGAAAGGGGCGACCGTTGGGGGTGAGGGCGGGAGCGGTTGCAGGCGGTGAAAGAGCACCAGAAAGCGGTCCTGCCGAAGTAACAGGCGTTCTGGCGGCGTTGAAGTTACGCCAAGCGGCTGAAGTCCAAGTGATTGCCATGTGGAGGGCATTGAAATCTCCCATTGCTCCATTGGTGGGTCAAAATGCTTGATTGGCTTTCTCAAGGTACCACAGATCAGTATAGAGTGGTTATTTTTTATAAAAGCGAAAAAGATTTACCCCGCACTGGCTAAGGTTATTTCAGCCTCAGAGCCAGGTACTGCGAAGTGATTGGGTGTAAAATGCGCATCAAGGGCGTTAAGCCTGTAAGCAACCATTGGGTGGACAGTCAGGTCCGCCCCAGAGGGCGCGCTAAAGGTGTTGAGCCTGCTGCGGGCAGGGCTCGCGATTGATCTGATTGACAAGTGCAAGCGGGTTCCGGGGGTCCGATTGCAATCCAGGAGGGGTCTTCAGGCTGATCAATCAACCGGCCAAGATTGCGCTTGGATTGATTGATAGATTTACAATCCGCTTGCGCTTGCTGCGAGCCCTGGTTGCGGCAGCCGGCGTGGAGACATGAGTAATTGTTTTGCGACGTGTATCTGGTGATGTCTCGCAAGCGAAATTGTCTGGATAGACTTGGTTTCCTGGCTTTTCGCGGAGGTTCAGGAAACGGGGTTGCAAGTAGAAAAGTCGAAAAGGCTTCATACAACGGGCGGTGATTAGGTGCCGTGTTAGTTTGAGCGCGAGGCTATGAGCTGGCATACGCCGCATGACAAGGGTGACACCCTTCGAGGTTGAGTATCACACCAAATCCGCCCACTGAGTGTTGCTGGAGAGTTAAACGCACAGTCAGCTTCATGCAACGGCACGATCAGTGCTTGGGTAACCTTCAAAAGCATCACCCAAAATGCTCTGACGGTATGATGACTTCGTAGTATATGCATGTCAGTATTTCAATTAATTTTCTACCGAAATCATGATCAGATCCAAGATGACCCGGCTCTACAATTGCAAGCTATTCATTTATGTTCTTGGATGTCATACTTGTAACTAGAAAAAACAACCAAGGCGCCGCGTTCCTCATTAGCATCAGCATGACAGATATAAATGTAAGAGATCATGTATCTTGAGTCATCATCGTCAGTCTCCCAAAGACAGCGCTTGCAAAAAAGAAAAAAGAACAAAAGAAAAACCAGAGAGAAAGAAAGACGGTTCAGGGGAAGTTTTGCTGAAAGAAGCAAAAGGAAGGGAAAGATACATCATGCGCCAAACGCTATGCAGCATAACAATCGTGACCGCCGTGTCTTTGCATACGAGAGAGAGAGAGAGAGAGAGAGAGATAAGGAAAGAATCTTCCGGTTTGCACACAGAAGAAGAAGCAAGCGCACAAAACCCCTTCCCCCGATTCAGTTCCCATGTCCTTATAAAGCATCAATGTCTCACACCGGCCCCCCGCCACACTCACCCCCTCTCAATCATCATTCCCCCCAGCCCCATCTCCGCCTCTGCCTCCATGGGTACGACAGGCTCTCTCAACGCGCCGCCACCCGCCATCGGCACCCCCTCCTGACCACCCGACAGCAACGGCGCCAAGCCACCATCCCCAGTCGTATACGTCGCCGTCTTCTCCGCCGGAGGCCTTTCGCGCCCCAGGATCTGACCGCCGCCGGACGGACCGCCGCCGCCACTGCCGCCAGAGGGCACTGCGGTGTTGAAGGCGTGCCAGAAGTCGGGGGCCTGTAGGATGTAGCTGGACATGGCAACACGGAAGCGCTGGCGGTAGTCTTTGGGCGACGTGACGGTCGGCTTGTTCTTGCCGCGGTCTTTGATCCATGTCTCGAGCTTCTTGTCCCATGTGTACGTGCGGATGCAGTCTGTGGCGAAAAAAAAAAAGGTCACGATCAGTTCAGCGTTCTTTTCTAAGGTGATGGGCCCAGGCAGGGGGAATGAAGTAGGAAAGATGCAAACTTGCAAGTGAGCAGAAAAAAAAAAGAAAAAGTCGGGACTTACCAATGATACCAACGACAATCTCCCGGTTCGAGTCGTTGAAACCGGCCATGAGCGAATAGTCCATGACGTTCTGCTTGCTGAGGAAGAGCGTGTCGTTGTACACGCTGAGCGTGAGCGTCTTTTTGGTGTGCTCGCGGACGAAGATGGGCTTCTCGAAGATGATGTCGACCAAGTTCTCGTCCAGCAACACTTCATCCTGCTCGCCGGTGCTCTGGATCTTGCGGTTGCGCATCGAGCCCTTGAGGTCGAAGCGACGCAGGTCGTTGCCGCGGTCGTAGAACAGGTTTTCCATGACGAGCATGAAGCAGTCAAAGTCCCGACCGCTGGCAGGGTTCTTGATGGTGACCTGGAACAGGCCGAACATCTTGGCAATGACCGAGGGCAGGTTGTTGAAGAGGTTCTGGTGGATGAATGAAAAGTAGTCTGGCGCGAACTTGAGGAATGCGCTGACCTCGATGGGCGAAAGAGACTTGAGCACGAAGCGGTCGTCCAGGGTCTTGAGGAAGAGGGACTTGGTCTTGCCACCCTTGGAGTCCCACTTCAGGCATCGAGACATGGACTCGACAAAGCGATCCGCTACGCCGCACTTGCGGCGCATGGCATCAAATGACTGGGCAAAGAAGATCTTGCAAGTGGCCCGAACACTGCGGTTCTGGAAGACGTACTTGATGTTCGTGTTGGACTTGTGCCGCAGGTTGTGCTCGATGTTTGCCTCTTCCGAGTGCGCGCTGTGTTCACTTCCATAGTCGCCGCACTCGCCATTCTCTGTTCGAAACTCTTGCAACTTGCCCAGGTAGTCTCCGTTCGACAAGGCCAAAGCAATGATTGAGCTGGGTTCATCCTCGCGGACAATTATGTCAGAGTCCTCCCAGACATGCTCGATGGGCGCAAACGGGTAGTCCAACGGCGTCCAACCACTGGCCGAACGCTCTGACCAGAAGTTGTTAAGCATCTTCATCATGAATGACTTTTCGTGCCTGGGAAGATCAATGCTCAGATCTGTCGACGAATCCATGGGTGGCAGTATCCCAGAACCGTCCGAGATGTCTGGAATGCCAATATCCTCGAGGATGTTCTCGACGTCACTTGCATCCCCTTCGGCATCCGAGTGTTGGTGCAGACTGGCAGTGTCCGCAACGCTTTCCGCACCGTCGGCCCGCTTTGAGTGTTCACTTGGTTCTTCGTGGTGCGTCTCTACGGGCGACTGTGACTCGAGGGTTGGCGTAGTTGTCGAAGTGTAGCTGCTTTCATTCAATGTGCTAGTGTCTGCACTGAGTCGAGGGGGAGGCGTCGAAGACGTCAGGTCTTCATCCGACTCCTTCTCCTGCACCGCATCAGCGGCATCACGGTAAATCTCGACGATGGGCTTGGAAGAGGCAAGAGGATAGGCGCGTGCTTGTCGGCTTTTGGCGGCCCGCTGATGTCTTTCCCGCAGACGTTGCCTTTCAAATTCTTTACTGAGCTGCTCAAAGTGCTTGGCAAGTGTAGAGACCTTGGGGTTGTTGCTTGGCTTGCTGGGGACCGAGCGAGGGATCATTGAATGACTGCTGCTGCCCTTGTTTGACCGCAGGGAGCCCAGGCCGAGCCGTTTGGACATACGCTCCTCGAGCGCTCGAGCTGATTCAGTGAGACTTGGCTTCGATGAATCAGATTTGCCAGTGCTTGTTGTCGCCACTGTTGCGCTCGAAGCATTGTTGGCGCCCTGCTGCATGCGTGATATGCCGGTAGATGATTGAGCCCGGCTGATCAGCGTCGACCCAGGCTCGCGCTTCGACATGTCGACCAGGCGCGGAATGCGCGACTCTGGAACTGTTTCCGAAGACAAGGAGGCGTGGTAGTCTCCACCGCCGCGCATCTGTTCGACGAGGTCCGAAACAGCACGAGAGAGCGGGGCTGGGTGAGCCATGGTGGGCCCAGTAGCAGTAGAAGTCTTCGAGAGATCCGTTGCAGGAACCTGCAGCTCTTGGCTTGCTTGTGTGGACTGGGTCTTTGGCGAAGAAGGCGTATCGGCGGGGACAGCCAGATCGAGGTGTCGGACATCTTCACGTTCAACAACGTTCGTTTGATCCATTGTCGGAGCAGGCGGCACAGACGGTGCGTGGTCCTGCACGGCGACATCTGGCTCCGGCGCAGGTTGCGGGGGTCCTTGGCTGTCCTCCACGGCCTTCTCCGCATCTTTCTCATTATGGTCTTGCTCCACAACTGACGCAAGCACATCTCGAGTCTGTTCTGGAGACATGCCCGTTGGGGTCGGAGTCGTAATCTTCTCCCCGTCCTTTTCGCCTCCCTGGTCTCCATCCAGCACAGCGGGTGCTTCTTCAATACCCTCCTCTATGGAGTTTACCGACGTCTGCGATTCGTCGCGGTCCAAGAAGATCTTCTTCAGCTGTAGCACGGCAAGTCGCTGGATATCTTTCTCCGACGGGAAGAAGGCTTTCTCAAACTTCGCAAAAGTCTCATCCCAAGCCAAAGCCTTCTCGTGAATTGCCCGGATAGCCCGATTGAGGGGGATGATTTCGTAATACCGCGAACACATGTACTTGTCTTGAAGTTTGCGCCGTAGGAAGTCTTGCTCATCGTTGGCGCGCTTCATGAGATTGGCAATCTCAGCCTTGCATGCCTCATGCTTCTCCAGGACAACACTATCGACTCTGATACTCTTTATGCGCGCCTTTACCGAAGCCATGAATTTGTCCAGGCGGTCCTCGATCCTGGAGAACTGTTCGTTCTTGAGCTTGAGATCCCGATCAACCTTCCAAGCGATTGTAGGCCTTGGGACGATGACCTCATAGAGCTCTATAGGGTCGAACTGGATTCTCAAAGCGATGTTGTTGAATCCGAAGTAGCGGACATGGTTGCGGTGGATATCATGGGGACAAATATCAGCTCGAGGGTGTAAGTCGGTGCTCCAGAAGGTCAGCTCCAGATACTTGGCAAAGGAGTATTTCCAAGTGCTCTCGGACATGGGGATTGTCTGGGTTTCCTGGCCACAGACGCGGCAGCTGCTCCACATGAGCATGGTGTTGTGAAGACCCCTGATTTTGGAAGGGTACTTTTCGACAACCACACTCATCTGGCCCTCGCCGTGTATGTAATGCCGGTGATGGTCGACCATCTTCTTGCCACAACCATTTGCAGTGCATATCTGGTTTGCAGTGTAGCAGAGATCCTCCACATACTGGCCGAGCGTGCAATCTGCGGCGAAGCCGTGATCGAGGTCATGCTCCTTGTAGAATTCCAGTGAGATGATCTCGGGGCCGATGCAAGGCGTCGACGTCACTGAGTTGACAACGCTGTAGAGAACGGCAATTTTCTGATGGGTGAAGGGATCGAACAGGTCGCTGTTCGCTGACAGGTACGCCTCCCACTGCCTTTTCTGGGTCAAGTAGTTGTGCATGGCCTTGTCGTATTCCGCATCGTGCACGGCATGTAGGAAGTCGCGGACCTGCCTTGAGGCTTTCTGAACAACGGTGTGAACCATCTCCGGCTGCACAAGCTCGAATCGTTCATGCGAATCCTGTTCCTCGTCCTCTTCGTCCTGAATCTGACTGTATTGGTCTCGCAAGCGCCTGAGGTAAGCGAGGCGTCGCTCCTGTTCCCTTGCCTGGGTGAGAAGGTACGGTTGCATGAATCTGATAAAGGGTGAAGCAGACAGAATCTTGGTTCTGTGCTTCTCAACCATGTCGCCATAGAATGAGGGCATAGGCACGTCCTCAGGAATCATCAGCTCTTGGCTCGCAGTGATAGCTTTGGCCTGCTCTTGACTGTGCTCCAAGGGCTGGTTCTGGTCCAGGAGCTGTTGTTGGCTGTCAGACATTGTTTGTGATAGCTCGGAGGTCTGGATCGATGTCGCATCGTCAGCTTGGGCAACTGTCGGCTGCCCCGTTTCGTCCTGGACCTGGATGGTTGGGTTCCTTTCTGGGCCACCATTCACGTCCGACAAAGCCGCAGGTCTCGCGATCTCGCCACCTTCGGCAGTCAGCTCGCCTGATTGCTTTCCGGTCCTGGATTCAGCGCCGTCTATAGAGGACGGTATCAACACGAACTCGTCGCGCATGAGGCAAGTCTCCAACTTGAGGTTATACACGACGTAGCAGAGAAACTCGGTGATCTGTTTAAGCTTCCTCAACGTGGTGGTGTCGGCACCACGGAGAACAATGGTGCAGCCGAGCTCCTTCTTGCATCCCGACAGGTAAATGTATGTCTTCTTGACGCGACCGTGTACGTACGTTTTGACGTCGAAGCTTTGACATTGGCCGAGGGTTGACGGATCGGTCGCAAGCTTGTCGATGGACGAGATCATCCTGATCTGGAGGCAACGAGAGACGGCGTTGAGAACGGATGGCTTGACGTTGTGGACGACGGTGATGTTGGCCTCCTCGAGGAATTGCAAGGCCAAGCCGGAGACATTGCGCTGGACAAGGAGGACCTGAGGATTGAGCGCAGCAATGCGGCCAACCAGGTTGCGCAGGAACTCTCGCTCCTGTGCGATGACAGGATCGAGGCTCATGAAGTGTTGCTGGTGGCGCGCATATTCAATGGGGAAGGTGACAATGAGCACACGTGGCTGGGGAATGCTCCGGGGCATGCTCTTCAGCGCCACGTTCTTGGTGAAGACAACACCCGAGATGTAGGACGTGTCGCCCGGCCTCCCGCCCGGGATCTTCTTCAGCTTGATGTAGTGGCGGATATCGATGTCGTCGCTGCGCTGCACGTCGGGGTTGACGTCGTCGGTGCATCGCAGCAGGATTGGCGTCAGGGCCTTCTCCCAGCTCGAAACCGCGGCGACGCTCGAGTCCTGGAGCATTTGGCGAAGAAGCTTCCGGACATGTTGCAAGCTCGCTCGGTTGAGTTCGACAGCGGGCGCGTGGTCGCCGCGCATGGAAGCGCTGCGAACCATCTTGGATCCGCCGCCGCTGACCTGGGCAAGGGTTGACATGGACCCGGACTGGCCGCCCACGATGCTGGCGAGGTTGATGCCGAAGGGCTTGAGCAGGCTGTTGCTCTTGGTCCGCCGCGGTGACGGGCGGTGGGTGAGGCTGCTGACGCTGAGATTGCGGCGGCGGTTGTGGCGGGGAATGTGCCGGCTTGAAATGCTGGCTGCGTCAAAGTCGCGCATCGGCGCTGCCAATTGGCCTGCGATGCTTCTGTCCCCGGCGCGTGACTTCCCTTTCTTGATCACCGACAGCAGTCCGCCGAGTCCGTTTCTATCGCCCTCGTTCGGCTCCTGTGTGTCATTGCTCAACGCCGCGAAGATGCTGGGCGTCTCGTCCTCGCTGGAGTCCTCGTCGGACATGAACGCAGCGAGGTCCGGGTCGATGATGCTGTCATTATGAAAGGCGGGCAGCATCGACCGCTTCTCAAGCTCTTCTGTCTGGTGTCGGTGGAACGGCGCGCGCTCATCCTTGAGACTGCGCATGTGCTGGTGTCGCGAGTGATGCCTTCTGTGTCCCGATGACGACAGCGGCCTCATGCTGAGCGAGCGGAGCGATCTCGACGAGCTCGGCCGCGGCAGCGCTGGATGGCCTGCGTTGAACTCGATTACCGCAGACCGCAGCCTCTTCTCGCCTGGTTTTCGCGACGTAGGTATGCTCATCATCGGTGTCCCGATCTTGGTATGGTCCCTTGCCTTGACGCTTCCCTTGGCAACGTCCCCTTTGGACGCATCCGTGCCAATCGAGCTCCTCCGGTTGAGCGGCTTCGACAGGGCCTCGCTCTCGAAGAGAGAGCTCTGATCGGCGTCTTCAGAGTAATCTGAGGAATCGTCTTCGTTCCCGTTGATTATGGCCTCACACGGCTTGCACACCCTGATGTTCCCGGACTGTCCAAACACCTTTCCAGAAACCAAAGACGTGCACTTTGCGTCGAAGATTTGGCCACACGTCCGGCAGTGGTGTTTCCTGCGAAAGGTGGAGAAAACTTCACCGCAATAGAAACAGTCTTTTGCGTTCTCGTCCCTCATCCAGAACTCCTTGCCGAGCACCCGGCGCTTCATCTGAGCAAGGGTGCTGTTGCTGCTCCGCATATCAGGCTGCCTTGTCTGGGAAACAGAGCGGTGATAATCGTCGGGTTGCTGGAAGGTTGCATGGCGAGGCTGCGCCGGGGCGACTGTCGTGAGCGAACTCATGTCGTCCGACGACGGCGCACGAGATGGGCGATAGCCTGGCAAATGTGACGGACCAATTGATACCATGGGCGGTCTGGAAGCACCGCTCTTTGTCGAGGTGGGCGTGTCTGGGTTGATGTTCTTCAGAATGCCCTCGCTGTGTGCTTCGCTGATGCTCGGTTGCCCCGGGAGTGCTTCATTTGCATCCCTCGGAAAGCTAGTCTGTGCCGTCGAGCTGTTCTTCCTTGTAAGGGGGGCGCTATGTACGACCGGCCCTGGCCCGCCCAGTGAGAAATCAGAGCGGCCGGCAAAGAAACTCCCAGTATCGTTCAAGGGAAGCTCGTCCACGAGGACCATATCCTCTTCCCCAAACACACTGGAGTCGTCATCCTCCGACATGCGACTGGCAAGCGAGGGTCGCGGCCTTTCGGGGGTTTGGTCTGGTTGGCTCCGGGGTATGCTCCGATGAGGGAAATTCCTTTCCATCTGCGATGACGTTGTGGAATGACTTGCACGTCTGACGACATGCTGCTCAGATATTGACCCGGACCTAGAGCTGCTATGAGCCCTCCCCATGGCATGTTCAACAGGCGCGAGAGACAGAAGCGGCTTCGACTTGGCCTGAAGAGGCAGAGGAGATTGGGGGGTGCTGATGGAAGCACGCGATGTGCTGGACGTTTCAGAGGATACAGGGAGAGCAGATGCAGCAGCTTCCTTGAAGGTGTTCACCAGGGGGGAGTGGATGTGCGATGGCGGCGGCGACGATAGGAGCACGGGCGAGGACATGGTTGTTCCTGCTATGCTCCTGGGCGCCTTGTGCTTCCCATTCACCCTCGAGCTGGCCACGGATCCATCGCTATCGTAGCCGACGGTGGGGCTGGTTGGACTCGCAGCAATGTCTTTGCCTCTTCCGACCGAAGTCCTGAACCTATTATACAGCCCGCTCAACCCTCCCTGCACCAGGTCCCCGGTTATGCCCTTGCTTTCATTGAGAGACGGCGGCGGCGGCGAGGCAAACTGATCGAAGGTGGTGAGGGTCTCGGAGCGCGAGGCAGAGGTGTGGATCTGGTCCAGCGCTTCCCGCAAAACTTCCTTGTCCACTGGAGCGCGAGACGAGAGCGAGGCAATGGACCCTCGGCGCGATGTGCGGCCAAGAGGACCGAGCGAGAGGCGGAGGGTCGAGGTGGACGGACTGGGTGCATCCTGAAAGTGGGATGAGGGCATGGTGCTGGGGGCGGGTGGCTACAGCATCAGGACTCAAAGAGACACAGATATGGAGAGCCGACAGAGTGGCGGCGCGTGATGCTCATGGAAAATCGGGGAGCGACTAACTCGGCGGGGGGCGGGCAGAGGTGGCGATGGGCTCGTGGGCCTTGGCGGGCTGCACCGCTGGCACAGGCATGGGCAGCAGGTGTCGACGGAGAGTGAGGCCTGAGTTCTGGATTTGGGTGCACGTTCTCCCACCACCACCACAACAAGCGCGGGCTGGGGACGATCCGCAAGGCGAGCTTGGCAGATGACGCCGGGTGCAGCTGTCATCCCAGGCCATGTGCAGCCCGGCCCGGCCTTTTCGCCGGGGGGCACTGGACCCTGACTCGGCCCTCCATGACTCGAGCCCACCGCGCGAGCCCACCGCGTGAGCCCACCGCGTCACGCCTGCGCGCGTCGCCCGCCTGCCCCCACGCGTCTCCCGCGACTTATATCGATACGCCTTGTCTCTTTGCTCCACCCCGCCTGTGCGACTTCCGCGACGAGACGCACCATCCGCATCAACCAAATTCCGCTGCGCCGGCCGCCAATCGCTCGACCGACAATGCTGCAGTAGTCACCGCAGTCCCTTCGCACCACTGCAGAGAGAATGTCGGGAAATCAGCCTTATGGCATTCTGCAGCCATGGCTCGCTGCAACGGTGGAAGATGAGGTCGAAGGCGCCATGGGGTACTGGGAGATGAGCCCAAGCCAGAGGGCGAAATGTACCGCCTCGCAGGCGCTCGAGGTCATGTACGAGGACGACGGAAGCAACCTGCGAATGGAGGTCTACAGAAATGTCAAAGACAAAGCATTTGTCCAGCTTGTAGAGGTCAGTCGTGTCCTCACTGTGGAGGGACTACATTGGCTCACTCCTTGCTAGTTTACTCAAGTCGAAGACGACGAGCCCATCGACGCCGTCGTGTCGGACAGCGAGAGCTCCATCAAAATAAGGTTTTCCAAAAAGCTGCGGGAACAGCTCGAAGAGAAGATGAGGCGTCGCATCACGCAGTGCACCAAAGGCGGCATGGTCAGGCTCAAGCAGTTCGAGATCATTGTGCCACGTTTCAACGCAAGTGATGGGGATCCGATGCATCTTCTTCTCAAAGATGCTGAGTTATACGGTGGACATGGCGCGGCCGTGTATGGCCACCCGAGGCCAATCGAGACCTCCCCGAAGATTAGGAGACTGCTCAGGCGTTTCCACAGGACACATTCAGAGAATGGCAGCGATGATTCAGCATCGGAGCATACGCCAGAGGGCTCCGATGACGAGGTGCTCTCTCAAGGGGATCCATCAGAAGCCAGCCAAAGCCAATTCGGGACCCAGGCGCCTTTTTCTCAGCCGCCTGTTCTTCACAAAAGAGATGGCACCACGATTCCATCTCCTACCATGATCAAGAAAGAGCCGATCGAGCAAACGAGCGCATGGAAACAAGTCCAACCCAAGTCGGCAAATACCCGGCAGGTGCTTGCACTCCTAGGCCAGCAGCGCGGACATCATGTACCAGCAGATGCCTCGATGCCCCCTCCCGCTCGCCCAGGGGCAATGCGTCAACACTCACACTCACCTTTATCACACTCAAAAGTTCAGAGCCCCAAGCAAAACGTAATCCGAGATGTAGCTGAAGAAGAGCATGAAGAGGTAGCCGATCAGGTCATGGACGTGGCAGATATTTCCGATCTCATTGCCTTAGATGAGAATCCCATTGTTACAAGCGATCCCAGAGAATCGGAAAATCCGGTCGAAGAGCATGGCCCGGGTAAGAGCAACGCCTCCGAAGAAACTGGGTTCTCCGCCGAACTACAACTACTTAAAGGCGCTGGCAACCCAAATAACACCCCTACTTCGTATCAGATCCCGGCCGTCAGTAGTTCCACGGTGACTACGACTAATTCCAGTCTTCCAAACGTGTTGCCAACAACTGAGAAGGACCCGGTGGCGCAAGCCTCCCAGAAATGCAAAGAGCGGCTCTTTCATCATCCCCGTTGGAACTGTGTGCTCCCTGCTACTCGTTCAGCCTGTAACATACCTCCGGATCAAGAGAATATCTTGGAAAGGCCCGACTCCATCCTTCCCTCACCTGTCGGGCACCATTTTCCCGTGGGCAACATACCACGTCATATACTGATTAAATTGTCAACAAAGGCAGAGGAGCGTAGTGGCATATTGCAAGTGCCAGAAGACGACGCCGAAGATTCGGAAGATCATTCAATTGAGCCTGAAAATGTGCCGACTTCGGATATCTCTTGGCCCGAATCCCCCGTTCGGACGGTGAAACGCTTGGCAGACCTCCCGCCAGATAGCAGTGTGCCGGAAGAGCAGGACACAGGCGAGAGTGCTATGTTTTCTCAGAGAAGAGGAGCAAATAATTCACATCATCCTGATATTCCTTCATCGCCGCCGCATACATCCTCGCAATCTAAGTTTCAAGATGATCCAATGGATGACGAGTCTGACTTGGAAACCTCTGTGCCACAAGCATTCTCATATGCCCAACAAGAGCGATTTCCGAAAAGTCAAGCGGGTCGGCTGGACGAACTTGACAGTCGCAAAGACCCCCCTTCCGACCGAATGTCACGGCATGTTTCCTCATCTGGACAACTTTACACACATTTGCACCTTCCAGAAACCTCTCAACCTTTGCAGATGACGAACTCGTCCGTTTCGGGCGTGACCCTGCCCGTAACACAGCCGCCCCGGTCACCGCTGCGTGAGGAACACAGTATTTCATCCTCAGCACCGGTCATGCCATGCTCGTATGAAGTTGCAAGGGCACCACACAACACTCAACACGGGTCTACATTTGACGGCAGTGCTGAAAGCAAGATGGTATCTCTTCCGGACCAAGAAGATGCGCTGGTGGAACGTCAGATCCAAAATGAGCAGGCTAGTCGGCCTTCGCAGCGGCGAAATCTAGCTTCACCTCCATTCCAAGACCGAAATACTTCTGCCAGCCCTACAGTGCGATGTGAAAGAGCATCGCAATGCGAGACATCCCCTGCAAGAAGCTCACCATATCCACCCGCCTGCAAGGACCCACCCATAAAACGGGAAGCACAGTCCCCGTCACCTCCAAATGAATCCCGCAAGCGAGTCAAGAAGTCTCACACAAACTTCCACTTCAGCCAAGATCCGCCCATATCACAAGATCCTTCTGCTCACTTACGCAGTGCGAGGCGTCAATTTTTCACCAACAGGGAGATGGACAGTCCTGTCGATGAGTCTCGGCAACGCCGAGGTTCTGGATCCTCTGCCTCAAGCCAAGTAGAATCTGAACTTGGCAACTCGCCAGCGCGCTCTTTCAGTGCACGGAGTACCAGATATTCTGTTCAAGTGAAAAAGGAGCATGCTGAGGAAGAACCGAATAATGATAGTGGGTCTCGGCAACCCTCTACCTCGGGCATACGGCGGCCGGCATCAAGTGGCACGAACTCGGACACCCCTAGAGTCGAAACCCTTGTAGGGGTTAAAGCTGAGGCCATTGAGGATGATGGGCCGTCATTGTCACTCATGGAAACAGATGCCACTTCTAGACGTACTTCTCATGAAGCCATGGACATCGACATCCCCACAGGAGAACATTATCAAGCTTCTGCAGTCGACCTCACCACCACTGAAGCTCAATGTGCGAATACGGCTGAAGACACTACCCACGTTGAAGAAACGGTGTTACTCGGCCATTCCAAATCACCGCAGAATGAGGCTCACATCGTTCCACCAACAGATGCTGGCATTGCCGACAGCATGGGGACTCCCGGCGATCCAACAGCCCCTTCTCTCGTTGAGAAAATGATGCCACCCACCACAAGGCCACAGCAAACTGCGGCTAACGATACTTCGGTGAACCCTCGCGGTGGTGCCGACGCGGGACTAACAGAACTCGGGCAAACCGAGCCACCCGGCAAGGATCCCGGTGTCACAAAGCCGACTGATATTTTCGACCAATTCAGCCAGGCTTATCCCGAGTACACTGGAAACCGTAAACATTTTGAGAACCTCTGTGGGCAACTGGAATGGTTGCGAAGTATTGAACGGGGCCTTCACCCGTTTCTATGGGATGACTATATCATCAGATCAAGGATTGACTTCAAGAATTACACCGAGGGGTGTGCTGACGAAGGCATTGATCCTCTCCCATGGTACAAGTATTACGTGGAGGCAATTTATACGCCCCGGTTCAAGAGAGGGATCATGAACCCAGCCATGCTAGAGAGGTTCTTTGCTGAGCAGGGCAGACCTTTGAAGCCCGTCATTCACTCAAATGTATCTCGGATGGAGCCCGCAGCGGAGAGAGGCCCGCCTTCCACGATTACCCCGCTCGTTGATAACACCCCACGAAGCAGAGACAACCATCGCCCCAGAGGGCCCAGGCGACGGGGGCGAAAAACCGCCTCCAACCTACAATATGGATCGACTGGCTCACCGCTTCAGCAAATCGCGAATCGACCGGCTGCTCATCCGACCACTTTCCCGGCCACGGGTCCTTCACCCGCTCCCAATGATAAGGCCCTGCCGTCGGTCACTTCCATCGCGCATCCACTTCCTCGTAGGCCGCCTCAGCCTGTACCCGCTCCCGCTTCCGGGCCGTCACCCAAGCCACCCGCCGCTACGGCCCAGCGGCCGCCCAGAGGCCCAGGCCAAAACAGGCCTCCTGCTCCCGCTCCACTAAGTTCGGCAACATCCGCAAGAGCAGCGATCACATCCTCAGCCCGTGCCGTGTCCAACAAATCGTTAATTCCGTTGAGCTCGCGTGCTGGGCCGGAACTGACGGCGAAAGGGATCGTCAAGCACGCCACCACCAGGAACAACGACAATGACAACAGCAAGCGCAACGGTAACAGCATGCCAGCACCATCTACCAGCACCAATGAGAAGCGCCCGAACGGCATGCCCGGTCCCCCGCCCCCGGCTAGTTCGGCACAGCGCGAGAGCAGCAATGCCAAGGGCGACAAGCCGAAGCCAAAAACTATGTTCACAATGTACAAGGAGCAGCGGAAGAACAGATCCAGGCCTGGGGGGAGTCGGGCTGGGAGTACGGCTTAGAGGGCTGCTGGCCGGTGAAGAGAATGACTGTGTGAGTGCTGCGGTGAGGCCTCTCACTATCGATGACCGTTGAGGGAATTGCAAAGGTGGGGAGGACGGTTGGGGGGGGGAAAGCGAAAAGATCGGCATCCCATCGCAACCTCGAACCTTGTCCTTCCTTCAAACCTACATCGCTTTTTGAAATGCCTAGACTTAGCCTCTCTTAGGGCATGGCATTGTGAAGACGCATTCTCAGTTTTCGATTAGCAAATCAGATGTCTCAAGGTGGCGCCGCGTCTAGTCTATCATCGGCGGGCGGCGTGATGGCACGATGGAATTCATCCCTCGTATGGGAATTGGCGGGATGGGAATGATGGGTAAGCGGCACGGCATCAATATGGCGTTTTGCGAAGAGGGAAGGATTTGACGGGTGGGGGGATTGCCAGGCGCTACTGCTATTGTTTCCCTAGCCTGGCGTTTGTGGTGTTTATTTTGCTTTTTCCCTTCCCGCTTTCTTCCCGTCCTTGACCGCTTTTATGCCGTGTCTGTCGCTCGGATGGGCTTACCGCAACCAATTCACATCCGCATTGCTAGACCGGTGCCATGGCGCGCGACCCGCGAGCCCCGAGGGGACGGGTCGGGGGCGACTTTTAGCTTCGCGCAAACTAGCAAAGGTTGCCCTTTTGGGCCAAGACGTCGATCCGTTGTGGAGATTTTACATATTGTGTGGGGAGGAGGGTGGGCAGGAACCTGGGAATGGGATTCGCTCGTTCCCGCCAGCTGATCTCGGCTCCGATCATCCACTTTCCTGTTCTGTTGTTGCCCTTGTACGTACGTAGGTACGCGCGTATGTATGCGTTGTGGCTGGTTGTCACAATCGCCATACATCGGAAAGAAACCGACTATTGCTTTGTTTTTTTTTTGCGCGATAAAAAGCCATCATGATAATGATAAATTCTTTCTATCGATATTGGTTCCTTTCTTTTCTTTTTGCTCTTTCTTTTTTCCCTTTTGGGAAACAGCTTCTCGCGGGAGGGCTAACAGACGGTAGCGGTTGCGAGTAGTGGTTGCTTTTCAAATCCCCATTGCTGGTTCCTGCTAACAGGGAGCGAGCAAGAAGGATGCCGGGAACTTTTCCATCCTCCGCCAAAACTATGCCGCGGGCCTGGACTCAACGGAGGCCTTTTGGTGGTGAAAGAAGTGCGGAACTTTAAATCTCAGCCGCGGGGCCAGGCGGTGGCACGCGGTGGTGGTGGTGGTGGTGGTCGTAGCGGTGGGGGCCAGCATGTGAAGGAAGCGGGGGAGCCGCGTGCGGTCCCAGACTTTCACTTGCCGCGACCTCTTATCGTACGGCCGAAGGGAAACTTAATCGAACCTTATCTGCCTAGCCGATTTTTCATCTTTCCTTCTGATCTTTGCAGGTAAGCCGATGTGGCTGGAGCGGTGGGAGCTGGAAAAGGCGGGGTAGTGGCGGTAGCGGTTCGCCTTTTTCGTAAGCAACACACGTGTTGGAGCCCAACGACTGACTGACCGCTCGATCGGTTGCGCCGGTGAACATTATGGTTTCGTGGGAGTTTGAGCTGTTGACTTTTGCGCTACCTATGTCGTCTGACATGTGCCAAAGATAACCTTTCGGTTGGACCTTACATTCATTGTTGCCCGCAAGGCAGTTTCCTTCTAATGACAATTACATGACCGTTCAGTTGACTGTTCTCACCATCCCAAGAATATTTGTCAATTGACCAATTATGCATCGATAGATTGCAGACGAGCAACTGGAGGCTAGTGCCAGATCGCAAACACAAGGGCAGCCAATTGTATCAAACTAGCGAGGCTACGCGACGCTATCGACGAAAGAAGCATAGGAGGCGGCAGACAATTTATGCCAAACCGATCCGATGATGTAAATGCCGGTGAGTTTCCCCATGTCCCCGTTTACCCTAAACACGTCAACCCAAACACCAGGAACTCCTGACCGTGCTGAGCCAACCGCACGAGCCCATGGGCATGGGAAACCGGTGGACTGGGATGATGGAGTTGCATTCTTGCCATGTCCATCTAGTGCTGCGGACATGGCGTTATACGTAAGTGGCTGGAGTATAGCAGCGGTCCTGAGGAGCATATCCAATTACCACATTCGTCACTGCTAAGTGAATCTTCGATCATAAAGCGGTCAGCGCAAGAGCCAGGACCCAGCCTCCCCGCGATTCCAGCCTCTCGTTCCTCCCGCAGCTCCCGTCAGGAGCAGTTGCGCGGCGGGCGGACGGGAGTGACGCTCATATGAAGTCGGCGGCGTCGGAGCACGGTGCGGAATGTCAAAAGCACGGGCATGCGGCTGAATCCTTACGAAACTGGAATGTACCAAGATCCCAGATCTTGATCGTGTTTCGCCACAACTCAGGGGTATTCGCTGAAGCGCGGCCGTGAGGAAGGCGTCATGGCGAGGAAATAGGCGCGAGAAAGGAGGACGGCGTGGTCGAGAGAAGTCGTGGGCAGTCGCGGGCAGTCGCGGCCTGTCACGTCTCAGCGCGGTGGGTCCGGGGGGCCTTCGTGAGACATGGCGGCATGGCAGAGTGCCGACGTCAGCATCGCTGGAGTCTCTTCAGCCACAGAAAAGAGGCGCAGACAGGGAGCCCATGATACGCCAGTGGCCCAAAGGGGCAAACCAACAACAAAGCCGGATGAGGAAAATCCAAAACAAAGGGTTGTGCACAACGGTTTAGAGGAGCAAAAGAAATTATGCAGCCATCAATATGATCGACGGCAAGCCTCACGCGCCCCAGGGCCCTCCGCAAGCGGCACGCGCGCCAATGCCCGCCGCATCTCTCTGTCTCTTCAAACTCACCGCACCGTCCGCGATACGAACCCCATTATTGATCTGTCGGCAGAAAAAGAAAATAAAGAGCTGGTCATGAAGTCATCGGCGCTCAGCCCATTACACACGCGCCAAGAGGCGCACACCTGCTTAGCCGCCGCATGCGAGACATCCACGTTCTCGTTTCCGTAATGTCGGGGCCGAGAGAGAGTGGAAGCCTGCGAGAGCACCTGTGGCACCTGTGGCACCTGTGGCACGTCGGGTCGTCAGCTGCATGCGGGAGCCGTCCCGGGTTTTTTTCCCTCGATTCTTCGGAGCGAGATGGCCCTGCGTCTGACAAAGTCTGCTTTGCTTCCTGTGCTCTCAACGTACCGCAGCAGCACGGGCTACCACGGCGGCAGGTGGTGTTCGCAGGGTCGCATTGAGGCTGCCCACTTCCGGAGAGCAGTCGGCGGCTTGAGCTGGCATCGTCCGTGTTAGCCGCCGTTACAGTGACTGGTGTCGGCTTGGCGCTGGTGGTTGGGATCTTCACATGCTGACGGGCCAAGCGGTGACGAAAAAGCAACGGGTTGGTGGTGCGAGCATTGAGATGAGATCAGGAAGATGCGCGGGTGGGACCAGCTGGGAAAAGTTTGCGGTGCCCTCATCACGGGCGGAGAGTCTGTGACAGCCCTGTCCGGCATTTCTTCCGCCCTCGCAGCAGCCGCAGCGGGCGCATTGTGACACGGTGGGATGCGGTCGGCGGTGAGTCTGCGGTGAGGGAAGCGCCGTTGTGCCGTGCTGCATCTCCATCTTTTCCCGGCACCCATGGCGTCCAAGGCAGGGTCGCGCAGTCACGAGGCCTCGCGGCGCGGCGATCTCTGACGCGGTGGGACGCGACGCCCTGCCTGCGCGCTAGAAGCGGCCCACGAAGGCGCGTGGAAGACGCCGACAATAATCTGCGCAAGGCTGGCAAGGCTGGCAAGGCTGGCAAGGCTGGCAAGGCTGGCAAGGCCGGCAGCTCGAGCTGGTTGGTGTTGCGGGGGTCCATCGTCATCGCTGGGTGGCTGCTCGGCCCACGGACGCAGGCACAGGACAGGGCAGAGCGGCAGCAACGGCAGCAGAGCGAGTGAGAGCCCACTGACGACTATGCGCGGTGGGGACTTCTCGGCGAGGCCGGAGATGGAGTGCCCGATCTCCGCTGGCATCAGGGCGGCGCTTACAGCTCACCCTCGCCAACACCGCCTCTCTCGATCCACGCCCGCCATCTGACCACTGCAGCACCCCCAGCCTCACACCCGGGCTCGCCCGTGCCAATTGGAGCGCGTGCGGTCCAACACCATGCGGCCATGTCCGCCGACACTCGGCCCGCGAAGCTCGCGATGTATGAAATCATCGCAGCCAAGCCCGCTCCCCACAGCTGAATCATGCGAGCGGCTATCCGGCACCCTGACACAACACCACCACCACGCGCTCGCTTCACAGGCAATCATGATCGACCGAAGCGGTCACTCACCGCCTGCATTGGGGATCCATCGTGAAGAGAAAAAAAAAACCACCGAGGACTCTGCAGCCCGTCGTCGGATACCAATCAGCGCGGTGGAGCACGTGGGCGGGTTGACTCACATGCCCGCACGCCGCACGCGTCGACGTAATTCCAAAATCCCCAACGGAATTCCAAAATGCCCCGGTATATTGACGGCGATCCCAATCCTTTCTCCGCGCCCTCTTTCGATAGCGGATGCGAAACACGATGCCAGCATCGTGCCATCCTCTCGCTTACCCGCACTCGACACGGCCAATTGTCTCAGCACACCGGCCAAGTGCGATAAGATCGCGTCCTCGCTGCCCGCCATATCGCCCGTGTACGCCATGTCCACCCGGGCTGCGCGTTCGTCTCTTGACCCTCGCCCGCGCACATACGACACGCGCATCGTCAACCATGCCGTCAACCCACACCACACCGACACGGCCCCCGCCCCTGACCCTGGCGGCTCGAGCGCCCGTTCGGCGCCGTGGCTACGTGGTTGCGTGCTCGGCGTGCGCAATGTGTGTCGTGGGCGAGTGGGGAAGGAGAAGGGGAGGGCCCGAGCGTCCTTCCACAGCCCTTCTAGAAAATTTCCGAGTTTCACCTTGCGGCTCTTTGCCATCCTGTCCCTTCTGAACCACCCCTGGCCAGCTTGCACCCCAAACACGCTATTGCTACGCCCGCACGCGCCACGTGCGC